GTCGCCCAATTCCTCGCAGATGCGCACCAAAGCCATCTCCTCCCACCGTCCTCGCCAACCGAGAACGCCATCTACCGCGCGCGTCTCTCTTTCTTCGTCGACGCCTTCTTCAGCAAAGTCCTGCCTTCTTTCTTTGCCAGTATCCGCTCCGCTGATGAGACCGAGCGCGATGCCGCCGCCGAGCAGCTGGTCGCTGCTGTCGTGAAGGAGGTTGAGCCACTCCTGGCAGACACGGAGGGCAAGGGTCCGTTCTTTGGTGGTAGTGAGAAACTGACCCTGGCGGAGGTTCAGGCGGGCTCGTTCTTGTTGAGGATTTTGAGCTTCGCCAAGCCTGAACATGGTCTTGTTTCGGCTAAGTTGCCCGCTTTGCTAGAGCAGGCTCCGAGGTTTAAGCGCTGGGCTGAGGCGACGGTTGCGCATGACAGTGTTAACTTCATTTATGATGAGAAGCTTGTTGCGGATAAGATGAGGGCCAAGTTTGCGCCGGCGCCGAAGGTTTAGTTATCCGGTTACAGTTTAGATGTATGTACCTAGGGTTGGGGTTTGACATATCTACATACTTAGGCTGTCTTTTTTAATGTTGTCTATGGAACGAGGAATGAGAAATGAATTTGGCTACAGTGCAGTTATGTGATCACTTAGTCTGCTCCGTGCTCTTCTTACGCCTAGGGATCTCGACGGCCAGAGTCCATCAGATACTCGTTGCAGTGTAACCTCCCAGAACGTCGACCCTTCTGTTTACCACCTAGTAAAGAGCTTGCTTAATGGCTTTATAAAGCCTATAACCATTGACCCTCTCCTTTAATAATCTCTAGGATCCTTTCCTACATTTAGTGAATTCGTTCCAGGATGAGATCGTTACAGAAGAGGCTAAGGACCTATATCGTAAGGCTATTCAGGCTTTGAAACCCCCTTCATTTTTATGAAGAGTAGCAGGAGTAGGGTGAATCACGACTAATTAGTACGTTTCATAAGTATAAAAGGTTGGTAGAAGCGAGGAAAATATAGTACAGGAAGCAAAGAAAGATCAGGGCCTTTTTGGAGCCTAAATCTGTATGTGATCTAGAAATATATATCTGATATATGGGTTCTGGATTTAACGAAGACCTGGATATAACGAATTCAAACCCGTGTCTGATTCAATTCGTTACAACCGGGTTTTACTGATAGAAAGTATCGTCTAGCCAGATTAAGCCTAGTCTATATTTATTCTGCCGGTTGGATTATTCTGCCAAAGTTAGCCGATGACATTTCACCGCGTTGATTCTAATTGTTTCGCTTCATTCCGCAATCATCAATCCCCGTCTCAAGTGTCACAACTGATTCGGCCACCTTGCTTCTACTAGAACTTCCATACTTTCTAGACTACCCTCAAGCGTACCCTAACCTAGGTAATGGGCGGAATGCCATCATTCCAGACGGTTAGTCTCTTATGCCTTCTAGTCTTTGATACTCACAATCAAGCGAGAAAACGGATCGAAAGCTGAACAGCTACAAACCACTTAAACCCACAGATAAAACCAAGGACTTCCTCAGTGACTTCCTCGAGGTCCTTCCTCCTGACGGAAAAGCAAATCTGGCGGTGGACATTTTAGGGTGTTCAGACGACGAAAAGCTTCGGCAACTAGTACAAAGCATCAAAACCGGGTTATTGATTCCATTGAAAGCACAGGGTGGTAAAACACCTACTGAAGTCACTCCGTCTCCGCGCCCTGACCTCGAAGAGTCAATCGAAAATCTCAAAAGTCTAGATATCGAGCCCATCAATGGAAACTCCCAGTCGCAACTCCGGCGCCACTGTTTAGAAAGAGATAGTTACAAATGTCTTGCAACAAATAAATACAGTCAAGCCTACCCCTATCCACAAGATACATTAACAACATATCTTGAAGCCGCCCACATCATTCCATTCTCACTTGGATCCTTTTAAGCCAATGCCCGCAGCATAGTACACAGAAATGCAGTGATTTGGGTCAATCTAAGACGCTACTTCCCAGTTCTTCGGAATATGTCATTTGCCCCGAACAGATCAATTCAGATAATAACGTCATGATGCTAGACTCCCAAATTCACAGGGAATTTGGTCAATTCCGACTTATTTTCGAAGCAACTGAAATTCCCCACCAGTATTATATCAAGACCTTTCCGGATACCCTTACAGGGCCAATCTTTTTTTTGCCTAAGGATCGGATTGTCAATTTCAAAGTTCATAACGGAAGTTGGGAACTTCCAGATCCGAGACTTCTCCAAATACACGCTTGCATCGGAAACTTTCTGCACATGAGCGGCCAGGCAGAAGTAATCGATAAGACCCTCAGGGATTTTGAAGACTGTGGTGGGCTTGCCCCGAGCGGAAGCACCGATGTGGAAGACCTTCTTGCGATGACCAGCCTCGCACTACTAGTGGAAGCATAAAAATCGACAGATGGGAGGAGTCTTGTATCTCTTCTCTTTTTTTTTTGCCGCTGAGGGCAGAGCTAGTCTTACAATATCATCACTCTCTTGTGGATTCATTTCCTACATTGAAGTAGACCATTTCAATTTTCTGAAGGAAGAGAATTCTCCTGCAGCTCACTAAACTCCTTGATGGACATCAGTCGTGGTTATGCGTGACAATTATATGTCTGAATATATAGATCCGCTATGCATATTTACAATATATATTTTGGTTATGAAGTTAAACGTTCACACTTGTCAAGCTATATCCACACCGTAGTCAAGCAATAAAAGAACAATATGTAGGCAGACGCAGTAAATCTAGCTTGTCAATATATTGTATTGCATAAACCACAGTAGATATGGTGGGCCAAGGCAAAATTAGCCACTGACGTTGTCCCATGGTTGAAGGCTGGCCAATTTTAGCTCGCAGACACCCACATTGGGGAGGCTCACATCCAACGTCTTATGTACTCCGTACCCCGTACATGTGCAGCTATAGGCTAAGATGGCGTGATTATAAATCTTAATGTACATAATCCTTGGAGTACCTGGTACTTCGAGGATGAAAAAGCAAAAACCTCGTGAGAACACAAATATTGTTCGATGCTTCAACATATCTGACACTATATGTCATTTTTCAAGTCGAAACTCCAAACAGCCTCATATACCTTAGAAGTCTTAAAAACAAACTATATCAGATCAATTCTTTACACGTCATTCAACTTGTAAACAGGTACCGAGCACTTTAATTATCAAAAGTCTGATATCACGTGCAGCCACCCCCACTATGGCCATGGCAACACCTGGGAAACAATTCACCCCTCAAACTCCATCTTCCCCGTCTCATCCGTCTCCGTTGTCTCGATCCCCGCCTCCTTCAATCCCTGTAAGTAATTGGAGTGCATACTACTTTGACTTCTCATGCCAATCCGAGAAGCTCGAAAGACCCCCTGAGTTTGGTTATCTCAGCCACTGACATAGCGCTAGACAGCCCGTCCTTTTTTTGTCTTTCTCATCTACATAAGCCATCATGTCGGTTCGTATTGACCTCTAACCTTATGCTATACAACATCCAATACTGACTATGATATCGCGCAGCTCGCATCCGGGTAAGTCGTCGTCGGTTCCCGCGCTCGCAACTGGTTTCCCCTCACTTTCACTATTTATTGACACCTGCCCCCTACAGTGTCCAGATCCAGGATGACTGTATCACCACCTTCCAGGACTTCAGCCGAAGCCACGGCAAGACCAAGTACATCATCTACAAGATCGCCGACGACAAGAAGTCGGTTGTCGTAGACTCAGTCGGCAAGGACCAGGACTACGAGGTCTTCCGCAACGAGCTCGCCGATGCCAAAGACAGCCAGGGCCGCGCCTCCCCCCGTTACGCCGTCTACGATGTCGAGTACGAGATTGCCGGCGAGGGCAAGAGGTGCGCATTCTGATATTCGCAATTGTTCTCAGGCCTCCCGCTGACCTGATTGTTCTCACAGAAGCAAGATTATCTTCATCTCCTGGGTGCCTAGCGAGACCCCCACTCTCGTAAGATTTCCCCAGACCCAGGCTTCAACCCATGTGCAGAACCAATAGCTAATTTCATTTTCAGTGGTCCATGATCTACGCCAGCACCCGCGAGGTTCTCAAGAACGCCCTCAACGTCGTCACTTCCATCCACGCCGATGACAAGTCCGATATCGAGTGGAAGACAGTCCTGAAGGAGGCCAGTGGTGGCAAGGCATAGATGATAGCGCCGGCTGGATCCGGGCTGCGCGACTGATATGGGTGCGCCCTTGACGGCGCCGCGGAACGATCAATTCATTACCTTTCCTGCACACCGTTCTCCCATTTTCTTCTTAGTTGCAATGCAAGACCGTTACGACTTGGCCCGTGTTTGTACCATTTTGCGAGAGGTCTGAGGAGTCTTGATTTACTTTCAGCTTGTTCCGTTCTGAATGATTTTTACTTCAAGTTGAGGTACTTGGGCAATTGGGCACCGAATCTTGCTGCCTGTCGGTTATATTGCACGTGGCGGACGAGAAGATCTCAGGATGCATGGTGTTGAATGTAGAATAGTTAGGCAACTGGACAACTCCTGGCTTTTCCTGCGAAAGCTACTGCATGACTGGGCTAGTTTAAATGCGGCTAAAGATTCCGACGACGGCCTAAAGACTTGAGCGACTGGTTGACACTGGGGAACCTTGCGAATAGAGGCATAATAACCGTCGAAATAAAAAAAAGTCCATAAGCACTTGAAGAATATCAACATCATGCCACATGGCTGAGAATGGTGATGATGCTCACTGGCAGGGACAGCCGATTTGGGCCAGGAGCCAATGAGGAGGCAGCCAAACCAAAACCGCACTAGTCCCGACCGGATCCTCGCCTTTCCACCTCAAACCACAAGAAACGTCTTCAAGTCATTCCCCATCCACGATTCTCCTCCACTCACTCCTAAGCCGTGCCCAGGCGTGCTCTCTGGCTTTCCAACTCCCGACCTCCGTCTAATTACATCAATTGAAACCGATTCCGACGTGGTCCTCCCACCTCCCGCCTGCCGCACAATGTTTCTTCGCACCGTCTCTCGCGCTGTCCCTCGCAGCACCGCGGCCTTCCGTGCTGCCCCGACTGCCTCTGTGAACGCCCTGCAGACCCGCGCTGCCTCGGACCATGCTATCCCCAACCCTACCCTCGCCAACATCGAGAAGCGCTGGGAGGGCATGCCCCCTCAGGAGCAGGCCGAGCTCTGGATGCAGCTCCGTGACCGTATGAAGGTCGACTGGCACCAGTTGACCCTCCAGGAGAAGAAGGCCGGTACGTACTACCCCTAGAATGTGTTGGCTTGAAAGACGGCCTCTTGCTTCGACTATCCTGAGGCTTCCGCGGTTATCTATGACGGGATGCACCTGATCCCTCGTCCATGATTATCTTTGCAAGTAATCGTTTTTGACTGACATCAATTCTTCCTCTGCTCTAGCTTACTACATTGCCTTCGGCGCCCACGGCCCTCGTGCCCAGGCCCCCAAGGGTGAGGGCTTGCGCGTCTTCTTCAAGGTGCTCCAGCTCACTGCCGCCTCCGTTGCCATCTTCTACACCGTCCACTCCTTTGCCGGCAAGCAGCCCGGTACCATGTCCAAGGAGTGGCAGGAGGCCTCCAATGAATATGCCCTGGTATGTATCTCACGCCCCTTCCGACAGCAGTCGGGAGAAGTCTCTGCCTCGGTCAAATTGGACGATGCTAACCTATTCGACTACAGAAAGAGAAGATTAACCCCATCCACGGCATCAGCAAAGAGGGCTACGAAGGCAAGGGCTTTGTCCAGAGCGGCCCCGCTGAGAAGTCATAGGTGTACTAGTTACCCGACCGGGAGTGACTTGATATCTACGCAAGACGGACGGCGGCATCCGTCGCACGACCTGGATGTCGATTTTATTGCAAGCTACTCTTTCCATAGATGTTCGACATGTCTTTGTATCGGAGGATGGGCCTCCGCCCGTGCGCGCGTCGACTGTTCCCCATTCTATCTTTTTTTGGCAAGCATTGGAAAATGCGTGTATCTCGTACTGTGCTATAATCAATGTATCTCTTTTGTAGCCATAGAACATGAGTTTGATATGGACGTAACTCTAGGATAAACGATCTACGTGTATGCCCCTGCGCTCCGACATGGCGTGGTCTACGGAGTGATTCGGAACCAACGCAAGTGCGGAGAATCCCTGCGGGAACACGGTGGTTCCGATAGTAACAGAAGAATACGGGTTAGTTTCTATGGAGATATGAAATGCAAAGAGGATATAAATAGGAATGAAGATTATAAACCATCTGAATATAACGAACATAACATCTTAGCTTGGAATCTAATTTAGTGCATACGTTTTTATATGTTCGATGTTTTGACCCGGAATTGGCACACGTCAGAGTTTTTCCGATATTCGGACCAAAGGGCCATTGACTTTCGTGATATCTTTTTCTAGTTTCACCCTTTCACCGCCAGCCTAAGGGACAATGTTTTCAATATCTCGAAGATTTCTCCGGGGCAACGATGTCATTGAGCCAAAAGCCGTGGCTCCCCTGCACCCGGCCGCCAAGACCCGGTGTGTGTGCGCGAATTCCAGGGCAACGGGCTGAGCTTCCTCGGTCACCACTTCACCACACCATACTAGTGGCAATGGATATTTAAAAATAAGAGAGAGCATGATTTATATATAAAAAACCATTCTAAATCAGAAAATCAAGCTCTTTTCCCTGTAGATAGCTCAAGTTGGTGCTCGGTTCATCACGGGATCGTCGGCAAAACCGCCCCGGAAAGGCTAAGGGCGACCAGTCCCCATCCACCAACCTCTTCCCTTCCTCTTCTTCCCTCTTTTCCCGTTCCAACCTCACCTCTTCCTTTCACCACATCTCGCTCTTCAACACAGTCATTATGTTCAAGAGGTATGGTTTTAGGATCCATTGAATCTTCCTGTCTTTTTCATTTGGAAACTAATTTTATAATCTCTCTAGCGGTCTCGCCCGGTCCTTTGGGAGGGCTGCTTTTGCCCGGACGACCCCCGTCGCCCGCGCTTTCCAGCCTGTCCGTTCCAATGCTCTCCCGGCTATCACTGCCCGCTTCGCTAGCTCCGATGCTCTCTTGACTGGAAAGGTTCACCAGGTCATTGGTGCCGTCGTTGACGGTACGTGTTATCGACTCCTGACGGAACGGGCACCTCGCGAAAATCTTTTCCCTGGACCCAATCCATCACCGAAACCATCGCAATCAACCCCAAAATCATCAACGAAACCGTTTCTGACTTTATATTCGCCATCTTACAGTGAAGTTCAGCGGAGAGAAGCTCCCTGCCATTTACAACGCCCTGACCACCACCAACAACGGCCAGAAGCTCGTTCTGGAGGTTGCTGTACGTGATCTGATTGGCTGAACCTTGATTCAAATCGCAACAAAGCTAACAATTGCTCTTAGCAACACTTGGGTGAGAATGTCGTCCGTACTATTGCCATGGACGGTAAGCTTCACCCCTTCCCACCCCTTTCTTGGGCCACCGTGTCGTTCCCTACCCGATCGGGGGAATTGATCGAGTGTGGTCCAACCGTAAATTGGAGCTTTCACTAACGTCATCTGAAGGTACCGAGGGTCTCTCCCGTGGTGTCACCGCCGAGGATACTGGTGCCCCCATCACCATCCCCGTCGGTCCCGCCACTCTCGGTCGTATCATCAACGTCACTGGTGACCCCATTGACGAGCGTGGTCCCGTCAAGGCCACCAAGTTCGCTCCCATCCACGCCGATGCTCCCGCGTTCGTCGACCAGTCCACCTCTGCCGAGATTCTCGTCACCGGTATCAAGGTTGTCGACTTGCTCGCCCCCTACGCCCGTGGTGGTAAGATTGGTCTGTTCGGTGGTGCCGGTGTCGGTAAGACCGTGTTCATCCAGGAGTTGATTGTAAGGATTTCCTCTATCCCCCATCTCTTGAAATCCGCATTAAATGCTTATACTTGCAATTTTTAGAACAACATCGCCAAGGCCCACGGTGGTTACTCCGTGTTCTGTGGTGTCGGTGAGCGTACCCGTGAGGGTAACGATCTGTACCACGAGATGCAGGAGACCGGTGTCATCCAGCTCGATGGTCCCTCCAAGGTCGCCCTTGTGTTCGGTCAGATGAACGAGCCCCCCGGTGCCCGTGCCCGTGTTGCCCTGACTGGTTTGACCATTGCCGAGTACTTCCGTGACGAGGAGGGTCAGGACGTGCTGCTCTTCATTGACAACATTTTCCGTTTCACCCAGGCCGGTTCCGAGGTGTCTGCCCTTTTGGGTCGTATCCCCTCTGCCGTCGGTTACCAGCCTACCCTGGCTGTTGACATGGGTATGATGCAGGAGCGTATTACCACCACCCACAAGGGTTCCATCACCTCCGTCCAGGCCGTCTACGTGCCCGCTGACGATTTGACTGATCCTGCCCCCGCTACCACCTTCGCTCACTTGGACGCCACCACTGTGTTGTCTCGTGGTATCTCCGAGTTGGGTATCTACCCCGCTGTCGATCCCCTCGACTCCAAGTCCCGTATGCTCGACCCCCGTATCATCGGTGACGACCACTACAACACCGCCAGCCGTGTCCAGCAGATGCTCCAGGAGTACAAGTCCCTCCAGGATATCATTGCCATTCTCGGTATGGATGAGTTGTCCGAGGCTGATAAGCTCACTGTCGAGCGTGCCCGTAAGCTCCAGCGTTTCCTGTCCCAGCCCTTCGCCGTCGCCCAGGTTTTCACTGGTATCGAGGGTACCCTTGTTGACTTGAAGGACACCATCTCCTCCTTCAAGGCCATCATTGCTGGTGAGGGTGACGACCTCCCCGAGGCCGCCTTCTACATGGTTGGCGACATGAACGCTGCCCGTGCCAAGGGTGAGAAGATCCTGGCTGAGCTTGAGAACAAGGCCTAAATGTAATTTTGTCATTTGCTAGCTAGCGCCGTCTTAACTTCCCCCTCCACCTTCAAGCTCTTCCTCTTCTTTTCCTCTTTTCCCTCACCTATTCTCTATTGGTTCTCTCGGTTTCATTTAATTCCCTTTGTCAGAACACTCAAAGTGTTCCAACGTTGTACGCGACAACATCATTTCCCTTTTTCGAGGCGTGTATATTACCACAGTGTACATTACCCGATCTAAGAGAGAAAACAAATGCAACAAGAAAGGGATTTGATTTCACTTCCATTTCCACTGCATGGTTGTCGCGTCAATGTTGGAACTCCCTGGTGTCGTTCTGTCTAGACTCGATCCGAAAGGAACCCGAGCAAGGGAATCTGAAATGTCTGGGATCTACCGACGGCAGAATCGTGGTTTGGAAATTGAGGTTGAAGAGGTTGTGAGTTTTTGTCGGTGGTTGGGGGGAGGTTCGTGATGCGTTCGTCTATCTTAGCGACTTGATGGGATTTTAAAGCCGGTCTAGATTGGAGATACCTTACACAACCCACCCCCCTAGACCGGCATGTTTCATTATTTTGTGTATTTAGAGTTCAAAACCTGATTCTCGACATCTTTTCCTTTGTGATTGCCTTCTTGGTCCTGCGTATTTTGTATAGTGGTGTAGTTGAATGGTTAGAGATAGGTGCGTTCATCCCTATACAGGTAGTCCCTCGATCATTCGGGTGGTTTATATCTAGCTGCTTTTTGTCTAGTTATATGGTGCCTCTGCACTGAAACTTATTTCTCTGAAGGTGATCTTCCTATTACCTTCGGAAACCGTGCACCACTATCTTCCTTCACGCTCTGTCTGTTGAGGCGACAATGTATAATGCTTTCAAAAGAGTGTATATGATATAAAACGTTGCTAGACACATAGCCGTAGTTAGAAACAAAATGCAGGACATCACACTGAAGAAACTAGGTCAAATCACGCTAACACTAGGACTAAGATGTTCAATTTCGGACTCTGCTGCGTGCAGGACACAGACATGGATTGGCGTTCACATTACAGAGTATTTTCCAGAGCCAGGACCTGCGAGGAACACAGAAAAGTCAGCAAACCAGTCAAAGGACAGACGGGAAAAGGGTCAGACACATACCAAAGCAGTCCTCGTAGGAATATAAACCTGCACGAAATTCGCCCTCCCATTCCACTCCATATCAGTAGTGAAGAAGCGCGTCTCCTTAACATTCCGCCCAAGCCCACCAAATGCCGTATCATCCGTATCAAGAATAATCCGGTATGTACCGGGAACCTGAATGCCAACGCGGTAATCGGTGAAGCTCTTCTTGGAATTGAAATTGAAGATCCAAAGTAGTCCAGCCCGCTCGAAGACAAGGACCTTGTCACTCTCGTTCTTCAGACTGATGTATGCCTGCGGCGAAGAGAGCCACTTGTACTTCTTCTCGGCCAGCTGCATCCCGCGGTCGAACTGGTTCAGGAAGTTGTACCGCAGCAGAGGGTCTTCGGTGAGATTTAGCTGGCGTCGCGCGTACCAGAAAGAGTTGTCGTTGCCGGCGCGAGGGAAGTCCAGCCATTCTGGGTGTCCGAATTCGTTGCCTTCGAAGTTTAGGTAGCCTTCGCCGCCGAGAGCGTGGGTTACTAGGCGGATCATCTTGTGCAGCGCCATGCCGCGCTCGATCACGGGGGTGAACTCCGTTAGCGTGGACATGTGTGTGTACATCTCTTTGTCGCAGAGCCACATCATAAGGGTCTTGTCTCCGACGAGGCTGCGAGTGTGTGTTAGTTGGTTGGATAATTGGAATTTGGAGATGGGGGATTGAACTTACGCTTGGTCATGGCTCTCGGCGTAGGCAATGGTTTTCTCACCATGGCGCCGGTTGGTGAGCGTGAAGGCGATGTTGGCCATGTCCCATTCGTCGTCAGTGCTTTCCTTCAGAAGCTTGATCCACATGTCTGGGATAGCCATCGCGAGACGGTAGTCGAAGCCAGCACCGCCTAGTGCATGAGGTAGACACAGTGCGGGCATGCCGGAGACATCTTCTGCGACTGTGATACAGTCTGGGTAGAGTTCGTGCAGCATCTGGTTGGCGAGGGTGAGGTATGTGACGCCCTCCTCGTCAACGCCTGGCCCGAAGTACTCATGGTACCCACCAGAAAATCCACTGTTTCTTTCGGTTAGCGGGACTTTCTAAAGAAATAGTAGGAAAATGAACATACGTTCCGATACCATGGTGCGTATAGAGCATGCTGGTCACACCATCGAAGCGGTATCCATCGAATTGATACTCTTCCATCCAGAAACGCAGATTACTCAAAAGGAAACGCAACACTTCGTGGCTTCCATAATTGAACAGACGACTGTCCCACAGCTCATGACGGCCCTTCGCGCCGCCATGGAAGTAGAGGTGATCGGTTCCATCGAACTCATTGAGTCCATCAACGACGTTTTTGGAGGCATGGCTATGAACCACATCAAGAAGCACAATCAGCCCCATCTCGTGTGCGGTATCAACAAGCTCCTTCAGATCCTCTGGGGATCCGTAGCGACTGCTCGCCGCGAAGAAGTTGTTTACCTGGTACCCGAAGCTAGCATAGTACGCATGCTCCATGATGGCCATTAGCTGGATTGCATTGTATCCCAGATACTGAATGCGGGGCAGCATGTTTTTCGTAAACTCCTTGTATGTAGCGACCCTAGTCTCTGGCGACGAGATGCCGACGTGCGCCTCGTAAATGCGTAGATCCTCCGGCTTCTTGGGCCGCGGGTACTGGAACTTGTATACCTCATCCGCGGGCGGGTTCCAGAAAACGGCATCGTATGCAGGCGATACGCTCAGGTCTTGGACCACGCGCTTGATCCAAGCGGGGATCCGGTAGATGCGCTCGCCGCTGGGGAGCACCATTGTGATCTATCGGATTCTTAGTGGGTGCCGTGCTGATATTCGGGGCAGATATTCTTACCTTGATCTTGCTCTCGTGGGGAATAGCGGGAGCGCCATTCTTCGCTGGTACCGTTACATCCCAGATGCCGAAGCTGTTCTTCGTCATGGGGTTGGCATTGACGTCCCAGTTGTCTGCCAGTCTCAGTCAAGCTCCTCAAATATGGCTAGCACACAACGTACTAAAATCACCGACTAAAGAAGCCTCCTTGGCGTTGGGTGCCCATTCTTGGTATTTGATCTCTCCGTTGGGTTGTGCATGCAGTCCGAAGGTTTCGTAGCCCTGATAAACTCATTAGCACAGAGGACATCGATCAATGGAGATGAATTCACCTTGCTGAACTTGTCCAAGCTGCCCTCTGTTTCATTGATGGTCTTGGTCCATTCCTCGACCACCTGGTATCTGTGTTTCAAGACATCACGGTACGGTTCCAACCAAGGATCCAGTTGGATAACACCTATTTTTTTTTGTTAGAATGAGAACTGTAATGAAAGCTCTAGTAATTTTGAGTTTACCTGTGCCATCAGTGGGAATATTTGAGCTGTCAATGGTAGAAGACATGTCTGGTGCGGAGAGCTGGAGAGGTGGAGAGAAGATGGGGAGAGTTCCAGATCAAGGAAACCTAGCGGGGGGTTCTCAACATGTGACATCAACCCCTCAACGCTTTGTCATTTTGCGGTTTTTTTCTTGAGATTTTAAGTGGATTTCTTTTTTCTTCCTATTTCAGTCTGTTTTTGAACAAAGCTATACTAAATAGTTGCAACAGACTTGAGACTTCTTCGAGCTCCAGTGGGGATGTGGAGCGACGGGAACGGATCCGCAGGTAAGCTGTTTTCAGGCGAAGAACACACTTGTCTATAGCAACCATGTCCCGTAGCATATCACCTTTAGCTTTCTTGGTGGTATAGTGGCAAATTCTGAAATGCCTTGGAAGCTAGGTATCTATTCGGACACTTTTCCGTCGATCATCTTTTCACACCGGGAGAGTATGTCAAGAGTCACACAATATCGTGCAGGTACCCGATCTATGCTGGACAGCCTTCACTTGGCTAGAACTGCGATTGTTTGCGTCAGGGATCTCGTCTAGGCAAGGAATCCGTAGATAAGGTAGCTCACCACAGTCTCTTTGGCATGTATAGTATATGGCTCCTGATTAGGGGTGACCTGATCGAGAGGAAAGATCAGGCATATGATTGCTCTGTGCGTGATCAAGTGTGCCATGACTAATTGCTAGCAACAAGAAGACGTGGGCCTCTTTGTACTAGACTTCTCTATCGTTTGGCGATTTTGGCAGGAATTTGCTCTAATAGCGACCGAGATGACCTAACACTCATTGCAAATTGGATATATGCAAGTTTCAAAGAGCCTAGAAAGAGCTTTTGGTGATATAATGGAAGTGGTTGAAGGAATCAAACCTTAAGGAGTCTCAATCAGGGAATATGTCCTTTATAATGAGACAAAACATGTCGCCACTTCTAGATTTATCTAGTTAACTCAATGTGATGGCATGTAGGGCATAGCTACGGTATGGGAAGAGGGATATACCTTCTAGGTAAACTAGTGTTATGAAGGCGCTACAATCTACTCTACATGCATAGGGGTCTTGGTCCCAATAAGGGCTGGGTATTGAATTTGAACTGAGTGAATTTGGTGCGCCAAAGATAATGCGCCCGCCTTTGACTACTTGTCTCAAAATTCCACAAAGGATTTATAAAGTACATGGCTTCTATCCCTTTGTCAAGTACAATCATCAAAGTCTTTGTCTGAAACCAGTCAACGTCAACTGAAAAAGCATAAATAGGATTTTCCCATCTGTCCAAGCTATCCCTCCTATCATCTACAATCACGCAAGACTCGAGGTGAGCATACCTACATCTAAGCAAGCCCCAGTCTATTCTTCGCCGCAGATAGTCAACGTGAGCTCAAATAGATACCTAGGCACAGAAGAGGCCGACAGGATGAACTACGAAAAGCGATTCCTCACCGCATGCGCCTGCTTCAAGTCCACTCTATTCGAAGAGTTCCGGTTCCTTGGACTTGGAGACGGCCTCCGCCCCGAAGTCATTCCAGTGCTCTACAAATTGGCGCGGCTGCTCGAGGCCATCTTTGTCCTGGGTGAAGAGATGGCACGGGCATGTCCGCGTTGTCGCACCGTCCGTAATAGACCTGCAAACCACTTCTCGGCTGAGTTCGAGCGCTTGTGTTGTGACCGCATCATGGCACCCTTGACGAAAGCCATTGCTGACCTTGAAGCTGACGAGATGTCCGCAGAGCCACAGGCGAGCGTTGACTTTATTGTAGCTTCGGATTTGGATGATATTCGTCCCAGTACCATCTTGCTCTCTAGTGAGCCGCTGCCTCTGGATATGGGTCCCTGTGTTTGCCTTCAAAGCCATTCTCGCCCGTGAAATTCTTTTGGTTTCCCTGCTTGCTTTGTTGTTATTGAATAGACCATGTTTATCTGTTTGACTTATCTTTCATTGTAGACTAGTAACATTAAGTAGATGTAGTTGTGTGTTTCGAATTCTCGATCTCCAATGTCTATCAACCAAAGAGTATCCTAATTTAGAGGATCTTTATGAGATGAATGTCGAGGTTGTAATCCCTCGCAGGCTACACACATGGATTTGATCTAGTCTACTCTATTCCCTGATCATTCTTAAATTGAGTCTAACTCTCTTTACTTCTCATTTCATTTAATAATAACATATCACATCGTCTACCTTGAAATAATCTCCAAAAATAGAATCGAACCCCAAGAAGGAGGCCAAAAATGGGGCGATGCTGCACGGGCCCTCTCCAGATGGCCCCTGGTATCGCACCCAGCACTCCGCAAGGCCTAGTCCCATTGACTATCTCAAAGCCCAGCACCATGTCTCTACAAGCAGGCAGTCAACCATGGCACCAAACTACCGCAATCCGACTATTAGCTGACTCCCTGTATGAGTCAACGCGCGTGTCAATGGCCCTAACGAACCAGGCCCAAAATGAGCTCGGCCTGCTTCTGACCGTACTAAGCGCGACCGAGGCGTATACTTCCTCTCTAGGGGCGGAATGCGTCCATCTCGCAGTTTTGAAAAAAAGATTGTACAGCTGCCATGTTGTCCTGCTAGAATTGCAGAAGCTGCTTCTACATCCAGATGCGCTCGGGGCTCAGAGTCTGGTTTCTGACATTCGCGCGCGGCTCTCTTCGGTTATTTTCGGGCTTACCGAGGTGAATCTGAATATGATGATGTGTGTTTGTTATGTTCGTGTGTGGGTCAGTGTGGATTTTAACATTGATACAGATCATCCCAGAAGATAATTGAGCGCGCACTGAGGTGCTTTATCGATGACATTCGTGCTGGCACAAAGGAGGCCTTGGCTATTTCTGATATTTTGAAGGATTCCTCGAAGCTTGAGGAAGACAGAATCTGGCCTCAGTTACAGGAAGAGTTGGTCGCTACTGGTATTGCTTCGGATTTGTTGACTCTGAACCGGGACTTCGTTATCTCGACTTTTCAAAAGACAGCAGAGACATATGGCCTTCTGCCTGTTCACAGAGAAAACACGGCTCCGGTAGAGGAAGTCCTTGAATCTACGGCACTATCAAAAACTCTGGAATTAGAACGTCAGAGAAGCCTAGACGACAAGGATTGGCTAGCAGACGAGCCAACTGGCCTCCCATTTCTCCCGCTCCCGCCAAAAGGTTTCTCATTTTCAGACAAGCGCAGCTCATATTCAATCCAGGAGCAGCCATATCCTGAAAAAGAGACAATACGAGAAGAAAACTTCCCAATACCAGTGACGTTGGACATGCAAGATTGCACAGATACACAGAAAGAAGCGTTACCAGTCGAAGACTTCCCCATCCCGGTTCTTACAGAGAACAATCAAGATAACGACATGAACCCCCCAATACCAGTGACAGAACCTACCCAGCCAAAACCCTCACTAGACCTCCACGCCTTCAGAGTTTCCACACACTCAAAAAAGCCCCGCCGAATGAGCCGCATTCTATGGGAAATGACCAGCTCAAGAGAACCCTTCATAGTCGCCATAAAAGCCAACCAACACCAAACCGTGCAAACCCTCCTCTCCAAAGGCGCCGATGCCAACGCCCAAAACACCGATGGCACAACAGCCCTAATGGCCGCCGTTTCCTTCGGCCACGAAGCCACAACCCGCCTTCTACTAGAATACGGCGCAGACATGAACGTACGGGCTCTGAAAGGCGAAACAGCACTCGGCGTCGCCGCAGCGCGCGGCTTCGACCGCATCTTGCGGATGCTGATTGCCTCAGGCGCGAATATCAATGCGGGTAAGGGGACGGGCGAGACGGCGCTCTCGCAGGCTGCCGCGTATGGACAGGATCGGATTGTGGAGATGTTGCTGGACTGCGGGGCTGATATTAATGCTGTTAATAGTACGGGGGATACGGCGTTGGCGCTGGCGGCGTTGAATGGGAATATGAGGGTTGCGAGGTTGTTGCTTGATCGTGGTGCGGCGGTCGATCTTATGCGGTATCCTTGGCAGACGCCATTGTATAAGGCTGTTCAGTCGAATGTCCTGGAGATGGTTAGGCTTTTGATGGAGCGCGGGGCGGATCCGTATGTTAAAGGCGGGATTCGTCGGACGGAGACGGTTGTGGCTTACGCGGGGATAATGCAGAGGAGTGAGATTCTGGGGGTTTTTGCGCAGTATGGGTATTATCCTGGGGGAGGGGGACCGGTTCGATATCAATATTTCTAATGGCTTGGGGGTCTATGAGTCTGCGTATAACATCTGGCACCTAGCGTAAATCGATTTATATCTTTTTCGGTTCGGCTTTAGGTCTTTAGTAGGCCATGTTTTGGAGTGATTGTACATCTATATCTTGTTTCATGTAGCCTTATCTATGTATATATCTCACTTTATATTACAATACGCCTATGCGCAATTAATATAGTGTATTCCAAATAGTAGTTGGGGGCCAAAGATCGAGAAACTAAGGAGCATTTGCGTATAGGCCTACTCAGCCTTCAAAGGCTCAGACAGGCATTGATCGGCCACAACCCGTGTGATCAGGTTTGCGTTTACGATCGTCGGGGTGTAATAATGTTATAACCGCCAGTGTAAATGGGCTGGATTTTTATTTGAATTATTGTTGGGGCTTGGTATAATATGTACGGAATAGAATTGAGCTGCGATATGCTAGCATCAACCGGCTTATGATGAATTGAATTATCTCTAGCCCCTTCATGTAGACCGATCCAAATATAGATTGGTCGCAAAATAAGCCGCATACCTATCTATCAACAGCCTTTTCTGTAGATAATCCCTGTTCATGCACGGATGAGTCAAAAGCGAGATCGACAGACCAACCCGACGGCTTTCTCTTAGTCTTCTGGCTATGTGATACTGCAAGCTTCACTTGCGTGGCTTAGGCTTGATATCTTATAACCCTGTTCAAGGCAGTGCACTCATGGAATCCCCAGGTATCCACTGTAATACTTACATCTTACATATTAGCCCTTGACGATCATATCGACCGCTCTATTTTTTATCATTTATCTTGTTACATTCGCAAGCGCTGTTAGATTTCACTTAAAACCATTCAAACAAGTGAAATTTCTTGTATCCCCATCAAACTGTCTGTCTCCAGACCCCCAGACTCTACAACAATGCCAGGATACACAGAACACCCCGAGTCGACGCCTAGTACGCTATGAGCCCCCCATCATATTCTCATATAGCACGAAATAATTAACAACCTCCAGCACCAGCCCCCGTATATTGCGAAGATCCAGAAGTCGTTTTCTCAGACCATCAAAACCGAGGCCCTGTAAGCCCACACTCAGACACATATTCACACACTGGGCAGTCCCTCTCAGACGCCCTACGCTCCAGCTACGCCCCAACAACAATAAACGGCCCCTCAGAACAACACTACCCCTATCGACCTGACTCCACCAGCCAATCACCCGCATACGATGCGTCGCCATCAACGACTGCTCCGCTCGACAAGGCATACGCAGGCCAGCCCCTGCCCCAGTACCCGCACATACAAGCACAGCTACAGCAGGGGCCGGGCTACCCACAGCAGTTCTACATGCCTTCCAGCCATCCTAGTGGGTATGCTACGGCCATACCGCTGCACTGTGTCCAGTCTGCACCTTGTCCGGTTGACTGTCCTGTTTGTGGAGAACGGGAGATGACCAGTGTTGAGTCTGTGAGCGGTGGGACTACGCAGTAAGTTGGATTTCCGTGTATAGTTGAAATATTGGATTGGTAGTTGATCTTCTTTTCATTTTGGTATAGTGGCTGGGCTGCTATTCTTTGCTTTTGTTGCTGTCTCGGCTGTATCCCTTACTTGATGTCCTCGCTTAAGGATGTCGAGCATTCTTGTGGTAAGTGTGGTGTTAAGCTTGCGAAATGGCATAATAGTGGCCGTGTAAATGTTTTGAAGAATGAGGCAAGGAAGTGAGGGTTTGTTTACTTCGCTGTGTTTTTTTTTTCATCTTCTCAAAGTATACCACTGTGTTTGGTTGGGGCTGGGTTGGGTTGGCGTTGCGCGTTTTCAACTTAATTTCTTTTCGATGTGATCACAGACCTGACCGATTTACGATTTAACATGACGATTTCATATGGAAATCATTGAACTGGACGATCTGGTGATAAGACGTAGGGACAGATGACGCGCCAAGCCGACCTCGTATCCGATGATCGCATCACTTTTTTCGCAACAAAACCCCAGTTGTAGACATCTCACAGCCTCAAGAAAAACCAAAATGATCCGCCTCATCCTTACGGCAACCGCGATAATAACCAGCTCGTCGGCAATCTACTTCTACATCTTCCACGAACGCCTATCAAAACGCATAGCGCACAAGTCCCACCTTGGAACCCTCACCGCATCCACAAAACCAAGTATAGAATCAATCCCGGAAACCGTCTTTAGTGATGAGTACTTCACAATCTACGACCACGCCTCAGAGTCAGTCCCGCGGGCCTGCCTCCCTAGCAGTGAGGCCACAGACCTGCTCTTTAAAAGACTCGTGCGCCGCAATATGACCGCTTTCTCGCGGTTCCCGCAGGCGCTCATGCTTGCTATGGCTAGCAAGAAGCCGGAACAGAAGCAGAGTTTTAAGACGGGATATCTTGCCGCGCTGGATTTTGAGGTTGGGGATTTGGTTTGTGGGGTTTATCGTGTTGTGGTACGGAGGAGGGACCGGGTTGAGTTTGAGATTAAGATGGAGACGGTGGATTTTGTGGAAGGAAGGTTGGCGATTAGTTATGAGGAAAGTAGTAGTCTGGAGGAGGAAGGGAAGGTTGTGTTTTGTAGTGAGACTGTTATGTGGAGGAGAGCGGATGAGGGTAGGAGGATGCCGTTGGAGAGGCCTGTTTTGAGATGGATGCACGAGACTGCTTCTTGGTGGCTGATGGACTCTGGAGTTAGATATTTGGCGGATTTGGAGGGCTGACTGGATGTCCTGGAGGCAATATATTCATGGGAATACTGTTATTACGGAAATGCGACTTTTGTACATGAAATGATATTTTGGAAACTTCTCTTATGCTTTCCAGTGCCTGCCCAGGATCTGTTATGTGGTGAATAGTGTATACCGGGTCCGATGAAAGATACCGATTGAGCTGTCAGACACCTTGGTCCCAGATCGACATTCGCGTTTCCAATCCAGTTCTTTTGCATTGGACAATCAGGAATTTGTCAGCTCTTCTCCAAGCAGATACTGGTCTTGTGTAAACTGGAGAAGCCCTTCTACGACGAAGCTTTGCAGCTCATATATGAAAAACGAAGGAAGACAAATGTGTGAGGGAGAATTCAAGAGCGGGGGGAAGGCAAAAAGGAAAACATGTCCGATATTAGCAGCTCTTTCTCTCTACGCCATTTGTTTCTGCCTTTATTTAGACTGGGCTACTAGACCTATAGGAAACCATGCTAACATGAAATCAACAATGTTTGCTTTACGTGTCATCTGGGTTGGATACAATGAGGATTGGGCGTTTCCCACAAGTCCCTTTGACACGCGCGTCTAATAGGCTAAAGATCTTTGGGAATGCATTATACACAATTTTTCACAAACAATTTGAACAGAGAGTTTCATCATGGGACCAAAACAATGCCATTAACTCTGTCTTTGTTATATAACTTGCCTTTGTTCAACGACTCGGCTTTGTACTCGCCTGTCGGAGACTACCTCAACTCACAGATCAAAGTATATATAAACCACGATCCTCGCGAATATTTATCTAATATGGCGAATTACTTCTCTCTTATTGTCTCATCTCATATATTCTCTCTGCTTTCTACTCATCTATTATTTTCCTTAGAATGTGTAAACACACCTACCACCACTATCCCAGCTGCGGACATATCTCTAACTGGAGCATGACCAGCTGCCAGGAATACACCAACAAGATCCGCCTGGCCGGTCCAGAGAGCAGCGTATCCTGCAACCAGATCAAACCCTCCCACGACCTCCTCCTCTCCACCCAGCCCAGCATGTGCGTGCAGTGCGAGAGCGAGTGGGCTGATAACGTCTCTCAAGAAGACGACCAGACGCAAACCGCCAAATCTTACCGGACGATTGAAGGCCTGGATGCTACAGGCCATGTGATCGAAGTTAGCGCGCGCATGGTGAGTGATCCCACTCCCGATGACAGGGAAACAAGTAGTACTGACCACAGCGACGATGGTCAGCTCTGCTCGCGTGCTGTTGTCAGCGAATCAGAGTCGGATTACGGAAGCCTGGCCCGTTCTGAGAGGTCGTCTAGCACGGCCTTTAAATTGGCTCGTACTAATTCCGGTTCGTCCGAGATAGCTGCAGATCCTGACTCTTTTGCATCTATAACCATCAAGACCAGTCCGGCTCATCTTGCCCATAGCGGATGTGAGAGTGACTATTCAAAGGAAAGTGTTGAGACTGAATCGCCGGATACTGAGGGCACTGGATGTGCTACTCCCAGCAATGTAAGCAGCTGCGACACGGATAGTTCTGGATCGTCGCTTTGCGGATCTTCTTTGATAAGGTACAATATACTTAAGCTGAGAATTGACGAATATTTCGAGAAGCGACAGCGGCGGCGGGAGGTGGACACTGACCACCAACAGCCCGAAGCTGACGACTCCGGTGTGGATGTGCGTATTTATCTTGCTGATGTAGACCATCCTCATCCTGCTCTGGGGGACAGGCCTCCCGCGGACTCAGTTGATAGCCCTGAGGTTGACTATGACTCGTCCGAAGAGTCCGCTCTTGACATTGACCTTGTGCAGCAGCGTATTGAAGCGACCGTTCTGAAGTGCATTGAAGAAAATGATGAAAAAAAAGCCCGGGAGAAGGCCATGTCCAAGCTCCTAGACACCGCACTTCTAAAGAAGGACCGGGACGACCGGCGCGAGAAGAACGCCGAGCTGGGTATCGAAGAAGACCCCCATATCTGGGACACAGAGTCCCTTGTCCAAATGTGGGAGGCGAAGAATTCCATCCCCGCACCCCCCGATGACACCAGCATCGCCATTTCCCCACGCAATTGTACATCCCCCAAGAGCCAACAGGCCCCACCAGGCCCAGACCCCCGGCCTCAGAAGCACATGTACATGGGCAGCATGTTTGCAAGCGAAGAATCTGCCTACCAACGAGGGCTGCGCGAAATCCGGCCGTACGGCGATTACTCAGGTGAGTGGGAAGGGTTTATGATGGCGGATTCTGAAGACGACGCGAACCGCCAGGGCCTACTTGACCCGATTCATGTGCGAGGATGCTGTGCGGAGCGACGAGCCGACTTTCACCTCTACTATGGAGTAATGCATGCACCATCGGAGGTGGAGGCAGAAAAGCGCTGGCTGGAGGATATCCGTCGGATCCCCGGCGAGGACGGCAAGTTCTACGGGTTGCTGCGGGCGGATGATTTGCACCACGCCCGCGCGATGGGACTTTCGGATATCCGCCATCCATGGGGGTGTTGCAAGGACGCACACTTTACGATGCCGGAGCGCGTGCGTCATAGGTACACTGGGTTTATGAGTGCGATCTCCCTGAAGGAGGTTGGGCATATGGGCCTCTGTGATGCGGCGCCGGTTCCTGGTGAATGTGGTAATTACTATGGAGGGATGTTCTATGGTTATGTCGAGGCTGACTGTGAGTTAGATGCTTTTCAGATGGGATTGAAGGATCCTGAACATGATCGGGATTGTTGTGCGAAGGCCGAGGTTAGCGTGTCGATCTCTGAGGCGGGGCAATACACGTATTACGGCTATATGTATGCGCGTTCTGAGGAGGAGGTTGTGGATAGGGGTCTGAAGGATGCCCTGCTTGTTCCTGGATTTGAGATCAAGTATTCTGGGAATTTGCAGGCGGGATCTGAGGAGGAGGCCAAAGCCATGGGACTTTTTGAGCCTTCACGTATTAAGTGATGTGCGATTTATGGATTTCATTCCTTTTTCATTCCTTTAATTACGATTTCTTCTGTATGTCGTGGCAGAGAATAGCTTGAACCTTTTCATTTCGGTTTATTCTACTATTGAAATTTGAGTCTCTTCCGTGTCTTATATGCTAGGCTAAATTTGGATACTTCTACATATTAATCCAAGTCGACAAAGTCATTATCTTACATTCCATGTGATCCTGGTCTATTCCTCCAATAGTAGAGAATTGTCTCTAATTTGACATGGGTATGAAACAGCCTAGAATTTTGCGCGCATTAGCGGTAGCAGGGAGTCTGGAAATAATTACACCTATCACTGTAATAAGTGAACATTTCAAACGTCATACCAAAATGTGAAGTTCTGCCTTTTTAGGGCTACGATCGACTTCCTTCACGGAACACAATTCTTGGAAAATCAATAGCGTCAAAGGCTGATTCAATAGAAAAGGGGAGAGCTTCGTGCTGCCAAGAGATCTTTGATCTCGAAATTTCATATTCAACCAATCATATCCTCAGATAGATTGACAAATAGCAACTGTGGATATTCTCCATCCACCACGCGGGACCAAACTCAAGACCATAACTGAGCAGTGATATACCTCAATCGATTGAGGGACTCCACAACATAATGTTTCCTAGCAGAAATATGGAGTGGGATGGATAATTCAGCCATTATGATCGACATCCAACCTGATTAGGGGTCCACTTGCTCGTGCAAGTTTACCCCGTGGCCCTAGTTCCACGCATGTTCTACATAAGAAGATCATGACCCGGCACTCTGGAAAAGACCAAGCGCTACCCAACTTCACTCACATTCCTTCAGCACTTTTCAACATGGGATCCGAATACGGTGCCACGGCTGAGTCTAAGCCTCAGATTGATCTCGGCCCCGTCACCATCTGGTGGGCTGTTTGGGCATGTGTATGGACATCCGCCCTCGTGGTCGGTATGGCCTATCTGATCGCCAATCGTGATATGCCGACGCTTCGCATTCGAGGTCTCGCTCTATCCTTAACCTCTATCGTTATTCTTCATTTATACTGGCTGCCAACCCAGTTCGCCACTATGATCGGCGCTATTATGCCAGGTGACGGCGCCTATTGGCTCATGGGGACTCTGTTGCCCTGTGGCATGGCGCTCTTCCACGGCTCTAATACCAGATTTCAACATGTCGCAAAGCTCCAGAGAAAATATGCTCTGGATGGACACCGTTCTACTGAATCGCCTGCCTTGGAACACAAGGATGGGTTGATCAACCGCTTCCGTGCTCTCGGATATACAACCAAGATCCTTATTTACGTCGCCATCGCAATGTTTGCTCAGGTATGATTACCTTGCTTTTCCATATGCATGAGAAATCTTATCTAACTCGCCATCTCACGCAGGTGTTCCTCACTGTCCTCATGTGGGTGATCTCCCGCAAATACCATAGCTCATGGGGTATTCCTGGCACCGGAGTCCATGGTACCCCGGCAGAGGTACTCGCAGCACAGGGCACAGGATGGGAATGGTGGCCCGGTGTGGTCTCGCAATTCTTCTGGTCTTGGATCGTTGCCCCCATCGTCCTCTGGCAGTCTCGCAACATCCACGATACCCACGGCTGGAGAGTCCAGACCATTGGCTGCGCTGTTTCCAACCTCCACGCTACCCCGATGTGGCTCGTCGGCCTCTACGCCCCCGCCATGGCCCCGGTCAACGCGGTCTTCGTTCCTCCTCAGTGGTAAGTTCCACACATAACCACAAAGACCTACTCCTCTAACGCAGGTATACTATAGGATCTGTCTATCCATCATGTTCATCGAAATATTCACAGTATTCCTCCCCTGCTGGGAAGTAATGCGCCACCGATCCCTCCGACAAGAAACCCTCGACTCGATCGCGCGCTGGGAATTGAAAGTCAAATCCGCCAGCTCCGAAGAAAAGTCCCTCCACTCCGACATGACAATGGTAGCATCGATGATGTCAGGCTGGAAATCGAACAGCTCGACGAGCACATTCAACTCCCGCGACAGCATCCTGACAATGGGCGCACTCGAGCACGTCCTCGAGCGCAATCCAGCTCCACTACAAGAGTTCTCCGCTCTGCGCGAATTCTCCGGCGAGAATATCGTCTTCCTGACTAGCGTTGCGGAATGGCGCAACCACCTACCCCAATGCATCAAGGACGGCAGCGCGCTCCAAGAAAAGAGCAAGCGCGATATCGTCCGCCAACACTTCAACCGTGCGCTGCATCTCTATGCGGAGTTTATCAGCGTCCGCCATGCCGAGTTTCCCGTCAACATCTCGCACCAGGAGCTGCGGAAACTAGAAGACGTTTTCGAGAAACCGACGCGCCTTGTGTACGGCGAGGAGCGCGACTGTGATCCCACCAGCCCCTTTGATAAATTCACTTTCGATCTGCCGTCGCCGGCTTCTGTGGACTCTGGGAAGACTATGCAAGCTGAGATGGACGGACCGATCAAAGACCGCGTGCAGTACTGGGGTGAGATCCCTGCGGACTTTAACGCTTCGATCTTTGATGATGCAGAGGCCAGTATTAAGTACCTTGTGCTTACGAACACCTGGCCTAAGTTTATTAAGGACCGCAGGATCTCGGCTGATTCGATCTCGGCTGTCAAGCTCGGAATTGAGGTTTAGATGTTTACTGTGTGTCGCATGCGAAATGAGTTTAAGTCGTTGGATTATTTGGGTTGGGACTTTTGATATCCCTGATGTCTCTCTTTCTTTTTTTTATATATATCTTCTTTGGCCTCAGGTACCCCTGCGCTTGTTGGGGTCTCTTGGGCTGTACATACTAATTGGTCTTATGACTGGACATAATATTTTGGATACCCACACAATGTATTTATTAGTGATAATATTATCAAGACATTCTTTTAAAAACCCGGAGAGACTAGAAAAGTTATAACTAGCTGTAAATAGTAGTTAATTGATAGTACTTCAGATAGAATCGGCATTTGTGCCAGCCCGGCCGGATTCGGCCGCCCTCGGGATCCGGCTTAGCGGTCCGGCCTGTTCGGGGCTAGCCCGTCCATTCTGGGTTTGGCGTTGCTCGCTCTCGACATTGATATTGCTGCCGTCCAAGGCTGGTGGGGGCTCTTGGGCAGCACTGAACGAGCATGACTTCTCAGACTTACTTTCTCCTAGATGGATCATTGCTGCGTGAGATCTAGATATGTACAGGTCGTTCTAGGGGACGAGGAAAAGCTCAGCGGCAAGGGCAAAATATTGAAAAAGAGATAGTATGTCCAAGTGGTGCAATGTATCACGGAAGGGTAGATCTTGCTTTCCTACTTGATCACCGGGAGAAACTCCCTGGTCACAAGCTGCGAGGACTTTTCAAACCGATGAGCTATCAGAGACCTTTGTCTTGGTGCTTTAGGCTGAGTGAGAATATATGAAACATATGCTGAGTGGCCAAAGATATGTAAATTAATAAGAAGCGCGAATCAATAGCAGGTATTTCAACTATACTCAGGTATCAACCTCCGTTACGACCAGTTACCTTCATATCATTGCGTTGGTTTCTTCAACCAATAGTGATTAGGATCTGCCTTATCCTAGGTGCCTACCTAATTTGGGGTGCGGCAAGTGGTAGAAATAGCCATTCTATTACATCGCGGCATCCCTTCTCCTTCATCTCACACCTTCGTCAAATGCCTATCTAGAAAACATCTAGGTTTGGGTCGCAGATCACGATATGGATGTGACTACCCAAGATCAAATCGACGTCTTTGCAGGCCGTGGTATTCTGATTCAGAGTAAGCTCGCGTGGCTATATAGCACGGCGTCGGAGCACTGCACACTTTATCAGTATCAGCTTTCTGGTGTAAGCAACATCCTTATGGGGATGATTCAAACAGAGTCACTATACTACCAGCCTGTTCCCCAGGCTCCCAGTCCATTCACACCGGGCTCATTCCCCAATAACCCATTGTTCAAGAATTGTGATCTAAGCTCTGCTGCATGTGCCTTTTCTTAGGCTGTGCGTATGTCTAGGTAGACGCAGACATTGACTATTATCGTAATGTATCAAATCAGCAAAAAAAAATTAAAATTGCGCGCTCGGTAGGTACAACATACATTCCGCCCCGAGGGCTGGATCGATGGGTCAGGCACCAGGAACATCCAACAGAACGCCCGGGTGGCATTAAACAGCAGGGCCGTCGCCTTTGTCCCACGTGACGCCAAGACCGCCCACGGTGAGCGAGCGGCCTAAAACGGCGTCAAAAGCGGCCGTTTCTGGCCTCCCATTCACCGTGTCATCGTTATAGCTTTACTACTATCCGTGCCCGAATGATCGATAAGATTAGAATTAACGACATTATTCGGAGAATTGTGAATACAGTCGGCGATAACTATGTTTATATCAGCATTGACATCGATGTGCTCGACCCCGGTAAATACTATACACTCAATCTTGATTATCCTAAGCAACTTATACTGACCGAGAAAAGCCTTCACACCTGCGACCGGAACCATTGAACCTGGGGGTTGGACGAGACGGGAGCTTCTCCGTATTTTATATGGTCTATCGCAAGCTGGCCTGCCTATTATTGGCGTGGATGTTGTAGAGTTTGCCCCTATGTACGACAATAAGGCAGAGACGACGGTAATTACGGTGACTCAGATCATCTATGAGCTTCTTCGGTGGATGGTTCATGTTCCTGTGAAAGCATAGGCCATCGGGCGTGCGGACTCAGCACAAATGTAGAATTTGGACTAATAATTTTCATACCTCATCACTCATTCTCGGCAATTACACTACTGCTCATAAGTCTTCACCACACTGGCACTTCCCTCAGCCCCTAACCCAGACCTCTTAGCCATGAACAACACAGTCAAAGCAGCATTGCCGAGATTCAAAGGACAGTGCAGATCGCGCGCCTTCTGCACAGCCTTCTCTAGACGAGAACTAGCGGCATCAATAGTCTCAGAGACACCATCCCCACCTTGTCCAGGCCCCTCAATAATCTCCAACCCCTTCGTCATAAATTGCCGGCTAGCACCAGCAGCATCACCGACAAGAGTATAAAACTGCTTCAAATCGACATTGAGATAGCGCGCAAATGAAATAGCCTCAGCAGCCGCAACGAGGTTAGTCACCTCCATCAGATCCAGCACCAGCTGCAGCGCCTCCGCCGTCTCCTCATCAGACTTGGTAGAGGTGACCTTCGTTATCGGCTCAGCGAAGTACTGCCGCACCATAGACGAGTCATCAACAGGCCCATATCCCTGTAGCAAAGCAGACAAATAAACCTGCTCGGCAGTAGAGCAAAGTGGAGTCGGGAATTGATTTTGGCGCGCAGATGTCGTGATAATCCCCTGATCGAAACTCAATTAGCCAACTTATCCCCAAAGCCCCAAAAACATCAAGATTCCTTACCACATCCTTGAGAATAATAGTCAAAGCACTAGCACCAGGATGCCAATCTTCATCCAGCATCCGCTGCAACCGATTCTCATGCATCCAGGTCCAAGCCGGACTAGACTTAATCGCCTCCGCCGTCTTCACAGCATCTAACCCCAGTCGCGCCGCAAATCCCTGAGCCTCACTAGCACCCAGGATATGAATACCCGCCAGCACCTGGTGCACCATCTTCATATTACTACCTGCGCCGATCCCGCCGGGGACAAGATACAGCTTATTCGCGTCGGACATCTCCTGCAGCAGGAAGCGGCCTTTCTCCAGCGCGGCGTCGGGTGCACCAGCCATAATCGACAGCGTACCTGCAGCAGCGCGGAGCGCACCACCAGAGACGGGTGCATCGATGAAAGCTATATCGCTCCTGCCGATGGAGGCGAGCTCTGCGGCGACGGATTGGGCGTATGATGCTGGGACAGTGGAACAGAGGAGAAGGGTTGAATTTTGAGGAAGAACTGGGTTGATTATTGAGTGGGTTAGTTTTTATTTTCAAATATATATTGTTTAGTTTGGGGTTGGGTTGGTGGTTTACCTGCGACTATGCCGTCATCACCGAAAAGGACGCTCTGCACTTGCGGCGCTGAGGCTACCATGCAAACATAGAAGTCCTTTCCCTTTGCTGAGTCCTGGAGGGAAGACGCTGGGATTCCGCCTGCCGTCTTGAAGCGTTCTACCGAGGCCGGGAACACGTCGAAGCCGTGTACTGCGTAGCCCTCTTTCACGAGATGTGTGGCCATTCCGAAGCCCATGGCGCCTAGGCCAACGAAGCCGATTGAGGGTTTGGACATGGTTGTTTAGATGAGGGAATGATGTATACAATTGATAGAATAGTCCCGGAGAAATGTTAATGTATATAATATATTAAAATGGCTCGACCTGCGTGGGGGTTTATGAGGGGAAGATGTTTGGAGCGCGGGATGGTTCGGCGCAAGTCCGAGAGGTTTACCTTGGCTTTCGCCGAAATTTGATGGATTGCCAGGGTCCGATTTTGGAATTTGTATGTTGATTGATTTCCGGTTAGTAGATGCGAGTCTGGTGGTTCTTGTGCTTGTTGAAGTTGTACTTGGGAGAGGTTCGGAAGTTGGCCACCACAGGCAAAACTTCATTTTTATATTTGAAGAGCTAACCAAGGTAGCTCTCGGATTTGATTTGATAGAATGTTATTTATGCTTAACATCTAAAACAAACCTAATAAGACATTGATCTGATCTACTTTCCCCGTGCCTGAATTCTGCTGTCGAAGTTGTTAGTCTTGCTCAGGCAGTGGAAGTACTGTATATCATACAATTGCCGACAATATGGGCAATATGTACTGAAAGTCTGATTTCCTCCGGTATAATTTCCCATATTTTGCGTGTCAATGGGTGTAGGAAGTGTAGATAACACAAAATGGCGAACAGCTCAGAGTGACGTCACTCACGGAGCAACTCCGACAGTTCGGACGTGAAGCGACCAAGTCGGACAACACAACGAGACTATATAACACTACTGACTCTCGGTCTACAGTAAACCTCAACTACAAACCCCTCATTTGCCCTCACCTTCAACCCCACCCATCCCAAACCAAAAATGACTCTCCAAGAAAATCGCGCCCTGCGCATCCTAGACCATGCCTCCGCAAACCATTACGGCATCCCCGCAATGTGCTGCTACAACGTTGAAGGCATCCTTGCGACCGTCCGCGCCGCCGAAGCCAAGCGCTCCGCAGCCATGATCCTCCTCTTCCCGTGGGCCATCCACTATGCCGACGGACTACTTGTGCACGCAGCAGCCGAAGCCGCGCGCAAAGCCACGGTGCCCATAACCGTGCACATGGATCACGCGCAAACACCCGAGATAATCCGGTATGCGGCGGACCTGGGTGGGTTCGACAGCATCATGGTTGACATGTCACACTACGAGAAGGCGGAGAATCTTTCTTTGACGCACGAGCTGGTGGAGTACTGCCATGCGCGGGGGATCGCGACGGAGGCGGAGCCTGGTCGGATTGAGGGTGGTGAGGATGGGGTTGCTGATACGGCTGATCTGGAGGGTTTGCTTACGACACCGGAGGAGAGTCGGGAGTTTGTGAACACCGGGATTGATTGGCTTGCGCCTGCGTTCGGGAATGTTCATGGAGAGTATGGGCCCCGCGGTATTCAGTTGGAGTATGAGCGGTTGAAGTCTATTAATGAGGCTGTTGGTCGGGAGGTTAGGCTCGTGCTTCACGGGGCGGATCCGTTTACCGAGGAGATCTTTAAGAAGTGTATAGATTGCGGAGTTAGCAAGATCAATATCAATAAGGTATTGAATAATGAGTATGTGAGGGTGCAGGCAGAGATGGCTGGGAAGGTGCCTTTGACGACGCTGTTGGAGGAGGCGACCAATGCTATGCAGAAGGCTGTTGAGGGATGCATTGATCGTTTGGGGTCTGCGGGGAGATACCCGTCGAGTTAAAGATGTTGTCTTATTTCATGTCATAATATCATCGATCTAAGAATGTATGAAGAGCCAAAACAGATTTTATAAATTAAAGTCACTGGATATATGAATGATTGCCAAGAAAAAAAAAGAAAGAAAAGGAAAAGGAAAAGCACCAAGCCATTGACAGAGGTACTGAAGTACAAAGAAAGAAAGAAAGAAGAGTGCATAAGGCAATAGTCACATCACATTAACACTAATCTCAACGACGGAGACCGAGGCCAGCCAGGGGACCGTGAACGAGACCTCCAACAATGGGAATTCCATTGACAAGGCCGCTAAGAGGGCCAGCGGGGGCAGTTGGGCTAGGGGAGGGAGTTGCGCTAGAGGAAGGAGAAGCAGAGCTGCCCTTGGGAGTAGGGATGACGCCGTGGGATGGAGTAGGGATGGCGGTGGTAGAGGCAGCCTTGGAAATCACAGGAGCTTGCGAGGCGACAGGGGTGGCCTGAGAGAGACTTGAGGCCTGGGAGACGACAGGAGCCGGGAAGTTCTGTACTGCGTGGGTGGACTTGGGTACCGCAGTATGGGAGGTCGATGCATGCTGAGCGGCCTCAGCGGACTGCTGCTTCTCGGCCAAAGCCTGGTGCATTGCGTCGAGGGCGGAGGGGAAGGAGTTGCCGAATCCCTCATCACTGTCTTCAATGCTGGAGGAGCCGGTTGGGTTGAAAGGGAAGCCGCCAGTGATGTCTCCGAAGTCATTGCTGGGCTTGGGAGCGGCGGGCGCGGCGATGGCGCCGACGGCGAAGAACGCCAGGGAGATGTATGAGACGTGCATTTTTGGTTAAGTGGCCTGGGTGGGTCTTCGGGAATAAATGAGAGTATAGATGGTCAGAGAAGCAAATGAAAGACTGGCTGATAGTTGTAGACAGGGTTGTACTAGCGTTTATGTAGGCGATGTAAGGCTTTGGATAAACTGTTGTTTTGTATCTTCCATGCCTCGCGCTCTCATTAATAGTGATCAACATCGCTGAGATGACGACTACATAGCAGGGAGCTATGCCTATCGGAGGGTTGCAAAGGGTTCCATGTGCCGTGTATGCTCCTGTGGAATGATCGCCTCGGGGACCTGCCCAGGAAAGAGGATAGCTTGTCGGAGGCTGGAGATTAATCTAACGATCAACATTTTACGTAGTCAAAGCGTGCAAACCCAACGGGTGGATGACGGAGGTAATGTGACATTGTACACATAAAGCTCCCTTCAGTTCCCTCATAGATGCGAGCGAAGAATACGTAGGTTAAAGCAATACAATGAGGGTGATAGGTTTCTAAAGTAGATTGTTGCTCATTTTCTATCTTAGCTATCTTAGGCGGATGGTCCCGGATGACCCCTAGGAAGAACAGATTATGTTGTATACTAGTACTGTGCCAGGTATAATTCAGGGAGACGTCTACTCCGTACCCCATACACAAAAGGTGATCAACCCCCGTCAAAACTTGGTTCAAAGGGTGATGAATGTGTAGGGGATATTCTGGCACGCAGGAGGTATCCCCTAGCAACCCCCCTTGCACCACCAGCCAACCAGTACATGATATCCCGAACTTACTTTGCATTGGAATTGATTGGATGTACTTTTTAATTTCTGCGTTGTTGTCACACATTCGCAGGATAGCGTCAGATCTGATCTGTGTTTTTAGATATCATATTTCATAGAGTGTTGAAGTCTGTTACGTTCCATCATGAGTATGATCCCGATACTAGCCCTACTTTGATGATCTTAATATGGACAGAGGCTGGTTAAAATATATTGTCTACTACTCAGTTCAGTTGATGTTTGGCGGATTTACAATGATAGACCATCTAGAGTCAATTTTAAAAAAGAGGTTGACTTTACATATGCAATAAATATCGTCGCAAGTGCATCCGTTACATCGCGTAATTGAATACATCCAAAACCATCATAATGAAATATCCGTCATCATTCAGTCATGCAGTACCTCACCAAGTGAAACATACCCCACAACGCGGTTACCTGCATAACCAACACGCAAGTCAAATAGCACCGCAGAAGACCCTTAATATCGACAAAAGTACAAGCTTCACTCTCCTATATTATCATGACCATGATCACAGAGGAAACTTGCACAGCCCACAGTAACACAACCTTATTCCTCTACAAGTCCCTCAACCGTAGCCCTAACACCAAACAACCCAACCTCCGGACACCCAATTCCCATATCACGATACACACAGATATTATCAGCAGTAGTTTCATACAGTGCGAAGTCAATGCGACGAGCGATATGTGCCAAAGATAAGTAGATCTCCGCATAGGCAAGACTAGATAAAATCTTAGTATAAAATCAGGCAGATACATATGCACAACTCACTTCATTCCCAGACACTGTCTGCTCCCCTTGGTAAATGAGACGATATACCTACTCAGATACTCGCCATTCGCCGTAGCGCGGATCCAACGCTCTGGGTCAAATTTCTCCGGCTCAGGGAAGAGCGTGGGATCCATATGGACGAAGTAGTTCGACTGACTGACAGGAGTCTGCAATGCATAGTATCAGCAGCATCCCCCAAAAAAGTCGGCTTTAGGTTTGCCGTCATGTGTCACTCCCAATAATCGAACCGGAAGATTAGAGCCAGTAAGCCAGTAGCCAGTATCATTTACTTACTCCTGCAGGGATAACCCAATCCTGATAGAGCATGGGTTCAGTCGGTGAAACACGTGCCAACCGGGCTGTCATGCCGTGGCTGAGACGCAGACCTTCATTGACGACACCCGTCTAGTCCAGGGAATGACGAAATCAGCAATCCACAACGGAAGTAACAAAGGGATCAGAAACAATAACTCACCAAGTATGGCAATTTCTCCAACTCCGCCCACGAAGCCTTGGATAGCGGTGTCGCCAACACAGTCTTCAGCTCCGCCCGCAGCTTCGCCATGATATCCTGCTTGTCGATGAGATGAAACATCGCGACAGTGATAGCCCTAGCCGTAGTCTCCGTACCAGCACCAAGCAGCAGCGCAGACTCATCTTCCAGCCGATCAAGCGTCCTCTCATTCTCTGGCAAATCCAAACTAGTCAACGCATCAAATATAGTCGACCTCCCCTCAGTATCGACCTTCCGTACACTCTGTTTCTGCAGAGTATCATCCGCCTGCTGTCGAAGCCTATTCTTCAAATCAAACAAATCCGCCATGTGCGGCTGCAGCCAGCGCACCAGGGTAGGCGGCGCATTCCTGAAAATGGAAATAAGGAACGGGAAGAACCGGTTGATATGGAACATAACCATCAGCCCATTGACCGCGTCGACGAGGTCGTTACTCCGCGACCCCTTCTCACCATCTAGGTAGCCGTAGCTCCAGCCGTAGCAGTAGTCGGTAATGACATCTGCGGTCAGCGCAGCAAAGTCTAGTTGTAGGTGCAGCACGTCGCCGGCTTGGTGGGCTTGCTCGAAGCGCGCGATTAGTTTGTCCACTTTGTCGTGGATGGACGGGCCAAGGTTCACCACCGAGCGCTTGGAGAAATAGCTGCTCAGCAGGCCGCGGCGGAAGCGGTGGTGGTCGTGGGTTATTGTTCCCACGAGAGAGTAGGGCGCGCCAAAGGCTACGGCGTATTTGGGGTCTTTAGAGCGTTTGTGCGAGGCGCCGGCGTGGATTTCGTCGTAGTAGGTTGAGTCTTTGATGTGTATTTCTCGTGGGTTGATGCGCACGATTGGGCCTGGATGAGGTATGAGGGGTTGTCCTCTGGCTTTTATGGTTGATATTGACGGATCTGTATACTCACCATATTTCTCGTGCATGCGCTCAATCTCCCAGATGTACATGCCGCTTTTGATCACATCGTAGTAGAACTCGTAGAGAAAGGTTGCAGCCGCGAGTTTTGGACCGGGAAACTTAGATAGCGGATGGAAGTACAGATGGTACACAGTGCGCAAGGCCAGTAGTCCCAGCGGCAATGCCACGTATAGTATCAAGGAATCCATTATAGTCGAACCGGCTCACTGATAGCGAGGAAGAGGAGCGAGGGCCATGTATTATATAGGAGGGGTGAGGACATGGGTTTAGATTAAAAGAGAGGCGCGACGCACGAGATCGGTGGTGCATACGGAGTAGACAGTGCATAGTTAGTGTACAATTCATCTCTTTCCTGATTCAACATGCTTATTTAGAAAACACAACCATATTGTGGATATTATCACGGCCCGGCAGGTCGCTAAGGTACTATATAGAGCTGCCATTCGTCGAATAATCTCATTTCACCCACTGTGCAGGTGCAGGCGCATCAAACGCTAGCTTCGACTCGGGCACAATCCTCCTTGTCCATCAGCGCCGGAAACAATGGAGCGCCGCTGGTTCGAAAGGATGTGACGTGCGGTGCATTGGCTGATAACTGGGCACTTCCCGCGTAAGCCCGCCATCCGAGCGGCCCAATGGGAATCCCGCTTGAAGTGTTGGATTTTATAGCCCGCTTTTAGCTGCAGCCGGGAAGAGGACAAAGCAAAAAGGTAAGAAAAATGCAGGAAAATTCGAGCCAAAAAGATGTACAAGACAATGGACTATCTGGTAATCGAAACCAGGACCTCCCGCACGCTCGCAATTATGCGAAGCGGGCGCACTACCAACTGTGCTAACAGCCCAGTTGAGTATCGCTCGTGTCCGCATTATGATTTGTGGATGCAATGCCGGGCCTTTTTAGCGTGCTAGTGGTGTTAGCGTGGGAGAATATATAGCCGAGTAAGCCTAGAGGGATAAGTGTTCTGGGATTCGCTTAGCATGTCATGAAGGAATACCGCGGTGTTGATCAATATTGATTGCAGATATAGTGGACTCATACGGAAATTCCAGACACCTGATTGATTGATTGATTGATTGATTGATTGGTACAATACAAATGTATAGGATGCGCTATCATCATACAACCGAATGGACTACTAGTGCATTCCTGTAAGAAACAAAGTTCACAATTTACACCTATAGAAACATCCGTGAAATAGTCGGGGAAAAAGGGAAAAGAAAACAGGAAATAGAGAGACAGAGGAAAGGCATTGGACAGAAAAGAAAATTCCGCGGTACTCCGTTTTATATCCACAACTCTAGACGGCCAACATCTTCTTGATCTCGGCAATTGCGCGACCTGGGTTCAGGCCCTTGGGGCAAGTCCGTGTGCAGTTGAGAATGGTGTGGCAACGGTAGACGCTCATGCTGTTGTCGAGAGCGGCCTTGCGCTCGGCGGTTCTCTCGTCACGGGAATCGATCAACCAACGGAAGGACTGGAGCAGAATGGCGGGTCCAAGGTACTCCTCGCTGTTCCACCAGTACGACGGGCAGGAGGTTGAGCAGCAAGCGCACAGAATGCATTCGTAGAGACCGTCAAGCTTTCTGCGATCCTCGGGGGATTGGCGGTTTTCGAGACCCTGGCAAAATTGTTAGTTTTTGGAGGTGATGCTGGCATATAAAATAACTCACATCTGCGGTGTGAGTATCGCGCTGGAGATATGGCTTGATGGACTTGTATTGCTTGTAGAAGTGGGTCAAATCAGGGACCAGATCCTTGACGACGTAGGTGTGAGGCAAAGGGTAGATGCGCGACTCGGTCTTGGTATCGGTAGGAATGCGGCCTATACAGACAAAGGATTAGCATTCAGTCGGAAGCTGTCGGATGCTATGACATCTCGGGCGTGCGGATCCAGATACATACACAAGCAGGCGAGAGTGTTGACACCGTCGATGTTCATGGCGCAAGAACCGCAGATACCCTCACGGCAAGATCTGCGGAAAGTGAGGGTAGGGTCGAGCTCGTTCTTTATCCGGATGAGCGCGTCAAGCATCATGGGTCCGGTCTTGTTCAGATCGAGCTCGTAGGACTGCATCTGGGGCTTCTCGCTGGGGTGGTCCGGGTTCCAGCGGTAGACCTTGAAGGTCTTGATCTTGGGTTGCACGGTGGGAGTAGGCTCGACGGTCGCATAGGTGCGAGCGAAGGCAGGGCGGAACATCGGCCGCGACGCCGCGAACAATCGCGAAGTGGTACGGAGGGAGGCCATGACGGGTAATCGGAAATGTGAAAAAAACACCGATGTGAATAGGAAAGAGAGGATGAAGAGGGTGAGGAGATTGGGATTGATAGCACAGAGATGAGGAAGAGAGGAGAGGTTTCAGAAGTGTCTAAGCTAGCGACGACGAAGTCGAGTGTCACAAACCAACAGAGATCTTCAAGGAAATGAGGTCGAAGGTGTCTCGCTAGTAACCTCGGGTTTGACGGGTGTCTAGATGCTGACATCAGCGGATATCAGCCAATCAGAACAGAGGTGTTTACAAGCCTCGGGCGGACACGGCGTCGACTTGGAGGTCCAGGAATTTGGCTACTGCGAACACTGCACAGTGATATGGCTATATATGGATTCAATCTTGGTCAATTGGAAATGACAATGAAATCTCATTCAGAAAATACATCAATCATCCCATTTAACCACTCCAATCCTCCATTGATCAGTGATTGCGCCCAGGTCGAAATCCACAAAAAATGGATGCCTCAGGCTTCAATGCTACTTCCTGGTTGCCGAGACGGGAGAACGGCTCCTCCGGCCGACTCAATGGATCATTAGCAGAAGCGATACTACAACATATGCACATACGGAGTGAAGGGAGTATAAAGTACGTAGCTAGCTGGTCACCACCGGCTAGTATGGGTTGTTAGGATCGGTGTATGTCCTGAGCCACTGAAAAATATGTAGGTACTGTATACTAACTATACGGAAGCTTATATGTAACTATAAGAAGTCATTTTCCCACTTTAAGCCTTTTTCTACCGTTTGATACCCTCAATCTAGAAAGCTTAAGAAAGGAGAGAAGAGATTTACAAGAAAGACATTAAGAAAGCCCATTAAAAGACTACATAGCGAAAAGGCTAACCACCCTACTGTTGTTATCAAGGAAAGAGGCCGGCTATTGAATAGGGCGGTGAGCTGTTTTTCTTCCCTTGACTTATCCTCTATGGAGTAGCCCAGATAGCATCAGATTATCATCTCCACATTGATTGGTTCTCTAGATCTTCTCTACTGATGGCTGTATTCATGTTCCGCAATGCTGTTCGCCCCCTTTCGCGGGCCCTGGCCAGAGATTCTCCAACTCGCCATTTCCACCATATCGCCACTGAATTCATCGCCCTTGATGCAACAGGCAGACCGGTCTCCGAGAAGGTTCCCGTGGTTATAGGGAACCCTGGCCAAGCCTATGTGCTCATTTCCCCATCCGTCGGAGAAGCTTTTCGTGATGCTAGCTCAACAGCATCAACGAGAGACCGGTGTAAACTGACATTTTTCCATGACACAAAACACTTTGGCCTTAGTGAGACTCTTCTATCTATAGAAGTTGGCCATATATTAACTAGTAATGTGTTCCATTCTAGCGCCATCGAGTTATCCTCGTCTCCATGTCCCGGCCCAATTTCCCCGTCAGTCTGATTCTAATACAAGCCCTGCAACCATTCTCCTAAGTGGAAAGATGTATGAGATTGTCCTAGATGGGACTGAGGATGGTAATAATTCAGTTCATGCTTCGGATAGTCAATCGCTAATCTATAGACAGCCGAATTTGCCGAACACTCCAGCGCTTCTGGGGAGTATCTAAAGCCCGTGCTTGATCAACTGGAGACTATGTAACTAGGGACCCACTTGGTATGGGATGACGTAACTATGTAGGGGAGCTCGAGTGATGACTCAGCCATCCACTGGGCAGAGGTCATGAGGTCATCCCGTTGGCCCGTTGCCCGGTGGGGTTGAACTTATTAGCCATTGGAAACCGCGACAATTGTCATACTATATATCCAACTATTACAGTCAACAACTAACTGCGATTAACGTAGTTTTGATGCCACTCATAGTCCCGATTCTCCGTCAAGAAAGCCCGAAGAGCCTCAAGCGGCGGCACTGGTTGACGTGCCAGCACATCCGCCATGAGCGGATCAATCGTACCCGTTTCCCCCTTTGAAATACCCTCGTACCATGACAACAGTGCCTGGAAGAACCCTTCCGACTTCCCGCCCTCGTCGGTAGCTGTCTTCAACTGCACAAACTCCTCCGGGGAGACAAGCTCGATCTGAACATTTCGGCCGGTCGTCTCGTTGATCAGATCCACAATCTCAGAGAATGTGATAGTCTGCTGCGCAGTAAGCAGCACGATTTCTCGATCGTGTCCACCCCGGATCATCAGTCGCGCGTTAGCTTCGCCTAACTCCGACCGCAGTGTAAAGGCAATCGATCCGTCGGAGGGCAGGTAGACGGTCGATGTGCTCGGATACCAGCCCATGAAGATCGGGAAGGCGTCTGTGTACAGACCCTCACGGATAGAGGTGAAGTTGATACCGGCCCTGGCTGGGGTTAGTGACTGCATTGTCACGGTCGGGGCTTAGCTTACTGTTTCATCATTTCCTCTGTCATCAGATGGCCTTGTTGAACAGCTGCCTTGGAGTCGGAATTGTATCCGCCGAATGCGAGAGATGTATACCATACCTGTGGCTTTGATGTTAGCTGGGATGGTTGCGTGGGGAGATTGATGACTTGCATGTTTCACGTTCATCTTCTTCGCTGCTTCCACGAAGTTTTGGTGTTGCTTCCGCCGCTTCTCGATGTCGAAGGTGTTGGTACTGACGAAGAAGAGGTTCTCTACGTCTTCGAATGCGGTCTCTAATGTCTGAGGGTCGTCGTAACTTGCTATTCGGAATGCGATCCCTCGGTCTTCGAATTGTTTGCGATTTTCCTCTTTCGAGGACGCTGCAGCATACTCTGACGGTGGGACATTCGCAACAAGGTAGGACAGGACTCCGGCACCGAGGCCTCCAGTCGCTCCTGTAATGAGGTATTTGAGGGTCATTCTGGATCGTAAGAGTTATGAACGTGTTTGGCCAAGGTTCACTGGGACAGGTCAAATTCAAGATATTTCATTCTCTAGAAAAACAAGTGTTCTTACACTTTTATACATCAAATTTTCATCATGACAATACGTTGATCGTAAATATCTTCGCACTAGAATCATCTCTATTATTGATCAGGTTGGTAATCACCAGGATTGATTATTCAACAGCTCGAACAACACCCTAAAGAGATTGGCTCCTTCATTTTGGCAAATGACAACATTGTATTTGAGCCTGCTCCAGGAATTTTAATCAATGATGATACTCGAACGACCGAGTCTTGATATTGTATGAAGCTAATCTCTCCTTCTTACGCAACTATTTATTCACGCAGGAGGAGTAGAGTGATCTCCACAATAACACCAACAGTATAAGCGCCGAATAATAATCCAACTCAGGCCAGAAAGTCAAATCATTTCATGTCTCACTAAAACAAAATAAGCGCCACACTATTTAACGCCTCCAACGACAAACGACTCCCAAAAAAAGAAATTACCAACGCCACTATTTACCAAAAGGAAGCCGCCTGAAAAGCCCCTTTCGTTTCTCCCGTCTCATCATTGGCCTTTGCACAGCACCCGCACCGGAGGGCGTTTCACCAGAGGGGGTTTGCACGGGCTTGTCACGCTCCGCATGCAATCTTCGCAGGTTGAGGAGTTTGGGATCCACAAGCTCATCGGTTAAACCGATGAACTCGCCGAACCTGCAGCGCTTGCTTTCGATATCGATAACGTCTGTCTGCCACCCTTCCCGCTCGTAATCCCACGTGAGCCATGGAGCGACAATCGTGGGATACCGTCTAGTATCTGCGGTTTCGGGACGGATTTGACTGAAAAACACCATCAGACTGTCGAGTGTCATCGAATCGAGCTGGTAGTAATCTTTGATGGTTTTTGGAAAGTTGATATGGCTGTTTCCATGGCAGGACACGAGTGGAGTGATGGGTGTATCGAGGGGGACTCTGAGATACGAGCGTGGAGGGTTGAGTGGAGGTGCTTGTCTGATTTGAGAACCAGCAGCTTGACGGCTGGCAAGACCAGCTCTTGAAGACATGGTATCGGCAACAAGGTAGATATTGAGGTTGTAGATTTGATAACTTGAGCTGGGCTCAGATGAGGATAGATGATGATAGATGAGGTTGAAGATGGTGATATTCCTGTCGAGATTCCTGTCGAGACAGAAGGCTTTATTTATGCGTGGCTCTAGATACTGCTGTTGCAAATGATGTCTATCACATTTCCGTTATTAAAACGTCCCAAATATAGCGCTTCGCCGTTAGACAGCGGCGAGACATCACGAGTTTTATTCTCAAACACGAACATATCGAGGGCTGTTTTCAACCAAGGGAAACCGGGGCTTTGGCTATAATGCTTCGGTCATTCGTTTCATGCTTGATACTCTCAAGCCACGGCGACAAAAAACTGGATGACCAGGTTGTTCATAGACTATTGGCTGATAAAGAAAGAAAATGCGCAGTCAATGCCATGTATGTAGGGCGCGTAGGCTACCCGAAGAAATACTTTTTACATGATATAAGTCGTCTAGTATATATCTATTTACAGATTGGAACAAAAGAAAAGAAACCACTAACTCCCCCTAGACCTGGGGGTTTCAACCCTAACCTCACTCTCCTGCGCGCGAGTAATATTAACCTCATTCGTGACCCGAATCCCGGGACTCCGCGAACCGTGCATCTTATGCCTCGCCTCTTCACTGCGATCACTCCCCCTCGATCCACCTAAGATATCCCTCGAAACCGAGACCTCAGAAGGCATCATCTCATAATCGTCCATCCCAATTTTAGACCAGTTAATGAGACGCTTGCTATCCCGATTGGTGGAGATCGCGGCACTGGGAATAGTTTTAGAATGGCCGAGGCTGTGCAGTTTTGTGGACCGCGAGCGCGAGCGCGTGTGGCTGGACGTATACTCGGCCATGTGTGCGAATAGGTTTCCGAAGACGGGCTTCACCGCTGGCACCGAGAGCGCGACTAGGGTTCCAGCAATCTCGGCGCTCTCGACGCACAGCATCGGATTGTAGGCCCAGCTGCCGTCGGAGTCCCATTGACCTGCGGCTACGAGCCAAACGCGGATTGCGGAGATCACGATAACGCTGTGTATTGTTAGTTTTGTGGGGCTTGGTGAATAAGAATTTTGGGGTGGGAACTCACAAAATACCGGGGAACATCACAAATGATAGCTTGATCTTTTTTTCTAAAGAGACGTGCAGTCCCTTGATGAGTACGGCCGGGATCACGAACATCAGCATGTCACATGCGAGCGATAGCCCTGAGTTCACGGAGTAGACGAGTCCCCATGAGAGACACTTGTAGGTCTTTGGCTCCTCCTGCCACTCGTAGGGCCAGAGTCCTGTTACCGGCTTGCAGTGGAAGATCAGGAGGAAGAGTTGTGGTAGGTATGCGGCGAGAAGGAGCGGCGCGGCGATGATGATGCTCAGGTTGAGTTTTGATGAGCGGGCTGTCAGCCGGAAGTAGAAGGCTAGACCGGAGAGACGACATAGGAAAAGAGCCGTTGTGTAGAGAATGTGGGCGACGAAGTCGAGGACTTCAGTTTCGCGGACCGTGGGAAGTGATAGCACATATTGGATGTATTCGATATGACGACCGCTTCCCAAGTTGATCAGGACGATGGAGAGGATGACAAAGGCAATGTAGAGCATCTATGGGGGCCATTGTTAGTGGATTATGTTTTTGTAACTATTCATAGGCCATTCTATCGCGCACGGCTCGAGGGCGATGCACTAACTGTGCAGATCTGGGGTGAAAAGTGGATGATCTTACCAATGTCAGGATGGCCAATGCATCGTCCAGACCAGTCTTCTTCACAATGAACACCCGGGCATATAGACGTACAATCATCAACAAGCCCGTGAAGCATACCATGAAAATGATTCCCACAATGGCGGACCTATCGCGAGACTCTGCTAGGTATTGGAGCGAGACCCCGCTAGGGATTCTCCCTGCTGCATCTGCAGCAAGGATATCGACGGGGACAGTCATTCCAGGTTTCAAAGTGACATGATCAGAATTGGTAGAGATAGAAGAATATAGATGAAGGAGACCTTGCACATAACGACATCACAGGGCAAGGTCTGGGACGTTGTATGACCCCGGGAAGATAATAATGGCATAATTCTCATAATTTTCTCGAAGCGGGTCTTAACATTCAATAATTCAAAGGGAACAGGATGCCAGTGGCCAACGGGAACTCTGTACCAGCCATATAAACCTCCGGAACCGCGGGTTCAAAGGCGTAATCGAAGCTTATGGAGAAGCTCCCGGGTTTCAGGGTTGCATTCTTCACATTAAACTTTCTGGTGAATAATAGAATCAGCCGTCGGGGTAATATTCTGCAACTGAGTTCGGAGTACGGAGTATAGAAGAGTAGCAACAGATCAAGACAAGCCCTAAGTCTGCTGAACTAATCCGATCTGCGTCTTTCACGTGAAAAATCGGTTAGCACACGCCTTGACTCCAAGCGGCTTGCTTTTCCACCGTCTTCCGGATATTCTGGGACTTCATAGGCCCCCGTATGCGACATGCTCAATCAAAATCTACACCACGCAATGCATGGGCCGAGGAATCCGAGCTAGTCGCAGAATCTCTGGCACGAGGCAACCAATCAAGAGACATTTTCTACTCCGTACTCCGGACTGTGGATCTGATTCGATCGATCGCGGGTGCTCTTAGAAATTGAAATTGAGCTATGTCCCTTCTCCTCTTCACCTCTTCACCTCTATACTCTCTATTAAGGACCGACCTTCATTTTCAGTCTTTCTTCTAGAGGCTAGGAATTGAGGAATCAGTTTCTAATGATGACATTTCAGGTCCCTCCGAGTTCAAATGTTCCGGGTCGAGACTTCCCGAGCTGCTAGCCCGATCGCCCGATCAAATGGAGCGCACTCGGTTACGATAGCATTCGATGGAGTCGGCTGTTTCTTCGGATCCAGTTAAACGAGCAATTGGAGGCAGGTAATTTCGGTTCCGCCAACTACTCCGTACCAAAGTTTTTCGCGCTAGCATATAGATTAATTGATACATCTCCAAATTAAACGGCCCATTTTGGTCAACTCGGCCATCTCGGTCGCCTTGAACATTTTCTTCCCATGGTTTGGCGGAGATGTGGACGGAATAAGATAAGATAGAATAGAAAAGCCGCCCAAAGCAGATCAAATAGAAAGAACGGAGCCCAAAGGAAGTGCGAAAGATTGAAAACAGCGGAAATGAGAATATTTTGCAAATGCGGGTTTATTGGTGCTTAGTCACCTGCAGGGGCACCGAGGGATCCACGGTATGTTGTCGGGGGTACTCCGTATAACAGCACGAACTCCCCCAAAATATTGGCATTTCTGCCACATGGCAATCTAATTATCACCATGGCACCTCTAATTCAAACATTGGTGAGCGGTCTCGCCTTGGTGAGCTCCGTTATTGCTCAAGAGTCCGACTGTTTGGTCGACTCCCAGATCCTCGTCGATCCCTACCTTTATGACTTCCCTCGCCTGGGCGGTAATGGCGCTGCACAGTTCGCTATGCGCCCCTGTCACGGTTTCAAGCTGGAGGAGGCTACGATCGATCAGATCCAAGCCGAGCTGAAGAATGGCACTTTCACTGGCGTCCAGTTGCTGGAGTGCTACATGGACCGTGTCCACCAGACCCAGCCTTATTTGAAGTATGTTAGTTATGTTGAATCTCGTCAAAATTGTTGACTAACAGCCTTGCTAGTGCTATCCTGCAAGTGAACCCGGATGCTTTCACCATTGCCAAGAAGCTCGATGAGGAGCGTGCTGCAGGCACTGTCCGTGGTCCTCTTCACGGTATTCCCTTCATTGTCAAGGACAACATCGCCAGTAAGGATCGTTTGGAGACCACTGCCGGCAGCTGGGCTCTTCTCGGTAATGTCGTGCCCCGTGATTCTCATGTCGTTCACGGCATGCGCAAGGCCGGTGCTCTGCTTCTCGGCAAGGCTGCTCTGAGTGAGTGGGCCGATATGCGCTCCAACAACTACTCCGAAGGCTTCAGTGCCCGTGGTGGTCAGTGCCGCAGTGCTTACAACTTCACCGTTAACCCCGGTGGTAGCAGCACTGGCTCTGGTGTTGCTGTCGCTGCTAACCTGGTGCCTATTGCTCTTGGAACCGAGACCGATGGCTCTGTCATCAACCCTGCTCAGCGCAACTCTATTGTTGGCATCAAGCCCACCGTCGGTCTGACCTCGCGTGCTGGTGTCATCCCGGAATCGACCCACCAGGACACCGTCGGCACCTTCGGCAAGACCGTCCGTGATGCTGTTTACGCCCTCGATGCCATCTACGGCATTGACCCCCGCGACAACTACACCTCCGCTCAGGAGGGTCTCACCCCCGTCGGTGGATACACCCAGTTTCTGAGCAACCAGACCGCTCTTAAGGGCGCCGTCTTCGGTATTCCCTGGAAGTCCTTCTGGGCCCTCGGCGACGCCGACCAAATCGCCCAGCTCCTTGATCTGGTCAAGCTGATCGAGTCCGCTGGCGCCACCGTCATCAACGGCACCGAGCTGCCCCACTATAAGGAGATTGTCTCGCCCGACGGCTGGAACTGGGACTATGGCACCACCCGCGGCTACTCCAACGAGTCCTCTTACTCCTACATCAAGGTTGACTTCTACAACAACCTGCGTGACTACCTGTCCGAGGTCGAGAACACTAACGTCCGCTCTGTCGAGGACCTCGTCCAGTACAACATCGATAACTACGGCTCCGAGGGTGGTCTGCCCGGTATCCACCCTGCCTTCGGCTCTGGCCAGGACGGTCTCATCGCTTCCCTTGAGAGCAAGGGCATTATGAACGAGACATACTTCCAGGCTTTGGAGTTCTGCCGGCGCACTACCCGTGAGGAGGGTATCGATGCTGCTTTGAAGCACGGCAACCGTACTCTCGACGGTCTCCTTGTGCCTCCCGATGTCGCCCAGAGCGTTGAGATTGCCGCCCAGGCTGGATACCCCGTTATTACTGTTCCTGGTGGCGTCAGCGATGTCTCGGGCATGCCCTTTGGCCTTGCTATCATGAACACTGCTTTCTCCGAGGCCACCTTGATCAAGTACGCCAGTGCTATCGAGGATCTGAAGAAGAACCACGGCCCCAAGTACGACCGTGCACTGCCTGAGTGGCGCGGCTACCTGCAGCGCCCTCTCCCCGTCGCTTTCTAGGCGAGATTGGAGTGGATCATCTTTCAAAATGGTTATAGCCGTGTGATCATCTTTTTCCTTCTTGTTGTATACCACACCTCGTTATATAGACTAGAATGTTTTAATGGGTAGAATTCATTTAGAGATTCTCATCCATTTCTTCTTCTATGGCCTTTCTATATGAAACACGCCAATTAGTATATTTCTAACAATGTTTCTCCAACAAATCCCCGAAATTATTTCGAACACGGAACTTCTAGTGGATCTCATCTGACAGCTCTGGTGGGTAACTCTCAGATCATGGGCTGGACCTGATCTTCGCATCTCATTGATGCGATAATAACAAACTGTTTGTTGAAGATCGACGGAGGAAATCGCCAAGACGGAGGAATTATCGTCCCCCAAACCCCCTTGGGCATTGCGCGGGATAAATCAGAAAATGAACACATACCATAGTCCGTACAAAAAGGAGAGACTCAATTGGACCTCGGAGACATGTTCATTGAGCAAAAAGTCCGGCCACAAAGCTGTCAAGCTTACTCCAACTGTTACAAATGTGGGGAACATCCCAGAGGTGAAACATCTTCATGCACCGGAGCCGATCGTCCAACGCTGGCCTGATTTACGACTTTGTGGCGCCGGATCACTCTACTTTAATTCCTGGAATGTTTGCAACTTGCCATTCACGGAGGACCTTGTATACTAATTATCCCAGTCACACCCGATTGGTGTATCTATCACCTCCTATATTACGCGTCTGCAATTCTTCCGGACTCCTCTCCAAATCTAACCCCTGCATAGCACGACTCGTTGCTTTTCTCCGCAAAATGGTGGACACCAACGCTAATACCCGGCCATACATGGGGCCCACGTTTCTATGCTAAACCAAGACCTAGGGCTTCGGTACTGTGCCGGGCCAACATCGGCTTCACTCTGACGGTGTATACCCGGGTGCGGAGATTCTATTCTCAAACATGCTAGTCTCAGCTTGGGAGAGCCATCTGCATTAGACGGATTGCTTGTTCCTATATAAGACTACGCCCACCGCGACCGACATGTTTCCCTCAGCTCTTCACCCAATTACTCCAATCCCCCAAACCTAGGTAGAATTACCAGGTCCCACAATGAAGATCGCAGCCATCCTTGCAGCACTCGCAGTGCGAGCTGCGGCCGTCGGTGTCTCCGGCGCAGCAGAGGGTTTTGCCAAGGGCGTCACTGGCGGTGGCTCTGCCACGCCTGTCTACCCCAGCACCACAGCCGAGCTGGTCTCGTACCTGGGTGACTCTTCAGCGCGCGTGATCGTCCTGTCCCAGACCTTCGACTTCACCAGCACAGAGGGAACTACTACCTCTACTGGCTGCGCGCCTTGGGGTACTGCGTCTGCTTGCCAGGTTGCCATCAACCAGAACGACTGGTGCACGAACTACGAGCCGGACGCACCCTCCGTCTCTGTCAGCTAGTACGCATTCCACACCCCATAATTCCAATCAACCATACTGACTGGCTCTCTCAGTGACAACGCCGGTGTCCTCGGCATAACCGTCAAATCCAACAAATCCCTCATCGGCTCCGGCTCGGCTGGTATCATCAAGGGCAAGGGTCTGCGAATCGTCAGCGGTGCGAGCAACATCATCATCCAGTAAGATACTGCCTACTACTACCTACAGATACTATACGCAATTAAACCAGATCCCGAAACTAACACCCACGCAGGAACATCGCCATCACCGACATCAACCCTAAGTACGTCTGGGGCGGTGATGCCATCACCATCGACAACTCAGACCTAGTCTGGATCGACCACGTCACAACCGCCCGCATCGGACGCCAACACATCGTGCTCGGTACTGATGCCTCCAAGCGCGTCACCATCTCCAACAACTACATCAACGGCGTGACCGATTACTCCGCCACCTGCGACGGATACCACTACTGGGGCATCTACCTCGACGGATCCAGCGACCTCGTTACCCTGAAGGGCAACTACATCTACCACACCAGTGGACGTGCGCCAAAGGTGCAGGGAAATACACTTTTGCATGCTGTGAGTTGAATCAATTTTGCCTTTTTCTTGAGTTTTAATTCTCTTTTGGGAAGATCAACTCTCTCGGGAGTTCTATTTTGGAAATATGAATACATACTAACACACGCCAGGTTAACAACTACTGGTACCAGAACTCGGGACACGCGTTCGAGATCGGCTCCGGCGGATATGTTCTCGCTGAGGGAAATGTGTTCCAGAATATTGTGGCTGTTGCTGAGTCGCCTATTGATGGACAGTTGTTTTCGTCGCCGGATACCACCACCAATGCTGTCTGCAGCACGTATCTTGGTCGGGTCTGTCAGGTCAATGGATTTGGGTCTTCCGGAACCTTTAGTCAGGCTGATACTGCATTCTTGACCAATTTCTCAGGAAAGAATATTGCGGCTGCGACGGCTTACACGGCTGTTGTTGCCAGTGTCACTGCTAATGCTGGCCAGGGTAAGCTTTAAGGTGAGTTTGCTATGTACATTTGTCTTTTGACGTCCATGGGTACTTCACCAGCCACCCGGTGGGTAACCTTGGAACCTTGAAAGGTTATCTCCAGGCTATCATTCCAGACTGGGACATCCTGAGGTCAGGGAGCCCGATTATCTACATAAATACATATGCTTTGCACAATCCAGTTTGTTGTTGGTTTCTTTGCTCGTAATAACAACTCTGGCCAAAAATCTCCGCAGCCATGCTTGTCAGTTTCATTAATAAAGCGATATTTGCCTACTTGAGCAATAACAACGGCCGTGCTCAAGAGTCATCGCATTGAACGGCCTTTCCGAGGAGCCCCAACGATCTAAACAATATGTTTCATGTGATCTACTAGGATTTATGTTGAGGAAGTCAGGAACTTTATTCATTGACAAGTGTAATAAGCCTAGAACTAGTTCAAGTCGATGGGATGTACAAGTCGTGCTCAAGTCATAGGGCTAATGATAGTGATGTGCGTATGAAGTATTGATCTTCTAGAGGCGATTGAGGATGTAGTTCAATCAGTCGATGACGAAAAGGCCAGGTCCGGCGAGAGTCGCTTTCGCCACGCTGTATGCATTTGGGAATGGCCCCTTGGCTGTGGTAACCGCAGCGATGGTAAACCCGTTCATCTGATGTGCGTCATAGGGGAACAAAGCCTCTGCAGTAATCGTCTCGTCCTCTTTGGAGATAACCCGGAGAGATTCCACGATCGGCAGATTTTGCTGGTTGATATAGGTGAGCCAAAGGGTGCTAGGGTCGATCCCCTTTTGATTATCGAAGGAAAACTTAATGTTTTTGGTATCTGCAGTCGGGGGTATGATGACGTTGAGATGTGCAAAAGTCTTAAGCGGAATGGAGTCAATGTTGGGGCAGGTTCCAGGCACGACGAAGCTCTGAATGGCAGTGAAGGCAAAGTTGAGATCACTGGTCGTCAAGAAAGGCAGTTCACTAGGCACCTTGCCCTGCATGATGCGGAACCAACCCTGCTGTTCTCCCTCCTGGCCAATAATGGATGAAACCCCACGTGTTAGCGCGAAGTCACCGCCGATAGCAAATTTCTCCACGACGTCCTGTAGGGTTCCCAAAACCACATCTGTGAAGGTGGTGGCGAGCGAAATGGCGGTATCGAAATCATGGACCGGGAAAGTATACCGGCAAGGCTGGATTGGGTCAATACCCACATGGGCCAAGGCATTGTTGGCATCCAGGGCATGGAGCTCCTCTTGCTGCGTCATATCAGTATATGTCACCGAGCGATACGGAAATATCATCTCGTACAGCCAGAATCACCTTCAAGCCATCCAAAACAAAGTCATAATCGTCTTCGTCAGCGAAGCGATAACCCAAGGCCCTGTCGATGATGTTTTTAATCAGTTGGTCGAAGAAGGCAACTTCAAACAGTTCGTTGAATGCGATAAGCTTGAGGTTGGTGATTCCTCCTTGGCTGATACCAACGGGAGGAGGTGCATTTGACAGAGTTCCGTGAGAATTCTGCTCAATCACCTCCAGCTCACTGGGGCTTGGAGTAGGTAGTCCGTCAGGAAGAGGGTGAGCCGATACATTCGGAAATGGAGCGGCAAAAGCCAAGGAGGCCACACCCAGAAGTGCGGCAATGTGGAAGCGCATATCGGTGTTAAAGAAAAGTAGTTGGAATGAGAGACGCTATCAATGGGTGATAACAAGGAGTATATATGTCTGCAAGTGGAAGTCGAAGTTGTGAAGTTAAGTCAAGTGGAGTTGAGGAAGTTGAGGGAAGTTGAGTCGAGTGGCTATAAAAGGAAGGAACGGCTCTGGAGGAAGTTGTATATATCTTCACATTCTATTCTTCTTTAAACTTGCCCCTCTACACATCCCGAGTAACCCTACTCTTCAGCTCTCCCTGTCCATGTGGGTCTACAAATAATTATGTTCGAGGCATTGGTGTCGCTGCCTCTGTTGATGATCACTGGTTTCTCTCTTCACTTTCAGAACACCACCAAAAACCACCAAAGTGGATGGGAGCATATTTGGGTCTTCGAATGGGGTAATTCCTGGCACTACTGAATAGTATAGCTGATAAGGATCCATTTAAGGATCCAATGTACACATACTCTTTTGCTGGTAAGTGAAAACCTACTGAGAGATATGAAACATGTCAATGCTTTATACATGAGGACTGATGCCAACCAGAAAATCTCGATATCACCTAAGAGCACTCTTTACCTCGGAAGAGGATGTGATCTGCTTTGAATCTTGCAAAGGATAATACCAAAAACTGGAAAGCCACCACTCTCAAGAAGATGAAAGTAAGTCAATGTCCGAATATTATTGAATAGTTATAGACACTAACTTCTGCTTTTACGGATAGGAAAGGGTTGCGTATGTCATTGATAAGCCTGCAGAAGAGGATATCATTTCAATTGTATACTCTGAAGACGAAGAAAAGCCAAGCCAATACTTTTATCGAACTTTCAACGATGAGAACTTTTTCTATTGCTTTTCTTGGGTATACGATATCCTTGATCTCCAGAATTCTTCCGAGCAAGGACGTTCCTTCATTTGAAGTAAGTATACCCAATCCCTAAAGGCTATTATCCAGAAAGCTAATAAAAGTTGAAGACATATGGGCCAATCTTGCTACTAAGGTAAAGATTCGGACTGATTGTGTGCGTTCAACTGGAGAAAAGCACCTCATGGCTGCCAGGAAGATGAATGAGATCCATACCTTTTGGTATACGATGGCACACTTCCGCAATTCAGCCACCTCAATCCGACACTTGCGCTATTGGAGTCTTACGGAGTTCAAACGAGAATGAAAGAGGCTTGGCTGGCAACAGAGAAGAAAAAGGTTTGGGAGAATGATGAACCGTTCAGTCCTGCAGATGAGTGGTCAGAATCTGTCCTGTGCCTTGGACGGCCGACAGATGAGTCGAGCCGGGAGGTTGTCTTCTAGAATTAAGTACTCTTCACTACCTACTTCAATGCCGAATCCGTAGCGGCTCGTGGTTGAATGCCTGGTTTTGTAGATTTGATGCCTGAATTATGCCTGATTTTAGACCGCCTTTCACAACGCGTATAACGTAATCGGTAAGCGAGTCGGCCATGTAAGCCAGCCGGCCACCCCAAAACACATAGTAAATGCGGTAAATTACAACTTGATATATCAACAACGGTACTTTTTATGAAGGTTTCCCTAGAGAGTATTGCTTTTTGGGTCATTTCCAGTATCTCTAAGAAGTTTAATAAAGATTGATGCCTTTGTGGTTGCATGATATATATTTCTAGCTTTTAGCAACGTAATTTTCGGTAATTTTTGAAATGGTCACAAAATAGCGATCTGCTCTCTTTGATATTGATACAGAGTGCTATGAAGCCTTATCGGTGACTATCGACAAGCAAGGAGATAAAATGAAAACATGGTTGTTGAAGTATAAATGTAGATTTTATTATGTGTTTTGGGGTGGCTGGCTGGCTTACATGGCCGACTCGCTTACCGATTACGTTACCGTGTTTTGTAAACATAATTGAAGCAGCTCTCTAACCTAATCCCTTGAGGCCTTTTCGGCGCCCGCCTCACTTCGGCTCGACTCTTCATCTGTCCCAGTCAGGGTATCTGGTGGTGCCACCAAGTTCACAGAAACCAAAGGTTCGGGTCGAAAGGCAAGCAAGCGCGCTGGACAGCCTTCTTTCATGTCTCCCTACCTGCAGGTTGCTCCGGGATAGCACCAATTGCTCACTACAGCCTAGCGATCAACGATATGGAACCAAAAGTCCATGGATATCTCCCTTGGAATATGATAGCTACAGGGCATGGGGCCACGGCCCATGGGCACATATCTACAACCTAACCCGCTGTCGCTACCTCAAGCATTACCACCAAGCTCCTCAAATTTGATGAGGCAAGTATGCTCCTGCAGGGGTATCAGTGTTGAACACGCGTCATTTCCGGATTGTGCAAGTCAGGATCAAGTGAACATACCAGCATCTTAGGGAATCTATCGTCATAAAAAACCTCGAATCGAGCAGTGATCCCCGGTGTGATGTCTTCAAATCCAGGCGCGATCGTGGTGCTGTACTTGCGGTATATCGTTGCCGCGAGCGTTGTCATTTCGGCCATTGCCAAGCTGTTGGAAAGTGAATCAGCGTTTTGCACACCCACTACACAAAAGGAAACAGAGGAGGAAATAACGAACTGTAAACCGATGCACATCCTGCCGCCACTCGAAAAGGCCCAGAACCAGCGGTTCATCTCGGCCGCCTGCGGCCCCAGCCAGCGATCGGGGTTGAAAGTTCGAGGATCCTTGAAAACTTCGGGGTTGCGGTGGAGGGTGAATGGAGACATGCCCACGGTAACATTTGCCGGGATATTGTACCCGTCGATGACGGTATCGGCGACGCTCGATCTCGGCTCAAAAGTCGGCAAGGGGGCATAGAGCCTTAGCGTCTCCTTGATGACGGCGTTCAGGTAGATGCACTTGTCGCTCGCCTCGGCAGTGGGAAGGCCGTGGCCGTTGAGTGACTCCCTGGACAGTCCGAGGACTTCCCGTCTCAGCTTCTCCTGAAAGGCCTTGTTTCTAGGCTGAGAAAGGGACCATATCAGGAACATGAGCGTGTCGCTGGTCGTGTCGATGCCGGCTAGGAAGTGGTCTGCGCACTCTGAGGCAATCTCCAAGTCATCCAGACCGTCTGTCTTGTGGGTCTGATGGTACGCCCAGAGGCGCTCGAGGATAGACGAGCCCTCGGCTTCCTCCGAGGGCCGACCCTCCTTCTCGGACATTTCCATATCCGACCGGAAGCTCCTATACGCCTGCAGCGCAAACTCTCGAATGCCGGTGTATGTGGCGGGTTTCTGCATGGGCAGAAGCGGCTGGACAACAGTCTCCATTGTGTTGGTGCGCGAATAAAGCCACTTCGTCACTGTATTCAAGTGCACGGTGAACCACGAAAGCTTGCGCCGAGACGGATCTAAGATGTCGCCAATCAGAGCCCGGTGCGGCTCTGAGCCTTCCAGGGCAGACGTGGACCCGTACCTGCCGTACAGGAACTCGGTGATGTTATCGAGGGAGTAGTAGTGTAGTGTGCTGAAGATCTCGCTCACGTGCCCGGGCTCCGCGTCGATGAGAGCCATGTACTTCCGCGCCTTCTCCTCGACCATGCCAGTAGAGGGCTCCTTGAGCATAGTGGATTTGGAGTAGGCGTGTGATAGGAGCTTCTTCCTCTGGCCGTGCTCCACCGCCGAGTGGAAGGTGAATAGGTTCTGGCGGCCGTAGACGTCAAACATGCGGTAGAAGCCCGTTCGGCCGTACTTGCTACCGGGCCCGTAGATGGTCCGCAGCGCCGCCAGGCTGTTGAACGAGACCTCGTCCGGGCCGATGCGGACGACGGGGCCGTATTTCTGGTGCAGGTGGTGGATGGTACGGGTGCGCGCGCCCTTCCAGTCCTCGTATGCCAGACGCCATTTTGTCAAAGCGAACGCCTTGGGCCCGGGTACGCGACTCAGGGGACTCAGAAATAGGGGATCGAGGAGTAGATATTTGATGAGGAAGAGGACCGGCGCCAACACGACGGCGATGACCGACAAGGATGCCATCTGGAACAGCTTCTCACTCACACTAACCCCGCGGAATTGTCTATTTGTAATTTTAATGGCGGCAAGTCGTTAAGTAACGAGCCGAAATTATAATAATAAAGGTTTCAACCTCTATGTGCTTTCTGATCCAAACTCATGACTTGGGAGGAGTATCATACGTAGTCCACCACTTGTACCTTACTAGATAACAGCTCTGATAAGCACCGCATACTGACGCTCTTTTTGGTCTAACCACAACCACTAAGACGACCCATAAAATCAGCATTTGTCCCCCGCTTCCTTTGGCGGTACGTAGCGGGGGGCCCGATAGCGATATCGATAGCCTTCGTGCTTATCAGGCCCCCGCTGGCGCTAATGTACGTTGGACAGGCTATGGAGAAGCCTAATCTGCTGATGTCGGACAGTCCGACATCATGGATAGGGCTGACTGAGCAGGATACATTGTGTCCTGGTTCGTGTTTACGCCCGCCCGACGACGACAGATATTAGCAGTGCATTTGCAGGGAAGTATTCGGTGCATCGGCCATAGGAGAGACCTCAAAGTCAACACGACTCCATCTACCCCGTGTGCACTGTCGAAGCAATGGCATCTTCACCGACTCCCGTAGTCCTCATCACAGCCGGTAGCGCAGGCCTGGGTGCCGCGACCGTCCGTCTCTTCGCAAAACACGGGTACCGCGTCGTGATTAACTACAACGCGAACGCGCAGCGTGCCGAAGCCCTGTGCGCCGAGCTTGGTGGCGATGGCCACGTCACGATCCAGGCCAACCTGGGCTCGCGGGACGACGTCGAGCGCCTTGTGCGTGAGGCCTACGCGCAGATGGGCCGCCTGGACGTCGTCTTCTCTAACGGCGGCTGGACTCGCTTTAGCGACACGACGTCGCTGGACGACAACGCCGTCGAAGCGGACTGGGACCGTGCCTTCGCTATGAACGTCAAGTCGCACCTCTGGCTGCTGCAGGCGGCGCGACCGCACCTCGACGAGACGGAGGGGGCGTTCGTCACGACGTCTTCTATTACGGGCCTGCAGGGTATGGGGAGCTCGTTGGTACGTTTCCTTGACCCCGGGTAGCTTGGTATTGGAATACCACGTCGAGGATTGCGTAAGTTATCGAGAAACTAACAACGTCTTGTCGTTCAGGCTTATTCGGCTACGAAGGCTGCACAGCTACACATGGTCAGGGGCCTCGCCACCATGGTGGCGCCCAAGATCCGGGTGAATAGCGTGTCGCCTGGGCTGCTTCAAACGGTGAGGATTTCCCCGTCTATCTACCATGAGTGATAGGAATGAGGGCTAATCTTTTAATCACCAGGAATGGGCAGAGCGGTTTAGCGAAGAGCAGAAGGAAGCCCACAGGGAAAAAACCAAGCTGAAGAGGTTTGTCGCAGTCGAGGTAAGTTGTTTGAACCCCAACCTTTCTGTCACTTCAACGGTGTGTTAACTTATTGGCACCACCATTAGGATGTGGCCGCCCAGGTTCTTAGTCTGGCGACGTCGAAGAGTATGACTGGGGCAAACATAATCATTGATGCTGGATATACGCTATAGAACTAACAGATAGAAACGAAATAAGTAATTGCAAAAACTCTTCAGCTTCTCCTCCTCAATGTGGTGCGGTCGGTAGATGTAAAATCGTGGTGTATGCTATCACGGCTGGCTTTCCGGCTCGCTTAAGGCCATGCCAAAAGGGGCTGGATATAGCACAAAGTTTTATCCAGGAGCGAATAGTTCGTTGACTGGTCAACCGGAATCACGCAAGTCCTTATACCGTCTAGAAATCTCAGCAATCATGCCTCTAATTTTGTTCGCGGCCGGGAACTTGACGCCTAGCGTGTCGAACAAGGCAATGGCGAGGTCCAGGTCCTCGATCGCCCTCGTCTCCTTGAGGATGGTGACGAGGTTCTCCGGAAGCACCGTAGTCGAGTAGATGCGCGACAACGTTGCGGTGAAGAGGGCCAGAAGGTTGAGCCAGTTGTAGGCGAGCCGGTGCTGGCGGTGCAAGTTGAAGGCTTGGCGGATGGACATGGACGCCGCCTCAGCGAGCGTCTTAACGCGCTCGCGGTCCATGGTGGGCAGCAGCGGCGAGGGGCGGTAGAGCATGGCCAGGTGATAGTAGTAGTTGAAGTCGAACCAGCTGGTGCACAGGTGCGGCACCTGGTCGTTGACGTCGGGCAGCGGGAACGGCATGTCGCGTCGCCAGTCGATGAGCTCCTTGTGCAGCGAGTGTAGGATGGCCTCGCGCTGCTCCGTGTTCAGGGACGCGGCCTGGCGGTTGGAGTAGACCTGCCGGGTGATTTTGCCGGCGATCCTGCGGAGGGCGAGGATGTGAAGCGGAATGGCCATGAGCGATGGCTCGAGGGAGCTCGGCGGGCGAATACCGTCGGGTGTGATATTCTCGTCGTCTACACTGACAAAGGGCTTTGGTTACCGTTAGTAGTCAGCATGTGTTGCCTTTGGAGGATGCTCCGCTAAGGGGCTGTCGCACCGTGATGTTGATATCATCATCGTGAAGAGCAAAGGGTCGGCCCAGCGCATTTGATACGACACTAATGAGCTAGTCAGTGGATACTGTAAGATAGAACGGTATGTTGTACTTACCGATCCATCATGTAGATGGAGAAGAAGATGCGCTTGCGTCTCTGCTCCATGTCGACGGGCATTCCGGCATAGATTGAGGATGAATGCAACCCCATGCCTACAGCGAGTCGAGCCGCCATGCCGACAAGATACCAGGTATCTGCAGCTTTATGTTAGGACGTGTTCAACCGATGTCCGGCCCGATGCTACTGACTTGGACCTAGCTGGTTGAAGAACGAGTACGAGACCTGCAACATGATGGCCTCCAGCGCAGCCTAGAGAGACCACAGTCAGTGAGTTACAGCTGCCAAGCAGATGATTCGGTTTGAAGGGTTACGCACCATCTCGCCATAGGCTATGGCTTGCTCGAAATATTGAAGTGCCTTGGTGTAATATACCCTAGATTCAGACTCTTCTGACAGTGAAACGGAACAGTACGCTGTGGACCCAACGGCGAGCACCATCCAGATGCGGAATAAGGTCAAGGGCGAGCACGCCGCCGCATCGTGCGGGTTATCACGGAGGTGCTGTAGGCTCTGCAGGAACTCACCCCTGTGTAAGATTGGATATAGAGTATGGGAATGAGCAAAGTAGAAGTCCACTAGTTGATCGATGTGTGACTGGTCACTCGGCAGATCCAGAGCCACGCCGACATCGTTGGACAACCCCGTGATGTCTGCAACAACAACATCACCAAATAGTAGCGGGTGGGTAGAGACAGACTCATTCAGACCCTCAAACAGGGAGGGGTCCAAGAGGTCTGAGGGGGAGTTGAAGTCGAATAGCGGCGCCCCGGCGTAGTTCGCGCCGCGGTCGCTAACGAAGGTGAAGTCGGCCTTATCCGGTGTCAGTCGGCGGAGCACGACCTGTGTGAGTCTTGCGAAGGAGATGCCCGATGTTGAGCCGAGGTGCCGCTCCGCCGTGGCTTCAAGTGAGAGCGTCTTAAGCTCGTCGACGAAGCACGGTGGAGGGGGTGGCGCAGGCGGTTCTGGGAAAAGCAAGTCGGCCAGGTTGCCGGGCATGCTGGTCGCAGTGTCGGACTCCTGCTGAGGCATGCCAGAGTCGTGATCCATTACCACCGTATTGCCGCCCATACTTGACTCTGTATAAGCCTGCTGATCATCGCCGCCGAAAGACAAGGGTCCCCCGTCTGTAAGCGGGGATGACATCTGGGCCATCTTCTTTTCCATGTCCTGCAGCTTTTTCTCCAGGCTGCGGACATACGCTACAGGGTATGATGCACTCTGGCAGTCGTCGTCGAGAAAGCTGCACCTCACATGGGCGACCCGGCAGTTCCTGCATGATGGCAACGCCCTATCGCACCGCTTCTTCCTCTTATGACACCGGGAGCATGACGTCCTTGCTTCCGCCGTAGCTGTCTGATGCGACGACATTACCCTTGAACAAAACGGGTATAGCCTATGGTTACATTAGGTAGGCGCAATACGCGTAGCCTGTAGGTTGTCGATCCAAGATTGGAGTTGCTTATCATTTGGCTCCGTATATCTTACAGTACATACGTACCGTATCTTGACTCGAGTGATTGGATGACCAACCAAAGTGATTGGATAACCAACTACTCCGTACCTAGGTCACTTTAAGGTTAGGGAGTTTTATGTTGAATATCAAGATTGAATACATCCATGGATACACGGTTAAATACGTCATCTAGAAGACCATGTGGCCACGGTAAGGTGGATACCGCACAAATGTGTATATTACCATTTGTCAGCAAGTCTCAGTTACCATACATTCATAAAAGATCCACCCGGAGCCCAGCTGCACCCCACATCCAGTTTCCCCGCGATAAGCGATGACCAGACACCCAGGCCGAGTCATGGCCGAGCATCTCCAAGTTTCCCACGTGATTCCCTCCCGCTGCCTTTGTCTAAGCTACGCTGCAAATCCCCACACTAGAACTCAACCACGGCAACTGCCTTGACCTCGACGATCATCCGCGTATCAGGAAGCTCCCTGACCCCGATGGTGGCCCGCGCAGGCGCGCTAGCACGATCGGCAAAGACCTTGTTCCACTCCTCGTTCATCCCCGCATACTGTGACTCCATGTCCAGGATGTAGACCACGGCGTCGATGACGTTGTGGATGCCTCCCTTGCCGCCCGAGGCGCCCTTGATGATGGCGTCGACGTTGGCGAGCACCGCAGCCGTCTGCTTGCGAATGTCCAGGGTGCGCGTGCCGTCGGCGTTCTCGGTGACGCCCTCCCAGGTGCCGTCGGGTCGGACGCACGCCGTTCCTGAGATGTAGATGGTCTTGTGCGTCGAGGTCGGTGGCGCGATGCGGGCTTGGGGGAACCGCGTCGGACCCTCGGGCAGGTCGGGATTGCTGAGGAAAGCTTGGCCGTTGGGAGACATTGTGGCGTAAGTCGTCAGACCGAGGATTAACGATGTAAGTTTGTGTTTGAGAGATACGGAAAGAAACGAAAGATTGACTTGTTTGGGTATAATAGTTGCAGTACATGACCTCGTCCCTCTCAACTCTACTCTAAATACCCGAATTCTGGGCCAAGGGCACCCTCAACGGCCCGGGGTAATCTATCATCGCTCATCCCGCCTCACAGTGATGCCCCATCGCGATGTCGGGACGGCCGATCCGACTTTACAGATGCGTCGGGATGTCCGACACGTGATCATCAGGCCAAGTTCCGAAGCCTCCACTTGATGCCTGACACTGGGTGAGTGCAGCAGTGCGAGCTGAGACAATGGACTGCCAATGCCGCCGTCTAGAACTAGCCAAATATACCAAGTGGTCACCTCACTCTGAACAACAGCTGCGCCGAGACCTAGACGCTGTATAAGAAGTTACTGCACTCAAGGCACACAAAGATGGCCGGCACAACGACCCAGCTCTATGAGATCCCCAACTTCTCCTTCCAGGATGGGACGACTCTACCTTTGGCCCGCCTGGCCTATCTCGACCTAAACTCAGATGTGTCGAAAACTGCCCTGGTCATCACCTGTTTCCGCGGCCGGCTAAAGTCCACCTCGATCTTTGCCGACGGCGCGCTCCGAGATCACAGGATCATCGTCGTAGCGCTCTTCGGAAACGGTGAATCGTCGAGCCCCTCCAATACCCCGGGGTTCCCGAGCTCTATCAACTACCGCGACTGTGTCCGCGCCCAGCATGAGCTTCTCACCGTCCACCTCAAGGTTCAGTCGCTCGACGTTGTTGTCGGCTTCTCCATGGGTGGCCAGTGCGCCTACCACTGGACCCTGATGTACCCAGACCTCGTCCAGAGCGCCGTCGTCATCTGCTCCTCGGCACGGACCAGCCGGCACAACTACCAGTTCCTCGAAGGGCCGAAGGCGGCGCTACAGAACGCCGTTGACTACGTTGACAAGGACCGCGTCACATCACCGGCGACGGGCATCTCCCGGGGTGTCCATGCCTTCGGCAAGGCCTACTCCGCCTGGCTGACGAGCGCCGAGTGGTTCGAACAGCAGGCATACAGATCGCTCGGGTACGCGGCCCTGGGTGACTGGGACCGCGACGTGACGGGAGTGAACTATGCCGGGTGGAACCCCGACGACCTGCTTGCCATGCTGCACATGTGGCAGAGCGGCGACGTCAGCAGCTTGGTAGATAGTGAGGGCGACAGCAAGGATGACGAGAGGTCGCTGGAGAGCGCACTCTCGCGAATCAGAGCGCGCGTGCTGCTGATGCCATGCCGGACTGACCAGTATTTCCGCTGGGAGGCTAGCGAGAGGGAAGCCGGCTCTATCACGGCTGCAACGCTGAAGGTCATTCCGTCTGTCTGGGGCCACCTAGCAGGGGCTGGTGTCAACAAGGCCGATACGGAGTGGTTGGACCGAGCTATCACCGAGTTCTTGACAACGTAGATGTGGATTAGTCGATCTAGGGATCAAAATTCAAATCAAGAGAAATAGATCACTTGCCCATTAGTTTACATCCCTAGTTTACATCCCATGTGGGCTGGAATATAATTGTTTCGCAAGTCTTCATTTAAACATGTGAAAAGAAGCTAGCTGGATATCAACTCCCGTCCCCTTTCAAATAAAGCAGCCGCCTTGATAACCTCCTCATCCTTCCACCGCTTTCCAATGATCTGCATGCCGATAGGAAGACGGACATCCGGCCGCTCGGGCCGGCTGGAAAAACCGCAAGGCACAGTCAGGGAAGGGTGGCCGGTCACATTGAACGGGCAGGTATTGCTCGTCAAACCAATGGCCGGCGCAAGCCTCTCTATAACCGAGGGCGTCCTGCCCTCCTTATCCACGGTCTCGGGGTGGGGCATCGCAACAGTCGGCGCGCACGGTGCGATGAGCACATCCAACTCCTCAAGCGCCCTATCGTACGCGTCGCGCAGCTCAAAGACCTTGCGGTGGGCCTTTGCCTCGTCCCCCGCCGGCAGGAAGCGCTGGGCAAAGCGCTCGCTTAGTATGATGTTGGTTAGTGCCGGATTGGCCGAGTTGAGGACCTCGTACATCTCCTGCGAGGGGGGCCACCTAGCCTTTAGGTGGGGTGGCAGGTAGGTGAGATGGCCAGAAGGTCTTCCCTGGCAGAGCCAGCTGGACATGGTTGGCCTTGTCGATGCGGTCCAGATGACCGGACCTTCGCTGTGCAAGGGAACGGAGATCTCCACGACGGTCGCTCCAGCCGCCTCGAAGAATCTTCTTGTCGCATCGCGAACGGTGTCACGAACTTCGGAGGACACACCTGGGACGAGGAACGACTCCGTGAGAAGCCCGATCTTCCAGCCCTGACCTACATCGCTGGGCCTGGCCAGGACCTGCTGTCGGAAATCTGACAGGAGCTGACGGTACGGTTTCACCTGATCCATCAGAGGGGACTCGGGCGTCATCCGAGGATCGAGGCCATCGTATCCTGCCATGACCTCGAGCAGCGCGGCGACATCCTCCAGCCGGGATGCGATCGGTCCCAGGTGATCGATCATGGGCGACATAGACCCTCCGCCGGTGTAAGGGACCAGGCCGAAGGTGGGCTTGAGCCCGTAGAGGCCGTTGAACGCGGCCGGGGTGCGCACCGAGCCAGCCTGGTCGGTGCCGATGGCCAGCTCAACCGTCTCGCCCCATGAGCTGCAACTGCCGTCATCCTGCTCCAGAGCCAGCGAGTGGGCGGCGACTAGGGCACAGCTCCCGCTGCTGCTGCCGCCTGCTGTATAGCCGTGGAGGCGGGGGTTGTGCACCGGCCCCGTGGCTGATGTGAATGATAGGGGGGATGCGCAGAAGCACTCGCACGTAGACGTGCCCTTGATCACGGCACCGGCAGCTAGCAGTCGAGATACAACAGGGGCGTCGATCGGCGAGATGGGAAACACGGCGTCTCCAGATACAAGCGATGCGGGCGCCCCGAGCGTCGTGGGCAGCGCTGCTACCGATATGTTGTCCTTGATTGCTACCGTGCGGCCTTTGAGGATATCACTGGTGGGATTTGCGGCGCGGAGGTCGCACCGGTGACTCCAGGCATTGAACGGGTTGTCCTCTGGTTTCGGCTTCCAATAGCTGCGGCTCGTAGAGAGGGCCTGGGGCTTGAGCGCCGGATGAATGTAGTCGGATCCATCTTCCACCTGCTTCATGACGGCCTCGAAGGACCAGAGAAGACGCAAATAATCATCGGAATCCTTGCCATTGGGTAATTCAAAGTTGAGCTGCGCTGCAACGTCTTTCAAATCCTCTGCTGTAAAGCTTGAGCTGAAATCGTAGGCTTATCAGCAGCTGCCTACCCTTGAAAAATAGAATTCCTCACCTTGAGCCATCGGACAATGAGACAATCGACATCTTTGACTATTCTTTCTGATTTCTCTTGACTCCAAAGACCACCGGCACGGCTATTTTTATATCAAATAGGCTTGGTGGAACTAATCGCAGCAGTTGATTTATCTTATGTACCGTTTTTTAGGCAGTCAGGTTCTATATGGCCCAAAAGCACAAGCAGCAAGTAGTCACTTGTTTAACTTGTCAGTGAACATAGTTAGCATATATCGTAGGTAGGCCCTTACTCATGGGGTGTTTTGTTGGGTACGATATCAAGTTACGTACACAGATAATTGTACTGGAGCGATTCGATTATCTACCAGTTAGATTAGACTAGTGGATGCGCTGTATTATTAGTGCAATCACGTCGGCAATGCCGACACAGAACACCGAAGCGCCCCGCAGATTAAGACCGCTTATATGGCATCCACTTCTTAGCTCCTAGACAGGAGCAAAGCAAGAAGTTGTCTGGACAGAGAAGCGTTGTGGAATATGGGGAAGTCGGGAATGTCTGCATGGAGACGATATATATCTGCAAAGGAAGATAGTATTGTTGCAGCTCAACTTAATTATAGTACTTGTAGATGTATGTAATTTACTCTTGGCCATTAGCAAGAAGAATACGACCACCGTCAACACAAAGGGACACCCCATCGACATAAGCCTGTAGCTGTTAGTGCGGGGTTCAAGGGTTGTGGTTAGAGAATAAGAAGAACGTACGCCGGCCCGGCTGACCAGATAGAGAACTGCGCCAGCAATATCATCCTCGTTACCCGCCCTTTTGGCGGGTACTTTGTCAAACAGGGAGCTGAACATGTTCCCTTCTTCCCCTACGGGATTCATGTTGCTAGGGACAACTACAAGGATGAAGAATTAGCCATTACCGTACCCATGAAGTCTGATGGATGCACAATGCTGCTTTCCAATCCAATAAGAGTCGAAGCACTCACAGCCTGGGTTGATGCCCGACACGCGCACGTAAAAACGGCTGAATTTGGCAGCCAGCAGCCTGACCAGGTGGTCGGTGGCCGCTTTGCTCGTCGCGTAGCTGGTCAAGTCCACATTGGTAGCGTTGTGCATGCTAGCGCAGGAGCTCGTGATGACGATGACGCCGCGGCCGTCATCCTTGCCCTTGCGGCCGCCTCCTAGGTCGAGCTGCGAGGCCGCCGCTAGAAGAGGCAGCAACGCGACCGAGAGGAAGTAGTGTGCCGTCGTGTTGACGCAGAATGTGTCAGCCCAGTCCGAGTGGCGCGACGACCACATGGACGTCTGCAGCTCGGATAGAGAGGCGGTAAGGACGTCGCAGGCCACAGGAGGATCTCTCCTTATGCCGGCGTTGGAGATGAGAATGTCCAGATGGCTCTCTCGCTCGCTTATGTAGGCAGCGACGCGAGCAATGGCATCCTTGTCCGTGACATTGCAGGGTAATCTGGCCCGTGTACACATGTTATTAGTCGACATAGCGGACACGGCTTGGGTAAACATACCCGTGTGCGCTTCCACCCGTCGACTGGCCGATTTCATTTAGCTCCGCCACCTTCTCGTCAATGGGCTCCGTTGGCAAGGCGATAACGTAGACCTTTGCGCCGTTTGTCACAAGCCCCTGCCACAACCACCTAGGTCAGAAAGTGTTCCAAGGTATCGATATATGCAACATTTCGCGGAGTTCGGCGTAGTTACTTTGCATATCATGAAGCCCAGACCGCTGCTCCCTCCTGTGACGGCTGCGACGTAGCCCCTGACACCGAAAAGCTGCTCAATGCTAAGTGAAGACATGATGTGTATAGTGAACCCGACCTTGATGATACTCGGCGAATCCTAAGTATATTCGTATTGTATGTGTTTATCAAGCCGGCGTGCTGCAGTGGGGCAATGACCACATGCCCGCACCTACGTGTCGGACTGTCCGACCCGTTGGGACTCTAGCTGCCACTCCATTTGAGCGTTTTAGATAGGTGGGGTCTCGGAAGATGTAGCATTGATGCCCTGTGTACAGTATGCGGCGCGGGCTTCTTGAAGCATGGTCTCGATTTGTGATGATTGTCACGGCTGGATACGGGTTGAATAATGCGAGCTCTGAGACGAGGTTGCACTTGTACAGTATTTCCTAATTATCGTACAATTGGAGAAGTAGAGGAAAACGTCAGGAATTTTTAGATTTAGAACACATGAAATAGACAAAGTATGGGGTTTGAGTGTTTGAGGCCATCGAGTAACAAGGCACCTGGATCACATGATCCAGCAATAAAAGGCCTACATGCCAACCAATCAATCAGGCGTCACGGATCATACATGACTGGAAATGAGGCTTTTCATACTGTTCAAATTATTTCATTTTTGTGTCTACATCAACTGCGTGTCACGTACATTTCAACGACGATGCTGAACTGTCTATCTACTCCTTGTAGTGCTCCTTCGTCCTCTGCTCGGCTGCATCCAAGCATTCGCTCGTCATGTTCGAGTCTCTCGGGATGAGCCGGACCTTGAACTCCCTAGGGATAGCCACCAGGGCTGTCTTGAACTGGTTGTAATCCACGTAGTCCGTGTTGGGCGGGTGCGTCTCGCTCGCCACAATCTTGTACGACGACAAGATCCGGACTAGCGCGGTGTACACAAGCCTGGATGCGATATACTGTCCCGAGCAGGCCCGGGAGCCCGTTCCGAAGCTGAGGTGGCCGAGCCCATTGACCTCAGCCTCGGCCGGCGGGTCAATGCTCTTGAGCCATCTCTCTGGATCGAAGCGTCCCGCATCGGGGCCGTAATGGTCGACATCTGCAGGTAGTACTATGTCAGCGTCGTGTTTCTTCATAAAAAGGTCATGTGATTGATCACTTACCGTGGTTGCCGGCTTGCGCGTTAATCAAGATCATCGTCTTGGGCGGGATGATGGCCCCGTTCCAGTTGACCTCGGTGACTGTCTTCCTCGGCAGACTCATGGAGCTGACGGTGTAGTACCGGCCGGCTTCCTTGACTATGGCGTTGATGTAAGGTATCTTCTCCTCAACGAAGGAGGCTGTCCAGGCGTCGCGCATATCCGGGAAGTGGCGCTTGATGTCCTCGTACGCACGGTCCTGCCAAATCTGGCCCTCGGCCGTGCACAGAGAGCCGATGCACGACGTCAGGGTACCTGGGATGGTCTCGAAACCGCCCGATACGAGCGACAGGCAGATGGACGAGACTTCGACGCCAGTGAGCTTGCTCTCCATGTCCTTGAGGATGGCCGCCGAGATGCAGGGCTTGTCGACGCCACGCTTGATCATGTCGCGGACCTTGTCCAGAAGCAAGTTTAGGTAGGCGTCGCGCCGGTCACGCAGCTCCTGGGAGCGCGCGTTCTTTTCGTTGTTAGGTAGGTAGCGCAGGAAGGGCACGTAGTCCTGCAGGTTCTCGGACGCGCTGCGCAGCAGCGAGATGGCGGAGCCGACGTGCAGGATCTCGCGCAGCAGCTCGTCGTAGACCTCGTCCATGCGGATGCCGTAGCAGAGCGTTAGGGTGGTGTTGAGCGCGTAACGCTGGATGTAAGGTCGCACGTCAACCTCGAGCTCGCCGTTGCGGCTGTCGCCCTTCATATCACGCACGATGCAGAAGCTCTCAAGGTCGAACATGGGAAAGTAGTTGCGCAGCGCTGGCCGGCCGAGCGCCGTGCCGGCCGCCTTGCGCTTCTTCTTGCAGGACTCGTCCCAGGGGGATGAGCCGATGGTGAAGCCCTGGGTACTGCTGATGACGCCGTGGAAGGTGTACAGCTTGGGCCGGTCGATGACGGCGTTCTGGTTGCCCAGGAGCATCTTCTTGCAGTCGTCAAAGGAATTGACCACCACGGCCCGGGTGTTACCCAGCTTGATCTGGAAAACGGGCTGGTTGTACTGGCGCCACCATTTCTCGCACACGGTGGCGTGGTCCTCGCCGAGCTTTAACAAATGACCAAAGACGGGAACCGCGCCTGGGATCTCCGGCAGCCCCTTGATATAAGGGATGTCGGTTGCAAAGGCGACCTATTGTATGTCAGTCATCATGTCACACTCGGTTCCCATGGTTTGTCTTACATTGTATATGACATAGGAAACTAGCACTACGCCCAGAGCAACTAGCACAGGCAGTGTATTATGATGCCCCACAAGCTGGATCAAGCGATAGCTCAGTGGACTGAGAACCTCTTGGACCTTCGTATCCATGATGGGCGTTCCTCTGAGTGAGCTAGAAGGCGGCAAAGTATAATAGAACACAAGTTGAACTTTTCTCCAAGGCTGGGCGATGTCCTGTGATGTTTATTTCTTTTGTACATGCCCTCTAATGCCTTCCCTCGGGTTGGTGGGGAAGATTTGAGGTGCCAGCTCTGCACTGTCGGCGAGGCCGACAATGGCTGGGTTGACACAGATACAGTCTTCGCCCCAAGCGGGGTGAGATTACGAAGACAATCTACATGTGTCGGCTTGTCAACGCCGGCTTATCGCAAGCCGCTAGTATCCTCTTGTTTTTGGCTCTGCGGAGTGTGGATAGGAATAGTATGGGGTTATCATGGAGATAGAGCGCTTGTGATTGCGATCAAGGTTAGGTGTATGTATTTGTGTGACATCGCCCCCGACGTCTTACTACTCAGGTTATCATTCCAAGGTTGACCGTTCACATTGCAATACATCGCTCTGCAACACTTTATTTTTTACAACTGAATCACAATGGCACCATCCGCAACAGTAGCCCTCGTGGATTCCTCGTCCACCCTGCCTACCAAGTCAATGGACGGCGATGTCGACGCCATGGCCTCTATGGCTCACAGAGGCAAAAGCCTCCCCGGCATCCCAAAGTTTAGCACGCACGCTGAGACGCGGCAGTGGCAGCTCGAACACATGGCGGCAGCCTTCCGGGTCTTTGCTCGCGAGGGCTACGCCGAGGGTATCTCGGGCCACATCAGCGTGCGCGACCCAGAGTGGACCGACCGCTTCTGGATCAACCCGCTCGGTGTGCACTTTGGCCTGCTGAAGGCTAGCGATATGATCTGCGTCGACATTCACGGCGAGGTCGTCGCTGGCAACACAGCCGGGTCCATCAACGCGGCCGGGTTCCAGATCCACAGCGCTGTGCATCGCGCGCGGCCCGACGTGCATGCCATCTGCCACACACACTCGGTGCACGGCCGGGCCTACTCGGCGTTTGCGCGGCCGCTTGAGATGATCAACCAGGACGTGTGCTACTTCTACAACGCGCACTCGGTGTACTCAGACTACGGCGGCATTGCCAACGAGGCGTCGGAGGGCCAAAAGATCGCGGAGAGCCTAGGCGAGACCGGAAAGGCGGCGATCCTAATGAACCACGGCCTACTGACGACGGGCTACACGGTGGACGAGGCGGCGTTCCTCTTCTGCTTGATGGAGAGGAGCTGCAAGGTGCAGCTGCTGGCTGACAGCGCCGGACACAAGAAGCACATCGTGAGCGACGATGAGGCAGCTTATAACTTCAAGATGGCCAGCACTCCGGTATGTAGTCTACTGACTCCTTTTTTGACCGATGACAGCCCTGGGCTAACGTGGCACACAGGACACGTTGTATGTAGAGTTCCAGCCGCACTACCAATACGAGGAGGCACTATCCAACAGCAGCTTCAAACAGTGAGCACATGCCACAACAAGAATTAGGGAACAATTACAGGCACTCATAGCAAATACATGAGTAGTTTGCTGGATGGCCATGCAACCCTGAGTCGGGCACTTAGTGGGGGACTAGCGCGGCACTAACAGCTGCACAGGCCAATTTCCGTATCACGAGGGCCTCGGGATTAGTAGTTGAATTATCTCACTCTCAAACTTCTCTGCTTTTGGAAGATACACCTTACACAATAATATGATCACAATATACTATTAGCACCTAATTGCACTTGCTTGCACACCTGCTCCGTCTCTACCCGGTAGTATGTACTGAGATATCTCCTCGCCCTTACATCTTTTACAGAGGCACAGTCTTTTGTCCGATGTGCAACGGTCAGGCAAAAAGTACCGTGGTGGTGATACGCGTCGGATGCCCCGACCACTGATACGCCCTCGTGGCCCTGTCATGGCTAGTGCTGCGATAACCGATAAGCCATCCAGCCACAGGGGCGGACTAGCGTCCGACAGAGGTCACGTTGCCCCACAAATTCCCCCGCCACACATGCCGATATGCTAACGATCACCCCTCGGCCCAAGCGTATCTCGATAGCTGTTAGAGTGACTACGCAAATCGCCACCTATAATCAACGAGATAGTCTTCAAAGCCAGTCAATTTAGTTATCTTAGTGCTGATTCTAGTTCTAAAAGAGCAATCAATTAGATTTGCAGCCCACTCGGAGCTCGCGAAGGAGGGGCCGCTATCTAAATAGGCTCCCGAGGGCAGATTTCCCACAGGTAATCCTACCAATCTCTTATCTCACATTACAATGAGAGATGTAGCGGGCCACGATGTTAGCCACCCCCGGCTCTGAGTGTCATTGTTCGACCCCAGCTTCCGGTGCGTATTGCCCGACCTGGATCCTTCATTTAGCCGGGTGTTTCCTCCTTAGCCCAGACGGTCCCTTTGGCATGCTGTGAGATTCAATTCCACGACCAAAGCTCAACATCGACGAGCCATTGAATACACCACGTCAACATGTCAGCCTCCAAGTATTTTGAGAAGGGCCCTCCTTCACCATCCATCGCCACGGAGCCTTCGTCCAAGATCGACGATGATGTTCAGCCGGGCATGTCTGCGAACATATCCTCAGGGTCGCAGCATCTGCACCGCAAGCTGCGAGGATCGGAAGTCCAGCTTTTCGCTATTGGAGGAGCCATTGGTACCTGTAAGTCGACAAGAACTTCTGCTTCACAACGGTAGCACGGAAGGCTGACAACCTTGAAGCTCTCTATGTGCAAATGGGCCAGGCTCTCCCCAAGGGTGGCCCCGCAGGTCTCTTCATCGCCTTCTTCATCTGGGGCGCCGTCATGTGGGCCGTCAACGAGTGCTTCGCCGAGATGGTGACTTACCTACCCGTGCCCTCGCCCTTCATCCGCTTTGGCAGCGAATGGGTTGATGGCGCTCTCGGCTTCGCCATGGCCTGGAACTTCTTCCTCAACATGGCCTTCCTAGTGCCCTTCGAAATTGTAGCCATGAACATTATGATCACCTTCTGGACTGACAAAGTCCCCGTTGAGGCCATAATTGTCGCCATGATCGTTCTATATGCTATCCTCAACGTGGCCACCGTGCGCTACTTCGGCATCTCCGAGTTCTACCTGTCCATCTTCAAGGTGATTCTGATGTTGGGGCTGTTCTTCTTCACCTTCATCACTATGCTGGGCGGCAACCCCCTGCATGACCGCTACGGCTTCCGGTATTGGAATCACCCGGGCGCCTTTGTCGAACACATCGTGTCCGGAGGGACGGGCAAATTCCTGGGCGTCCTATCCTGCGTGTATCAAGCCAGCTTTTCGTAAGTGTTGCCACCTACAGCCGCGCCCCCAACTCCTCTTAGTATGACTTTGTGCGTTGGGACCTGACCGTTTTCAAAAACAGAATCTGCGGTCCAGAGTACATCTCTATGGTGGCTGCTGAGACTGAGAACCCCCGCAAGATCCTGCCCCCTGCCTACCGGTCCTTCGTCTGGCGCATTCTTCTCTTCTTCGTGGGATCTGCCCTTTGTATGGGTATCGTCATCCCGTACAACGATACCACCCTCATGGGTATTCTCGGTGGTTCACTCACTGGATCAGGTACTGGCGCTGCATCGTAAGTCTTCTCAACAGCGTTTGTTCATTCCCCATAATCACTTATCCTAACAATGTTTTTTGCACAGGCCCTACGTCATCGCAATGCAGCGGCTCAAGATCAACGGACTGCCCTCCCTCGTCAACGCGCTTATCATGACGTCCATCTTCAGCGCTGGAAACGGCCTCCTCTTCTCGGCAACCCGCACCCTGCACGGCATGTCTCTCGAAGGCCACGCCCCGCGCTTTTTCTCGTGGTGTACCAAGGCCGGTGTCCCACTCTGGGCCCTGCTCTTCTCGCTCAGCTTCTGCCTGCTCGCCTTCCTGCAGGTCAGCAGCTCGTCGGCCAATGTCATGAACTACCTCGTCGACCTCGTCACCTGCTGCCAACTTATCAACTACCTCTGCACGGCCGCAACCTACAGGCACTTCTTCTCGTCTCTCAAGCGCCAGGGTATCTCCCGCGACACCCTGCCCTACAAGGGCCGCTTCCAGCCGTACACGTCCTACTTCGCCATGGGCGGCACGCTCTTCATGCTGCTGGCCGGCGGCTACGACGTTTTCATCAAGGGCGGTTGGGACGTCATGTGGTTCTGCCTTGACTACGCCATGATCGGCTTCTTCATTGTGCTATTCCTCTTCTGGAAGATCGTCTTCCGCAGCCGCTACGTGTGGCCGGGCACCGCGGACCTGAGCCTCGGCGGGATAAAGGAGGAGATCGACCAATACGAGGCTGCACTCATCCCGCGCGAGCAGGGCTTGGTGGATAAGGTGGTCGGGAAGATTTTCGAATGAGGCAGTATGCCACCCGGGACACTCTCTCATTTGTTGATTTTGCGGGGCAGTATTGTAGATCCTATATTAATTATTAAATATTGATGTTCAACTTAAGTTGTGCCTAAATATACCTGAATATTTCAAATTGATTCATGAGTAGCAAGCAAATATATTATTATCTGACGACAATCGGCACTGAAATGCCGCACGAATATATCTCCGCAACGACACAATTACGCACGTTCCCTATACTCTTGCGACTCTTTCTCAGTAATCTGAATTTCCTTCTCGACCTGTTGAAGATCAACATGCGCCACCTGGGCATCATCACCATCAAAGATCTTGGCCAGCTCCTCGAGAGTGGGGCCCCGGGTCTCAACGTAGAAGAAGTAGACAAAGCAGAGCTCGATGAATATCCAGACCGTGTAGATCAGCGACAAGTTCCAGTGCTGAGGAAGATTCTCCCACGCAATTGGGTTAGTGTAACTAAGATGGTGAGTTTCGTCCAAAGAGCGGGTACATATATTCAGGCAACTTACTTTCCGAGAACCAGAGATGCCTGTACCGTCAGGTTCATAATCATAACACCCTTAGCGCGCAGCCGGTACGGCAAGATCTCAAGCGCATATGCGACGAGCAGACCCGACCAGGCAATGGAATAGAATATAGAGAAGAGCCAGACGAAGACGACTTGTGGGTAGCCAGTTGTTTTGACATCCTGGGTTCTTTCGAAGACGGAGGAAACGACAGTCCATGCGAGGAACATGAGGACCATGCCTGAGAGGAGAGAGTTGATAAGTCAGCCTTTGAAATTTATCGTGGAGCGTACTGCTACGTACCAACTGTGGAAATCAGGAAAAGAGGTCGTCGGCCGACTCGGTCAACGAAGAATGCGCTTGAAACGCTAACAATTAGACTGATTATGGTTTGTCCACCGTTGAGCTATGAATAAAACGTAAGCTAGCAGTCATTTAAAAAAAGGGCAAGGGGTCACGAACGGGAATCTTCTTCGTTTGTTCGGTGATGCCCATGCTGTTGTAGATCAAATTGGTGTAGTTGCTGAACAAGGCATTGCCACTGTATTGGGAAATGATTCCCAGAGAAATTAGAAGTGCCAAACGGTAACGGTTACCCCTGGTCTTCATGAAGTCCAAATAGCTGCTGTTCTTCTCGAACTGCATCTCCAAGCTGATAGTCTCCTTAATCTCGCGGTATTCGAATTGAACAGTGGCGTTGTTCTTATCTCCATTCGCATGGTAATATGCGAGTGTGTCCAATGCTTCCTCGTACCGTTCTTTAGATACGAGCCAACGGGGAGATTCCGGAACCCCTAATAATGGTCAGCCACTGGATTAAATCCAGGATAAGGAGTAAAATGAAGCATACACCAGATGAAGACGATTTGAATGACAGCCGGGAAGATTTGCAGCAGAGTCAAACTGCGCCATGACCAATCATTCGGAATATACATCGTTCCCCATGCAAGCCATGCGACAACTAGACCCAATTAGCACGCTAGTGTCCGGAGGCTGACTAGAAGGATCCATACCTAGTGCTCCCAAGTTCCACAAGCAGTTATAGATAGTGGTGACCTTTCCACGATGTTGGGGGTGGCAGATTTCAGTGAGGAGCACCGGAGATGCCATTTGGGCCAGACTGTTTCCGAACCCGAGGAGCAGTCGACCGGCGACGTACACTAAATAGGATCAGTAAATATAACGACCTGACCACGGGCGGATATAAAATGACCAAGCTTACTTCCATAGTCTGTGCAGAATGCACCAAGCAAGCCACCAAGAATCATCAAGACACATCCGATCACAATTGGAATTTTGCGGCCCCATCGATCAGCGATGAATGGCCTAATTCAAGTCAGCGAGCTTGCATTTTATTCAGTGCAAGGAAACTTACACAAAAGGGAAACTGGCAAGACTACCAATCTGGTAAATTGCATTCATCAATCCCAGCGTGGCGCCACTGGGTTCGTCGAAGTACACTTGCCATGTATCCAAATTCTGAGAGGTGTTAAGCATCATTCTACAGAAGGCCCCGTCAGCTCTATAGATATCCAACCACAGAGCTGTGATGCTTACCCATCGTATCCAGTGGTAGCAGAAGCGATGCAAAGCACAGCAGCCCAGCAATAAAGCTTTCGGAGACCAGGCTCTTGCCACCAGTTAACCTTCTCTAACTCAGGCTTTGCAGCTTGAGTCGCGTCCAAATCGGACTGCAGAGTCGAAGCTCCGACAGCAATACCCATGATGTCTGTAGAGTCTACCTAGAAGAATGCGGTATCTGAAATATATGGGTAAAAAGGTGATATGTCCACCGAACTTGTGATAGAACAAGGCAGAGAAATGTGGAGATAGGGGGGTTCCGCTGGAGTTTTTAAGCTATTCATATTTGCCATTGGGGATAATAAACTGTGATATTAACCGGCTACTGGGGATTGATGTCTTGGCTGAGTTGCTTGGATCGACAGCTCTCCCTAGTTTTCGCGATCAAAACACATATTGGGAAAGATAAAAATAAAGAAACTCAAGCGTTCCCAAGACACTAGAATGGGTTCCGTGTAGCGCTGGGGTTAGGAACGTATATCCATGCACAGCCTAACCAGATTGGAGGTATGGCAGACGGACCTTGCCGTAATGGGGATGCTAGTAGAGCGAAAACGTTCCATCTCTTACGCCCAGGCTAATTCCACGGCTTTAAAAATTCGGTACAGTTGGATTGGCTATAGCAGCCTAGTCGCATGATCTCAACTGCCTCGCTTATTTAGGTACTTGGGTATGTAGCGCGTGTTCATGGTCCGTCCTTTAGAGACGAGACAAATGCCGTTCGGCCCCACAATCGTAGGTAAGACGGGCCGAGGCCCACAAATTGATAAATCCGGGGAAGGCAGCGCACATAATTGATATCCCTCCGTGTTCATTCGAGGTATAAGTTGGGTCAGGTGTTATCTTTTAGTCTGTTCCTGTTCCAGGTTCCGGGTGATTCGTGTTGGGGATCTCTGTATGCCAAACACGTTCAGGATCCGACTGACACGCTCCGTGTCGAATTGAGCAACAATATTAGCCTGGACGCCACCTGAAAGAAAATGAAATGAGGTGGTGTGAGTGGTGATGCCAAGCAACCCGGGAGCATTCTTTATTTGCGGGGTCATGCACTAACTAGATTTGACTGTTTAGCCGGAATTCGTATCTTGGCAAGGCCATTTATTACGCGAATAATGGCACAATGAATATTGTTCATCTGCAAGCAGACGCCATTGAAGAAGAGGAATACAAATATCAAATGATAGGAGAACCCGAGTTCACCGCTTCCTTCTTCAGCCGAGTCATGGCAGGAAGGGACGGATTATCACTGGTCCGGTCCGAGCGATCGGCAGAATAATGGAGCCAATCACATAACAGCAAGCACCTTCCTCAAGTAGGTAACGGCCAAACTGCCACTTTTGCACGAAATCATGTCCCTCGTTCTTAAATTATGGGCTCATGCTGTAGCTCTACTTTGGAGGACCCAGACACAATGGCAGCTAAACCCAAATACAAGCTCTCCCAAGAGCAGATCGATCACTTCATGAGATTTGGGTACGTGCGTCTACCAGACTGTTTCTCGCGAGAGAAAGCAACCGAATGGGCAGGTGATGTGTGGACTAGACTCGGTATGTCACCAACAGATAAGTCGACTTGGACAACCGAAATTATCCACATGGGAGGCACCAAAGAAGAGCCAGTCAGGACCTTCGCTCCCAAGGCATGGGCGGCCATCTGCGAGCTTCTCGGCGGCGAAGACCGTGTAGCCCCGGAATCAGCCACTTGGGACGATGCCTTGATCGTCAATCTTGGATTGCCCGAATCCGAGGGTACATGGCCCCATCCTGCTGATCTACCGGGATGGCATGTCGATGGCGACTTCTTTACGCATTTTCTTGATTCGCCTGAACAGGCCCTGCTCATTACACCACTATTTACAGATATCCAGGATCGTGCAGGTGGCACTATGGTCGCCCCTGAGGCGATGAAATATGTTGCTGAGCATTTGGTATGTAACTAAGCCTCCTGTTCCACTTTTGGATATTTCTGACTCAAGTTTCTAGTACAAGCATCCTGAGGGCGTGACACCGTATATGTATCCCCGTGGCCAAGAGCCTATTGGAAACCCCGCAGATACGCCCTTTTACTCGGATATCGTTAGGAATTGCACAAATTTCTGCCAGATGACTGGTAAAGTGGGCGATGTGATTCTTCTCCATCCTTTCATGTGTCACTCGATTTCTGTCAACAGCTTGAGACATCCACGCGTTATCACCAACCCACCAGTAGCCTTGAAGCAGCCGTTCGAGTTTGACCGGAACGATCCCTCCAAATACAGTATGGTCGAGAAGAAAACACTAGAGATGCTTGGTAAAGACAGGCTTTCTGGCTGGAAAATCAAAGGGAAGCGAGAGTTCGTCATTCCGGAAGTATAAAAGCCAACTGGGTGAAAGTTATCGAGAAAGTGTGAAGATCACGGAGCAACCCATGCCAGCCTGATTGTCCTTCCGCTAGCTGAGAAATGGTGTTTCATTCTTATGTCAAATTAGCCTTTAGCCTGAAATCCGAGTCATTCTTACCAGAGCTCAAATGTTACGTTGATTTTTGCCCTTTCATTGTATATCCTTCCTTATACTCTGTCAGGTCAGCTTTTTGTGCTACTCCAATATGTCCGTGTTGCGACAAATCCAATGTCTTCTAATTCTGACACATACTATATATTCACATTCAGTTTTTTCGCCACAGGAAACCAGATGAAATTCCCCCGAAGATAGCCACACCCGTGATGAGACCCCATACCGCTTGAAACGCAGCGACCGAAACAATTGTAACCGCCTCTCTCTGTCTACTTGTCATGCTCACATCCTTCATCAGAATGAGATATCCGTTGGCAGAGTTTACTATGTCGCGATTCATCTCAACACTGCCAAATCCATTGGCGAAGCGGTTTAATAACACAACTCCCCCAATAGGGACCGCAACTGCCATACCCCAGGATCGCATGTAGTATGACATGGTTGTTGGTAGAGTTGGCAGAGAATCATCCTTGTCTTTAGGTAGATTCTGGATGCGAACATTGTAACTCGAAAGCAACAAACCATGCCCAAGGCCTGCTGTGAATAGCAAAAATATCCACGCTACGGTCGGCGTGGAGCTATCTAAAAGGATAGAGCATCCACTCGCAAGGGAAGTCAAGACCCAACCACCGGAGATGATCCACTGGGTGCATCTTAACTCTCTCGCAAGGATGACACCAACCACCGAGGCCGGCGCAATTGCAAGCCCCACCATGGCTAGCAAGGTGATGCCTGACAAAGTGGCAGACATATAATGAGTGGAAATGAAGTATAATGGGAAGAATTGCAAGTGAGCAAAAACCTGGACTGCCGTCAGAGAACACGAAACGAATGCAAGGAAAACGTCTACTAACCACAAAACCATGCAAAAGGCACCCTAGATGTGTCATAGTCATCATCCTCGACCGAAACACTCTCTTCCCGAACTGCGGATACAGAGCCCACTTGGACTCATAAAGCAGAAGCACGAGAAGAACCACAGCACCCACCGCAAGAGGTACAATCGTCTGCCAGTCTTTCCAGCGATAGGAGGTCCCACCGCAAGAAAGGCCAACCAGGAGAGCCCCAAGACCTAAAAGGGCCAAAGTAGCACCCGTCCAATCCAAAACGCGCAATTTACGCATCGGGATATATCTCAATGCGCGAAGGTCCACAGCAAACGGAATAGCCAGCAAACCCAGCGCGCAGAAAATAAAGTTGAAATAAAATGCCCACCGCCAGTCTGCATAATCGACAAACAAGCCGCCGATAACGGGACCGAGAATGCCGCCACACATTCGCGTTAGCAGAATATAACATGAATACCGCGAGTGCATGGATTCAGGCGCCGTATCGGTCATTACAATGAAACACAGACTCATTGCGCCGCCGCCGCCAATACCCTGAACCATGCGGCCAACTACTAGTTCCGCGAGACTCATTGAGCCGCAGCAGATTCCTGTGCCGATTGTTGCGAAGACTACAGCAATGATCCATATGGGCCCGTGGTTGAAGATCTCGCTCATCATTGTGAAGTAGAGTTGGCTGCTTGCGCTGAAAATGAGGTATATCGTGTTGACCCAGAATGTGCTTGCTAGTGGCTTTGCAAATTTGTTTGCGAGGTCCTGAATTGAGGGTTTGATCAGCTCTGTTATAGATGTTAAATAAGACGGGTGTATTGCATGTGACATACAGGCAAAGCTGGGATCAAGATTGTCGCATTGAACGAATCCATCATTGCCAGGATCACGATACAGATAAAGACCAACCATTCTCGCACTTGAAATCGCCTGTGTTGTTCTTCGGCTGAGGGTTCGCTCTCGAACAGTTGAATTGAGCTCCCCAGTGCTGGGTTTTGCGTCATACCGTCCAAACTTCGGACACTGTCCGGTACGCCGAAGTTGATTTTCGACTCATTATCGTAAATTTCTTCGGCTATTGAACGGCGTCCCATTTGATTTGATATTGGCCGTCGAAAATATTCTTGCAAGAATATGTACTTGTCGCTAAACTGTCGTTCGTCGCAGGAGCCTGGATATTGTGGTTTCTGAGGTCGACTGCGGCATCAATCGAAACTGAACAGCAATTCTCGCAGAAAATTTCATAGCTCGCATTATAAGGTCACCAACATCAACGTGGGATAGAAGAGTTGTGTAATAGGAGGTCCCTGTCCGCCCCTTCGTCGTCGGGAAACCTGCAATGGAGACGTTTAGGCGGATTCCACAAAAGAAGGGATACATAGTAACTCCATTGCTATTGGGCCTAAATGTGATCTTTCGTTATCCAAACCTTCTATCGCGGAAAATATTAGAGCCTGACCCTTAAGAATGACGGGTTAAAGGGCGCCAGGACCATACTGCATTCCAGCCTCCTCGCCCCTTGTTGGCTGTCGTGATAATTAGGTGCAATGACCCCAGAAGCATTCCGTGGATGACGTAAGGAGTCTTTATTCGTGAACGAGAATTTGGCAGAACTTACCTTGTCATTTGATATTCAGGTTGTATCGTAAAATCCGTATATAAATGTGTCGTTGGATGGCACCGTGTAGAAATTCTGGATAAGCTATATTATCAGGGAAACCCCAGGTAATGGCTTTGACTTTATTTTGTTTCTGCTAAAGCATAGGTACAGAAATCTGAAAAGCACCCAATAATTTGATAGCAATTAGTGAGGCCTTTTTGAACGTCTCACGCGAATAGATGTCCACGGCTACTTCCACGCTCATCTCGCGAAGGCTACTCGCCGCAGGGGCCGCTATCAGGGGGACACTCCTCTACTCCCCTTCGTACATGTTACATACCCAAATCATATTTCTCCAAATCTCTAGTCAGGACTTTGATTCTATGTGGGTCGTCTCCTTGGGAGACGTCTTGCCGAGTCTCCTGAAATGTGGAACTTACATGTGGACGGTTGGTAAAACGCATGATTATTTACCTTGCTATGGTTACGATTCCAAAATACTGTTGGTATTGTCTCCGTCATTCACGTGTTTGAGTGAGTCAAGCAGCGCGCAAAGTCAAGCAGATACATGACATGAACAAATAAGAATTGGGTTCAGCTATGGCAAGGAATATTTCTGAACTAATGGCAACCCGTCGACGAAAGCATCATAGAGTCGGGCGAAATTGCAAAGATATTCCTGGGCTTCTGCTGCAGACGGTGGCTCGGTAGAAATTGAGCATGACATTTCTGCGCAATGATGCAATTTAAATGAACTGCTGTTCAAATGGCATTCCCATGGCGGATAGTAGTGTTTACTAATTCGAGCAAGAGTTTCCTCCCAGCCACGTCCGCATGTAAGGATTGCAGCCCACCACTGAACTTCGGCAATATCATTACTTCCGATGTCAAGGTCGAAGTAATCGTGCTCTCCTTCACAAATATTCCATTGTGCATGGTTCTAGGTGTACACAACCTTATCATCTGTTGTTCTCCGCGTAGCTCTATCATCCGCGCCGAAAGGATATATGACTAGCCGAGGACAAACACACAGAGATAGTTACCCACAGGCTCTTGGAGTGGTTCAAATCCAGTCCATTCTGGAATATAGTCTGCTGACAAATTGCATGGGCGCAGTAAGTCATGGTGGTTGGCATCTATAACACCTTGTTGAAATCGCCATCAGAACTGGGAAGGTGACAGGCTTCTGCTTCCGGTGCGGCACGCATACAGAGCATTCTAGAAAAGTAATAAATACACCAAATGAGATTATCTAAAAGATAAGAAGAGGGAGGTTCGAGAAGAGGGTTACTTCGTCTCGGAGACGGTGAGGATACGGGATTCTAACCTCACGTGGACTAATAACCCACACGGCCACGACGTCAACTTCCACGCAAGATCAAGCTTTTATTTTGTACTCAGTCTGCCATCTATCCCCCTTAACATGTAAATGAATCGTGCTATTGATCAAATCCATACGCGAGACCAGAAAATACTCCACTAAAGAATATCGTATAATCGACGTTTAGTGGAGGAGGCGTGCCAAGATTTCCGATTAGCCATAACTCTGGCCGACGACAGGATGGCTTAGAAACTCGCAACAGGAAATCCGTACTTTTGCCACCATGAACTACACTGCGTGCTTTCCGTACTCGTTTTGCGCGGTAGGTTTGGTGAACACCACCCGTCTCAAGGGCAGAACAGGATCTATTCTCTTGACAATCAGGACAGATATACTTATCAGTGTCAAAACGACCATTGGAAGATAGCTCTGCACATTCCATATGTGACCAGGTAAAGCAGACCGAGCAGTAGACTCCAGATGCACCCGACTTATCTCATTGACCGCAACATGGTATAGAGAAGGGGAAATTTTGTAGGCTGATGGCACCGATTTGGGGAATGGAAGAGTAATACCATTTCTCAACCAAAAAGGACGCTTGTGCCATTGAGACCAAATCCCTCGGCATGGATGCCTTGAGGATCATGTCAAAAAGCTCCGTGGGTACTGTAACCCTCCAACACTCTCCGCACTCTGCCAAAAAGCCCTTCGGGCGATTTGAGGTGAAGATATAAGCCAATACCCTAAACTCAGGGGAGCAGCGCAGTGCTGAAGTATTGGTAACCAGGGTAATAGGGGAGGATTGAGATATATCGCCATTGCAAATCTCAAAAAGTGCGATATGCCGTATGCTAATGGCTATACCACGAACAGTCGTTGTGTGCTTGCTACTGCGGGATAGAAAATCTTTTGCTTTTGTAGCCATAGAGGTGCCGATTTGATCGGTGTTGCAGCACACGATCAGATAATTGTGGAACCAAAATATGTTCTCAGCAGGCGCTTTCCATTGTGGAAGGGAGGAAAATGTGATCGGGCAACTCCTCGGTATCCATATTCCTAACCCCAACGTCCCATGCTGCGACACGTAATAATTCAATAGCAAGGGCAGCGAAGATGAAAAACGAGCTTCCCCAGGTAGAAGGGTCGTCAAAATAGAACCGCCATGTAAACACGAAGTCTGTAAAGACCTGAAATTGCAGCTCGTTTAGCCGTGCAGGAATACTTTGCTTGATTTGGAATGAGTTCAATAGATCTTGCACATTGGTTTCGTCATTTGCATCATCCATGGCCAATGCTGCACGTCGGACGCTCGAGTATAGAGTCACTGGGTGACTGTAAAATGACCCGCATCCTCATCAATAGTATAGACATAATTCAGTTGGAAATGAAGCGGTGACGGAAATGGGACGGTATTTCATTCGAACTTGTCGGTTCTCGAAAGAATTCGGTGGATGGTTTTCAGTGTTGTCGGTGTGTCTGAGGATGAAGACTGTCCACGGGGAGGGTGGAACCAACGATACCATTTCCCTATAACGATGTTAATAATCTTTGATTCAGGGTCAGGGGAAGTCCTTACCATCGACATGAAAGTTCCAGAGTCCCCTGGTTACCATCGCGAGTCAAATTATGGAAAACAGAAAATCCCCTTAGTTAACAGAGCCTTGGAGCTTTGGAGCCCTTATCTCCGGAGTACGTAATCACCGGTTACCGCTAGATCGCCCGGGATTCTCCCGAGATCGGCTCGGCTCGCTTCGTTTTCCAGTAGATCATGGTGAGGAGTCACATGCTTTTATTCCTCTAAGGTCTTCTTAGTCAGATTATTGGCATAATGCTACAGTAGGTACTTCGAGTTGGGGATCACGCAATTCCGATTTACCTTCGAGTGCCAGTACATGGAACAATAGTAAATGAGCAAAGCAAATCGACACAGCATGAACCTTGATGTGGATAGTCCTCTATAATGCCACCCTGAAGTCTAGCAGGGCCGTTACCATATTTTTGTTGCTTTGCGATGCAAGAGAGAGTGACCCCTAGCACTTCTTGGGCAAGACATATCCCCCAATACTAACAAAGAACTGCATAGCCTGACCCATAAAATCCATAAGATCGACCCCCAACCACGAAGGCAAGAGCTTTGCCCTTGGCCCCTCGAGCTCTCGGAGATACTTACCGGCAACCTAAGCGAACCGAAAGCGATTTAGCACGATGCCAGTTCCTTATTTGCAATAGATATCTCTCACCAAAACACACTCCCCCTCCCGGTTGTCATCCAAAGCCATGAACGCAATAGCATCTGCAACTCGATCCGGGGTATTTTTCTCAAGTCCAGCCTCATCCCATCTGCGCGCAAAGCCCGCCGTGATATGGGTTGGTGTCAAAAATGGTGCGACAGCATTAACCCGGACGCCGTGTACGCGCGCAACATTCTGACACGCCCGTAGAAGGCCCAGCACGCCATGCTTCGACGCGACGTAGGCGGCTACACCGGTACCACCGAAATAACTCGATGTAGATGCAACTAGCAAGATTGACTTTGTCGGTTGGGGGCTTGTTGTGGGTGGTGTGGAGCATTTTGTATAGTGTAGTCCCAAGCGAAGAGCTAATTTAGGTGAGGAGGCATTCTGTCAGCATGTGAGCTAGCTGGAATTGTGTTTCAACTTGCGATTGAAGGTTGCAAATGGCGGGGTAATTCACTGTTCAATGTTCCTTTTAGATTGACATCAATTACCCTCCCCGCCTCCAGGCTCTCGAGAAGACGTCCGTTCGCATCCACGTTGTCCATGTCCAGGACCGCCTCAGACTCCATAATACCCGCGTTGGCTATGACGATGTCAAGCTTTCCGAAGGTGGTAATCGCCGTTTCGAAGCATGCTGTTAGCTCTGCCCAGTTGATGATATTGGTAGATACGAATAATGCACGGTTTGGGAATTCCATCTGTTTCTGAATGACTTCTTCGGCGCTGTCTCGTAGCTGCGGGAGGTCGGCGAGAACGACATTGGCCCCGTGAGAGTTGAATAGGATCGCGGTTGCGGCTCCGATCCCGCGGGCTGCACCGGTTATTAGGACTGTTTTACCGGCAGATTGGGGGAAGAGAGCTTGGTGGACTTTGACTTCGGTCATTTTGCTTTTTTTTTTTACATGGAGGCACCCCAATTGAGAAGGAAAAAAGAAAAGTGAGCGTCTGTTGCAAGTCGGGGTATGTGGTGATGTTGATCCGACTGCGGCGAAGCATATTGCGGGGTATCGTTGAGGGGGAAATCAACCGCGGTGATTTGTACGAGTCTGCGTTGATAAAGAATGATATAATGATGTCCGCCATCTCATTATGTACATGCCACGTCCAGATATGTATGTACAGAAAAGCTGCCTATCATGAAGAGTGAAGAGACGAAAAAGGAAAAAAAATACATCAATCGTTTTTGTGCCGATCATCAGGTTGTGATGATGCGTACCCGCTCAAATCCACCCTTGATCCCACCCGAGAAGTCACTCGCGACTCAGCCAATGACTCTCCTGTGCTTACAGCATGGAAAGAGAAGTCTAATTCGCCCACTAAGCCCTTGACAAGCCTAGAATGAATAGCACTGTTAGCAAGCCCGGCCTGGTTTAACAAAGAAATTTCTATTGAAAGCTTACCGCAGTAATCTGTCCATATCACCGACAATGCAACGGGTCGAAATTTGTAGAACAGCAAAAGCCGCGAATCCCGGCTCCGCAATGTGCCGGAGGCTTAGAAGCTCACTGTTAAGTTCATTCAAGCGGTTCGCGAAGCCATAAGGACGGGGTGCTTTGAGATACGGCGGTAGAGGTTGACGGTTTGTAATGCTAGCAGAAAGAAGGCAAAGCAAAGATGTGACCTCGTGGGTCGTCACTTTAGCAGCATTGAACAGCCGTCGAAAATCAGTCATCCAGGCGGTATCTGTAGGATTGTCGCCGTCGCCGAGATACATGATGGTATCAGATGCGTAGCCTAGCAAGCTGAGGTAGTTCACGATACTAGAAAGATAAGGACTATTAGTACGTAGAAAGGCTGTGGGGGCACATAACATACTTTTCTACACAGAGAATAATCGAATCATACTGCTTTTTTGGGAACCGACCACCGACCGGGACTTCCCATCGAAGGAATCCAGAGTATGTCCGTAAACCGGCTAGCATAAGCATCTGTTTTGCGAACACTTTGTGTCGTGCTTTCTCAAGTTTGCGACCCGGAGATGTCTTGAGTAAACGTTCGCCCTCGTCACCACGCATGCGACCGGAGACTGTCTCGTGAATGATAGAGTAGTAGTTCGCCAGAAGATATAACGATGCTCCTAGACTTTGACGGAGAACTGAGTGCTCGGATATTGGATATGGGAAGAACGTCCAAATGAATGCGACAGCGATACCGCCCGCCACAACAGCTAGCCGATAAGGTGCCAAGAGGTATATTGGGTAATAGGTCTGTCCATTGGATGTCGCGACCGCTTCCCCGACTCGGCGAACTTGAAGCTCGTAACCAACGATCATGGTTGTCGTGATGATGCTGATCATCCCCACAGCCCTGAAGCGGAACATCTTGATGGGGATGTAGAAAGCAATGGAGACAAAGATAAACAGGAAAACGATAATTCCAGGTATACTTTTACCTGGGATATACCAGATTAAAAGACTGGCTACCATTGCAAGGAATGTACCCAAAATCCGCAACACGAAACTGAAAATGCTCTGTCCCGAGGTGGGAGACATGCTGAGATTGACCATGATCAAACCCCAGACTAGTCTTTGCGCAGTAAAGAAGGTTTGGGTATCACGTAGGAAGGCGATGACTGCAATAGTCATGGTGGCACATGCGACACGGAAGCCATAGGTCGACTCGAACGAGCGCAGAAACCATGGAATGACACGAATTTTGTCCCCAATCTTCTGAAAACTAGTAGTCGGTGGCAGATGCTCCGGGTCTTTACGAAGTTTATAAGCCTCTCCAAGCTGGAGGATGTTGTTTTGTGTATGAATGTCACCCATATTATCATCTTCGTGGTCTTCCGGATTCAAAAAGGACCTGGCCCACTTCCACACGCGCTTACCACCAGGAATGATGAGTCGACTCTTTGATAACTTCCCTTTCGCCTGAATATGATCGGCATAACGGACAAAGTCAAGCACAGTTTGACCGGTGGAGTACAGCAATTGTTCCATCTGACTGTATGTTAGCTTCGGGCATATTAAGCGGGTAAACAGCAAAGGCTTACGTAGAGAAATAGATACAGCTGCCGCTGGCTTCGCTCTTTTTGCGTAGCTGATGTATCCAGCAAATCGGCGGTCGGCATTTCAGCAGAAGCAGGGTTGTCGAAAAAGTCGGGCGGGAGTGTGACACCCTTCTCCTCGGCCCATGTCTGCAAAGCAAGGCGTTTTGCACTCCCAAATTCGCGAAGTTTCTTTTCAAAATACTCGATAAATGCTTTTTCACCAGGAGCAGTGTTATCGGCTCTGGCCTCCACATCTTTGTCTTGCTCCGTTGAATTGTCATCTTCAGATTTCGCTGTAGCTCTGCGTTTGGGGGTCTTTGTTAGCCTGAAAACATACGACGTATGCAGTAATCCCTCGTCAATAGTTTGGATCATTACAGCGAAGGGATCGTGTACCGCCCTCATGATCTCATTCCACTCATGCACGACCCGCCGTCGGACATCCTCCGGGACTACAGGCTCATTTAAATCAATGGGCTTATTCCATCTGTTATAGTCTGACATGCGCTGAAAGATATCCACCACGAAGCTCAGCCCCACAACCGGGATCATAATCTGGCGAAGGTGACGGAAGATCGCCTGAAGATCGTCTGGTCCCAATTTCCCTAATGCGATCTCACGCTTCGCAAATGTGAGATCGCCGTGGAGTTTAGCGTGGATATCCGTGATCTGTCGGACTGCACCACGGATTGCTTCTGCCTCGGGACTGTAGACCTTTCCCTTTTTGCCAAACTTTTCACGGGCATCATCATAGGTCTCTGTGCGACCGAACATGTCATCCCTTTCCAATGATTGAAAGTATAGAGCATGAGCATGCAAGCCCGAGCGAAGCCCGCCAATGTAGCTCGCCATTTGTTTTAAGACGACCTGCCGTGACGTCATAGGAAGGATCAACAGCGACGTCGCTGTTGAAATACCGAGACCAGTAATGAAGGCTTTGAGCAATTGGCTCACCATACTGAACGCGGCTGTCATAGTCTTCATTTGCGGCGCGTATACCGAAGCAATATTTGCAAAAATCGCGTAAATAATCACGGGGAACTGCAGCTGTGGGTTTTTGGCGCGGAAGGTGTGAACCATCCAGATTTGAAAGAACAGCCACAAACAGCTAACAGCGGACGCGGAAGAATTGTATGGATCAGTAGAGTCAGTAGCGGTGTGTTGGCGCGCCCGGACACTGGAGAACATTGTCAACAGGGCGAAACATGCTGCGATAGAGACAGCCAAGAGGTCAAAGATCATCATTTGGATAAACTTTGCGCGGGGCATGATCGCAAAGCCCAGAATCGAGACGATAGCCACGAGATAGCCTAAAGTCGTGTACTCGTCGGCAACAGCCATGGATTGGTAGCTGGATTAAAGGTTAGACTGATTCTGACAGACCGGGAACTTCTGAGGTTGGTAACTCACATAGAAATGGCTATAGTTGGTGGAATACCGCCCCTATAGTGGCTGTTAGAGATTTCAACTGCGGCATATTGCAGGCTTGGTCCTGAACTCACTTCATCATCAAGAGGATGGTGGGTCTGTCCAAGCCCGTCTTCTGCCATGTTTTTTTGACGAAACCGAAGAATAACGTTTTCCTCTTGCTTGTATCATCTTGAGCATCCTGCTGCGACGGCATTGACCCAAAGGATGAGCCCGACTGATGAGTTTGAGGGTTCGCCATGTTTACCGCCGTCACACAGTGGCCTCGGCTCAGCAACAAAAACAAAAGATCCGAATCTTCAGGAGCGTTGTTTTGACATCACCCACGTGACTTTAGAATCATGGATCTGAGAAATGGGGGAAAATGGTAGAGTTCAGGAAATGTGACAGATTTGGAGAAACCTCCAGGTCTAGTTGAATAATGCGAAAGAGCAAAGGAGTCGGTTTGAAATGCCGATCCTGCAGTACACCCCGCCCTGGTGTGATTGGCTGCCATATGTGGGGGAGGAGGATGTACTCCGCATGAGTAAACTTGGCATGTTGGTGCCTTATTGGTGCCTGGCTGATGCTTGGCTAGTCAGGCTAGCTACCCGTGGACTCTCTCAGCTTCGTCAGAGAGACTCAATAACATTGCTATATTTGGTATCTTTCGCTTTCACCCTAAACATCTAGCTGATGGTATTGGCTATAACCCTATGGATCAGTCTGCCATCCGGTATCTGCCCCCCGCTACCCACGGTTTCGGGATTGAGACCGAAGGTATGCAGGCCATATGGCGTGAATTCGCGAAAACCGTCGACTTTCGCCGTGAAGTGAATACAAAGTACTGACAATGGTAGATGGTGGAACCTCCAAACTTGAAATTGCTCCAGATTTATGCGATCTTTCTCAAAGTTCTTCTCTTGTAGAATCAAAGTAGGACCCAAGTAGATATTAAATCAGGGAAGACATATAACAGCTCTGCTTGAAGGTGGTAAATCTTAAGGACTTACTTATGTGGAACGTAGAGGTAGACCACACATCACGGAACTACACCTAAAGTTGTCCTAACTATCTAAAGTGTCTTCTATGCCGAATGAATCGCCGAGTGTATTCCTCCCTTTAAGGTTATGTTGCTTCCTCCGATCTTCCGATTTTTCGTACATTATAAGCTTGAAAATGTCCTGAGGTCTGGATAACGGTCTCTATAAGAGATTTTGAAAGGAAGATTGCGCCAAATAATGGATATAATGAAATAGATGACAATGTTCAAAATCAGTGCTGCTCTGTTTCCGATATACAGATGGCGACAGCCTAACAATTCCATCAAAACACTCCACTCACTCCGTCATTCAAGTTACTCCGATCGATTTCTTTGCTCTTGCCTCTGATACTCCGCGGCATTTAGATGAGCGTAAGTACACACATTGTCCGAGCATAAGAACTCTTCCTGGAAAGAAATGATATAAAGACCGAGCGAATTCGGCCGCTGTTTGAAACCTCCCTGCTTCAGTTTCAGATTTACTGCCAAAACCACTGTCTTTGCTGGAAAGCAAGAAGGAGATGGCCCGACAATGATATCCAGCCCAATTTTCGACATTGCCATGATGGCATTCCTCTTCATGGGATTTGCTATTGGCGCTCCCGTTGATCCTCATGAAAGCATCACTTCTCATGATCTCGGCGAGTAAGTAAATAGACCCGGACTTGCCCGTCCTTTTGATTCCTCTTCCTGTTTTAACATTCACGATCCATCGAGGTCCATGCTAACTCTGATCCAAGTCCTAGCCAGCGGAACAACACACACAGTCCCGTCTCAACCCAGGCATTTGACGGTGATCTAACCTAGTATGAGACCGGGGTTGGATCCTGCGGCTGGTCTAATAACGGGGGAGACCACATCTGTGCCGTCTCTCGTGTTTGTCTTTGACCGCGCGAATGTAGACGGCAACCCCAACCACAATGCACTTTGTGGCAGGTTGATCCACATCCAACGGGGTGACAGGGGTATTGATGTCACTCTAGTAGATCGCTGTGAGGGATGTGATGAGTTTGACATCGACGTCAGCCGTGGTGTTTTCCAGACACTCGGTAACCTCGATGAGGGTCGCGTTCGCACTGATTGGTGGTGGATATAGATAGAGCCATGGTGTGGTAATCCTCACAACATCATTGACTGTGAGGCGGGTGGATCCTGGAGGCTGGCTGATGGGTAAAACCAGGACAATATATGAGTTTTGGACAGAGATTCCGCGTGGGAATATAGCGGGCTGGTTGAGTTAGTATTCGGGCCACGAGGAATCCACTTGTTCTTTCCATGATCGGAGTCCTCCGCGGATGTCACCAATGAATCTCTTCCCATGCTGATCTAGTCCTAATTCTTTCATTTTCTTGACGACAATCTGCGAGTCGTTTCCTAGACGGCATACGACATAGATTGGGTTTGTAGACTCGGATGATGCAACCTCGGACGGTAGCCAAGAAGGTACTTGCGCAGCTTGTTGCTCATCATCAGCCTTCTGTAACGCAGTGGGATAACTTGAGGAAAGGATGTTTGAGATAGGAATGTTGATGCTATTCTGCAAACTGCAGATTCCAAACTGAGTTTCGTCTCGGACGTCAATTATGGTGTGGAGCTGTGACGAATCGGAGGTGACGTTCGGGTGTCTTTGATTGTATTCTCGGGCAGAGATACGTTCCTCGGGACCAAGTAGCGAGGGTAAATTTGCGGATCCACAAAAAAATACATAGTCCATTGAACCTGACCTGATTGTATCTAGTGTCACCGTTGGCTCGGCAGAGCACACAGCACAGTTGACCCGGCGAGAACGAAGACGGATTGTGCGGAATAGGGGCGATGAGTAGGCAGAAAAGATATGGAGATACGGGGGATCCCGTGGAGAAGCTGTAGTCGAATTTGAACCTCCATCAACCTCGGGTGCAGTAATAACTTTGATCGCCTCTAGGGCCTGTAGAACGCCCATCGTCCCAACAACCGGCCCTAGAATACCTCCATCTGCACAACTGACCACACTATCAGCCGGTGGCGGTTTCGGGAACACACATCGATAGCATGGCCCTCCAGTCTTGTCGCCCGGTGGTCGGGGCGGGTTATTCAACACCATCAGCTGGCCCTCGGTGCGCAGAGCGGACGCAGAGACCAATGGTTTTCCAAGAAGCACTGCAGTGTCCGAGATCAGATAACGCGTCGCCGGGTTATCTGTGCAATCGAGAATAAGGTCATAGTCCTTGAATATCGTAGGTGCTTCCTCAGGTGTGAGATGTGTGCGATGGGCAATATACGTGGGATGAGGATTCAGTCTGGTGAATGCCACAAGAAGTCGTCAGCGCCGAGCTCAGTACTCCTATCCGGATCCACTCACTCTCGTAAAGACTCAATCGCACTATCGACCTTGTACTTTCCCACATTCTTCGTTCGGTGTAGCACTTGGCGATGGAGGTTCGACACCTCGACTGTATCCCCATCGATGAGTCCAATGGTGCCAACACCAGCACCAGCGAGATACTGTGCAGCTGGACATCCCAGACCCCCAGCTCCAACGAGCAGAACTTTGGCCGATCGGAGTTTAAGTTGACCTGTGGTTAATTGAAATCGCCATCAGTCCTACTGCTCAAACCAACCGCCAAAACGTAGCCGTATCTTACCTTTCAAGCCAACTTGCGAAACAATCATTTGTCGCCCGTATCGCTTATATTCTTCCTGAAGCAATGGCCATCGTCTTTCTTCGCCATTCTGGTCCTCCTCATGCTGGGTTTCTGCAATCGTTGCGGTCTCCGATCGCGCTGCTTGTTCGGCGTTTGCAAGGTCGCGTTTGAGCCCAGCAAGTTGTGCTTCTGCCACAATAATCTGGGCGCGCAAAGAAGCGCATACTTGGTCGGGAGATCCCATCGAGATTGTTAGCATCAACGCGTGCGAGAAAGAAATTGACGCGTGGGAAGGAAATCTCAAAGTTCCCCGCGGTATTTATTGTGGGGCTACCTGCGATGATGTCTTTTGTAGACCTCGAGAGGTATAAGAGCCTATATTGTATTCTTACGTCAAAATCCCCGTCAAATTATCGTATGAAATGTACATATTGGGTCCGAATTTATCCCAATAAGTGCGGGAGATGTATGGATTGTATCATCTAGCTCATCCTCATGCATAATTTGAACATTTCGCAAGTGCTCCACATAAAAACACCCCTAAATGTTTACAACATACAAGCCAATATCAAAAAAATAAAGAACTGGAGCCCCAACGGCCAGTTTTTTGATATGTAAAAGGATGCTATTCTAGGTTTTTGTACATAATATGGACTAGGTGATGAGCGAGTCAGTTGTTGGAAAGCCCTGCGTAAGAGAACATTTCTATTCACCCAAGCCCATCGGGCTAAGAATATATATATTAAAGCAATAAAAACATGATCAGCTATGCGGTCCTCCGACTATACATTGAGAGTCGTAGCTTGCATCAAGGCAAATTATCGAGTCGGGGAATAAGCGACAAAGAAGGAAACGAGAGAGTCAATAGCAATGGAAGTCACAGACAAAACCAAAGACGAGTGCTTCTGCCAAAGGATCCTCAGTAAAAGCCACTCCTCACAGGTTGAGATCGAGAGGTTGTATTCAATACACCGGTGGTAGTTCGGTCGTTTCATTTATATCCCCTGAAGTACCTTCCACTGTGATCGGAAAGCGTCGATCTGATAATAGCAGTTATCCATCTCCGCTTGATACGACAACGTCATATCACACAAATTCAATGCATAGCCACCACAAGACATCATATGTCGAATTATGCCCCAGAATGATGCACCAGTCCTGCATCATCGAGGGTCTTGTGTCATCATTTGATCCATCGGAGGGAGCAGTTTACCCTCATGAGCGATACCTGCGAGGACTTGGCACAGATTCATGTTCTCATATGTGTTTTGGTCCATGTCCCAATTTACCTTTACCTAAATTGGAGAAAGGCCTTCAATACATCTGTCCAAGGATAGAGAAGAGGAGCACTGCTGAGCCAACTTAAGATGGTTGGGTCTTGGTCTGGTCTTTGTCGGCATCCTGCTGTCGTATATGGTAGCCTTGTTTTCTGAGGAGGCGAAAAACTCAAGGGCTTTTTCCCAGGACTCCATATAGGAAATCTATGAAACATACCCCAAGATTGTCCAGTACCGATCGAATTTGTCGTCCAGCTTGTTCCTCCAAGACATTAGCTGGGGACGAGGATGAAAAATGTTGTCCAGCGGGATATCGAGCTCCAACATCGCGTTTAGTTCACCGCGGTATCTCCTTGTGCGGTGGAAGTTATGCAGATCACTGCTCATGGTGTACTCCTCAATATCCTTAGACACCTGAAGTAGATGCCATGCCATGATGTGTGTAATTCGCAAAGAAGCATCCTCTGACTCCTCGGGGAGTTGCGGCCAAACTTGGTAAGGATCTTCGATACAGGATAGTTCTTTGCCACCCTTGATGAGATGATTTATGTCCAATTTTAGCGAGATAGTCTGATTATGCGGTGCTCTGATCCATGCCTTAATAAAAGGCCAGGAAAAAGCGAATTGCCTGAGGTCGTGTTTATGCTGCAGTCCAAGATACACGGCAAGCTCTGCCTCATCATGAATCACGTACGAAATTTTTGAAGTTACCAAGGTCATCGAACGTGGGATAATTCATGGCAATTGCTTCAATTGGCCACGGTGACTTTTCTCTTCTATGTTAGCTGTTGCCGCGTGGGAAGAGTTTCTATTTTACCGTACCACCAATATTCACAGGGTTTGGATATTGAGATGAAATCCCCTTGGGACATGTGTCTACATAGTCCAGGAGATGATCCTCTTCCTGCTTCTCGGGGTGAATATGTGGTTCTCTGACAGCAGCGACTCCTCTCACCTTAAGTGAAACCTTCTTAGATGTTAGGTCTTGAGCGGGCGACTCGGGTCATTTTCTCTTTCCCTTCTCATCGGTTGGATGAACACCAGACGGGCCTGCTTCTGAACTCATAATTTCATCTCAAGGATCTGACACGATCGGACAAATAATGGTGATAGTCTGTGGAAAATATCTAGAGAAGTAAAGGGTCTCACATATGAGAATGGGTGTCATTGGGAAAAGTCAAGTTCTGTACAAGTTGCAGGTGCACATTGCAACTGCAGGAATGACGGAGAGGGCGATAGTAGTTTTTTGCAAGTGAAACCAACTCGAACGTATTATTGATTACTATTGATGCTTAACTCTTAAGTAGTTTATGTTTTTCGCATTTGAGCATCATCCATGCCATTCTCTCGTAACTGAACTGCCAATAGGCATCCCATTCAGTACCAGCCCCATCACGTAGACACAAACAAGCAAAACAGCGTTGAACAGCCCATCCCAACAGCTCAAATTTAACAGAACACACAGGTCGTCCACCACCGAGTTGAATGGAAATTGGTATAGCGAGAGCACAGAGTGTGTGATGAACTAATCACTCGTCGTTTCATAGGCCTCCTTTTCAGCTTTCCGTCTTAACATTCGTCGGTATGCAAAGAGTGCCAAGATTCCCATCACAACGAGGAAAACGATGCAGAAGACAAGGACTACCCCGCGATTCCTGTTCGCCCAGTTGCCCTTGTGGCCGCTTCTTTCGACAATCGAATGGAGAGAGAGGGATGCGGACTTGGTGTGATGGACTATTTTGGTTGGTGCCATAGTGTCGGTGGTAAGTTAGAAGTGGATTTCTGTTTTACATATCAGTTCCTGGTCAGACAATGGACCCATCGGCTGCCTCATTCAATGAACAGTCCACAATTGAAGCATGTATTCTTACTAGATATTGCGGCTTTGTGGCGATATCAATCGATGACTGACTATAGAGGACAGATTCAGCAACGGTTCACACCTCGTTGTATCAGAACTACATCAATGGAATGACCAAGGAGAGCTGAGGAAAGAAACGACCAAATAATATCAATAGCACGGGGGAGAAACCTACTGTCACACGAATGACAAAACTTCTGAAGACGAAGTGAGACCACAGTGGAATTCAGACTGCAATAGAAAGCTCGACGATTACTCCAGCAGATGACAGTGATCTTGTCGGGAGAATCCTGAGACAAGTGATCAGGCTCACCGGGATGATTTTCGATCATTAGAGGAACCTCCGGCAAGCGACGGACAAGGATCATTGCCAATCAATGATGCGAGTGCCCTGGTACCTACCTTTCATTGTGCTTAAATGACCTTCAAGTTAAGACAGGCTCCCGGTTTGATTGGATCCCTGTCGATTCTTTACCGTGGCTTTTGCAATTAGCAGAGTTAAGATGCCAGAAGGGAAGATCCGTAGAGCTCCGATGTCGAGGTACAAGCTTATACTACATCTATAGTCTCATGCTGAGCTGCAAGATCAATGTACTTAGACCAATTGCTATTTACAGATCTTGCGCATGTAAGGAGCTCGCATGCAAGTTTTCAAGTATGCTGAAAAATAACCACATGTGGCAGAGCAATAGCTACTCACAAAATAGCAAGTCTGGACACCCCCTGGGCCTTACCGGCACCGCTGCGTCACCTTTCAATCATACTCTACTCTCGGCTCGTCGGGTGCCTGATGACAACCGGACTAGGGAGAAAGGGGCCACGATGTCTATCATACGTATACATGAAGAAAATCAAATACTTGGCCTTCTAGTCGACTGCATGATTCTCGTCCCCAAGCTTGAGAGTAATGGTAATCAAGTATCGTTTCCAGCGATGACTTTGTGAGCATCATACCTTTGAAACTGTGTTTTGACGTCATATGCGGTAGCAAAAACCATCTGGGATATTTATTGACAACTTTCAATGTTAGTATGATCTTTAATTCATCTCCGGGGAAATTGCGGGAAAACTTTACACAAACATGTTGCTGTTGATTCGAACGTCCGAGTAATACCTCAGGCATTTGAGTCTTAGCTCGGAGCCTTCATCGAAGGGAAACATCTCATCCACTTATGGGTAAGTGATTTCAATTTTGATTCAATACTGTCATGAACATTGCTATATTGTATGCTTTTATACACCGAGAATATTTTGAAATGGTCTACCGTAGGACCCTAATAATACGCTCTATATCGATCGTCTATTTGCTGCTACTAGAACGGATTTGGATCATAATTTCCGAGGAGAAGCCCTATGGAGTTAAGTAAGTGGAAATTACTTAAACTTAGACATACTAGACCCTTGGCACCAAGCATTATCGGTCCGTGACTCTTGGCGACTGGGTGCGTTTTTCTTTTCTCTATTCATGATGCCCCGGGCCGTGAATGACCCAATATAGCGACAAACTCCTTATGTGTGGCCTTACAGATATGACCATTCATTATATTTGTCTTTTTCTACAATACAGCAGACAAACTGATAGTTTACAGTCTGAATTTTTCGCATGTTCTTCACCTCGTATTCGGCACATAGGGCACCAATCACCATTTTCCACGGACAAGATGGCTGCCCGCCGAGACTCTAGTCGCAGAATGTGAACAGAAATAGCTAAAAGCATTTGGATTTAGACTATGATTCTGACAGGCATGGTAGGAAGTACCAGCACAGGACTACTGTACCCCGTATTCTCGGGAATGGTCAGCCACCAAGTGTCAGATAAATATTTAGTCTCATGGTGTAGTATTCACGCTATATACCCGTTGTATGAAGGTCGTTAGTATAACTCGAGGTTAGAACGGTTTCAACCTGTTACTGTTATATTATGGCTTCCTGAGAAAGTAATTAGTTTGGTTCTTCTACGGCGCACGCGACTCATCCATACTCTTCCGGTCCGGCCTCCGATCCTGGAGATGCGCTAGAGACCGTGTTAATATGCATTGACTCCTCAGTCTTCACCCGTCTATTTCCCTCCTTAGTATAGATCGGCTGCTGCAGTCATCTCAGGGTCCAAAACCGGGGACTTTCACTGGATGCAGGGGTGGGCTAGAACTCCACGGACGAGGCTCATTTAAATACGAGGTTTATTCTTTTCAAATTCAAAGCAACCAGGGTCTATATATTACTGCTATGTTCCCCCTCCCGGACTTTTACCAGCTAGAAATTTAACCTCAACGAAATTCATTCCTTTCCTTAAATTCACTCTTCAAAAGACCCACGTCGCCGTCATGATACCATTATATGCACTTTTCCTAATTCCCCTGGTGAATGGATGGACCTTCCGCTACACCAACGCGACCAATGCCACTGAAATAGCCCGCGGCCAAGATTCACAGAACTGCACAAATTCCCCTATTGGTAAAGAAAAGCTTTTTACCTGGGATCCCGAGGGATCTGGCCTATGTGTCTCGATATACCGCGACCTCAAGTGTGACTCCAGGGCGGGATATGCATGCGAAATATGGAGAAAGAATGCCAGTGAAGCATTTGCGGCTTTTGATGTCCTGCCTGAGACGGAGATTGATGCCAAACACCAAACATCTACACTCGCGGTATCGACGTCTACATCCGCTACGACATCCGCATCTGCATCCATATCCACACCTTCATCTGTGTCTTCAGAATTGGTATCCGCAATCCCCACCGGGTCCACCGCAGTGTCTACAGCCAATTCTGACAGCGGCTTCTCTGATTCATCGCTCTCCGGTGGTGCTATTGCAGGCATCGTGGTTGGCGTCGTAGCTGCGGTTGCTATTATAGTCGCTTTCGTTGTCATTCTCATCAGAAAAAGGAACAAAAAGAACACCGCGGTTGCCAACCAGCATGGTGGTTATGAGCCCCATGAGGCGGATGCTACTGGATCATCGATAAGTGGTACTACCGCGGTTGTGGAGAAAGCAGCAGACTCGGCCGTGCGCCCATTCAGGCCTCCCCCTGGGTCCAAGATTATTGAGTTGGTTGGAGATGAAGGAAGTGCTGAACTGGGCAGCAGCCCCATAAGTGAGATGGATGGAAACAATATCAAGAAAGGTTTCAACCGGTTCTAATGTCTCATGAGCGGATATGTTGCTTTATTTTAGCTGATGTTGTTGCTTGTGTCGAGATGTGTTTGATCTAGTTCTGTTAGCAGGAAGCTTGTATTTGGGTCTTTTTCCCTTCATTGCCACTTGGTGTTGATATTGATATCCGGCCCCATCAAAAGAGGAAAGCATCATTCTCTCTCCCCTTCTTCTCGTCAATTCCTTCTGCACTACGCTCAGCAATCATGAAACGACTACGTCCACTATAATTATTTCTTCACTTATCCGCACTTCTCGCTTGTTCTTCCATTAGACTTGAAAGGTTCCCCTTCTCTTAAATCTCTCTACTCCTGCTAGTGTACAAATAACCTGCCTTCCACAAGATGAAATTGCATATATGAGAGACGAGCTGACTAGCAACCTGGTACACAGAGATCTCTCTTCGTGAAGTACCATGAGCGCGCCACGTGATTTTGTCATTGTTATGACTTCCATCTCCGAGTTTGAAGGCACATTCACCTGTCGGTACCTTCCTATTTAGGCAGTGTAGTTGGGATTCCAGATTTTGATGACCAAGTAATCATGTGTATAAAAGCAGCAATCAATTTCTATTCTTGGTAATTACCCCATGGTTTTCTCCTCTCTAGCATCCTACTACTCCCAGTGACAACTCTGGTCTCACGCCAGTTTTGCAGACAGGGCTGTCAGTGCTCCTACTTTCCCAGTTTCAGAGTCTCCTCTTCAATAGGTACTCTTCAGCCTTTTTAGTAAGCATTCACAGTTGCCCAAGTAAATAGTAAGCATAGGACATGAGTTTCGGCCGCCTATATATTGTAGCTAGGAGAATGGATAGATGCAAAGGAACAGCCTTAGCTGTATTAGGTATCTTTGGAGCTTGGAGTGACGTGTCATGAAAAATATAATCTATTAACTAGTGCTCTGGTATATATGATAAAAAAAAGACATAAAAACATGAAGTCTTTCATATAATGTCTCACCAAGCCAAGCTCAGATTGGGAGTCCTGAGAATGCCATTCTTGATCAGCTACAGCATACATTTCAATAATACAGCCTTTGCTTCACTGAACCAGCAGGAACATCTTGTGCCACGGTGGTTAACGCAAGACATCCAACGTCAGTTTCAGGCTGAACATCTCCAAGCCATAGTTTTGTGTCTCGCGTATTCTTGGACCATTCATCTGAAGACCATGTTGAAGATCCAACAATTCCTTCGATCTTATTTTGCAATAGGACAACAGAGATCGATCCTAGAAGATCGGGAGCGATCGTTATGAGGTGGAGATAGGCGCCCACCAGTGCAAAGCAGAAGATAACCACTGAAGAAACTATGAGAACGGCGAGCCAGGGACGGTCACATTTGACGATATTTTGCAGATGGGTGTTTTTGGCCATGAATTTGACGGGGGTATTCTTGATTTGGCTTCCTTTCTGTGTGATTTTCGTCATGTTAACAGAGCCCGTGAATGCCGAGGGGCTGACTCCGAGATAGAGCATGGAATTGAAGATCTGTGATAAACGCGTTCCAAAGACTTTCGGGGTTGTGGTCTTAGGCGACATGAGATTCTCGCCGAAGAAGTCCACGACGGGGTTATAAGGGTCGATAAAATATCCAATCAAGGGCTGTAGACCGCCATTCTGCTCGACATAGGGATACAGGGTAGTGAGGATATCCAACAATCCGTAGTTATAGCTTTTCGGTAGCTCGGGATCACCTGGCAAATTGAGATCGAAGACAGTCCAGTTTTTGTGGAAATGTGATTCATCCACCGACCGGCGAACGGAGGACAGGTTGCAAGTGTTTGTAGACTGAATTCCGCCTGAGCTCTCGCATGTCACGTTGGAATCGACATAGGTCGTCGTAATGTCGCATATGGCTCGTGTTATGGGGGATCTATCATCGATAGCACCTGCGTAACCGCGATCCCATGATTCCCATACCAGTTTACGGGCATTCCGAGTCCTTGTCATTGATGCGTTGAGTGAGTACGAACATGGCTCCGAGATGGCAATCATAAACTGGTATCCACCCCATGCGCTCGTCCAGCTACAATCGTCGCCATTACCGGGGGATGGAGCACTTGACCCGGTGAAATTGGTGAAATTCAAAGTGTGGATTGTGTCGAAGACAGGACAGGACACGGATAGATACGAGCCTGAGAGGGTAAATGATGTGTTGCCGGAGCCTGGTAAGCCAATCACCGGCATGCCGACAAGAGACGCGTACGTCAAGTTGTCGTTTTGGGGTGCATTCATCCAACCCGTACTGTTTGTCTCGAGATTCTCAATCACAGGAGGGCGGATGTTACCCCAGAGATCTTGGTTGCGGGTCGCAAGTATCCTACCCGCAGCCAAGGAGGCAGTCATGGGGTTAGCGACCGATGTTATGGCTTCCGTTGCCATTTGGTGGTAGCCGTACTGGTACGGAGTAAAAGTGCTTAAAGTGGTCAACTCGACCGGATTACCTGGGTAACTCGGGACAATTGAAATCACCCGGAGAGATGCTTGACTGCCCAGCGGAGACAGGCACCATAGTAGAATAGTAAAGACGGCGACAAAGTTTACCGCGCGCAGCCTGATCTGGGTGAGAATGGCTCCTGTGATATTCTGGCTGCCGAGACATTGCTCTACTAGCCCGATCGTCGCTCCTCCAGTGGTCTGGATGCGCCACGATGCAATACTTTTGATGCTGCTACCGGCAATAGCGGCGAAAAGGACTGGGAATACAGTGGGTGCCTTTGGGAGGAAATGCGGTGTCAGCTAGATTTGACGATCTTGAGGACGAGCGTAGGATTGGGGCAACTAACATATTGAGAGACTTCAAATAGTTTGGAGCCCATGGAGTCCGGGCCCGCCGGTTTTCCATCGATACAAGAAACCCATATACCGAACACCGTGAAGAGCAAGGCGACAATGGCAAGAGTCAAGTCCCATAATAGACGAGAAATTCTATCCAACTGAGAGACCTTGAGGGGTTGGGGTTGGGGTCGATATTTCTGGTCGTCGATCTCAGGGAGTTCGATTGCCGTATAAGATTGGAATTCTGATGTTCTCGAGTAATTTTCCTCGCCTGGTAAAGCTCCGTAGGGGGCGCTTTTCGATTGCCTCATCTCGGGGAGTTTGAGGGGGTTCTCAAGTCAAAAATCTCCTAGCAGCGATATGGCGGGGAGTTATTAATTTATGCGTTACGGGTTACAGAGTACACAGCCCCTCATGCAGGAGAAATAAGTGTTTGTTTTTAAAGCGGGCGTGAAGGATCTAGACTCTCGTGAGCGCAAAGCAATATTAGACGATTCGCAAATGGGCTCCGGAATCCTGTCTGAGTCATGCGAGGCTAAAATTGCCATTTGGCCATGATTGCCATTTACTGATCCTTCAGCGCTTAAATGTAGTTGATTGGGTATGAGCCTCATAACCAGCCCCTAAAACCGGGGCCTCAACTCGTCGATCCATTCAGCCCTTGTCACACAGTACAGTTACCCGGGCCTTGGCGCAAGGGAAATCAGGTATCGAGCATGACACTAGACAGGGGCTAACTGGATTTGTACAATATCACAATATGATGAGGGACAAGATCTCACTCTGTTCGTCAAAGCACGTACAGTAGAATTCAAGAACACCCAGGGTGGTTAGTCATCCAACTTGGCAGCGAAATTTACCCTGAATGTATCGCAACTTCTCATCGCAAACGCCTCCCTGCTCTCATCCGCTTTGCGTTCTAGGATGGATCTATCTCTGTTCTGCCAAAGTAACCTTCTTTATACACAAGAGTCATTGTCAAAATATCAGCCTGGGGGATACCATCCAGTCAACCTCGGAGATACATTTGAAAATGATCGTTAGAAGATACATCACAAGTTAGGATAGGGTGGCTTTTCCACAGTATGGCTTGCGAAAGACAGAGAGTCGGTTTATCCTGTAGCCGTCTTATGTGCCTCCCTGACAAGGTGGGATGATGGTATTACCGCCCCCATCCAGGTATGGGGCGGTAAGATGGGGCTAGCAACTGTATTCATTTCTAGCTAATCTCACGCCAGCCGAAATCAATGGGTCTCCTTGAAAATCATGACCGCAAATTCGTCGATATCGCGAGAGCTACACATTTTGAAATTTCTAGAGAGGCAATGTCGGAAAGGGCTTTCTGCAAACTATATTGTTCAGCTGCTTGATGCCTTTATACATATAGGCCCTAACGGGACCCACCAATGTCTTGTTTTTGAATTACTTGGCCTTCAGTTGGTAAGGTTCTCTCGGACTACCATCAGGCTCACGATAAACTCGACCCGGAAACTGTGCTCTGAATTTCTACGCAGCTTCCAAAAGCTATCAAATTCATTCACAGTGCCGGTATATGCCATCGAGGTAAGGGAGCTTTCTATAGTTGGCCTTTTTACTCATATACTATTAGATATCAGTAGTCAGAATATTGCATTTAGTTGTATTCATAAATTGAGCCGCTAAAACGTGTTAATAGCACACCTCTAGGTAATGAATTGCCGGCCCAACTGATCAAGGCAGCAGAATGGACTGAGTGGATAGACGAGGACGATGAAGATATTCGGCTCCTCAATTTCGGCGAGAGTTCTTATCAAGGATAGGAACAGAAGCTGGCCTAGCCGGCTTCATTGAGGGTACCCGAGACGATATTCACTGACCACTTTGATTATCGCGTCGACTTATAGCGCATAGGTTGCATGGTAAGTTAACATATCATTTCTTTGAAGGAAATATACTTACCGCGAATTGTAGATTTATTCCTTCTTCTTCACGACTTGGCCATTCTGGTATCTTGGCGAGGACGAAATTTTAATTTACCAGATGATTGGCTTCGTGGAGAAGTTGGTGGCTGAATGGAAGTCTAAGTGGGAATCAATGCTGAGGAATTCTAGACATAATCTGGAGCTAGAAGATGGTAAGTAAATTGATCCATATACAGAACTGTTGCTAATTTTGTTCGAAGATTACGGAACCTCGAAGCTTGAACGGGAGTTTGCTGGTTTACCCGATCCAACACTCAAACCTCTACTCCATATAATCCAAGGATTAATGCGATTTTTACCCTCTAGTCGTCTTATTGCAGAAGAGGCACTTGATTTGCTGGGTAATGTTCAAGATTGATGAACAAATCAAGCAAATAGATTTAATGTGACGTGCCAGGTCTTGCGAAGATAGAAGAGTGCATTCAATATAGAATAACTTGGAGAGAAAGAAGCCGCAAGTTGCAAAGTGGGAAGCTGCCTATTGATAGCTGCCCCTTTGCAAACATTGAATATCTCGCGTAGTTAACTAGCCAATAATCTCATGAAACAAACAGCAGATACTCGCCGATCCGTCAAGTCATAGGATAGACAATCATGCAGCTTCGTACTCAACTGTATATGATGCATCACATTTTTAGGGCAGTTCCAAGGGTAGATAGGCTTGCTTGGTGAGAGCTTGAAAAGAACAGGCAAGCTCCGCCCCACTCTAACCCTAGTGGAACTGAAAATCATTTCATCAGACATAAACCAGTTTCTTCTTATGCTATACGGAGTATAAGTTTTGTATTCGTTGTGTTTCTATTATAATTTCTTTTTCCAGCCCACATGTATTTGGAAGAAATTGTCCCTGCCTTGGGAGATAGCTGTTTCCTCTGCGATTCTTTTTTTAGAATTAAGGGTTCAGAGACTTGAACGAAAGCCGGGGTACGGAGTATCGGTACTACATGTAGTTGAAATAGCTGCCATGACAATTTCGAAACCGTCATCGCCATATTTATGTCAACCTGAAGCATTGATTGTCAACCCCCTTCATTCTATATTGTCGCTATCTAAGGCCCCGAGTTTACTCAAATCCTTTCATACCCGAAGATATATCCACACACATTCAAAGCTCGGACACTCGCAATGATCGCACAAAGCCCACAAATGTGAATGACCAGATACTACTCTGTACAAATGGGCACCTTTATTGTTGACTTCTTGGTGATGCTATACTTTAAGATCTGTACTAGTAGTAGGGTCGCTGTCGGTGGTTTCCCCGACCCTTCACTGACTCTCAGACTCTCCCAGTCTACTGCTAATAGTCCCGTCGGTATACAGTGGCTATTATGATACCCCATCTTGGATCTTGTTCCTAAGTGCCGAATAGACTTCCGATGTCTAGATCGTACCGTGGTTCGCGACCGGGGCTCGGAGCATATTGCCGTGTTGGGACTGATAGTACACCGCTCTGCAAACTGCCGTCGCACTTTGGACGGATCAACCGGGGAAGCTACACTCGATGACGCCGTCTGTTACCATCAAAGTGATGAAAATGGCCGTCCGATCCCTGGGAACCAGATGTTCCAAATCTTTAGCTTGGTCGATTCCCATATATATTATGCTCATTTCCTAGATAAAATTCGTCTCTAAAATCCAATTGCATTTTGTATCCTTCAGCATTTCAGCATGTCTCATCGGAGTCACAGCCCACATGATTCTATCAGTAGTGGAAGTGATGACCTCAGTACCATCCCGACGATTGATGATCGCCGTCTGTCGGAAGCTGGGCCCATGCCCTCAGGAGGCCTCACTCATCGCCAAAGCAATCCCAACGAAGTCGAGCTAGAGCGAATCAATACTTATCGACTCCAACAACGCTCAACTGTTGGCTCCGGCATAGGAATCACACCGCGTGACCAGTGGCTCCCCCTCGGAGCTGGGAAGCCTCATCCTCCATCACTCCCAGACCCGGAACAATACGTCGTCGAATTCAACGATGCAGACGATCCTATGCACCCCCAGAACTGGTCCCTCGCAAGCAAAATCGGTATATCAGTGACCCTAGCATATACAACATTCGTTTCGTCTTTCGCCAGTGCCATCTTCTCCTCCACGGTCGGACATGTCAGTGCTCACTTTCACATCAGCACGGAAGTCGCTGTGCTCGGTGTGACGCTATACGTTCTGGGATTTGCTTCGGGCCCAACGGTATGGGCACCGGCAAGTGAGCTCATCGGGAGACGATGGCCGATCTGCGTTGGTATGTTCGGGTACTCCATTTTCTCCATTGCGGCAGCGACCAGCAAGGACGTCCAGACTTTGATGATATCGCGATTCTTTGCTGGCTTTTTCTCTGCTAGCCCGATCGCTATTGTTCCGGCCGTGTACGCCGATATTTGGAATAACCAGACGCGTGGTGTCGCTATTGCTATGTTCGCCATGGCTGTGTTCGTGGGACCATTCGCGTCTCCATTCACTGGTGGCTTCATCACCATGTCTTATCTGGGATGGCGGTGGACGATGTACATCTCCTCCTTCATGGGATGGCTGGCCACTGGTCTTTGTCTTCTTTTCTTGAAAGAGACCTATGCACCCGCTGTCCTTGTGGAGAAAGCCGTCATCCTGCGACGGCAGACACACAATTGGGGAATCCGCGCGAGACAAGAAGAGATCGAGCTCGATTGGGGCGATCTGATCACGAACAATTTCAGTCGGCCATTCCGCATGCTTTTCACCGAGCCAATTGTTTTTCTGGTAAGTTGTGCGTGAATCTCTCAAGCCAGTCCAAACTAACCTTACCTCAGATCTCTCTCTGGATGAGCTTTGTATATGGCCTGATGTACGCGCTTCTCGGTGCGTACCCCGTTGTATTCCAAGGAATCCACGGAATGAATCTCGGTGTTGGAAGTCTTCCATTCATCGGATTGATTATTGGCGAGTTTCTAGCTGGGGCCTATCTCCTTTATGATCAGAGGGCATATACCAAAAAGTTGGCTGCCAACAATGACATGCCCATTCCGGAATGGAGACTTCCTCCTGCCATCCTTGGAGGTATTTGCTTTTGTATCGGGCTCTTCTGGTATGGCTGGACTGGATGGACAAAGTCAATCCATTGGATGGCTCCCACAGCCAGCGGAATCATGACTGGATTCGGCATTTATGTCATCTTCCTGCAATGCTTCAATTACTTGATTGACTCATATTTGACATTGTAAGCATGCTGGTTTTTTACTTTTTTTTTTTTTTTCGTGGAACAATGTACTGACTATGAAATAGTGCCGCATCTGTCTTTGCTGCGAATACTATCATTCGATCGGCGGTGGGAGCTGCATTCCCCCTGTTCTCGAAGCAGATGTTCATCAACTTGGGTGTGCAGTGGGCCGGCACACTTCTTGGGTGTCTGGCACTCATCATGATCCCGATTCCCTTGCTATTCATCAAATATGGACCTGCGTTGCGCAAGAGATCTAAGTTCGCTCCAGTCTTCGAGCGTCCTCTTCCATCAAGGTCGGAGAAAACAGAGTCTGTTTAGGCGCGACCTTTACGTTTGCATTTTCATACATAAAATTTCCCTGTTGCTAATAATGAAATCCATAGAATTTTAAAAATTGTAACCTTCAATTATTGAAGTGTCTCATGTGGGTCACTCCTTTGAATGGATGAAGTACTCCGTAGAAGGCCGGCCATAGGTTGCAATCCTGTGGGTTTGGTTGCATTGACCAAAGGAAAGTCGACAATTTCTCTGGATTGTCTACGCAAAATTCAGGCCGCAGTCTTTCATCCAAATAAACTGTGATATGGTCACTCTCACTCTGAACGAAGTTGAACATGAGAGGTCTCAAACCTCCGTTTAATTCGGTAGATATACACCCAGGCCAAAGAGTATTTCATTTGTGGCAAAGTGGAATAACTTGGCATACGTCAGTTGAGAATAGTAATCCAGAAAGTGTGGAGTAAGGAGACAATGTACCAAGTCCAAAGACCAGATATCGATTTTGACTCTAGGCCAAGTGACGGGATCAGAGGAATTGGGGCCATTTGGACGGCCATTGAGCGTCTTAGCCTTGGGAGTTTTATGTCTAAAAATAAATCCAGTACCTCCACCTAAATCATAAATCTTGAGAATCAATGCTGGAAGGTCGGCATCGTCTAGCAGGCCACGGGGGCTTTGAAACACCATCAGATACTCAGGAGCACTTGTCAGTCCAAGTCCAGGGAGCCAACAGACATGGCAGCATTCGGGAGGCGTGAATAGATTAAGAATCACGTCACACTCCACAGAGGATAGTATATTGGCAAGGTTGAAAAGATTGCGTGGTTCCATTTCCCAGTGGGTTGATACCGATGGTGGAACATGATGCATTGGACGATAGCCCTCGGCACGGTATGTTTCAACTTGTAAACGTCGTGCATCTTCTTTAGGCGGCGCATAATGGATGGCAAAGATGCTGCGATAGCTCTATGTAAGAGACTGCTCGAATAAATCCTAGTTGAGGCGACTTCATGATTACTTCCAGCACGTGCCCTGTGCGATAGCAACGGTGACGACGCGTGGATACTACGCGAAGATAATCTGTCTGCTGTGCACTGTCTATACGCCGTGCGCCGTCCTCCGCATGTATCCAAGAGATCAGCACGAGATATCCAGAAGAATTGACTTTCTGGTGCCTCGTGGTTCACGTGGCGGAGCGGATCGGTTTAGTCTGACGCAACCCCTTGTTTCTCCTGGCAGAGCACATCCGTGCCAGCAAATGCCAATCTGTATCCCGTACCGAGATGTAAATCAGATGGATGAAGGCTTATTCGTGCCAGACCGAACGCATCCGATATCTGCGGGTGAGATTCCGTGATGGCCCACGATCGGATATGGCCGCCGGATATCCCACAGCCAAGAGACTGGGGATATTGGATGGATGGTCCTTATTAAGGTCATCGGCTTCCTCCGTTATCGAGAACCCTGCATCTTTCCAAGTAACACGACACACAGAAAATCGATAAGATAGACAGCTCACGAGGGCTGAGCGCGCCGGCGTCTTGGCATTGCGGGCGTCTTGGCATTGCAGGAATGTTCATGTGCAACATTTGTGAAAGCACATGGAGATCGTTTTTGGATGTTCCAAGGGTTGATTCGGACATGTTGGATTTGCAGGGACTTGAAATAATGTCCGGACCCTTTTTTTCATCACCTGGTTGTCGAGTTCTTCGTTCACAGACAACCTTCGAAGGGTTGAACAAAACCCTGTCGGCAACGGTATAGCCAATGAGGACGGCCAGACGGCAGGTTACGGGTGAAACACGACCCCACCAAGGCATAAACCCCGGAGATAACTGTATTTGGAGGCGAAACTAATTTTTTTTGCTGACTTCTTATCAGCAGCTTGTGGTTGGCCAAGAGAGCACATTGAGATTTGCCCTATTTCTCCCTTGGACCCTATATCCTGCACACCTCCACTGCGGGAACATCTTTAAATACTGCGTCTTAAAGACGACAGCATCCCCGGAATTCGCTGTCTCCACCACACACGATCGTGATACTCTTTCACAATGGGCTTCGCTAACTGGGTTCACAAAACCAACGTGCGAGTTGCTCGCAGTCCCGTGGGGACATGGTTTCGTCTGGAGGGCTCTGGCCATGTAAGTGATACCGCATTCTATGTGATCGGCGATCGCAGTAATATTGAATGTGATATTAAACCATGCCTCAGCCTAGAGAAAGGAAGGGTAGTTACTTCTTCACTGAAATCCGCGCCGGCCTCGCCACATTTTTCGCCATGGCATACATCATCTCCGTCAACAGCAATATCACCTCTCTGACCGGTGGAACCTGCGTCTGCCCCGAGGAAGACATGAAAGATTTCTGCGCAACTAATGTCGAGTACGCTCTGTGCACGCAAGAAGTCAATCGCGACCTCATCACCGCCACCGCCGCCATCGCCTGTCTCTCGACTTTCTGCATGGGTTTCTTCGCCAACCTGCCTATTGCGCTCGCGCCTGGAATGGGTCTGAACGCTTACTTCGCTTACACCGTTGTTGGAGTCCGTGGTAGCGGCATGGTCCCGTACTCGACTGCCCTTCTCGCCGTCTTCGTGGAAGGATGGGTATTCTTGGGCTTGACGTTGATCGGTATGCGCCAGTGGCTGGCGCGCGCCCTGCCAAAGTCTATCAAACTCGCGACCGGTGTCGGCATCGGACTCTACCTCGCATTGATCGGTCTGACCTACAGTGCTGGTATTGGAATGGTTCAGGGTGGCACTGACACTCCCATTGAGTTGGCTGGATGTGCGGACTTCCCCGCCAATTACGACCCCGATACGGGCTTGTGTCTGAGCAGCACTAAGATGCGCAGTCCTACTATGTGGGTTGGCATCTTCTGCGGCGGTATTATGACGGTCATGCTCATGATGTACCGCATCAAGGGTGCTGTCATTATGGGTATCTTGTTGGTTTCTATCATCTCGTGGCCTCGCACTACGCCCGTCACTTACTTCCCCTACACTGAGCTCGGAACCAGCAGGTTTGATTTCTTCAAGCAAGTTGTCACTTTCCATCCTATCAAACGTATTCTTGTCGCTCAGGACTGGAACTTGGCCGGCAAGGGTGGCAAGTTTGGACTGGCTTTCATCACATTCTTGGTATGTCGCAAGCTCTATATACACGCAGAGGTTGAAGACTAACATCTCGGCAGTATGTCGATATTCTGGACACCACAGGAACAATGTACTCCATGGCCCGATTCGCTGGCGCAATCAACGAGGAGACCCAAGACTTCGAGGGCAGCGCCATTGCCTACATGGTCGACGCTATTTCCATCTCCATCGGATCCCTTCTCGGCAGTCCCCCCGTCACAGCATTCGTCGAGTCCGGCGCCGGTATTTCCGAGGGCGGCAAAACAGGTCTGACATCATGCGTCACCGGCATTGCGTTCTTCATCGCTATATTCTTCGCTCCGATTTTCGCTTCCATTCCACCTTGGGCCACGGGTTGTACGCTCGTGATTGTCGGTGCGATGATGGCCCAGTCTGCCGCCGATATCAACTGGCGCTACTACGGTGATGCGATCCCCGCCTTCCTCACCATCGCTATCATGCCGTTCACATACAGCATTGCCTACGGTCTGATCGCCGGTATCACCAGCTACATCACCCTGAACGGCATTGCCTGGTGTCTTGAGAAAGTCACCTTTGGTCGCATTGTCCCGCCTAACAAGGAAGAGTCCGATCCTTGGTCCTGGAAGCTCCAGGGTGGCTTCCTTCCACCCTGGGTTAACCGTGCCGTTCATGGAAAGAAGGACTTCTGGAAACCGGATGAGGAGTATGCGGCGCAGCGGGTTACTCCCGGTGAGGCTGTGTCTTTCTCTTCCGCGTCGGAGGAACGGGTGGCACTTGAGAAAGGTCATGAACCTACTGCTAAAGCAGCCTAAATATTTCGAGGATGAAGGAAGCCAGTTGCACTGTGGTTGGTTATATTTTTAATTCGCACGGCATTATACCAGATATGTTCATTTTGTATACCTTTTTCTATGTATTTATTGACTTCCTATCTACACCTGCTGTCTTTCGGTGGTGTTCTACATGCCACAAAATGAATGTATTGCTTAATACCACCCAAAGTCTTTCGTATGTGCAGTCGAGATTTACCATCCATATTGAAGACTTACCCCGAAAGGATCAGCGGCGCACCTGTAACCATGCATTAGCTGGAAAAACTCGCGAAATGACTGAGTTCCATCTCCATCACTTTCTCCTTTCGAGAACAAATTTTCATAGAGTTGGGGTATAAAACGGCCCTCGGGCATTCACCAATATACTAAGCGTATAGAGTAGGAGAAGTTGACGTTCATAATTATCGAAAAGAAAAGTTCAAAGCCTAGATAATATACCAGGCCTTGACAAGTGCTGCAGCACCTCGCAGAACCAAATTTAGTGCTAAGCGAGAGTTTGAAGTTTGCTTTGTTTGCATTGTTTGCAAAGGTCAACCATATAAGCAGGCCGCTTCCCACTTTGCAACTTGCTTCTTCTCTCTCTCTCTCTAAGTTATTTTGAATTGATGCACTCTTCTATCTTTGTAAGACCTGGCACGTCACAGCCATCGCGATCTCAGAAGAGAATTCACTGCTCAAGGGACGACTATAAATCATCAGCATTAGCACAACAAGATTGACCTGTCCTAATTAGATTAGACCACTGTGCCAATAGTGATGTCATCATCCCAGACGGTAAGTCCGCTTATGCCTTCTAGGTAGTCTTTTTGATACTCATAACCAAGCCAGAGGCTGGATCGAAAGTTGAACAGCTACGTACTACTTGAACCTACAGACAAAACAAAGGACTTCCTCGGTGACTTCCTCGAGATCCTTCCTCCTGGCGGAAAAGAAAATCTGGAGGTGGACATTTTAGAGTGTTCAAACGATGAGAAGCTTCGGCAACTAGTCCAAAGCATTAAAACCGGCTTATTGATTCCATTGAAAGAACAGGGTGGTAAAATACCCACTGAGGTCACTCTGTCTCCGCATTCTGGCGTTGAAGATTCAATTGAGGATCTTAGCTCTCAGTCGCAACTCTGGAACCGCTGTTTAGAAAGAGATGGTAATAAATGTCTTGCAACGGGGCTGTATAGTCACGCTCACGCCTATCCACGGAACGCAGTAACGACCTATCTTGAAGCGGCCTATATTATTCCATTTGCACTCGGATCTTTTCAAGCCAATCACCGACACAGAAATACAGCGATTTGGGTTAACCTAAGGCGCTACTTCCCAGTTCTTCGCAATATGTGCTTTACCTCGGAACAGATCAATTCGGAGAATAATATCATGATGCTAGATAACGACATTCATAAGGAATTCGGTCATTTCAGACTTATTTTCGAGGAAACTGGAACTCCTCAACGATATCGAATTAAGACCTTTCCGGATACCGTTATAAAGACAAGCCGTCTCTTACCTGAAAATCGGATTATTAATTTCGGAGTTCATAACGGAAGTTGGGAACTTCCAGATCCTAGACTTCTCCAAATCCACGCTTCCATTGGAAACTTTCTACATGTGAGTGGCCAGGCAGAGGTAATCGATAAGATCCTCGGAGATTTTGAAGACTGTGATGAACTTGCCCCGAGTAGAAGCACCAACGTGGAAGACCTTGCAATGACCAGCCTCGCCTACTAGATGGGAGGAGTCTTGTGTCTCTTCTCTTTGTTTTTCTTGCCACCGAGGACAGAGCATTCTACAATTTAGCACAAGGGTGATGGATCTTAAGGGCATTATACTCATATATATACAACCGTCACATTTCCTGGCCCATTCAAGGTCACCCTCAAGGTTTCCCAAAGATACCGCTGCGTTAGGTCGCGCAACACCAGGGCTTTCCATGGCTGCTGGGAGCTGCTTGCTGGTAATGTAGCTCTTCTCGACAATTATCCCAGCTTCCTTGTTCCCTTTTACAGCCTTGATATATGGCTTTCTCTCGCGGGTTTCCGTGATATATATAGTTGGTTCGGGTATGACGATATTCTGAAGTATTTGATAGTTAGAGATAATCAACAAAACCAACATGATTCACAAATATGGAATCAGCCTGTATTTATTCATCCTGGCGCTCTTAGAATCCAGAGCGGACCGTCCATATAATTACGTAGGTCGCATATGAAACTAGCCTGCCCACATAGTTAAGTGTGTAGCAAGGATACTTGAGCGACGTCACGTCAATTGTCCAAGCAGAAGCCAGAGATTATCCATATATTTGAAAGCAACTATACTCTCGATAAAAAAGTGGTTATTTGTACAGGAGGAGGTCTCTTATCAGGTACTGGTAATCATGGCCACATCCGGGGTAATCATCCGCCGGGCAAACATCCTGGATGACAAAGCAATGAAAATGGCCAAGCACTAACTAGCGATGCTGTTTCATAGTGTGATACGGAGAGGATCGCATGGTTTCTATTAGGTTGGGTGAGCCAACGACTAAGTACGATCTAGTACAGGAGTTGGGAGTACCCAAGTGTGTCACTGAGAGGCACTGTCGATGGGAAGCAGTATCTTGGACTAAAGACTATCGACCAGATGCTCCAGGAGCGGATTAGCGGTGTTCGATATGGTGTTGTACCTCAACATCAGATTTGGGCTTGGAGTCGCCCTGCCGGAGGTTATCACCTTTATCCCCGAAGGAAACATTTGCTTCTGGCGAGGTTTGGGTGGATCGATGATGGTCATGGATCTAGATCGCCGCATGACTATTGGTTATGCCATGAACAAAATGGGACCAGGGGCCATGGGCAACGCCAACGCCAAGGCTTACATCGACGCGATTTATGAAATCATGGCGGATAAGAAGCGGTCTGTGTCCTTGTGATGTATGAATGCTTGCACAAATTGAACGCCCTTGGACATAATTTCAGATGTGAATACAGAAAGACCTTGAGACCCTGAACGATGAGGCCAAATATGGTCGGGCTAAATTGATCAGTAATTCTCATCTAATATGAAGATTCCGGTGAGTGGGCAGACATGATAATAGGTAGGTGTTAAATAGTCAGAAATGGAGTGTTGAGAAAGTTGAGAAATTGAGATCACTGTATTTATTTTTTAAAAAAAGTGCAGTAATTTAGTATGAGTAGTAAAATACCATATTAAATACCATGTTGATCTATACGCTAGTAAATCCACTGTGGAAGTGGGTGAATCTTTCTAGGGTAGACTGTTGTACTTCGACCTCGAGAAGCTCAACGTGATACTAGCTCGGATCGTTAAGGAAAATGTACGTACTAGATCCCTGATAAATGGGATAGATTATAGGTCAATAGTGGTACAGTCCTTTGTAGAGCTATCTCAAAGAATACACGGAAAATCGAAGAAGAATATGGGGGAAGATGGGCAGGGAGCCCGATAGCAGACCATAACAGAATAGAGGCATCTGGGGACGATGGGCAGTGAGCCGAGAGCAAACTAGAACATATCAGAATAAGATTCTAGTGATTTCGAGGAAATCATTGACGTTGAGAAGGAGATCATGTTCTCCTGGTCCTGGAAGTCGGTCGTAAACAGCGACAAATGGAAGACATAAGGGGGCCCCGACAACATTGTTGCGCCGGACGTAGACCTCCTGCGCTGAGTATGCCTGCTGGGTGGGAGTCGGTTGGTTGGTAAGTGGAGGGATATTGACGAGCTGCGCGCGGAGTGAATCAAGATATGCTCGAGTGAGTGGGGATGGGGCACCGGGGGGGGCTAGCTGCCATTTTTCAAACGTGACTTCAGTCGCCTTAATCGAGATAAGAATGACAATGCGCACCAGACCCTGGGAAATTATGAACCATCTCTTAGCGTCTTCGCGGAGCCGAGGGAGAGATTCAGAAACTCCTGTCTCGATGACAAAGGTCGGCCATGACCCACTTGGAAGCCCATTGGGGCAGCGAATTGGTGGTAGGAATGCGTGATCTCCCTGTTTACCTACACCGACAGTAGGCTTGTATGTAGCTGTTCCAGTCCAGATCATCTCTGACCACCTTAGTCCCATTGCAGTAAGCTTCATGTCGATTGCTCGACCGAGTTGGTTTGTCACTGCATCATGGCGTTCTGACGGAACCACTTTAATCAGCCCTGTCGTCCCCTCCCATTGGAAACGATACTCAATGCCCCCCAGACTAGTCTGATGCTCTTCGTCGAGCTTTTTGATTGTTAGGGCCGATAGATTGAGGACAACGATGAACTGGTTTCCATCTCCCTTCTCTTGTAGAGACTTTAGTAACTGCTTAGCTTCAAGCCGTAGGCCCTTGAAGCGTGAAAAGTTCCGTATGATACAGTCCGTGGGAAGAGCAGACATGAGGGAAGTGAAGGACATGCTTGTCTCGGTCTTGCCTTTATCTGTCTGGGGTGGGAGAACGAAATCAGAATCATCGTGATCACTAACGACGGATGGCAGAGTCATGATGATGCAGCCAAACGGGAATGGTTCGTGTGACGTGATTGGATGAGACTTTCTGAGGTTGGGACAGGGGAAGGCGGAGTTATTTCCCGTCCTTCCGCCCCCAAATTACCTAATTTCCAATACCGCCTTCCTGATCTAGTACCACTCATAATTCTGCTACATTTCTGCCACATTTTATCTTTTCTGCCATGTATTCTGCCTACTTCTGGTTTACATAGTAAAAGATATACCTCTATGCTTACAGAAAAGTGCTTATCCTAGCTGATTCAATACTGTAAATCTTCTACTTAGAGAACCTCGCTGTCGCCATCCTCTAGAAAAGTGACTTGATATTGTTAAGGGTTCATATACAAATTGTAGGTACCTGCTGTACCCCATATTCTGCAAGTCAAATATTCGCCAGTTAAAAACGAGGGAGAACGAGCGGTATTACAAATTAGGAGGGCGGTGTAGTTAACTGGGAAGGCGGTAGCAGAATGGGTGCATTTCGCTGTCAAAATTCAGGCATGAGGGGTCCCATTAACAATCCCGAATTTCTACAAGTCAACTTCAGACGCTTGCATTAAACCAAACAAAATAAACTCAAATAAAACAAGACAAAGTTGGGTATCGTCCGCAAACTCCTGCTACCGTTCGCGTAATTCATGAAGCGGCGTCAATTCCGAAGATTCAAATCTTGGCATTGTTAGCATAAGAATATACAGAGAAGATTTATATACTCACCAACGCAAGAGGAATGCGGTGAGGAACCCGACCATTATGCAACAGCATAGCCACGGCCTTCTGTAGAGTAGCCTATAGCTTGCGGTAGGCCTCACGAATGTGCTGCTCAATGGGAGTACGCCCCTGGGTCGAATAGACCGGTCTCGCGCTTCCGCTTCTTGAGGTTCTTACCGGCCTCGGCCCCCCCGCGACGGTGCTTCTCGTTATCTTTATACTCCTTGACTTTAAGCGCCTCATCGGTTAGGGTCTAGACGATCTTAAATGTAAGAAATCCGAGGACCTTGATGTTGACAGATCCCGCCCACCAGCAACCGAGTATTATCTAGATACGAGGCAACTTCAGGCACAGCAGCATGGATGAGGCCATCAAAGTACGGCGTGTCAAGTGAAGTCCAAGCGGCTTGGGATGTTGCAGCAAGGAGTCATGGACATGCTCAGATATGTACAGAAGTCTTTCCCACCGATTCAAGGTTGTCTCCATGACAATTGAATTCTTGAAAGAGATTTAGCGGAAAGCAATAGTGTTGAAAGCAAAACCAAAGTTGATTATAAATCGGACAAACCATTTTAGGACGTAATTGTACTTGGAAACCTTATCATACATAACGACGTAAGACTTGAACTAGTCAAGGCTCCGATTGATGTGTAAATCACATTGATTGGAGGTGGTGTTTTCCTTGTAGCTAGGGTTTTTGGCAATATTGAGATGAGATTTGAGTTTGAACGAATCGCTGCGGAATTATAAGATCTACATAGCTTGCACTGGCTGATGACCGAACTATACTGTTTCTAGTTATCAGAAAACATGAAGGACTTGGCTATGTAGTCCACCCAGTCACTTTGCAAGCCCTATGTACACCCCCCAAGGCTATGCTTTTAGTCCCGCAAATAATCCCACATTACTAGCCCCAGGATTTTACATCACAGTGGGTGAAATAATCAAGAATCCTAAATCACCATGTGGCGCAGGAGGGTTCCCGGTCCTATAGAAAATTACCCCATGGCTTCCCAATCGGTTCGCCTTGATACCTCGTTTCAGCCGGTCTCATTAAATGTCTTATTTGTAGACTGGGAACCTTCCAAGGTTGGGTTCCTAGGCTTGAATTATGAGTGCTATATACTAACACAAATAGCTGGAATATAAGTCGAAGAGCCGTATGGGCAACCCATATCAAACGATTGCCTTCGAAGCGTCTCTAACATGCTAAGTTGTCGCAAGTTTGTACTGAGGGTATACGTGTATTTTATGAAGTAAATACACCCTTTGGTATTCATTTCACTGCCGGTATCAACATGACCAACAAGCAGGTTGGTCGTGTTCTCAATAACTTAACAGGGGGGTGCATTACCCCTCTTTGAAATACTCTCTCTATAGGCCACTGGGCAGCCCTTGGTTTCAATCGAGGCACTTAGCGCTTAGTGTATGTTGACTGTCCATCACATCACTCTCACTTGCCTATCATACCACTCACCGTATGCATGCACGCATATCGTGCGCTGGCATGAGCTAGGCAACAAGCCGACTCCTGGGCAGAGCCTCCCTTCCGTGTATAAAATATACATGATTTCTGGATCTTTCCTATCTCCTTACTCCTCCCAGCATTCTCCATCCCCCCCGAAACTTCCCTTATTTCCACATCTGAAGTTTTCTGTCCACACTTTTTACGATCCGCACTATCCACGTTACTAGTGCACATCTGCCTTCGTCCGCCAAGATGCCTCTTCGACCAAGCTCCGAGATTGCGGGTCTGTATGAGAACTATTCACTATATGTCTTGCTCAGCAGTCGAGGCGCTGCCCCGGGCTTCCACTGGGGGTTGTTCATCCCGACCAACACTCCAGTGGGAGATGTGTGACACGCGACCAATCGAAGCGGCGGCTGGAACGTCACGCCCCGATCGTCCAGTGACGTTCCCTTCTCCATGAGCCTTGTCCTGGCTTTTAAGCTCGCCTCCCTCAGCACTAGCGCATTCGAAGCCTGCAAAAGTATCCTAGACGCATTTCCCTTCGACTACTCTCACTCTCCAAACACCGGAGAGCCATTTTCCTGCCGAATCTGGGTGAAGGATGCACTTGTGGAGCTCCACAAGAATGGAATAATCGTACTTCCGCGTGATATCTCTGTGATCGAAGCCCAGTTACTCGAACGGGGCTATTCGCACAAGGATGAGGTAGAGGGAGGTGCGGACAATGCTGAGGTCGACAATAACGGATTGGATTGAATTCATTTTGGATATTTGATTCATCACTACTGGGTTGTCTTCATGAGAGGGCCGTTCAGTAACCGAGTCGAAAGATATTCCAAAGACGATGCAAATAAGATCAAAGAAGGCGAGAGCAAGAGGAGCCATGATACTGCCACATAGTGAACTTTACATACATCCCAAACATAAATGAAGTTCTGCTTTATCCTATCTAGAAAGCCTATATGATATAATTTGGGCTTAAAAGGGGCCTGATAAATCTGATAGCATATTCTCCACATGTAGCTCGTCCCGGTAGCCCTCAAATACTCGATCAACGACATCAACCAGCCATCGAGTCAAGCTGCGAACTGTGTAATGCATCTTAGTGTACTCCCAGTACTCTGGAAAAAAGCCCGCATTCTCCCAATCGACGATGCCGGTAATCTTGCCGTTCTCAGCGAGAATGTTCCTAGGATTTAGATCTCCATGCGTAAATACGATCGCGTGTGGGGTGGCATGCGATTTGGCCGCATGCCTTCGAGTATCTTCCGTCATAATTCTAGTCAGATAGTCGTGAAAGTCGGTCTCTGTTTGGAAGCGCAATTCCTCTGACTGGCTATCAGGGATGCGCCAGTCCAGGATCCCGCCACCTTGAGAGTTACAGATTTGAAATTTGCTGACTTCGTTAGGGATCGCTCGCAGCTGGGCGACGTACCGCTTTAGGTCGGTCACCACGTTTTCCACTTGCTTGTCCGTCATAGTATTGAGCAGCTGGCCGATCGGACGGCCTGGGACTTGGGTCATGAGCAAATATGAAGCATTAGGGGTTTCCAAGATATCAATTGCTCTTGGCGCAGGTATTTGAGTGAATTTCTCCACCATGCCAAGAGTATGAGCCTCTGCCCGGTATTGAACTGCCTGTTGCGGTCGTCCCTTGCGTAAATACAGCCCGAAAGGCAGCCGTTGGACTCTTGGAGAAAGGGATTGTCCATAGAGGTATAAGCCAACCGAATGGAGCTTTTCATACGCTCTATATCGAATAAAATATGGCAGGGTGGTCCATATTCGTCTGATGGTGCGAAATAACAGCGTAGGCAACAATGAGAACCGAAACATGTTTGCACCTGAAAGCTATTAGAAATGATCAGGAAAAGCGAGGTCCAAACCTACTGGGAGCATCCCGTTGTTCTATCATGTGCCTCCGTGTCTCCATCCATGCCAGTGACTTGGAAAATAGGGCATGAAGCTCAAAAAGAGCTTCGTGGGGGATAGGAGTTTTATCGGTGGTTTTATCATCAAGAAGCAACATCTTTGCTGATGGAGCAATGGACATTTCACTCCGAGTTTTGTACCTGTACAGGTTGGTGTTGATGCTATACTTAGTCTTAAATCAGCGTGCACTCGTATAAAGGGCTTGATGGCGATCTACACTCTTTCTGTAGGGTGAATTTTGCGGGTCCCAGCTCCGGATCTTAAGCCATACCTCGCCGGCCTCTACAAGCTCGAATGCGGAGACCGACAACAGCCAGAGATTATCAAGTCTCTCCATTGACGAGTTCAAGGGAAGGATCGACCGAAGCGACTGCATGGAATCATTGGACAGAAAAGCGTAAAGCATCTCAAATAGGCGAGCCTTGTGTGCTAGTGTCAACAAAGACCGCATGATATGGAATGAATATACTTACCCCCTCGACTAAATCCGGATGCATCAACACCCGTGGTGGAACGATGTGTACAAAGTGCAGGTCAGAATCCTCCGGTGACTTGAATTGTGTTTGTGTGAGGCAACAGCGCCCGCCGTCTCTTTCATACACCAGCCGCTGGGTCTCAGCGGACAGCCCTGTTGCTACAATAGGCCGAACTACACGATCGCAAGTCAGGAATAGAAGCAAGATAAACTTGTTTGGATATAGCTATGACATGCTTACACATGCTGACCAAATATTTCCAATCTGAGAGGAATTCCGAAATTGTCCTTGCTGGGACGGAGTGCGAGGTGCCATCGATTGCGGTCTCTCGTAAGAAGTAGCGGGCTGCTTCCTGGGGATTTCGTGCATCCATGAGAAAAGCGCCCACAATAGAACGATCTGGATGCGGCATCTCGGTGATAGCCAAAAGGGCTTGATATTGAGGACATTGTTGGTCTTGATAGAAGAGCTGGGAAGCCGAACCCCGGATATTGCATGGAACCGCCATGATTAGAAGATTGGGGAATCGCCTGGGACCTGGATAATCAAGTCCCGACAGACGTTCAGGGAAAAAAAACAAAAGCAGAAAAGGGGAATACGGGAAAAAGGAACAAAGGAGCCTAAGATGTCTGGCGCTGGGGTTGAGGTCACATGATGTGTATGCATACCACGAAGAGGTCTCCCAAGAGATTGATATTCTTGTGTCTCTTCTATCATCTCCTTTTTCCTTTTTCATGTGTTCTTTTTTTCCTTCTTTCTCTATTCCCTAAATAAATTAATAATGAACGGTTCCCGCTGGAAACCACTTCAATCACCGTTATTATTAACCTATTTTAAACGAGTCCCCTTGTTAGTGCAGAGTATTTGCAATGTAATTTCTCATCACCACGTACTATTGTGGTTTTTTTGGCTATACTAGTTGTCTGAAACCCGTTCACTGCCCGCACCCGAGCAGAAGCAAGGCCCGAGGATGGTATCGTGCGGTCAAAAAAATGTATTCCTAGGAGCAAATCCTTACATTGAAGATTATTCCAAATCAATAGGTCTAGTTTTGGTTTGTTACTTAGACATGGTGGTTGGGTCTGTTTGTAATAAGCAGAGTAAGTGTTTCATAACTATACAGGAGCTACTCCCTGGTGATACAATGTATGGAGACCACAGTACTTCAGACAAATTAGAGCTACTATAAAGCGATACAGGATTAATGCTGTCTCGGCATGCTACCTCATACTCTTTGCCAGAGCTTTAGACAGGTGATCGACCTAGTGACTCTTAGCCTCCAAAACCAAAATCCCTTAAGATAAACGAGAAATAACCGCAATATGACGGGAGATAGTCGTCATATCTATTCCATGCGTAGCTAGATCGAGTAGCTCCTCGCTTTTTCGTGCTCATGCGTTGTATACGTTGGATGTGGTTTGCAACTTGGATAGGAGCGAGACCACTAGGCTGAACGCGGGTCGCGTTAACGCTAGTCCACTTTTGGAATGTTTATGGGGAAGTCTTGCACGTGACACAACTAACGTCTTGTACTTTCCGCCAGGGGTCACCTGATACCTAGGGGCCATTGACCGCCCAACAAGCCAAACAAATTTCCCCACCATAGCTGTCCAGCGCACCTCACAGTTTAGAAAATCGTTCTTCTTTCAAATTTCAATCGAATGCTCGCAGCCTTCGTTGAATTAACTTGGCTTATGGGACTGGCACATGCCGTCCCGGTACCTCCGACAAGATGCTGAGGGATTCTGATATAGATTCCTTGAATGGGCATCTACTGTCCTTATCGCGAGAGCAGCAAAAGCAGCATGACAATCTGCAGGACTTGCTCAGCCAATTCAAGAGTCTGTTAGACGACTATAGCTCGCTCAAAAGTGACTATGAAGAGGTTAAAGAAGGCCGAGAGAAATACAAAAGACAGGCCAGAGGGCAGGTAGGAGGCAGGCTTACAGGATGCCATAGAGCTTGAAACTGACAATCAATCAGGATCGTAACCCTTTTGTCCTTGTCCTTGTAGATGGAGACGGATATCTGGTGAGACTGTCTTGCTTTCCTCGGTATCAAATCCATCGACTAACACATCTTCTAGTTCAAAGAACATTTCTTGAAGCATGGCAGCGAAGGTGGCATAAATGCTGCCCGCGAACTGAGCGACTCTATAAAAGAGCTTATGCATTCGACAATGGGAATGCAGGCCGAACAGTGTCGGATCATGGTTCGTGTCTATGCGAACGTTCTCGGTTTGTCGAAGGCGTTAGCTCGAGCTGGACTTATGGGCCACGAGGCTCGATCCATGTCACCATTTACTTCATCATTTACCCGTGCACAAGAGCTATTTGATTATGTCGATGCTGCAGAGAAGAAGGAAGGCAGTGATTTCAAGATCAGAGGTAATGAACAATCCGGCATGAACAATCTTGTTGTTGTACTGATGTGTGCTGTGAAATCAAGAAATGTTCCGTCTCTTCGTTGAACTCAACCAATGCCGCCATATCTATTTTGCTGGCTGCCACGACACTGGATACGGCTCCCTGCTGACGCCATATAGAGGCAGAGGTGACCGTATCACCCTCATCAAAGCCGCTGGTTTCCATCGTGAATTCGAGGACTTGGATCTCCCTATCAGAGAATTACCTTCGGTTTTCATGTCTACCCCTCTACTTAACAGCAAGCCACCTACAGGCCCGGCTGCGTCTCCGACTGTGGCCAAATTCAACGGTGAAAACAGTGCACACTACGTATCTAATGGCACAAATGGTGCTAATGGTGCAAATACCACCAAACCAATCTGCAAGCACTTCCAAAAGGTATTTTTCCTGATCACATGATGTCAGTCGCGAGTAAGTTCTTAATTGACATTTATCTAGGGTATCTGCAAGTTCGGCATCGGCTGCAATAAACAGCACGTTATGCCGAACCAGTCATTGAATCATCAGCCGTCGCCTAAACACTCAGGTGCAGGTGATTCACCTAAACAACTGTGGTCTTCCCCTACAGTTGTCGGGCGCTCCGAAGATTTCTTTAGGTCCATGCTCCCCTTGCCGAGTATCAAAACGGAAGAATTCATCCCAGTCAATAAAGACGGGGACCGTATCGACCCATACTATCCTCACCCGTCGCCTGAAGCCTTTGATCAGTACCACGCTCGAGCAAAAGAACACAAAGTTTGTAATAGCTACCATCTGTCGGGAGAGTGCGGTGACATGAGCTGTACCTATGACCACAGCGATGTCTCTGAAGTGATCATTGAGGTTCTGCGATACATGCTCCTCCAGCACCCCTGCACTCGGGGCGGCGCTTGCCGATCAATCAAATGCTACATGGGCCACCTATGCCAAAAGCCCGGATGCAAGGCCGTGAAGAGCTGGCAGTGCCGATTCAATCAAGCCGCTCACACTCTTGATCTTCAAACCGCTCGATGGGACGTACCAAGTGACCAGAGCGAAATTGATCAATGGTCTGTCAGCGACGGTTCTATCGGGAAACGATCGTCGCCTATCGGTTTTAGTGGTTTCGCTTTCTAATGGAGAATCCGCGAAGAAAATTTGCATTCCATACCTACAGACAATCTCTCCTACCTGGGATGTCTTTGTATGCGTGAAATGTCTGCGACTGCAAGGACGGTCGCTTGACAAAACAATGGGTCAATGGTTAGCACTAAACAGACAGATGTAAGAAAGAGATTTCAATGGGTTAGAAAGAAATTTGAATACAGTCATTTATCAATTGAAGTTTATTCCCTTGAAACCAGAAGCAGTCGGTGGTCTATTTTCGTAGACTGTAAACTCATACGGTAGATACGGCTAAGAGGCACCAAAGTCTTATTCTCACTGTTCCTGCCGTTAATCTCCTTAATCTGGTTAATTTCTCTTCGTGCCCAAACGGAAAGGTAGAACTTGGAAGGTTGGAATCATATAATTCTGACTCAGCAAGAATCTTTCCAACCTTGGATGTCTGTTGCTTAGGGAAGGTGCAAGGCACCTGGGCACTGTAGGAAGGCACGTGGGTTTGGGGTATAAAAGGACTCCTGCCTCTCATCCCCCTGGCCACCATCTCCCTATAGGCACCATGAGATAGCGTAAGAGGAGGGTCCCGTAGCACCTGCTAACTTACCTACCAGTGGCAGTGCATCAACATAAGAAGTTATTGAAGTCCTGTAGGTCTGTACCAAATAGCGAACCGGGCTTTCTCGTGAATGTTCCCGAAGTCGTGGTTCTCATAGTCACTTGACGAGTCCCATGGAATACATGGGGGTGGTTAATCATATCCTCTTTTGTTTCATAGCTATATAGTCGCAGTCACGGAATATATCATTCTAGGGGTGTATGTTTGAGTCTGTATTTTGACTGAAGTAATACGCTGTCCTGGCACGGAGGAAAATGAAAACATCACCCAAAAGACTTGAGAGCATGAACCCCATAGGAAGTTACAATGAGAATAAAAACATGGACACTTAATGGATTGCTGAGCCCATCTGTCTGGATTTGAGGTAGGGTAAGGCTAGATCTATGCTGGGTGGCACTGATGATTCTATAAATACGTAATTCCAACCAGCCAGGCTCGTACTCGAGGAAACACCAACTTTAATTACTTTTCAACTTGAAAGCATATTCTGCAAGTGATCTTCAAGATGGCCAACACAGTGGAACCGAGAGTTCACCCTTTCTTCGAGCCTAAGACTTGCTCTTGGCAGTATCTAGTAGCTTGTCCTGAAACAAAGGAAGCTGCCATCATCGACCCAGTCCTGGATTATGATACTGTGAACTTCGCTATTACCTCTGAATCTGCGGATCAAATCATTGATTATGCTATGAAAAATGAATACACTATCATGATGTTGCTAGAGACACATGCCCATGCAGACCACCTCTCAGCAGCCTACTATATCCAACAAATTCTCTGGTCCCGCGGGGAACCTCACGCACCGATCTGCATCGGTGAGAATGTCAAGATCGTCCAAAGTTTTTTCGCACGAAAATATGCAATCGCGAAAGCAGATATCGACAACGCCTTCGACCACCTCTTCCAGCCCGATGAAATATTCCAGATTGGCCAAGTCACCAGCAGCGCCCTCCATCTCCCGGGACATACTCCAGACCACGGCGGCTACAAATTCGGGAGCAATATTTTCACCGGAGACTGTATGTTCAATCCAGATGTTGGCAGTGGCCGATGTGACTTCCCAGGTGGCGATCCTCGGGAACTTTACCGCTCGATGAAACGCCTCCTTTCTTTCCCGCCGGAAACGAGATTATACACAGGCCATGATTATCCTCCTACCAACGAATATACTGCACGGGAGCCATTGCCGTATGTTACGGTTGGCGAGCAGGAGAAGAAAAACAAGCACATGAAGAAGCACACGACAGAGGATGAGTTTGTGAAGTGGAGAACTCAGCGGGACAGCCAGATGCCTGAGCCTAAGCTTGTACACCAGGCTATGCAGGTCAACGTACGTGGAGGCAAAATGCCAAGCAAGTCGCACAATGGAAAGGCATATTTGCTATATCTCCTTGATGTCCCAAAGGTTCTGGTGCCTGGAGTACAAAGGTAGGCAGCTATCGGACATTCAAAATTTGATATTTTGGATTCGTGATCAAAAATATATAGAGACAAAAATGTACAACATGATATTTACTTCATACTTGAGGTTTGTATTTGGATTTGTAATTTTTCATGACTACCTGATTCTAGTCCTAGTTAAGTCCTTCCCTGGTATGATCTCATTCACTTTTTACCTTGAACCTTGACGTATGCTTCCTGGACTTCTTCCCGTGTCGCCATAAGCCCCAGCCACTTCTTGATCAAAGGATAGTTGTCAAGTGAAAGGCCAGCGTAGGACGAGGCGCGTACCCAAGGCTCAAAATGATAATCAACGGCAGTGACCCGACTGGGTACAATGCTTTCACCGTGAGTCTTTTTCAACTGACCCTCAAGAACATCGTAGCAGCGATAGCTCTGCGCTGTATATCGCTGGAGTGCATCATCATTCTTTTGTGGGTTATAGTTTCTGAACAAATAAAGAGTAAGTATCAACCGGGGATTTCTTCCGAATTCACAGTCACTGACTTAAACCAGGTTGCCTGTCCTGTCATGGGGCCAAGCGTTGTCAACAAGAAATACTCCCACTTTTCAAAATCCACAAGATCTTGAGCCGAGTCGCCAGACGGACCAATCGTATTACCATTGTCATAAACACGGCGGACGTAGTTCATGCATGCCCCGGATTCCCACGAGACGACACCGGTGTTGGGATCTTCGATGGCAGGAACGCGCCCGTTCTCGTTGATTTTGAGAAATTCTGTGCCCTTCACGCCACTTTTCGGATTGTCGCTAAAGTCCCACAACTTCACTTCGAATGGGACATGGAGCGCCTCGAGTGCCATGGCTATTTTGACTGGGTTTGGGCCCGTGGCATGGGCGTGAAGGATGAGTGGCTTGATATGTGCGGCCATTGTTGGATCAAGAGTTTGGCACTTAGTATTCGGTAGAGGTGTCGAAGGGAAATCTCATCCCGAGTGGCTAGAAATGAGGCATAGGATAGGATGGCGAAATGAGCTCGCCATGATGTAATTTCCCCAGAAACTGATGTAATTTCCCCAGAAACTAACGTAATTCACATGCGAGCCGCCACCACAAGCGACCCGCCATCTCCAAAACACATAGTAAATATGATAAATTACAACCTGATATTTTAACAACGGTAGTCTATAAGAGGTTTTTCTTATAGCTCGATACTTCTTAGGTGATATCTAGTCTCTTTACTAAGTTTAGATAAGATTTATGACATTGTGATCGTGATATATATATTTCAAGATATTTCAAGCTCTAGGCAACGTAATTTTTGAAACCATAATAGTAGAGGTTTAGTTACCTTAATATTGAGATGCTGAGTTAAAGATTCTTATCGGTCGCTATCTAGGAATAATTAGATCAGGGAATAACACTGTTGTTAAGATATAAGGTTGTCAAATATGGTGTTTACTATATGTTTTGGAGATGGCGGGTCGTATGTGGTGGCGGCTTGTATGTGAATTACGTTAGGGTAATCTGGTTTAGCCTGATTTTCGGTAGGTGTCAGGAATATAGAGGGGATGATGTCTCGTACTTAGCATTGTCTACTCCGTAGTTTATGAAATGATCGACAGGTAGTAGTTTTACCGGTGCGCTGGTTAATTGGCGAAATATCCCTTCAATAGGATCAATGCTAGCAGTCTTCTTGCTGCGGAGTCGGTTTTGTTAATGCGGGGAAATAGATGCAAATTTCAAGCTTAGAAACATTTTGGAATTTCCGTTTGCCTTATTGTCTCGCTCGATTATCTTGCTCGCTGCCGGCTCATAGTTTGATTACCACCCCTGAAAGATGTTGTTCAAAACGTCACCATTGATAACTCTGCTTTCTGCAGTTGCATCATTGGTTTTAGCGTCTATTAAAAGCCATACTCCACCTCAAAAAAAAGGGGCTACAAGATCTAGTGAGAATAGTATCACCCTGATAGTATCATTTCACTAACGCATTAGGGATAGGTGGCGTGGGACCAACATTCTATAATAATACGCGGAGAGCGGCTCATGATCTTTCCTGGCGAATTTCACCCCTTCGACTCCCAGTCCCAGGTCTTTGGCTCGACGTGTCAAAAAACAAAGAGTATGGGCTTCACCGGGGTCTCATTCTACATTGATTGGAGCCTTGTAGAAGGGAATCCTGGACACGTTATCACCGACGGGATATGGAGCTTAGATGGGGTTTTGACGTAGCAAGCCAAGCTGGCTTATACCTCATCGCTCGACCGGGACCGTACATCAACGCAGAAACAACTGCTGGTGGAATACCTGGGTGGGTTCTACGAGAAAAGGGGGTTATTCCATCCGACGATCCTGAATACCTGAATGCAACAGCAAATTACATATCGATACTGGGCCGGATCATTGACAGGGGACAGATCACAAATGGTGGCCCAGTGATCATGGTTCAGCCAGAGAACAAGTACTCCACCTGGCTTGGAGTGACTGACTTCCCGACTGAGATGAATCGGAATTATATGGTATACGTTGAAGAGCAGCTGCTTGATGAAGGTCTTACTGTTCCTTCAATTGTGAATGATAACTTGGTTATGGGATACTTCGCGCCGGGGTCAGGGAAGGGCGCAGTCGATATCAACGCTATTGATGCGTACCCCTTGCGCTATAATTGTGAGCTTGTTTCCAACGTACCTCAATGTTATACGTGCTGTAAGGCTGACAGATTCCCCCCCTTAGGCGCAAATTTTACTGTTTTGCCTAATTACAAGTTTCCATATGACTGGCAAGTCACGCACAGACGGCAGAGTCCAACGACGCCTTTTCGATTGCTGAGTTCCAAGGAGGGTCTGATGAAGGATGGTAGGTCGATTCTTGCTTTTACCATATGAAAGGAACTAATGTAATTATAGGGGAGGGCTGGTCCAAGACATGTGCGGCCGGTTGGTAAACAAAGAGGCTGTCAGAGTTTTGTACAAGAACAACTACAGTTTTGGCGTGAAGATCTTCAACATTTACATGTTGGGTCCATACAACCTCTTGATTTTATATTGTAATGCCTATTGTGGAATTCTCCTCAGACTTTCGGGGGCACCAACTGGGGTAATCTCGGCTATATGGGCGGGCATACATCATATGACTACGGTGAAGCGATTACAGAAGAGAGGACGATCTGGCGCGAGAAATATAGTGAACAAAAACTCGAGGCTAACTTCCTCAAAGTTCCCCCGGATATTTGACGGCAACTCCTCATCTTGGAGTGAACGGTACTTACGGCGCACCCTCCTCAATAGCTGTGACTGCTCTACTTGGAAATAGGACGAGGACGAATCTTTACGTTGTCAGACATGCCGACTTCACTTCAGTCGATAACACATGGTATACTCTCACATTGTTGACAAGTATTGGGGACATCAAAATTCCTCAACTATGGAGGCCACCTGACGTTGAATAGACGTGATTCAAAATTTCACGTTACAGATTACGATGTCGGCGGGATCAATCTGATCTACTCTGCAGAAATATTCACATGGGCATGCGGGTCGGGATCGACACGTGTAGTAATTCTGTACGGAGGCGCGAGAGAAACACACAAATTTGGTCTGCCTAGTCATCTTGTAAAGCCAACCGTTATCGAAGGAGACAGCATCGAAATAAAACAACACGGATCTGCTTGGGTTGTAAGGTGGCATGTTACACCAGCACGACTCATCATTCGGGTAGCAGATCTTCAGGTATACCTGCTCTGGCGGAATGAGGCATACAACTACTGGGTGCTGGAGTTGCCCGTATCAGGTCCAATTGGAAATTACACATCGCCATCGAAGAGCCTGGTAGTTGTCGAGGCCGGATATCTTATCCGCACAGCTGATCTGATAAATAAGCAGTTGCGCCTGACAGGGGATGTGAATGCTACAACAATAATCGAGGTCATACCTAGTTCAGCTACAAAGCTGAAAGGCATCACCTTCAATGGGGAAGTACTATAGACTTCAAAAATGCCCAATGGGAACCTCCAGGGAACTGTCAGGTATAATCTTCCCATGTTGGACATTCCTGATTTGTCCAACCTGGAATGAAAGTTCATCAATTCTCTCCCTGAGATCCAGGTGTTGTACGATGACTCAGCTTGGACGCGCTGTACACGAAGCTCCACACACAGTCCACAACAGCTGGATACTCCGAGTAGTCTGTACTCCATGGACTACGGATATCACACAGGGTCTTTGCTATACCGTGGCCATTTTAACGCCAATGGCCAAGAATATAATTTTTGGTTGAATTGTCTAGTGGCGCAGGATTCGGACAGACTGTATGGTTGAATAATACATTCCTTGGCTCGTGGATCGGGTCGAGCGCCGACTCCACTGTTGTCCACAGCATGTCGCTGTCATCCCCTTTGTCGCAGGGAAGCCAATATGTGAACTCAGTGCTGGGTGATCATATGGGTCAAGATAAAGGGGCTCCTGGCACTGATTCACTCAAGTTCCCACGGGGTATTTTAAACTATGAGATTTCGGGTCACGCCCAATCCGATGTCTCGTGGAAATTGACAGGCAACCTTGGAGAAGAGCAGTATCAGGATCTAGCTCGTGGTCCTTTGAATGAAGATGACATGTATGCCGAGAGACAAGAATACCATTATCCTAATCCACCAAGCTCAAAATGGGAATTTTCAAACCCAGTCACAGATGGCTTATCGCACGCAGGTGTTAGGATCTATGCAGTATCCTTCGGGTTGAATATCCCCAGTGGATGGGATATTGCAATGAGCGTGGTGTTTAACAATTCGATTCAGGATATAACTAAGCAAAATACTCGAGGCAACAATTACAGATGCCAGCTGTTCGTCAACGGGTATCAATTCGGAAAATATAGTATGTGACCCTTTGGTTCATGGGACACGGTTCCATGGTTCTTCATCCGGAATCCACCAACTCTAATTTCTATCTAATTTAGTCAACCACGTTGGCCCCCAGACGGCTTTCCCGATTCCAGGGGGTATTATCAACCACGAGGCTTGACAGTGTGGTCACAGGACAGACAGGGTGAACACTGGGAAGGTTGGAATTAGTTCCCACATCCGTCATTCAGTCAGGATGCACGAGACCTCAGGCCGCCCCACAGCCTGACTGGACCAAGCGAGCACAGTCATACTAGAAAGCGAGAATAAAACAATTGAACCGTGAAAGCTGGTCTGATGTTTGGTATATATGTAGAACGAAGAATTATATACTTGAAAGAATAGCCGAAAGAAAATATTAAAAAAAAAAAAGAAATATCCATGGTTCTGGATTCCATCGCTAGGTACCCAACGCAGCAACAGCTGCGACCAGGGCATCGAGGGCCGAGCTGTGTGTGGATGCATCCACTACTGCCTCAATAGGACCAGCCCAGTTGACGCCGAACTGTCCTTGTTCATTGCGATCATTATTCCAAATGCTATTTGCACAGTTATCTATTACCTTCCGGTAAATATCATGTGGAGATGCTTTCTGCAACATCCGTAGATTGCGAATAAAAATTCCCTTGAATTGTGTGCCATCTGGAAGGCATTGTGGCTCACAGAATTCATGGATGATATTGTTCGAATCGGCCAATGTCTCAATGGCTGCATTTGCAATCTTGTTTGCAGATGGCAGGTATGTGTTATTGGGTGCCGCTATGTTCAATTCAACCAATCCACCGAGGACAACTCCTTGATTGTACGACCATCTGCAGCAGGTTAGCCAAAAATAAAGATAATCAGAGAACATGATGCCTACACAGTATCTCCGTTGTTCTGACAATTGTCCAAAAGGCCATCATTGATGGTACCGTTTGGACCAATGAAGGCCTGGGCCGTGAACCAGTCCCATTCCTTCTGAGCCCAGCGGACATAATACTGTTTTCTCTCGGCGACTCGGTTTGCAAGGTGTGCTGCGACAGAGAGAAATAGCTCATTCGTAATCGAATTCACGTATGTACTGGTAGGATTCCAAGGAATACCGCCACCACCACAGTTGGTGCCCCATGCGTCAGCCTAGAAAGAATCAACAAATGTCCAAGTACACACAGAATCTGACACTATACATACCAAGCTCTCAAAAATTCCCTCGGCCAATTCTAGGTACGTCCCCTCCTTGGTGACATCGTATGCTGCAATCCATGCAAGGGCCCACCATCCATCATCGTCGTAAGCTTGATCCAGCCACTGGCTAGCATTGACGGAAGTTTGTGGTTGGTTGTCACGAGTGTAAACAGTCTTATGCTCAGGTCCGGGATTCGGATTGGACACTGGCCCCACGTGGAATGTATTATTGAAGACATATGTCGCTGTATCCATCACCGATGGGTCAAGGGCAGCTAAATCTGCAACTGTATTCATGCAGCTGGCACCATCCCACCAGCCACAGGTATCCCAAATGCCACTTTGGGGGTTATACCAGCCCTGAAGGGTTTGGAGTGCATTCCGGGCTCTCGTTCCTGCGTCATCAGCGACAGTATTTCCTGCCAGAAGCAGCGAAACAACCAAAGGTGCCAGAAGACCGTTGCGAGAGAACAACATGGTTGGGAGATATTAAAAAAAAAAGAATGGGTCGGACCTTCTCGAGCGGAGATACTAATTGGCAACACATGTTAGCTTTAAATAAGACGGTTTCAATATTCAAGCCCGGCTCTTAGACATATTACAGCATATTCTAACAAGATATTTGTTGTACATTCTTGCGGCTGTGGTGCCTTGATTGGCGATCAAAATAAACCTGGTCCACTATAGTGGATCCCTAGACCCCTGATCTGCAATGATCGCCTCGTTGTGAGACTGAAACACGAAGATGTACGCAGGTGGACGGTAATCTAAGGAACTAGCCTTGCAGCAAAACTAGTCTGATCTCAGTCAATTTGGTAATCTTCCTATTCCACTCTATCAAGGGGGGTGGAGTATTTATTTATCAGGCGCTGCACGGAGTACAAGCCATGATATTGGCGCACTCCTTGCAATGTGACACTTCAATCAATTGAGGTTTTGATCAGTCGACCCGACCGAGTTTACCTGGACCTGACTGCAATGCAATGCGGATCGATCGGGGGCTAAATCGAGTTCAGCGGGTTGGCTCCGCTTGAGCGCGATTAGCCTCGAGATAGCTGTACGAGGCGCATTTTCTGGGCTACATACCATTTAAATCAGACTATGTAGTTATGCACTAACGTCAGCTGCTCCATTCCAAGGTTGTCATCCCCGTGGAAGACAGGTGTCCTGGCATATTTCTCATGTAAAACTACTTGCCTCGTCCAGAGATCGAATTCTATGTCCAGTCCTCGAAATGGTTTCGGGTGATACAGAGATAATATAGTACGATAACTTCAATGTCGACCTGCAGAGCAGCATCTCATTGGTCAACCTTAGAAAAACACGGCGTTGTCGATGTGAAATGACCGGTACCGAACATGATTGTAGATATAGATCGAGTGCTTCCTTCGCTGTGGTGAACCGTCCTTCCCAGCAGCCGAGTATCGAATATCCATGTTGACGGCCTGTAATATCTGTGGACTGCTGCTCATCGTTTTTTAATCTCAAAATCCACCGCCTCATGTTGCCGCCGTATCTGCGCCATGATAGGATCAAAATCATCCGATTCAATCGGATTTAGTTCGCCATTGCATTAAACTGCTAGGTCCATAACCACATAAGCCGTTGTAGTATTCTTCGCATGATGAAAGATGATGGATGCGGAGGCAGAAATCAATCTGACACAGCAATTATTGGCGAGAAAATACTGCACGTGATGTATCACATGGTTTATCTACGCTGCGTAGATAAGATAAGACATAATCACGTGACTTGATAGGATCGCGCGCACTTATCCAACTGATCCTATGTCACGCCGAGCTTTTATCATACAACCCGAATTAATTATATGAAGAATCTGAGAGTCTGGCGCCTCAAAAAGCCCATTCGCTCACTTATTTATCTAGTGAAACTACTAGCAATCCTAATATTTACGATCCCAGTACCAACTAGTGAGTTTCTACACAATTATTCTTAGACTGACTAGGCATATGATAGGCCGAGCATATCATGATCGACCCTTGGGCTAGGGCTAGAGAGACCTCCGAGCCACATTTATACGGCATTTCACTACACTAAAGATGAGCATAAACATTATCGTGGACGGGCGCTGACAAGCGCAAGAAAAACAAAAACGAGCAAAGTGACTGGAAGGGGGTTATGATGGAGGGTGCCTAATAATACGGAATACACCAATGGAAATCATTCCGTTATATTGTTGCTACATATTTGTTCGGTTATGCACGGACAAACAACAGTTGATGCTATTTTTGGAAAAGAAAGTGACATATTTTCCCTTCGTAGTAAACTTCCTGTCTGTTCAGAGTTCGAGCAATATTTTGATAGCGGAGAGATAGTCATTGTACCGGACGTTAACACCAGAATCACGAACAGGCTGTGATTCAACAGGTGAGAGGCTTTCTGAAATCATAAAATCTGGAGCTCGATGAGTACGTAGGCGACCAGTTGGCCTACATGAGCCTACGAATGTCAAACTTCTCGACTGGATCATCGGGAAAAAACACCAAATTTCTCTCCTTCGTGAAATATCGCCGAGAATACTTGCCAAATGCATATTCTTGAGCTGTTACTCTGAACTGTACGACGGGGAATCTTGACTTGATGACTGCATATATAGCATAGCGTAGTACAATCAACCGCCCATCACATGGCATCATATTCAACGTTGCCCAGAGCCTCAATTAATGAAACCATTTGCCACCCACCGGAGATTCCGGTAGGTTCATTCCGTTCAAAACAAGTGTTTGTTCCCTTGTGCGTTGACAATCCGCGAGCTCCTCGTGGTCTTGGGCCTTGTTTGCGTGATGTGCCACAATATTGGCTACTCATGTGTAAAGCATCGCATATTCCGACAATCAGAGCTCTTCCAATGCTCCAGAATTCGTGCCCAATATAGGCAGCTTGTATGACCTCGTGACATGCAAAACATAATGTTGGCCTTTTGCAGTTATAAACCTCTTCGATCTTTCCGATCTAAATAAAAATATTCTTGTTATCAGCGCGAAAAACTCCAGCTCATTACATCAAAATAACTCTCGCATTATGCCCAGCAACGAAGCCCACGAGATTGTCTTTCGTATGGAATATCCTACTCTCCTTAAACCATCAGGGCTGATATCATTTCTTTAGGGACTTCCATCGCGGCCTGTAATTCAGGCAGTGACCTACGGGTCTATATGCAAGATGTCCTGGGAAAGATCCGCGAGTCGAAGTACGATGACAAATGGAGCAACGGAACAGAGAAGAATATCGTTGCTTCGGCCAAGCCCTACTCGCCTCTAGCCTGCACCTCAAGTGACCTTGAAAATGTCAGTGTTCTCCGGGAAAAGCTATCAAGAGCACAATTAACAAAACCTGCATAGATCCGAGTCTACTACCTCTCCACCGAGAACACTATCAATGATGTTACTTATGACAAATCTAAAGGGTGGTATGAAGGTAGTCTTGGTAAAAAGTGTTTTATTACAGCACCGTGTTCAAAGCTGGCCGCTTGTCACCTCAATGGACCCGACGTGACCAACAGGGTCTATTGTCAGATGGCAAACAACACGATTCAGGAATACGGACTGAAAGGTAAGTCATCAACCCATTATTGCTATACCGCTGCTCACAGCGGAATAGATAATGGAAACTGGGAGACAATGTCGAACCTGGGCTCAGCAATGCCCGGCACAGACATAACGTGCACCGTGTTTAAGACTTCTGAACCAAATATCCGGTAATTGCTACTTTCGGGATTTCTTTCACGGGATAGTACTAAAGCTATTGATAGTGTGTATTTCCAGCATATGGAGCATGGCATCATCGAGAAGTGCTACGACAGCAAACGCGGCTGGTATGGTGGAGGCGCCAAGCTCCCAAAAGTCCAACCTCGGACGTCTATAGCTTGCACTAGTCATATGACCAGCTCGGAAACCGTCGGAATTCGGGTCTTTTACAATACTTCGAATACGATGTGTGAGATGGTGTACGACGGCAAGTCCTGGACCGAGGGACACTTCCACGCGGACTGTATCCCGGGAACGCAGATTGATTGCATCAGCTGGATGAATGGCCCGCGTCCGGAGGTTCGGGTGTATTTCCAGGCTGGTCATGAGATTTCGGCGATTACAGAGTATGTATGGACTCAGGGGCGTTGGTCGTCTGGGAAGCTTGCACTTCCCCCTGCGTGATTGTCAATTGTGATACATCATGTTTCTTCGAAGTATACATGTCGAATTGAAGGTCTTAGCTTAGCTCCGTCAAATTGGATTTATTCTGAGAATCATGTCTGGCTTGAGTAAAGAGTGCAATAAAGTTGTCGCTTGGCGGGGTAGTTCTGACTCACAACTCAAGGGAAAATATGTTGTGACTATTCTCCTCGCGAAACTCCCAAATAAAGTATTTTTAAACTGTTCACTCTGTATTTTCTCATCATGACCATAACTCTCAGCCCAAGGTCCCCATCGGACAGCAAGCTCGCACTTCACAAAGCAATAGTCGAAGACATACCAGCCATCAAAGAGATGGTTGATGCCGCCTATTCGAAATACATTGAACGCATTGGCAAACCACCAGCACCGATGACAGAAGACTGGGACCATGTGCTCCAAACGTATGAAGTTCTCGTTCTGAGAGATAATGAGCGGATCGTGGGGTCGATCACCTGCCACCAGGACGAGCAGACAAACTCGCTCAAAATCGACAACGTAGTAGTCGATCCAACAGCGCAAGGGCGAGGCTACGGATACTATATGATCAACCACGCGGAAGCGGAAGCTCAAAATCAGAGGCTTCCCAGTGTAACATTATTCACTAATGTGAAGATGTTTGAGAATATTGGGTTTTACGCGAAACTAGGGTTTATGGAAACAGATCGCAGAATGGAGGATGGGTTCGAACGTGTATATTTCTGTAAAAAGCTTTCTTGATGGGAATATCCTTCGACTGCTGAAACTCATTAGCGTTTTGGGATACCATTTTCAGTCACGATGGAATGGCTCTTGATGATGATTTAAATTATGTGGATATTCTTTCAATCAAAACCAAATCACGAGCCTTCAGATTCGAAATAATTAACTATCACATGCGAATCGCCATGGTTCACGTGGGGACGAACACGTTCTGTCCCTTTTCAAAATATACATACAAGGTTTCGTCATAAAAAAGGATTAGGATGAGAGTATACAGACATAGGAAGAGGAAGAAAACAGAGGAAGACGAGGGAGATAAAGAGAGACATGAAGCGGTAGTGAAAACAGCTTGAGGGAACGAATATTTGTGGTAGTGACAGGAAATGGGTATTGAGGGCATCATATCACAAAATGGATATAGGAATAGAAGTGAAGAAAGGTTCATCCCCGCCATCCTGATTGAGATGGACGGTCGGGGAAGTTCTCCTTGCTAGAGCGCTTACTGGATTCCTCGGTGGGATAAGCAGGCTCGTGTGTGATTACAATGGTGGTTTCTTGGTAGACCTGTCCGATCGGCATCATTTCCTGATCACGGGCGTGGTAGCCATGTGCGGTGGGTGAAACGATGTTATCCGTCGAGCCGTTGCGGTCAATCTCATCAATGTAAGTGCCGCCGACTGTGTGCTTGGGATCAGCCGTAACGGTAGTTAGGTTGTTCCCACCTCGTTTGCCTTTGCTGCCGTTGTAATTGTGATAGGAGCGGTCTTCGCTGGGTTCCGAGTCGATGATCAAGTTGCGGCGGGTGAGAGTGTACAGGATGACGTCGACCAGCCCGGAGCTGGTGATGATGGCCCCAGAACAGCAGAAGAATACAATGTTGGGTGTATCGCCGTGGCTTGTGGCCATGCGGCTTGCGGCGATGGGTAGCGATAGAACGAGGTAGATGATTGGGTAGATGGTCATGTAGCCCACGACGCGGCGTAGGCGCTTGAGACTCTCCAGCTGGCTGTTGTCGAGGATAGCGGAGGCGGAAATCTGTCGGCGCAGCTGGAAATACATCACAGCGTAGAGAATGATTGTGCCGAACTCGGCGAGGAAAATCCAGACGTAGTGAGTCCATAACCGCGCGATTTCGTAGTCATCGCTGATCCAGCACCAGGCCCCGGAAAGCACAAAGATACCAGGACCGTGTTGTGCTAATGGGATGATTAACATTAAAACAACAAATGCCCAAATGCCGACCACGAATGAGACGAAGAACTTGTGGGACATTTTACGTCCACAGACGACTAAAAGGAATGTGTGGAACGCGATAGCAAACACGAACAGGCCACTGCTGGGATCCCCAATTTGCAGCCACAGCCCTTGAAGAAAGCATGCGGCGGAACTAGACTCAATCTTGTTTGTCAAGATCCATTGTAGAGAAATAATAAATCCAAGTGACTGTAGAAAGTCCGCCAGAACAAGATTGTAGATAAGAATGATGTACTGGTTGTAACCGATGTAACGTGTATAACTGCTGCGCCAGAAAAAAAGTCGATAGGTAATGAAACCGAGGAGTATTGATGTTGCAATGAGAGAGAGGAAGGCCAAGACTGAAATTGCTATTAGACCTTCTCGATGTGATTCTGAAAGAGGGTCGATAGTAAGTTGAGCGGAGGTGGTCAAGCGAGCTGCCAACGAGTGCTTGTTTCCGGGTATCAAGCCCATGAGAATGACTGCCGACATGGTCGAATGTGTTTGCGGATGGTTTCGGTTCTAAGATTCTGCTATCATTGCCTGGTCGAAAGGTAGGCTGCAAAGCACGTTCTTGGGGTCACTGTCCAGGGCAACAAGAGGCGACATCCAAGGCCGACGCGAATGTGAATAGACGAGAGGTTGAATTTGGTAAATACTATATCTCCACCACGCGCTGCCTGCAGTGGAAGATTAAGAATAGCTCGTGGAGGGAAGAGGTGACAGACATGAAAGGTGAAATTCAGATTCAATGAGAGAGAAAGAAACAAACCCAGGCTACTAGGACTAATTGAACTTAGGCAAGGATAGGAGAATGAGACTTAAACCGGTTTAACCATTTTGTCGGTCAATGGCTGGGTTATCCACGGCAAGTTCGAGTCAGTGGAAAATATGGACACCTGGACGAAGGATTCCGATCTCCATAATAGTTCACGGCCCAGAGCTGTGAATCCCCGTATACAGCGTATTTGTACTCCACTTATCCTATTTAGGGCATACGTGCTCATGTGGGTAAAAGGACACAAGTTTGCCACGGGATGTCGAATGAAACGGCCGCAAAGTTTAGCTTAGTTGGTATTAAGTGCATACTAAAAAAGGGCATTGGCCGTTTAGAAACGGGTTCCATAGGAGACGCACCCCTGATTCTCAGAACCACTAATAAGGCGCAAAATCCATCCAAGGCCAAAGCGCCATATTGGGTAATTGACAGCGGGCTTGGACTTTTAATACCCTATATGTAGTATTCCATTTGGGGCCGAGGCTTCTGGAGTACTAGCTAGGGTGAATTGGGACAAGTGTATCTTAAATTCTTTGTACTCTACGATATTGAAAGTATCGCCATCTCTTTCTATAAAAGCCGCCAGCAGACTCTTTTCTGAACCGCTCAAAGGCATTTACGATCGTAAGATCGATCGGTAGGCTATATCATATTCAATACATCAAGTGAACAAAGAAAAAATAATACAAAGCACAATGTGGGCGAGTGGGCCAGGACCCCGGCATGAACATAATTTTATGTGAGATCCACCCCGCAATAGCCCGTGTTGTTTAACAAAAGGATTATGTATTTAGGGCATTTGGGGTCACTTGACCTCTTGGCTATGTGATTGGACCAGGTTACGGCAGTCTTTAACTACGGAGTAATAATTATTTCGTTCTCTACAAATTTATATTTCCTCTTTTTTATGCCTAACCCCCTTCTGATATATATACCTTTACAAATAGAAAGTATGCAGCCTTATAGAGATACAATCCCCTTTCTTATAAATAGATCCGTACTATAGACAGGAAAATCCGATATAGCACACTAGTTAGACACTGCCGTAAGCCGGGCTAAGCTTCGATCCGCTCCGACCACGAACATCGTCTGTCAAGTGGAGTAGACGGGACAGACACGAGTGTTCCGAGAAGCTGGATAAAGGAGGCTCCTTATGTCCGGTATGATTCCAGCTGGCTAGCACGGACTAGTGGAGGAGATCAACGGAGTAAATCGTCAAACTGGTGCTTACGCAAAAGAATGCCTCAATTTGGAAATGTCTCAGATATCCCGTCAGGGGTAATCGGGAACAGCCGAATTTATATTGGGTGCCGGCGATGAATTTGGGGTAAATCCCCAGCAACCTTTTCCAACTCATCCTTTTCTTTTCAGAACCTTAACCTTCCAGAAATCCAACTAGCTCAGTTTCAGACTGCATGCCCCTATGTTGTAAGCACTAAATCGACTATCCAATTGCCGAATCCCCACTCTTTGACCTTAAAGCATACATCTTCACTCGGGGCTCCTTTGCATTTTTAGATATCTATTGATCAAATACATCATGCAATTTAACCAAAATGTGCCTAAGACATCATTAATCAAATATTAAATAGTCCGCTTATAGAGCGCTCCATCCTCAGCCGTGTACACATAACACACAGCCTATCATAATTGAAGCTTCGATTGACGGGCCCGTTTTCCTATTTTAGTTAACTTATGATCTTAGCCTATCGATCTTTAGCACAACTAGTTTCTTCTTCCGAGGATCACCCAGATCATACCCTGAGACTCCGGTGATCAATACTTTGCAGTGCACTCCGCAAATGGTGTTCTTTGCGTCATTTAGCATACGCTTGTCAGTGCGGCTGGAGCGGCTGGTTTGGGGCCGTCCGCATCACAAACCGTTGGCCGTGTCGAGATTGGTTCATTTGATCCACCCAACAGGGATGATGTCGTAAGATATACCCGATGACGGCTTGCGATTCGTACATCGTACTTTTTTCCACGACGCGGTGCGGCTCGGCTCCTGTTGCCGCCGGGGGTGTTCTCCGGCTTCCTTTGCGGCAGCTGGAGTAGATGGCGGTGTGTGTTGATCGACAAGACATAAATTGCGTCAAATGTTGGGGGTTGATACTGAGCCTTTCTACTATTTGTTGGAATTAATTATCTAGTCCGTCCCGAGGGATCATTTCAATACCTAGATCCAATTCACTTGTATTGCACAGTACTAACAACTCAACCGCTGGGATATGCTCAATCAAACTTGTATCATAGCCTAAAGGCATGGCTAGTCGTTAGGGGGAGGGAAGCTCGTAGTATTCATAAATCATCAAAAGAGCAAAATATAAAAAGTAGCAGGAGGCCAAGCGTGGAGTTAAGCAAAAGAACAAGCGAGAAACGAAGAAGAAAAGCCAGGACAAGAAAGTAGGAGGGGGTATCATGAGTTCATCAAGCCCATTGCAACAGCAACAGTTACATCCATATCCAATGCTATCCAGCAAACAGTCCTCGGATAATTCCAACGCTGTACGTACTCCGTAGATCGAAAAGAATTATTCCCATTCAAATCCAGGTGCCGATCTATCTACGCCTCGAGGGACGCGTATCTCGACGGCCAAGACCATCATCTTCCTCGTCTTCCTCCTCGACAGGCGCAGGCGTGCGTCGCTCCGTGCGTCTCTTAGGCCGACGACGCCGGTTCGAGCTGATATTACTAGCCGAGTCATCGGGCGCAAGAGAGCACTCGTCGTCGAGGAAGTCGTCTTCACCACCGCTTTCCCACGTTCCGACACCCGAGAAGGGTGTGCCTAGGCGCGCTTCGACGAAGGAACCCCGGCGGCTTTGGCTTGCCACGGAGAGGCCGGCGCCGCGTTCGCGCAATGCACGTCGAACGACTTCAGCTTTGCAGTGGAGGGCTTCGAAAGCATCTTCAAGGGCTTCCATTCCGAGGAAAATGTCGCGCTCGACTTCTGCTAAGGCGGCGATTTCGGTTTCCTCGTCTAGAGCAATCGGCCCGCCGAACGAGGCGGGGGATGAGGGTGCGCCGTTAACTTGGCTTGAGGGTCGGAAGCTGCCGTCCATATAGTTGGGTGTCGGTCCTCGGGAGACACTGCCGCCTAAGGGTGTGTTGGAGCGACTTCCGCTCCAGCGAGCGCCGGTGGTGGGGCCTGGGTCTTCTGCGCCGCTGCGGAGGAATCCGTCGAAGCGGCCGGAGATGAGAATTTCCCACTCGTCATCGCTGATGGCGGAAAGGGTGGCGAGGACATGGTGGAGTGTAGGGTTATTCAACATGTACATAGCAGTTTCTGGATCGCGAGGGAGGGAGGGTAGTCGGTAAAGACGCTGGATGGCCGAGGCCGATGAGATAAGCGCCGAAGGCTTGTGCCGGGGCATCTCATCGTCAGACCGCGGGACAGGAGTAGAGGAATTGATGCCGAGCAAAGAGCATAACAACGACCGCTGGCGGGGTTCGAGATGCGTAAGCATGGCGAAGGTCAACGTTTCGTCGTCGACCTCGTTGGGAGCACTGGTGCCTGGATCTTTCTGCTCATAAAGCCATTTGTCGACAGCGACCTTCGTCTTTCGAGATTGCCGTATGAAGTGGTCCCGGTATTCCTCAGGAACGTCAACGTCAAGCTTCTGCATTGGAATATGCTCATCGCCTGGCACGCCGGTATCTACGGTGGTTGGTGCCATCGTGAAGGGAGGCCACATAGGAAGTTCCCTGCGGCCAGACACGAGCTCCAAAACCTCGCCCCAGCTCACCCCATCAGGTCGACCGTCTGCCTCCGTTCGATCGCATATCTGACAGCTACATGGCTCCGAAGAGATGTCGCGCGCGAACACGGCTTCGAGGCGATCCAATAAACGCCGGGCGACAGACCGATAGCCTGTTGCCACGGCCAGAGATCCATTCTTACTCATGACCTTTTGGTAGTCGTCTAGTAAACGGTGATATGGATCAAAGATTTTGCCGGCGTTAGCCTGGGACTGAGGTTGTCCTTGTGAAAATGGATCATTTTGCCCGAGGCTAGCCAGCAGTGCCCTCGAGACCTTGTTTTCCAGACCACCATTTTTCAGCAAATAATCGACTCGAGGGATAGTAGCAGGCATTTCAGGTGGAGGTGGGGGCGGCGGGGGTGCGCCGAACGAATTTGGATTCACTGGTTTCACAAAATCGATCGACTCGTCGCTAGCAGTGCGACGACGGGACATGGCCGATCGGTTCTGCGTGCGAGAGGGAGGCTTCGCGGGCGGGGTCATGGGTTTTCGTGGCGCCGAATGCTGCTGATTAGGGGCAATAGACGTTGCATCAGACCCGTTGACTGACTCTCCACCGTTATCACGAAGTGTGACGTTCGACTGTGAGGCAGACATTGTCGAGCGACTCGATCGTTTGGGCAGCGTTCTGTCATCGGAAACCTTCGTCTTAGACTTGTAACTCGATGATCGAGGCAAAGCTTCACCCTCATCCTTGGACGTTCTGTGTTTTGTAGGGGTCTCCGTTCGTGACGTCTTGCTGGACTTGGACTTGGTGGTATCATCTGGTTTCGACCGGAGACTCGATGAGGACCTGTTGACTTCGGAGGCTCTGATTTTGATACTTGTTCTCTTCTTGGGTTTGTCTGTCTCCTTCTCATCCTCGTTGATAATACTGCCTTTCCCAATACTGCCCTTCCTCGACTCTTGGTCGAGACCAGTCAGGGGCGGACTAGGAGGCGCATGGTGATCCTCGCGGTGACCGTTCTTCCCCTCGTCATGTGTCAAGTCGGTCGGGTCCGGGGTAGGAATACTCGCTCGGACGCCTTCCTTGCTGTGGGCCTTCGAGAAGGTAGGATACGGTAGACTAGTTCTCGACTCAAGGAACGAGGCTGCCTCCGACTTCTCGAGTCCAGGCATGGAGGACCTGCGTTGGGAAGTTGATGAGCGAGCCGTGGGAGGATCCTCGGGGTCCTTGGTTGAGGTCTTCCTGTTTGTCTTGTTTGTCTTGCTCTTCGTGCCCTTGATGGTCTTCGACTTCCTATCGTCGCGGTTTAGTCTAACAGGAAACATGGCGAAATCCGTAAAATCGAGTTGTGGACCGCGCGAAGGGTCAATCGTCCGTTACCTGTCTAGAGTCGCACTGCCACTGAGCGGAATGTGATCCTATTTTTGTCTCCAATTCTCCTGGCGCTTAGTTCGGGCTGCCGTCGTGACTTGTCGCTTAGGGTCGCAATGTGCGGGAACCAATCCGGCATTCCGAGTGTCTGGGGTCTGGGGGAAGAAAATGTGATCTCAAGTTGAAAAAAAGAAACGAATAACCTCATTCAGGTACGACGCATGAAATTGTTGGAAGTGGAAAGAAACGCACTATGCGATTATGCGGTGAACGATCTCGGCCCCGCTCTTTCAACTGACGTGGTTTTTGCTGCATGGAAGCCTGAAATCCGATGAGATATATACAAACGCCCTCTCAGCTGAAACCTGTCTGGGGGAACACAGATTCTACTGCCTAAGGCAACATATACAGGTAACTTCATCAGTGGATTTGAAACTTTTGGTATTCAGGATATCAATCCGATTCATGCAATCCATTTACTGCCTTGACAGGGGATGTCTCTAGTACCCAACTCCCCTCTTCTTCATGAGCGACCCCTCCATTCTGCGCAGCTCTCATCATCTTGTCGCTCGCGAGTGTCAAGTCACCCGTGTTGTAATCCCAAATCCATCCTTCCTTCAACCACATCCATGTAAGATAGGCACGTAGCTCCTTGTCCTGTGGTAGAACGCATTTCCATTCAGGCACAAACCCGACCTCTGTCGCATCCGTCCCTTTCCAATCGGAGGCTTTCCCCCGCAACTCATCGCGACAGAAAATCCTCCAGCTATCAAGGGAATATGCTCCAACTCCGGGTAGATGTGCAATCTCCCATGCGACTCGCAAATCATCTTCATCAATGCATTCTTCACGACCAACATTTCGACCGTCCAGTTTTCGTGGATAGTGGAGCTTGCGATATCTTCTTCTTTTGTCCGGGGGGTCTGATAGCCATGTTTGTGCCAATGTAATGCATTTCCTTGCACGCTGGTTTTGAAACCCCAAACAGTTTATCATCGAGACGAGTTCTGGTGAGTCTGCTTCTGCCATTGCCTCGATCGTAGGATATCGTTCAAAAACCTTGAACAAGACCGGTAGGGCAACACCACCGCGGGTTCGATTGAGAAAAATGGTTGCAATGAGTAAACGAAAGGGGTCGTGTGCAAGCTGTTCCTGGATGAGTCCGAAAGAAGACCCATCGATAGGGGGAAACGGGAGGCAAGATTCGGAATTAACTAGCACAGGTGGGAAATAAGGAGAATGCTTCGGGGCTTTGGCTTGAGGGGTTTTAACGCGTTCTGGATTAACGAGAGAGGTGCATTTCACCGGAGTTTTAGGCTCAGGGTTTGTACATTGGGGGACAAGACATGGGCTTTTAGGGGGGGATATATTGATATGAATATGCAACGGATGACCATCTAGATCATCCCAATCAGAATCAAAATCAAAATCACTCGGTGCATCACTCAAGGAAGAATCCGACGACAAGAAGTCCGAGGGCAGATTCAAATCTTTCAACAGCTTTCGGGTTTGAGGGGGGATAGACAAATTGTACAGCGAGGAAGCCGTTTCCCGCTTACGTTTCGAGCCAACTCTGGAGTTGTCGGCTCTTAAGAAATACTTAGACTGGACCTCATCACTTGGAGTCATACCTGGCAAATCACTGGCACTCAAAAATCCTCATCCCACAGATTTGGATCGGCGGGTAGCGGGGGCTGACTGGAGCTTCGTTTGCTTGCATTACTTCCATTAAAATTCTCAGAAGAGGTTTGCGGCGGAGTGGAAGGCGGAATTCGGTCTTTATATGCCCCATCGGCGGAATGGCCTTCAAGCTGCTTCTCTGCTCCACCAGCGGAGTCACCTTTCATGTAATGTTTGTTGCGCGACTTTCTCCGTTCGCGCTTGCGTCGGTTTCTTTCTATCTTTGATTCTTTGCTTGACTCACGACGCTTCGACGGCTTTATTTCGACCACTTTTTCAGGCGATCGGTTCTCATGAATATCCTCTTTCCGGGCGTCAAGTGACAAGCGACGTGTAAGAGTTTCTTCGTTGCTCTTGTCAAGATCTTTGAACTCCCCGATGTCATCAACACGTTCCTTTTGAAGCAAAACATCCTTGAATTGAGAGACAAACTTGCCATAGGGCGAAGAGTCGTCGGTTAAGTCGATAGGTGAACTGGGGCTACCCAGAACGAAGTTCGTGGGCATTTTGGGTAGATCCGGTGTGTTGTTCTTATGTTTCAGTTCATCCAGCTCAACATAACCCTTGTCCTGGATTTCAGTAGGGACACTTTCTAGAGCATCTGCCTCGAACGATTTCACTACCTTGGTTGGCTCATCATGCTGCAGAGCATCGTGGATGTGCGGTTTTGCCGGATCCGAGTGACGCCTCTTGTTTTTCTTACGCTCATCGTCCTCGGTGTGACCGGAGCTGCTTTTACGCCGTTTTCGGTGCGAGCGCTCGGTGTATGTGTCTTCCTCGCCGTCCACTTCATCCCCAAATGCAGAGCCGGCATATTTTGCTGCCACAATTCCAAGCTCCTCAAGGTAAACACCTCGAACGTGCTCAATCAAAGCATCGATAGCTGTGTCGCCCAGTCCAGCCTCTGCAGCGACACTGCGCAGTTGGCTATTGAATTTTCGTCTGTCCGAACGACGAACCGGTTGAACCGGTTTTATCATGAAAGGACGTGATGCGATGAACTTCAATACCTCAATCCGCTTTTCTAGACCCACTGAATCGAATATCGTGTCTTCGATCGTCCTTTCACTGTCATCAATCGGCATTGCGGGAGACTCAGTGATTCCGGGAAGTGTAGAAGGGTGATCACCGGCCTCGTGGATGGGACAGGACTGAACTTTTATGACTTCATTTTCGTGCTGAGGTCGTGTAACGTTTTCGGGATTCACGGGAGCTTCATCATTACTATTGTTATCTTCCATTGTCATATGCTTCGTTTTTCTCGAGGATTTTCTCGGCGTCGGTTTCTGTGCCTTGCTAGTTGCAGGCGAGGAGGTCGACGGTGTAGAAAATTGCGACAACCTGTCTTCGACCCTTTGGCTTCGACGAAATTTGGGCTTTGAGGAGTCCGACGTGCCATCATACCCGAAGGGGCTCGAGATGTCAATGTCGCCGTCCATCATCTCGTCTCGGGATCCTTCAATGCTCGCTTCCTCAGACAAGATGTCGTCAATAGCACGATCAAAGAAGTTTTCATCAAATTTCTTCAGGGGATTGATGTCAAAGGATGGAAGAGGAACGACGACGGAGATATTGCTGAGTCGAGCCATTGTCTAGGGTCGGAAGTTGGGGAAGTGAGAAGGGTTCGTAGACATAACGCGGTGGGTTGTTTTACGTCGAACTGTTCAGATAAAAAGTAGTCTGATTAATGCAAACTCAACGACAATCAAGGAGTAGAAAAAGCTACCTGCAAGTCTTCTGTGCAGTCAAATGCGTGCTCTTCTCGGGGAGATCACGACGAAGGCTAGCTCCCTTGAACGCAGGACAATTCACGTGTAAATTTGGTACGGCGACGCGATCTCGTGTCAATGAAACTAGTATATGAAACTCAAGAAAAAGACAAATGTATGTCGACTTTTCACGTCAGCGTAGACTTCTAATGGAGAAGACAAGGTCAAGTGAATTAGAGCTCTTTACATCAGAAAAAGGAATATCGAAAGCACGGACCACCCGATAAAGAAACGTCACTCTAGCAGGGATCTGCAATATACAACAAAGGGATGCATTGCGAAAGACTTGAACTTGCTAGACCGGTCTATCTATTCATAGCGATGCGATGTCTTCTATATTGATGCGCACTTGACAATGTATGTACTTCGGCATCTACACAATATATCCCATTTTATACAGAATACCCAGCGGAGTTGAGTTGTCTTGGCTCACCAGCAGCATCGAATGTTCCATTAGGCAAGACCCGAATCAGCTGGGCAGTACTCTGCCCCGGAGCAACCCAAGTAACATTATGACCGCGTGCCTTCATGGAGGCGACCGTTGCATTATCATAAGTGTATTCGAAGCTGACCTGGTTCGGAATCAGCTGATCATGTAGACGGGGTTTGGCCAACGCTTTGGCGGCAGAGAGTCCCTGATCAATGGAATGGATAATGTTCTGGACGGTCGCGGTGATGATACGGCTGCCTCCGGCGGATCCCGCAATCAGGAATAGCTTGCCATTGGGTCGCTCAACTATCGCGGGCGTGATAGAGGAAAGGGGGCGTTTTCCAGGGCGAACATAGTTAGATACAGAGGGGATGTATCCGAATGAGTTCGATGATCCAGGAATGGAGAAGTCTGTGAGATCTTTAGTTAATCCCGTGACCTAGAGTTGGCTTCATGGACATACCGTTCATCTCGTTGTTCATGATGATACCGGTTTCTGGCACCATGATATGGCTACCAAATAGTAGGTTGATTGTGGTGATTACGGAGATTGCAAGGCCAGTGTGGTCGGCTACTGCGATATGGGAAGTTCCAGGGCTGATATAGAATTAGCTTTATATGAAAGAATGATGCACCAAGCAGGACTTACGTGTCCAGGCTTTCCAGTCCGGCTGGATCATAAACAGATACGTTCTGAGTTCGCACATCTGAGATTTTAGATCGAATGTCGTCAATTGTAGACTGTTCCAAAATCTCCTTCTCATACTTGGCCATCCCGTCAACAAACAGGGGATCACCAAAGTTAGATCTCTGTAGTTCATGTAAGCGACCATTGAGCAGAGTCCACCCGTGAAATCAGAGTTAGGCATTCATACCTCGCCATATCCAAATCGCATCGCCTCGTCCAATCGGTGGGTACTCAAATTCACAGATTGTTCAGTCGTGAAGAAATCTTTGTATGTACCCAGGATCTTCAAAATACTCATGGCGATACTACCACTCGAGGGGGCCGACGTACTCGTGATCTTGTAGCCACGGTAGTTAATCTGAGAGATATCCCGAATGGCGACAGTGTAATTTTTAAGGTCTTCGAGCGTCATTGTCCCATTCTCGCTCTGTAGAGCATTGATCATAGTCTCCGCGATGGGGCCCGAGTAGAGTGCATCCGCGCCACGCTGCGCGATAGTCTCGAGAGTATCCGCATACCGTCGTCGGGTAATTGTATCGCCTAACCCAAGTCTAGTTCCATTCGGAGCAAAGTCAATTGCCCATGTGGGGTTCTTGGTCAGGAAGTCCTCTCCAGTGCCAACAGCAGATGCCATGTATTTGACAAGATCTTCTGTGACAGGGAACCCGTGCCGGGCTGTGTGGATAGCGGGTTGCACAACAGTCGACCATGGGAGAGAGCCGTATTTCTTATGGAGGTGCTCGAGACCTCGCACTTCGCCCGGTACTCCACTAGTATTGTTAGCCTGGTTCCGATCTGCTGCGCGTACTTGTCTTACCTTGCTAGTCCGCCGTATATTGAAGCATCCTCGTTGCCTTTGTACATATCTTCGAATGCTGCAGCTGGGGCCGTCTCTCGGAAATCAATAAACTCGTAATCACCCTTTGCTGATCTCACGAGCATAAAGCCACCTCCACCGATTCCACTGTGGTACATCCCTGTATCCGTTAGCAATGCTCAGATACGACTACTGAGCGGATTGATGTAGCCTCACCTACGACACCAATACAAAATTGTGTCGCGACCAACTATGTCATTATTAGTACCGAGGTTCACCCTTATCGCGAACGAACCCAGATAGAGATACTCACAGCGTCAGCAGCGTTTCCGCCCTTCTCCAGAATATCAGATCCATGGCGCGAGCAGATTGAGCTTTCGCTAGCAACAGCGCCCAGCTTTCCAGGACCAATCTTACCGTGCGACCCGTGGCCAGCATTCGTGTCTCGCTCGGAGAACTCCAAGGGGAAGGTGTTGGCAGTGGGTAGATGAATTGCGATCAACAGCAGCGATAGAATCGCTAAAACGCCTAATCTGATCGGTTGTAGCATGTTGACTAGAGTCTGCCTCCAATTTCTCTGCGGTACGCAATGCCCAAGAGTCGGTACAGGGGAAGAAGATGCTGGCAGGGCCAACTCAAGCTAAGACGCCATCCAATATTAATATTTTCAATCGGGCAAAAACAATAACCGAGAGGGGAACCTTGGAGAGATAGCTGTACCTGTTTCTCCACATCTTGGCTAGTTCGACAGGGGTGTTGCATGTCACGATTGGAGAACGTCCAGCTTCGCTTCGGACGCTTTGGTTCAGGATCGGCGGGCTCTAGGTTGCTCAGAAAATGCAACTGGCATCGAGGGACGAGGGATTGAAGGATAGGAATCAAGGATCAGATATCTTGACGGTGCGTGTCTTCCAATACCATTAAATCTACCTACTGCGTAGCGGTGTGTTAAGTGTAAAACCCCCGAAGCTTCGACCCCGCCGATAAGCCACCGGGTAGCTTCAGGGCCCAAATTGTCAAAGCGCGGGGGTTTTTCGGAGTCATTGGGTCAAATTCCATGCTCCAAATCGTCTAAATGTAACCTCTTGCTTCCGTGGATATGATTCGGTGATCAGTTGGACTTTCCTTTGTTGTCAATATTTAACCCCGAATGATCTGGTTATCATCCTTGTGACTAATCCTCCCTTGCAGCGGCTCGTCTTATCCACGACATGGTCTCCTCCCACTCCTGAGGGATTTTGTCCAGTGTTTCCAGTGTGGCCAATACTAGCCGACGACCCCAGTCGCGCACGTACCATCGATGGCGCAGGAGACGCATAGCTATACCATAATGCAGAAACAGAACTCGGGCAATCCAATCGCCATGTTGGAGCAGCGAGGAAAATTTGTCGGAGAGGAATAAGGGCCATGCAAGGGGGCCACCATGCGGTCCAATTTTTGGCCACGGCTCGATGGCCCGATGCAACTGCTGCCATGTGCCATAGTAGATCGGTTGATCCGATCCTTCCCTTGTGTCAATCATCGCACGAAGTCGAACTAACGACATCATTAAATCCCTGCCTCTATTATCAGCTTCGCAAGCCCTACACCGTCACTCTATACATCGCTGGAACATACGTGTGCAGGCTAAATAATACATGTGTGTTCTCGACTGGGTTGCCGCCACTGTTTCATGTTATTATTCAACCTTTCGCCGATGAGCCAGAGAGCAGGAGGTCCATACTGATCATGTTTCCCAGTTTCGAGGCTTTCTGGTGTGTCAGGAGTGCACAGCCATCCATCCAGCTGTGCGTCAACCCCGCCTTCAAGTATCCGGGAAAAAAGCATGGCGGGGCCGGACATCAATGTACGAGCCTCGAGAACAACCAAAAGCGGGTCCAGTGTTCGATTTTCAAGAGACAGTACTCGAGATCCCATGGCAAATAGCATTATGATGATGGACGAGACAAATGCTGGTTCATAATCTGGTGGTGAGATTTCTGGAAGAACCTTACTTAGTCCAGCGCATGCCTGGCTCTGATATCGCACGGCATGATTCAGCCATAAAGCTCGATTATCAGTTTCAACCGAGGCCAAGTGTAAGGCTGAGAATGCGTGGATGCTGTCAAGCAGGTAAGGGCAAGATGCGGCCATGCGAGGAATGGTCATGGAGAGATGGTGTCCTGACAGTCCATCCTGCGACAGCGTATGGTACGTTGAAGTCATATACTGGTGGAATAATCTCGTCTCAAGCAAGCGTGTTGCTTGTGTGGAATCCCTTGGTAGGGTCACAGTGCCACTCTCTGTTTCTTCCTGGGCACTAGATGATTCCATAGGGCTGTCCTCGTCTTCATTTGGAGGAGGATATCTGCACTCCATCTTTCGCTTCCTGCACAGAGTACATGTTGGGATGCCCTCGTCACACTGGCCTTTCCGTCAGAATTGGGTCTCGGCTGGTGGATCACCGCCGTCCGTAAAGGCTATTTGAGCCACGATTCAGGCACATTCCCGAACCACATCCACCGACGGGTTCAGGGGAGTAAAATTGTCACTCACCTTGACATGTCTCCTTTTACACTCCAAACACCCTTTCCTGGATTTCGTGTGACTCCGACGCGATGGCATTGATGGTTGCCATTCAGAATCGGATCTGGTATTAACAAAGAAACCAAGAAAAATGCAAGAGCCCTCCCAATTCCTATCTCGGACAAACGAGACCCGCGCCCCCGACCTCGGTACTTTCTGGGGGATCTGCACATGACACTTGCGTGATTGGCTCACAGTGGCCTGGCGGCCCCGGGACCTTCATTGTGGATTACATAATCTAACCGTCGAGCCGTGGACCGCGGGAACACGGCGGATGGTCCCGCGGGACCCTAGGTATACACCCCAGACCATACTAAACCCGATGCTATACATATATTGTCTGACAGAATAGCCACGGTAGACCGTTTGATCTAGGTACGAAATAGAAATCAACGAAAAAAATTCCAGTGCAATACGTGGAAGGGTTTAAGCGTGTTCACTGGTCTACTCTAACTTTGAATTCAATCTTTGAATATGCGAGAGAAAACAAGACTAAATCTTACCACACAGGGCTAGGTAAGAGATACGAAAATGCAATACAACCTTGTCCTAATAACAATCCGATTCTTTCGAGATTGGTCTACGATGGCGGTCCCGAAGAAGAATATTCAGAGTGCACCCACTAAACCCAAAGGGGCGACCGTGCTTAGTCAACATGCTAGCGCGATAAGTTAGCTAACTACTCCGTAACTAGCGGGGAGATAAGGCTGCCGTACCTGGCAGAGTATAGATCCTTCCGTCACTTCCGTTTGAAATCGTCACTTCCCTTTGAAATTAGGTTACTTAGTTCACTCTATCTCAGACAACATCATCTGCTACATCCTGTACTCAGAGTCCGGCTGAACGTCACATCACTGCCTTTTCCCCAAGTGTGTCAACACAAATACCTGTCTGTCTGAGCCCGTGTTCAGATCGATAGCCGAGGCCACATAGCCTATCGGGACGGTATGCAGCAACGACTATCTGCGGTGGAAACGCTGCGCTTCCAAATGCCATATGTCGCATTTGGATCAAGGCAACAGACTTACGAAACGCTGTTGCATTCCCACCCTGAAAGTACCGCTCCTCCAGAACAACCCACCGCTTCCCACCAGCCCAAGTTTTTTACTTGGGTAACTAACAATGGATACGGCGCCCGAAATGCTTCTGATCCAGCCCCGTTCTCTCTCTGGGATGATCATGTACACGATTTCCGCTTTCCTACACCTGAAGAAAGGAAGTGGATTGTCGATGCCTTCCGCGCGGAAAGTGTGACCTACAGCTGGCCAGACATCATCATTGAAACCCGTTTTCCCCCAAATCCAATCCCTTTGACTGTGGCATGTGTTGCAGCAACGTTTATCCCTGCCGGATCCAACTGGCCCTACTTGACAACGAACACCGATTACAGCAACCCGAGGCTACCTGATCCCCTCTCTCCGCATTTTCAACTACCGAAGTGGGAGAGACCATCCGAAAAGCAACGGGAAGCGGTTCTACGGGCCCTGGGTAGGCTTGTGACAGTGCAGGCTGTCAATTACATTGCTCCTATCATCATTGTTGAGATCGCGCTTGATGGAAGATCATACAGCACCCGATCTCTCCCAGGAAGAGTCGGTGGTCTCCTCACTGTATACCACCACAGTCATACGCCGTTTTGGCCTCTGACGTGCCAAAGCAGAGAACGCTGTATCACACCTGGAACGGTTCAGGATACGACTAACTATTTCCTGACTGACCTCCAAACTCTCTGCCCAGAAGTGCGAGTGGAGTGTGGCCTTACTAACAGAGACAGTGGTTACCTCGATGCCACCATGGCTTCAACTGCCGGCGTGAAACTTAGAAACACCGATTCAGGATATATCAGACTTACTGTCTCCAATCACGGATTTATCAACTCTGATGAGGTCTATCATCCGTCCTCTCAGAATGGGGGCGTTTGCATTGGTCACATTGACGAACGGTTCGATGCCCTTGACGTCGCTTTGGTGAAACTTTACCCGTCGACAACATTCACAAATGGGGAATATTTCCCAAGCCCAGCCTCCGAATCGCCTCATCCGTTCCACTGAAGTCCAAAATAATACATGGTGTTGTGCAGACGGTATGGCAAGCGGAGCAGTGTTTCTCGGGGTGGCTGGAGTTAAGGATCGAAGTCCACCACGACCTCCCGGTATCGTGGTCCCGTTCACTGAGTTCATTACGGAGAATATTTACCGTCTCTATGGGCCCACTACTAGTTCGATCCGGGAAGGAGTTTGTGGCGCGCCCATCGTTGTAGATGACAACGAAGATGGAAGTATCGTTGGGTTCTTTCAGCTTGGGGCAGAAGGCTCTGCCTGGGCCTTGTCACCCTACCTGGATGATTTGATTGACAGAGGATGGACGGTGCTTTGAAAATGCTTCTTATTCTCGTTGATATTCTTATTCTGTCCCAGGTTGCTCTTTATGTTAATGCTACTAATGTGCCCTTATAGCTTTTAGTGTGAAATTCATTCGCTGCACTTTTCAGGATTCTACTGAGAATACATGAAATAGACCACCTTAGATCGCTGCCGACATTTTGTTTAGGGCAAAAACTATCCTCAGCCAAGGGTAAAATTAAGTATAAGCTGTAACTAACTAATCCTGCCGTCGCAAGAGGCTACTAGAAAGCTACAGAGTGCGACCCCCAGGATGTCTTCTTTGTTGCAGCCGTGCATGGCGACTCCGAGACTCTCCGCGTCCTCTAGGAGGTATATGCTGCTGCCCCGGAAGTTGTCGAAAGGCAAAGAAAAAGAAAAAGAAAAAAAGATTATGAAGCGGCCTTGAGTGTTGAGCTCACATCCCTGGAAATGCACCGTGGTTATCAGTACACCCATTCAACGTATCGCTGGTAAACATATCAAAAAATCCCAGATCAAGGTCCAAATCTCGCATATCGATTGAGGCTAGAGAGTCTTGGCCATATACACCCCCAGCGACAGCAGTGGCAGTCTCCAGACTCCTGGCAATGCTCAGTAGAGGATGTGTAGGGTGGTTGACAACCGGCGACGAGAGGAGGACCTGAACTAGTCGCTGAAGGTAACTGGGAATACCCTCGGCTTGAAGGTCCTGAGCCCACGGTCTTTGCTCGACGGATATCTTTACCAAGCAGACACAGGCAAATGCCACCATAGTCCCGATATAGGTTGGTAATTTTCCCAGCCACGAGGATGATTTATTGTCATCCACAATGCACCTGATAATTGCCAGAGCACATCTCGCCGCGCCGTGTGCAAACTTGTCCGCGTCGGTATCAGATTCGGACCCAGAGTTGGAGAGTTTTGTATCCTGCGACGAGCCTCGAAAAATATGCGAGAAGAGATACAATTTCGCGGAATGGAAATAAAGATCGAAGACACGGCGTGAAAATGTGCTCGGTGCGTTCGTGAAGGAAAGCATGGCAAGCCATTCCTCCAGCCATATATCGTAGGCAGCACTCAGCTGCGTCAGCTTATTCGACCGCTGACTAGCGGCACTGTACTCAATATCAGCACCGAACATGTCAAAGACACGACTGCTGATAGACCACAGCTCGACCTGGCTGATTAGACTTAAGTCAGAAGCGTTGGTGAAATAGCTTTGCAGAAAATCTCGTGGCCTTCTTAATGAAAAGAAGTCTCGCGTAAGGGGAGGTCTTCCGTGGATGAGAGAGCAGTGATGATCGCAGAGGTATACCAGCCAGTATAACCGGGTACGGTCATAGCAGGCTCGTTTTGTGTGAGGCATTTTTGTGATGCACCTGTGCAAATCCAACTCTGTGGAAATGCGAACAGCTGAATAATTGTTAGTATACTGACAGGCAAGATCTGAGACCATTAGTGTCACTGTCGCTCACCTAAACTGTTCAGCGCGGTGGAAACTTCATTCAACCATAAAGCTCCAATACACAGCGCGCGGACGTCGTCGAATGTATGATTGCACGAAAATAACTTCGCGGAGACTTGGGTTGTGAAATGTTTTAGTAAGGGACTGTATTTATCGGAGCCAGTGCAAAAGGCAGACACTGTGCATATTGCAGTGATGAAGAGCGGAGAGCGTGTACGGATGGTACTGAAAGAGTCGTTCTCGCCGAGGGTATTGTGAATGCAAGGGTCCAAGTTTTGCTTGAAGAATACGAAGAGTTCCTCTGCTATCTCCTGTGAGATATATCCGCATGAAACTGGGTCGGGGTTTCGTCCTGGGGCTGCTCCAATGTTACCCAGCGTAAGATTGATGATAGACGATGCTGGAAATGCGCCAAGACTGCATGATAGATTTAAAGTGACAGTTTCAGGTGTCTCCAGAGGTAGGGAATTAGATAAACCGCCGGGAATGTCAGTTTCGACGCTGTTGAAACTAAGTGGCTGCGGCAGAGCGGCATTGCCCGAGGCAACCGCAGAAGGCTGAGTTGTGTTTTGTTCGATAGACTGTTCTAGCTTGCTCATTCGATCTTCCATCTGTTCCTTCCATCTAAACCTATGTATCAGCCAGAGTTATAAGTGAAACCACGGGCTATGGGGACAACATGCGAAGCATCATTCTCCAAGAGCATTTGGAGGCTCTTATTGACAGAACACGCAAGCCCACGCCCTTTACAGCGGCTGCAAGGGGGCTTATTATCAGTCATATGGCATTTTATCTGCATCGGTATTAGTATATAGCTCTCTTTTTAGAACCGTGTAGTCCTCACCTTGAGTTTGCGACACAAGACACATGCCGTAATCTTGCGCGAGATATCGGGGATCTTCCGATCGCCAAAGGAATTGCGTAAATTCATTGCCGCGGATGGAGGCATGGTGAAGGTAATTCAATATCTCACCTTGAGGGTGATGCCAATGGTTAGAAGGAAGAGAGGTGAAATTAAAGTCGACCTTTGGATGTATGAGTCTTGAACCAATCGCGGGTTGCGGTCAACCCCACCGCGGTCTTCTTGCCGTCGCCTCATTTTGGTAATTAATTCCAGTACTAAAGGATGTGATTCAGCATGGTTAGAATATGTGTACATGGGCCATAGAGGCAGGCGAAACGAAGAAAAAAATTCTTTGGTTCTAATAATTGCAAAATGACCAATCACCTTGGTGCCAATATAGACATTCACATCATCCACGCTCAACGAGATAATTATAATAAATTTACAAATGAAAGTAGCGGCCCTCTCTCTGCGCGGCAGAGAATTAAGCGCACCAAAAGAACACATAAACAATACATAAACAATACATAGACACCCGTGCAACGGAAACCCTTCTAGAAGATCATCTTACCCTTGTTCTGCTTCAGGTTAACGTCGTAGTTCTTCCAGACCAGAATGCAAGGAATGGTCAAAGCCAAGACGGCAGTAGAAGCAATGCAATTCAGACGCTGGGCATAGCCCCACGTATAGGCGACAGCTTCGCGAAGAGGGGTTCCCCATGGGTAGGTTGACTGCACAGTGATACCATTCAAGTAGATCTCGGTAGCATTAGACTTCAAGTCGTCGGGCAAGTGTTTCGCGAGGGTATTGACAAAGACATTGTTGTATATAGCGGCACCAACAGCCAGGCCAATCGCGCCGCCGATATTCGAGAACAATCCGATGAGGGCCAGCATCATCGGAGTTCCCTCGCGGCCACCTGCCGCCATAACAGCCATGTCTTCGCCAATGACGAGGGTGCCGCCGGCGAAGGCGATGAATATCTGACACATAACAACGTAGCCAATGCCGTGGTCTGCGCCACGGAAGTAAATCATCAGGCCGGAGCCGAGGATCATGAGCGGGGCTCCGAAGAACAGGCAGATGTATTTGAAGCGTGCAGTGGCCCAGATTATAGCTCCGATGACGGGAGAGAAGAAGCAAGAGCCGACGTTGTAAATCTGGATCATATAATTTGCATGGACTGCGGAAATATCGTAGGATATCAAGACGTAGTTGTAGAAGTACTGATCCCAGAGTTCGAAACTGAAAAACAGCACGGCAGCCAGTATACATGCGCCTAGAATGGTCGGCCGCTTGATCAACTCGTAGCGGATAAAGTGGGTTCGTGCGCCCCATTTCTCCCATGCTGCAAAGACGAACAGCATGAAGACACCGACGATGATGAGAGCAATAAACTTTGCGCTCGCATACGTAGAGCGGCCATATTGCGCCAAACTGAATGACAGGAGGAACATTACCCAACCACTCATTAGCAAGAAAGCGCCAATGACTAGTAATAGAATGTTAGTGTGAATATCCCGAGCTTTGGTTTGAGTATCCTTACCATCAAATTCATGGATATAGTGAATGATAGACTGTCCAACCGTGCGACCACTGGGCTGTCGTCGGAAGATGCCGTTTTTCTGTGCCTTTTTCTCAAAGTACTTGAAAGCCATGGCGAGGGGCAAGAACACAAACGGCATCACGATGCAGAAGATGCCATAACCCCAGCGCCACCCGAAATTGGCGTATATCGAGTTTGCTGCAATGCTGCCCGTGAATGCAGTACAGATAAATGGAGTCTGCATAAAGCCGAAGGCGAACGCTCGGTTCTTTAGACCCGAGGTATCGGCGACGAAAACATTCAAGATCAGGTATAGGCAGTAGTAACCAATCCAATACAGCACGTAGCCGGCAGCATATCCATTGGGACCATTGCATGCAGTGAGGATGATCATACCAAGAAGGTAAATGCTGGTCGAGACCACCAGAGCCTCAGCACGACCCCACAAGTTCAAGGTCTTACCAAGCGGCAGCTTAAGAACGCCGCCCACGATATTCGCGAGGATATAGGATGTTGAGACCTGCGGTGCGGACTTGAACCCTCCCTGAATGTAGTTGATTAGGAAGCCGCTTATATTCGAGTGGAACGCCAACATAAATGTGCAGATCCAGATCCTGCAAGTTCGGTCATTGTCAGAAAATTGGTTTCATCGCAAGAGCGCCGGAACGAATGAGCCACGATCTACTCACCAAGCATATATTCCAACCAAAGCTGGCCAGCTCCATGCGAGCGCTGCTGCTTCCGCCTTCTGCTGACCTAACTCGGCACCCTCCGTGATCATGTCGGGGTGCAGTTCCAATTCCTTCTCATCGTCGAGCATGTCGCCCCCATGGGAGCCGTCCAATCTGGGAGGTGATTCAGGATCATATGATGACCCGTCGCCATTGTCCTCGCGTGTCTCCGATTTCTCATTTTGCGAGCTGTGTGATTCCTCCCCGATTATAGTTCGGTCGATAATTTTGCCGTCATCGCGACCTTCAGCGGTCGCGGGGAGACCCATTACTGTGTATCCCTTTCGTCCGATCAGGAAATCAAACCGGATGCCAGATCCCCAGGTGCTTCCGGGACTGTGTGAGGATATACAAGGATTGAGTATTGGGCGGAATGGGAGGATGGGAAGGAGAAAGGAAAGATCTGCGACGCTAGAGGGGTTCTTTTTTCTATTAATTCGGACGAACAGAGGCCCGAGAGCTTCCAGACCAGAAAGTCCCGCAGTCGTCCAAGACATCTCCATTTTTTTCCCCTCCTCGGTCTCGAACGGAGGCTCCGATGCGACGATCAGATAATCTCGGGGTGAGCGGACAGGGTCCAGTTGATCTGATATTGGGCCCAATCAGGGGCTGCCGTGACGGCGATCATCCCCAATAAGCCCCTAGATGGTGTGGGGGCCGCAGCCCCGATTGGCCGAGATTCGAGTCTCCCTCCTATTCTGGACTAGCGCTTCCCCGCCCAAAGTCTCTTTTCAGGGCTGCTACCTGCTTGATGCGGCCATCCCGTTTGCGTCCACCACTTACGCCAAACCACTTGAAGGGCTGGCCGGATATCACGAAGACCGTTTTATTCGAGTCATGCCATCATCTGTCTCACTATGTTCCTTTTTCCCCTTACTGCCCTCTAGGAAAGGCTACCCGGTCCCTTGCGTTTCCACGCGGTGTACAGTGTAAGGTTCGCGAGAAGCTTAACACAAAGGAAAGATCAAGGTCGTTTCCAGCCCCCAATTAGTGCCCAAAACAGCAAGCATTTATTGACCTCGTGCATGAATCATCATCTTCTCGGGGCCTTTGAAGTCGCCATATGAACTCAATTGAGCATTGTGGAACGAGATCTTCTTCGGGTCCTCCGCGAAATTTGACTTTCACGCCCTCTTGTCTGGTTTTTGACTTATCTGATTCCGATCAGATACGCGGAACCGGGGTTTATGGCGATGGTAACCCAAGCTTCTATCTGTCCAGGCAAGGTCTACATGCGGGATGGGTCTCGGGGCTAGATCGCATTGTCTCGAAGCGTTCGAGGCGCCTCGCGGTACTACTCTACTTCGTATGGAATACTATTTGTTATTATCAGTACTCTGTACGGATCATGTTTCTTGCCCACACCCTTCAACGGTCGCGTGCGAGAGCAAAAACTTTATATTGGCTGTGACCGAGGAATTCCTTGAGCAAACCAAAAATCCTTTTGGTCTCCAGGAACTTAGATTAATCAATCAAATCAATCGTGCCATGTCATCTAATCTGATCTTGAATTATCCACACCCATTCATCCATGATCCCCTCCCTACGTGAATGATGTTGACCTCCCTTGCCACCATGTGGAGTTCGCTGCGCCCACGAACCCGTCGGAATCCCCGTTTGATCATCCTTTTATGAAACCTGTAAGAAAGCAGTCTGTTAGTTTGTGCACACCATATGTAGAACAAATCTAATTGTAAGCTGTTCCACTACATCCATTGGAATATATGAACTGGTTAGCAGCCATGACAAAGTTGACTTTCGGTAAAGGAAAGCAATTTGCAGCTCCTTTAACAAACTTGACACGGCTAATGGGCAAGCGGGCAAATTGTTAGTGTTTCTTTTTTGTACGATCAGATCACCGTCAATTTAATGTCTAATCGTAGCCTGATGCGCGGGACCATTTCCGCAATGGGAGGTCGGTAATGTGATGGAGTTTGTCCACCATGGCGACCTAGAGTATGTCTGTAAATGAAAGTCCCAATCACTGCAAGCGATTTAACTCGGCCCATGACGATAAAGAATATAGACTGTACTTTCGCTTGTTTAATTGCGCAGGCAGGGGGGTCTCAATAAACGAAGCTATGACAATGACGAAGAAAGATAGAAAGAAATAAAGAAAGAAAGAAAAAGGAAATGTAGAGGAGGCGAGTCATTGCTATGAGGAGGAGGAGGTGCCTTCCCGATAAGGCAATCAAGTCACAAACGGCAGGCACCCCCCATGCAATCAAACAAGCAAAAATATTCCTCATCGACATGGGCCGAGTTGAATTGCTTGCAATGATTGGAACCTGGTCTGCTCCTGCGATTTCCCCCAGTTATATCCTTCAAGTACCAATGCATTGGGCTATTCCAACTAACAACACAGCAAGAAGAGCGATTTCGCTATTGTTCTACGTATAAGCACCAGTCGGATACCCCAAAGCGAGTCATCAAGCTTCGATATGTCTGATTTTGAATAAATCGGATGTTACGATAATACATTTCCTCCTCTTGAGAGCGCATCCGAGCAATTGGCCTGTGTGGAGTCATTTTCAAATTGCTGTCAGGGATCAACCTTTTCATGTTCTGCCAAGTTGACTTCGAATTCGTGGTCATTGTGACACCTCCACCGATCATCGTCTGGGCTTAGTCCTGGTCCTAAGTCGAGCCACCGGGTGAACACAAGGCACACTTCTTTCTGTCCCATACTCCGTATCTCGATTTGCCATGAGGCATTGCTTTTATCACAACGCCCTTGATCTCGGGGTTTTGTTGTCGGGTCATAGCTATATTTATTAGTAAGTCTGTGAACGACAGAGATTAATTTAAAGCCACGGTTAATATGCATACAGACGTGCATAAACTCGTTTTTAGGATCTGGAAATAACAATGATAGGTATTGTCGTCTTACTACCGCAAGCTCTTGCGTTCGTAAGTAAAGGCTCGGAGGGTTCGAGCAGATTCGAACATCAATAGACAGTAAAGTTGTCATATGACTACATTGAAATTTCTCTTCGTCGTACGGTTTGGTGAGTTTCAGTGCTTTTTTCGTGATAGGATTAGTCCCAGCCTCTGTATAGAGCAATGACGGAACGGGTATTCCAAATTGAGCTCCACGGTAAAACCTTCGCATGGAAAGTTGAAGATGAACACAATGGAATTTGTAGTACGCGTGGCTTGGGTAATGCATAACGTAAAGAGGCAATTTGAGGCGATGTACCTTTCGATCGAGGGACTCTACGCAGGCTGGGACTTTGAATTTGGGACCTGGTAGAGCCACATTTTGCCAAATATGGAGTCGTAGGCAAGCGTGGCAGAGATAATACTGTGGCAAGTCACGGGCAAAGCGTGTCAGAAAATCGATACGCCGCCCATCCTCAGGGCACCCAGTGCGGCCCTTTGGCAGGCTGTGACTGACATGCAGATCCCAAGCAAAAAAAACAATTGGTCGCTGCATAACGCGAGACAGGCAATGTCGACAGTGCTCGGATATCATGAGCAACAGCTCAAGAGGAAGACCGGGCAGGTTTATTGGCATTTTCTTGTTCATCTTGGAAGTATCAATCCATGAAAGCTTGGTGGTTGTAGTCTGGTGTACTGAGATGCAGTAGATTCCCGTGCAGATGGCATAAGGGATGACAAGATGAAGTGTAGGTTCTATTTTCGTGAATGATAAAAGTGACGAAGAAATGATAATGTCAAGTGGCCAGAGAGTGGATCACATGATCTATATTTATCAAATATTCGTTGTTTGACCAGAGTCTCAACCTTGGAAAGAGGCTGTACTTATAAAGAGACTCAACTCTACGGCTATAATTTGAAGTCAATACCTTAGGATGATTCGAAAGGGCCTTGTTTCGCTTTCATCTGGCAATGCGGAACTGCAAAACATGCTTCAGTACATTGTTGACTTGGGGATACACTAACCCCGCACTCAAAGGTCTCCGTAACTCCAACACTAACACTATTTAGGCCGTCGATCGCATGAACAATGCGACGTTGCAACACAGCGATATGAAAAACCACCCCTTGCAGAAGGGACTCGGTCTCTCTTCCCATCTTCTGCGTCTATCGTGTTATTGACAGCCCAAATCCGCAAACCCAACGCGCTATTACGTATGTTCCAAGCTTCACATTCCAGAGCGTCATGGCAATTTTGCAGAGAAATAAGTTGTGCAGCCTCCTACTCCTCCAATGCGTCCTAGGCACTGTAGCAACCCAAGATGATCTCCACTATGTCAATCCCCTGATCGGATCAACCAATGGCGGTAATGTCTTTGCAGGTGCAAGCATCCCGTATGGCATGGCGAAACCCGTCGCCGATGTCGATGGCCAGAATACCGGAGGTTTTTCGACTGATGGGAGCAATGTCACTGGCTTTTCGCATATGCATGACAGTGGCACAGGCGGGAACCCGTCTATGGGAAACTTTCCTCTGTTCCCACAGTACTGCAAAGACAATATCTTGGATAATTGCAAGTTCCCTAAAGCTGCTCGCGCGGTTCACTACAAGAATGATTCTGTGGTTGCGCAACCTGGCTACTTTGCCCTGACACTCGAGAATGGCATTAAGGCTGAGATGACTGCGGCGCGGCGCACAGCATTGTATCGATTTACCTTCCCAAAGGGAAAGTTGGCGGATGGAACCGATCTCAATCCGTTGATCTCGGTGGATTTAACTGATCTGTGGGATAGTCGACAGAATGCTTCCATCAGCCTTGACGCCGACAAAGGTCAAATTAAAGGCAATGGTACTTTCTTGCCGAGTTTCGGGGCTGGCTCTTACAAGTCATATTTCTGTGCTGATTTTGGTGACGCTGAGGTCGATGAGGCCGGGATCTGGGTCAATGACCGAGCTGGATCAGTGCAGGAGTTGTTTGTCACTCGCGGCTTCAACAACTTCTACCTTCAAGCCGGAGGCTATATGTCATTTGGTCGTCCAAAGAATGGAATTGTGACTGTGAGGGTGGGCATCAGCTTTGTCAGCTCGGATCAAGCCTGTAAAAATGCCGAAGCGGAAGTGCCTGAACCGGAGGATGCGTTTGATCATCTACGTAAGAGTGCAGAGGCTGCATGGAAGGAAAAGCTCAGTCCTATCAAGGTCACGTCGGGTGGCGTCAGTAAAGACATGATCAGCAGTTTCTGGAGTGGTATCTACCGTACCATGTTATCACCTCAAGATCTGACCGGGGAAAATCCACTATGGAAAAGCGACGAGCCATACTTTGACTCTTTCTACTGCCTGTGGGACGCTTTCCGAGCACAGCACCCGTTCCTTACAATCATTGACCCAAAATCACAGTCAAAGATGGTCCGTAGCTTGCTGGACACCTTCAAGCACGAAGGATGGCTGCCCGATTGCCGCATGAGTCTCTGCAAAGGCTGGACGCAGGGAGGTTCCAATGCCGATATTGTTCTCGCAGATGCCTATGTGAAGAACCTGACGGGTATTGACTGGGAACTTGCCTACAAAGCTATGGTCAACGATGCAGAGAATGAGCCACTCGAATGGTCATATGAAGGGCGAGGGGGTCTGCAGAGCTGGAAGCACCTCAACTATATTCCATATCTGGACTTCGACTATATTGGATTTGGGACTAATTCACGGAGTATCTCCCGAACCCTGGAGTACGCGTACAATGACTACGGTCTGTCCGTTGTAGCCAAGGGCCTCGGCAAAAATGATTACACCACTTATTTATCTCGGTCTGGCAACTGGCAGAACTTGTACAAAGAAGACCAGAAATCGTTCCTAGGGAATGGAACAGACACTGGCTTTACTGGGTTCTTTCAGCCAAAGTACATCAACGGAACCTGGGGCTATCAGGATCCTATTGCCTGTAGTGCTCTGGCGTCGTGGTGCTCTCTCACCTCGAATCCTTCCGAGACATTCGAGTCCAGCATCTGGGAGTATCTATTGTGCGTGTACTCTTTCTTCCCAGTCAGCTTCTAACGCTAATCCAATATAGTTTTGTCCCACATGACATGGCAAAGTTGATCAAGATAGTCGGCGGCCCAGAATCCTTCGTGTCTCGATTAGACTATTTCCACACCTCTGGCTTGGCAGACATGGGCAATGAACCTGTCTTCTTGACCGTGTATGATTATCACTACGCGGGACGCCCTGGTCTGTCCGCCAGCCGAGCCCACGCTTACATCCCATCTTCATTCAACGCCACGCATAGCGGGCTACCAGGCAACGACGACTCGGGAGCCATGGGCTCATTCCTGGCATGGAGCATGATGGGCCTGTTCCCGAATCCCGGTCAGAATGTGTACCTGATAATTCCTCCGTTCTTCAAGGCCGTCGCAATCACCCACCCTGAAACCAATCAGACTGCGACCATTCGGAATGTCAACTTTGACAAAACCTACAAGAATATATATATCCAGAGTGCCAAGCTCAATGGAAAGCCCTACACCAAGAACTGGATTGGACATGAATTCTTTACTCGAGGTATGATGCTGGAGCTGACACTTGGGAACAAGGAGAGCGACTGGGGTACACGCAAGGAGGACTTACCTCCAAGTTTGAGCGACTCGATTTCAGTAGGTGGAACTCATGATGGGATGTAGATATATATGTTTGGCATCCATGAGCACAGTAATGTATTACTACTAGTAGGGTACGCATCCACTTCAGAAGTCGAAACCCGGAGCACATCCGATGTGGGTCTCTATGGGCTGAGTCTATGATTCGGAGAGCAATGCTCACCTAGTATGAATAGAGTCTCTGAATGTTATTGTTTCATACGGATCAATCGTATGACAGACACTTTAGGAATCTTCTAGGGCTCGCACTTGTGGCCCCGGCGAACCCATGACTAAGCTGTGGCGTGCCTCCCCGGAGCCCAAGCGTGGAATCCCCTTCGTTCAAAGCCCTTTAGCACTCATTTCTCAGATCCTCAGCTGAAATCTTCTATCTCGTATTCCGCGTGGGACTATTCCCTGCTCACAAGTTCCAGGTGCTCCCGCGACCGGACGCTTCGCGACATTGCTTTTCCCCAACGATCACCACCCGCCCCAAACATGGCGAATCGACAAATCACACGGCGCATTATCAGCAGCACAGCGATCGCACTATGCCTCATATTCTTCCTCTTCATTCGACCTCAGGGGCCACCGAGTCCCGCCGTCCGCGCTCCAGGCCACATCGACCACTCGGCACCGGCAGCCGCGCCGGGGATAACCATCCAAGATAACACACTGAAGGGCGACGTGGTGATGCCGAAGCTAGGCAATGAGACAGTCAAGTAAGGTGCTCCGGGGAGGGACACATTGGGCAATGCACGAGCGCAATTGGACAAATTGCTGATTACAGAATTGGTGGCTTTTCCAGAGCTGAATTAGGTCGTGCGACTTGGAAGTACTTCCACACTGTCATGGCGCGGTTCCCCGAGACGCCCACGGAAGACCAAAAGGAGGCTCTGCGCTCTTATATCTACCTTTTTGCTCGGTTATATCCTTGGTAATGAGATTCCTAGCCTACGTGCTCTGTGCCAGATCGGAGACTAACGATTGATGACATCAGTGGAGAATGTGCTGAGCATTTCATGCAGCATTTGAGCAAGTATCCGCCTCAGGTTTCGTCGCGCAATGCGGCTTCTGGCTGGGCTTGCTTCGTTCATAATGAGGTCAATGCGATGCTTGATAAGCCTGAGTTTGACTGCACCAATCTGGGGGAATTCTATGATTGCGGCTGCAGTGAGGACGATAAGGTGGGTGAGGGCAAGGAGGGGTCAGCTACTTCTCGGTCTGATTCTGGGAAGGAGACTACGGGGCAGCATGATGGTCCTGCAGTGGAGATCTCGAAAGAAGAGTTAGTGACTTCTTGTTGTGCCGCGTGGTTATGGCTGTTTGGTTGCTAATGTGTGGTTTAGGACGACCCGTGGTTGACGGGATGACTTTTCAACTATTCTTTCGACTATTCTTTCGATTACATGGGGCTCGTCCTGTCTGGTTTATACCCAGCGCTTGGATGCTTCTTAGACACCTTGTTGCACACGCTTATGGAGCTGGTCTCCCTTGTACAATTATAAATCGTAGGTTGACTATGTCAATATCAATCAATATACCCTTGTTGTGTTATGCATGTGGCTTTGGCATAAAAAGAGGTCTGTCTCGAGGTATCGAAAGTTCTTATCATTAGTTTCTAGCTCTTTTTCCCGAGCATATCTGTTGGGGGTTTTGCTCATTTACACATGTCAGAAAATAAAGATACTTGGAGAGCCTACCTCAATCCTATAAAAGTACAAATGATAGCGAGCTACAAGCCGGTCAACGACTAGTAGTAGTATACATGTCCCGCATCCTCTAGATTGCCGATCCCTACAAAGTGCATGACCCGAGCAATCTACGCGCAAAGATCATCCTACCTGGTGACCAAGTGTAGAAGATGGCGCGCATGACCAAAGAGGCCTAGACAGTATCCCTAAACCGCAGAGCAGACGAAAAGGCGCATTCCGTCATACCGAGCTTGTCTTAGCACAAAGCACCGATCAAACTTTCTTCACTATCAGCAACAGCAATGATGTCGTCAGGTCGTACCCTCGCGATACCAACCCTCCAACAGATCAACTAATTTCGCGTAGCATGATGGAAACCTCAAAAAGGGCGGTATATCACGGATCTTAGCATATGTCGGTATAGTCCGGTAAGAGTGTTTGAGTTGGGGCCAAAAATAGCATACAGCCGTCGAGATGGGATGTTTCAAGGGTGGCCAGTCGGCCAGTCTGACTTCTCGTATCCTGGGAAGAAGCGAATGAAAGCATGGGGTCTCCTGACAGGCCAGCCATCCATGTCCGCATGGGATCTGCGCCTTTCCAGTTACCCTGAAACATGTGCCGAGTCAAGAGATGATAAATCAGGGGTTTCTCCCATTCTTTGCATTCTTTTATACGACGAATGTTCCCAAAATAGTTGGAAGGAGTACACTTTGGTCTCCCTCGACGCGCCCAGGCTGTTCATATTACCCAAAATAGCCTAGCCCGGCTCCCGATCGAGACTAGTGTGGACTTGCGCGCCAATTTTCGACGCGAAAAGAAAAAGAAAAAAAAGAGAGGAAAAGCCGAGATATCGCAGTTTGTATCAAAGCAAATCCCCCGCTTAGACGTTTTGTGCTGGACTTCTCAAGGGATACAACCCCCCTCTTGAAAAATCCCGCCCTCAAAATCTTCTTTGCGCACCTGATAGGGTGATCTTTAGTGTCAACAATGGTCTCCTTCTCTTGCGAGGTAAGTCCTATATGATGTCTGAGGCGTGTGCCGCGCTCGAACCGCTGCTAACAATCACTGTGGTAGGCATGTGGTGATGTTCTCACTAAGAAAAAGCTCGATCCTCATCGCGGCCAATGTCGCGGCGCTTCCTTCACCTGTATCGATTGTATGGTGCATTTCTACGGATTGGAATATAGAGCTCATACGGTACGTCGGATCCGCGTCGCATTTTCGCATAATGGTCGTGGGGCTACTCCACTAGGGTCCTAATTATTGAATCAACAAGGGAGTCATCCGCTAACGAGACCGGCCACCACAGTCATGCATGACCGAGGCGCAAAAGTATCAGGGTGCTCTATATAAAGAGAAGCCCCAGAAAGGAAAGAAAGGACAAAACAACAAGCAGAATCCCAACCAGAATCCCAACGGCCGTCACCAGCAACCCCGTGTGGACGACGGTTCAGACGGCGAGGCCCTGAAGAACGCTCCTCCTCCCCCTGCTCCCACTCCCCCTCCTGTCGGTGATGTGAGGGCCCCTGCTCCTCCCCCGGCCAACAATGACAAGGCCGTCAATGTGTTCGATTACCTCGTCGCCGATGAGACTCCGAACGCATCCAAGGTCACCCTTGCCGCACCCAAGGAACAGATGAAGATGAACCCCAATGCCAAATCGCTCTTCGAGCCCAGCCAGTCCCTTACTCGCGTCGAAACAAACCCCAACACGGATGACGAGGGTAAAAATTACGATATCGCATTCGAGGAGAATGGCTTTTCATACGGTGCCGGCAACATCCCGCACTCAGCATCGCCCCCGAATGCGTCAACAGAGTTCGTCACGCCCGCACCTAAGAAGAAGAAGGACCGCCGTCGCGAGGAGAAAGCCCCCGGCACTGTCAGCGAGAAGAAGCGCAAGCGCGGTCAAGCAGAGGTTCTCAGCACCCCGGGTGAAGCAGTCGACACCTCAATGATGGATGCTCCGTCCAGCATCATCAACAATGCCGGCACACCCATGCTGAACCATTCCGGCCTGACCGGCGGCCTGAATCGGATGATGCGCTCCCCATCCGCCGACGGCGACGACAGCCCCGAAACCAGCCGCCGTGCCTACCAAGATACCTCGTCCCCGATCAAGCGCAGCCGCCGCAACGGCAAAGAAGCCAACGGCAACGGTGATCCAGGTCTCGGCATCTCAATGAAGAACCGCGCTGGCCGCCTCGTCTCCTCCATGTTCGGCGGTTCAGCTGTCTCGAGCACCAACGGCTCCAACACAGATTCCGCCCCCAAAGCTCTTGTCCACGCCCGCCGCGGTAGTTTCTCCAGCGGCGACGGCCAGCTCGAGGTCCGCAAGAACAAGAAATCGCACCGCGCGCGCGCAGACGACTACGATGACTCCCGTAAATCTAAGCGCAAGAGCTCAAACCCCACCGATGGCGACAGACCCTCCCGCCGTCTTAAGCAAGTCGACGAGCGCCGTGTCTCCATTGACTCCTCGAACGGCCACCAAGTGGCTGTCTACAGGCAGTCGCGGCCGCCGGCGCGCTCGGACGAGGACCTGCAGCGCGATCTGGCCTATCACTTCCTCTCGCTGGTCCCAAAGGATAGCCAGCGTGGCTGCTCCCTTAACAAGGCGCTTAAGCGCTTCCACCGTGAGCTCTCGGAGGAGTATGATGCTGATCATGGTCATGATAATGGGCGCGGCTGGGTGGACCGGGATCGCAGGGCTGATGATGAGAAGGATCTTTTCCGCGCGTTACGGCTAAGACGTAACGATCGTGGTGAGATTGTTGTGTTCATTTAGAGCCTATTCTCGATGTGTGTATGATTTCAATCAAACGATGTTCTTTGTTACGAGGTGAATGGGCTGGTTATTTTGCATAGCGCCATGTTTTTTTGATGCGCTAGGTTCGATATTTGTAGTTTTGTCTACATTAATTCAGCATTAGGACTAAATTGCATTGATAATGTGTTTGGCTGTCTTTTCTAGTGTCCTTCGTTTGTAGTAGGCATGGAAGCGAAGGAGTTAGCTCCTCTCATTAATATCGAGCACATAACGAAGGCCCGATTGATTATTCTGTGATATGCAGCAAGATGCTGTTTTATAGATATAAGCCTCGTTCACTAGGTCTTTGTTTGATGTCTTGGCATAAAGTGGAGTCCAACACCCCTCTTCTCCCTCTCACTTTGTGATTGCATGCATCAACCAAGCCCAAATAAATTACACCGGCTCATATCATCCCTCAGATACGAAGCATGACTCGAATTTATACATTGCCGGCCCACATTACCACCGGGGCACAGGCACAATGAGTCATGTGATGTAATTCCTGACTCACACCTGAGCGGCTTGCCACTGTGTCACCGCCTCCTGCACCGCCCAATTCTGCCAGGAGAGCTTTTATCGCCTTCATGGATAATTTGTTGTGCCACACTTTCTCTCTTCATTCTATAAGCGGGCTTTTGCCTTTGATTTTCCTCCTCGTTGCCTTATTCAGTGTATAGCTTCCGCTCATTTCACTCTCAGTACTTTTCTAGTCTACGTTATACCAACACACTCAGTCGACTACCAATTACCCTCTTCAAGCCAAGCGCAAGTGAGAAAGACTACCGGAAGCATATGAGCACGCTAGGAGTCTCCAGTCAGACATCCGCTGCATTTTCAGCTATGGCAACAGCACAGCCAGAGACTTCAATCCCAACTGGGCCACGACCCCCACGTTCTTCCAGGCCATCTAGACGCAGAGGGCGGGGTTCTGCGAAGCCGGACGGTCAGCAAAAAACCCCTGCGATTGAACCTCAAAATCAGGCTACACCGCAAGCACAGCCTACACAGTCTCAACCACAGCCGAATACGATACCCCAGCCCAATCAACAAGATGGACCGTCCAATTCGCGAAGAGGCGGAAACAGAGAAGGAAGGGGCCGCAGACAAAGAAATAATGGACCTCGTCAGAATGGAGGACTTGAGAGCCAAGAGACAGGACCAGAGGCGCGAACCCGTGGGATGAGAGCGCGTGGCTTCGAAGCCAAGTTGACAAGACCAGACCAGGCCAAAAATGGCCCTCTATTGGATGGTGCGGAGCATTCACATGATAACACATTAAGACCCGAAGTGCCGGATTTTGTACCGGGCGCCCCGTCATTCCAGCAAGGACGAGCTTCTGAAGCAACGCCATCCTTGAAAGGGAAGGGGAAAGCCAAGCAGCCTAGGGCGCCGCCACCTAAAGTCACAGCGAAGTCCACAGCCGACGATCTGGCTACCCGCATCCACGAAGACATATCGCATAACCTGTACGAGTGCCCTATCTGCTGCAGCGAGCTAGGTCGCAGGTCTCGGGTCTGGTCTTGTGAGCTGTGCTGGACTGTTTTCCATCTGAGCTGTGTGAAGAAATGGTCCACGAATGAAGGTGCAGCCGCACAGAGAACTTCTGCTCAAGAGGACGGGCAGAAAATTACCACTCCTCGCGCTTGGCGTTGTCCGGGCTGTAACCTTTATCAGCAAAACTTTCCCTCGAGCTACTCTTGCTGGTGTGAGAAAGAGGTCGATCCTCGACCACTTCCCGGTTTACCTCCGCACTCGTGTGGTCAGACTTGTTCACGGCCTCGCAAGGGTTGCCCCCATCCTTGTGACACGACTTGTCATGCTGGTCCTTGTACACCTTGTACTGCTATGGGTCCGATACAAGATTGTTTCTGTGGCCGTAATTCGTCGCAGAAGCGTTGTCGGGATACCGATTATGAGAATGGATGGAGCTGTGGCGAAATCTGTGGTGAGTTGTTGCCGTGCGGGGAACATACATGTCCACTTCCGTGTCATGAGGGATTGTGTGGTGGGTGCGAGGTTAGCATTGATGCACGTTGCTACTGTGGAAAACTGCAGACGGAGATGATGTGTAAGTCTAAGGACGATGAGGAGGACAGTCGAATCATTCGCGACGATGGCTCGGAAGATGAGTGGACTGGCTGCTTTGCTTGTGGAGAGACTTGTAACCGTCCATTTGATTGTGGCATACATTCATGCCAGAAGAACTGTCATCCGCAAGACCCTCATCCTGCACACTGTCCACAGTCACCAGATGTCATCCTCAATTGCGCCTGTGGCAAGACACCGTTATCTGAGACCCCGGGATATACACCTCGAACATCCTGCGAAGACCCTATCTTGAATTGTCAAAAGCCTTGTGGGAAAACATTACCATGTGGCCATCCTTGCGAGAAGCTGTGTCATGTTGGATCCTGCGGTGCTTGTTTGCGCAATGTCTACATCAAGTGCAACTGCGGTCGTACTAATAACCTGACAATCTGTCATCAGGGCAAGAATGAGCCTCCCCAGTGCCCACGCATGTGCAAGGCGACTCTACACTGTGGTCGACACACATGCACTGAAAGGTGTTGTCCGGGAGAGCAAAGGGCCAACGAGCGCCAGGCTGCGCGTCGTAAACTCAGGTCTCATCTCCGCCCTGCTGATGAGGACATCGAAGCGGAGCATATCTGCACTCGCGTATGTGGCCGGATGCTGAAATGCGGAAGGCACACATGTCCGGAGGTTTGCCATAAGGGTGCTTGCAATACCTGCCGGGAGGCAGTGTTCGAAGAGATTCCGTGTAATTGCGGAAGATCTGTTCTGTATCCGCCGCAGCCGTGTGGTGCAAAGCCACCTGCTTGCAACTTCCCCTGTGAGCGTCCAAAGCGATGCGGCCATCCTCAAGCCGCACATACCTGCCACACAGACGAGGAGAACTGTCCGAAGTGTCCATTCTTGACCGAGAAGGCGTGTCTGTGCGGAAAGCGGGTGTTGAAAAATGTGCCCTGCTGGCTGACAGATGCGCGCTGCGGTCAAGTATGCGGGCAGCTGCTCAAGTGTGGCTCTCATTTCTGCCGGAAGGACTGTCATCGCCCGGAGGATTGCGAAGATGCAACCAAACCTTGCAGCCAACCCTGTGGAAAGAACAAGACGGTGTGCGGCCATCCTTGCACAGAGCAATGCCACGCGCCATACGCGTGTCCAGAGAAGACACCGTGTTCGTCCAAGATCGCAGTGACATGTAGCTGTGGGCGACTGCGACAAGACAGACGCTGTAATGCCGCCAAGGCTGTAACCTCCAAGGGCCAGGTGCAGACGCCCCAGCGGCAGCCAGAGTTGACCCCGTTGGCCTGCGACGACGAATGCACGCGTCTAGAGCGGAACCGCTCCCTAGCAGGTGCTCTCGGCATCGACATCAACCAGACAACCACGCTTCAAACCATCACAGCCGAGAACCTCCCCTACTCGGAAGAGACTCTGAACCAATATGTCCAGCTCGCATGCTCGGTACCTTTATCAACTCTCCAAACCTACGAGTCCAATCTCCACACCCTGGCAGCAGCAGACAAACCCACCCGCTCATTCCGCTTCCAGCCGGCGAAATCCACTCTCCGCGCATTTGCGCACTCCCTCGCCGCAGACTGGGGCTTCGTGACAGAAAGCCACGACCCAGAACCTCATCGTCACGTCTTCGTCCTAAAACCGGTTGTTTGGACACCTCCTCTCTTCGGTATGGGCAGCGGCTCGACCATCGGTATCGGCGGCATGAGCGTCCGCGAGTGCGTCAAGCTCCGCGAGCGGGAGCGCAGCAAAGAACAAGAAGCGCGTCGTGTCGCCGCGCTCGAGGCTAAGGCGACCCGTGAAGCCGCTAAGGTACAGGCTAGTACTGGAGACGGTGGTTGGGCTCAGGTTGCTTCGAAGAGTAAGGGTGGGAGCGGGGCTAGTTCGAGAGCTGGAACTCCTGCTCAGAACCCGTGGGTGAGCAAGTCAATTTATGCAGCTCTCGATAGTGACGGGGCGAAGAAGGAACGCTTGGTTTTAAGATCTGGCGTTGGGGTTGGGAAGTCCTGGCGTGCGAAGGCCCCTGCGACTGCGGTTGTTGATGATTGGGAAGAGGCCGAGGAGAAGGAAGAGAAAGAGGAAGCGGGGGACCAGGACCAGGAAATAGTTGTCCGTGAGGACCCTGAGGGAAAATCTGAACTTGCACCTGAGACCGAGACTTCTGCGGAAGATAGCCCCACTCAGGCTGAGGCAACTCAGGTTGAAGCATTTGTTACAGATGTGCTGGTCTAACCTTCGGATTCGGACAGGATCTGATGATTGATGACCTGAGAAACAAAATGAAAAATGTTTCAAAAGCGTTGGACATGTCCCTTTCTTTGCGAAATCATTTGCATTAACTTGGAGTTTGGAGTCTCATCATACACGATAGAATATTGTATCAAAAGGACCTCGGAACTCTGAATAGCTTCATTATTACCTAACTGAGAAGAACAAGATCCAGCCAATCAAATCCCTAGAAAGATTTTAAAAAGGTTCTGTTATGACCAGACCGACTAGTTATTTCACCCCAAGCCCCACTTGGCTCAGTTGTATCTGACCGTCGGTGCAGTCTCTGGGCCCAAGGCTGTACACCTTCCGTTAACCGCAAGAATCCGGAGATCGTGTTCAAGCCAGGGCGAGATCTCTCAGAACATAGGAATCCTAACAGGTATTGGCCCGTCTGGTCCCTTCGTTTGGGTAGGACCGATTGAGATTCGCTAACAACACACGTGCATAGAACCCGTTACGCGGCTAGTTTAAACGAGTAGATCACCCAAATTGGGGGAGGCCACCATTTTTTTTCTTTCTTAGAGAAGAAAATGAAGTTGTATTAATTCTATCGTGATTCGAACCACAGACCCGCTTCCCCGGATTTTGTTAACTCCTTGCATAAAGTTCTCGAGTTGTTCATTCCTTAATGTGTCATATTTGGCATAGCCTGCAGCAAAAAGAAAGAAAAAAACAACTAGCCAGAGACACTCTAACACAACTCCAAAAAAAAGGCCAAATCATCAATACCCAAATCTCATATAGCCAAAGATGTAGCCATTAATGTCCGTAGACCCCAGCTACACACTCAAAATCCAAGCCTCCAAACCCTACTTCTTCGCCGGCACGACCTTAACAAACTGTAGGCATCCATCCTTCGTCGCCCGATATGGCCCATGCTTCATCCCAGGCTCACGGTAAGCATAGGCACCAATACTCCACGTCTGTCCGAGCGACAGATCTTCCAGCCCGCCGCGCAGAGTGCAGACCTCTTCGATGTAGGTGTGTGTTATTGGCTCTGTCTGTGCAGAGACAGTATTTGGCTCCCACCACTGTAGCACAGCCTTGTGCTCTCCGTCGCCATTTAGCAGAAATTCCCATACCCCCGGCGCGATGGAGTACCAGGGTAGTGCGGACGGGGAGTCCTTGGGCGTGCCCACTGGTGGATGGGGTGGTGGGGTGGAGAATTCTTTTTGATGGATTGGCATTTTTTTTAGGTTATTTGTTTCCCTTTTCTGAGATGGGGAAGATTGGGATGTCGAAAAGATGAGGATATTGGTAGATGAGGGGTTTGCTTCTGAGGAGCTGGATTTAGGTAGATGACGGTGCCTTTAAAGTTATAGTTCAGGGCCCATTCCACATGAGCAGCCTTGGTTGGGCAATGATGTGCTGACTAATGGGCACAGGTGGGTCCATGTACAGGTGTATAGTTATGAGTTATGGATGTATGGAGATGTGAATTGGTAGGAAAGACTTTTGCAATCATTAGGTGGCACTTAGGTTTTCTGTTGAACATCAATCAATCTATTTCCTCAGAAACATGCAAGGATATACCGTAGAAACAGAGATCGTATATTGGAGCTAACAGAGGTAGGTACAGATGGTATGTTGACGGTTTTTTGCTTTAAGAGTCAAGTCAGTTACTTCGAACAGTGAAAGAAGAAACAAAAATATCCTTGTGACTATTTGCAGATCAAAGGATCAAGAGGTGTAACTTGGAAAGCTCAACATAGAGATTTGGAGAATTGATACCGTGCTAGAAAAGCTAGACGTGTCTTGTTTCGATTTCTTTTACCGTATATCAATACTTACCTTCTTGGTAGTCCTTTGTTGCATGTTATGGCTACCTACTCTGAAGCCCGAGGGGTAAAAAAAAAAAGAATCCTCTTGATGCTGTGTTGAACGGTGCATCGGTCTCTCCGATACGGCCCAATATGGCAATTCTGCTCACCACCGCCCCAGGCTCGCAGAAGCATAGTAGCTAACGGTTGGTCTACCCAGTGAGGATTCTTGAAATACTTACTCTTCAGTAAAATATAAGGAAGCCACATGTCCTAATGAGGTAATATTGATGCCTAGTTTATTTCACTTTGTGCCTTAATAATATGGCAACAAATAATATGCTTATGTCAGTAATTATGTCATCTGATAACTAGTCCGGCCCGGCATTTCGAGATTCGGAGCTTCATTTTATTTACTCTTTAGACTCAAAATGCCATCATTCCGACTACAAGGATTCCAATCGGTGGTCCGTGGCAACTCCCACTTGCTGCGTCATCAGCAGCGCCGGTGGGCGCAAGTCCACGACGTCCGCTTCCTCGCCTCACACCACGATCCCAAGTATGTCTTCGAAAAGTATCGGTCCAAGCTGGACCAGAAGGCCAAAGAGTGAGCAAACTTTCCTGAACAATTCCTCCTGCATATTGCTAAGTATTTTATCCAGGGAGGGACATGACTCAGTCGAGTCTTTGAAGGAAGCCTATACCGAAAAAATCAAAGAACTCCGCCGCAAAGCATCCACCCCAGCTACCCCAGAGCCTGGAGCTCCTACATCCACCACCACCGTCCCAGGCACACCCCCAGCATTCAAAGCACCCCCTCCCCCACAGGAATCGCGCATCGCCAAGGCTGCACGCGCTGTCTCCAGCGACTCGAGCCCCGTCAAGGCCCTCAGCTCCTACCTGGATATCGAGAAGGTCCGCGAGCTCCCAGTCAAGGAGATCGAAGCGCTCTGGCGTCTCCGCTTTGCAGAGAACCCGTATGCCATCACCGCGGTGATCCCTCTCGACACATACAATCGCATTATGCATGCCGGACGCGAGAACCCGCAGTTCATCTTGCCCCTCCCGCGTCCGCAGACTGCCGAAGAGGCAGAGCAATCGCCCGAGGGAGCCGTTGGCACGGTTGCCGATATTCACTTCCTCCAATGGGCTTTCCACCCGCCTGCTGAGGGATCGACTCTGTCGCCTTCGAATAGCCACACCTCTACTGTTATCTTCACGAATCTGGCTGCTTACAAGATGCATGGCTCGTTTGCCCAGCCTCACACTACTCTTACTCACCACCTCGATCTAGCGGATGAGAAGGGTCTTGTTCTTATGCATGGCCAGATTATGCCCGAGGGCGGTGTTTCGGCCCCACAGGCAACATGGCTTGTCAGCTGTCTGCAGCGCTTCTATGACTTTGAGGGACAGGCTGCTGGTCGGAAGAGTGAGCTTGTTCGCATGTTCACCCGGGGTGATGTTCAGAACTTCAAGGTTGAGGAACTGGTGGAAGAGGCCGAGAAACTTCCGTAGTTTGTTTCTCTTGTACTAAAACCTTGTGGCGTGTATTATATGTATCTCCCCATTCCATTTGTCTGATGTTTTATATATCTTTGGGACTTTAAACTCTCGTGGTTTCAATAATAGACATGGGTATTTCCAAAGAATTGGCCACTGATTCTAAAACAGATTTCTAGTAAATCGCCATCCTAATCGCCAGTCTTACATGCATGTATGTGTTTTCAATAAATAAAGAAGTGACACGAACGTGCTTGTGGATTATCATGCATGGGTTCGTTCAAAGAATAATCGTATCAGTCAGGAGTCGGTGATATATATCATGGTACAGCAACCGAACATTATTTTATTTCAACTTGCCTCAGATTCAAAGAATGCACTCGCTGGCAAATATCTCTATTCTAATATATTCAAGCACCAATACCAAAACACAAATTATATCTGTTTATTATCATCGCCAATCCCCGGACCTCTCACCCAAAGTCGCCGCAGTTCTATGCACCTCCACAACCCGACGCCAAATATCCTTGATCGTCTGATCAATATTCCGATACATAAAGTGCCGATGGCCGGTGCCCATTGGCTGATAGTTACCGAGTCTGTGGCCACCCAAGGGGATAATGGGCTTCTTGTTTAGTGACCTCGCTCTTTAGATCCCGGGGGTTCCGCTTCCCCTCTACCTTGCAAGTAAGCTCAAGAGTCTTTAGAACGACCGGACAATGCCAACGTAGCCCGTCGTTGGTAGGGATCTAGGACTGCACAGCGAAAGAATCATGAATAAGATTATTACATTCGTACCCGATTTCAAAGGGTTCTCTTGGTTTAGTATTTGCACAAGAAGGAAATTTGCCGGAGCTGATAAGCAAGGCGAAAGGCAAGGGTTCGCCGAAAAATGAAGCAGAGAAAAGAAACACGCCCAGCGCCCGATATTCTTGTAAGCACCGCGAGTATGATAATAGTCAGCAAGGAGGAAACAAGAAGGAAACAAGAATCGAATGTAAATCACAAGGTGAGATAGAAAGAAGAAAAGAGCCATTCTCAAATGGGAGGTATGGCGTTTCACCCCGAGGACTCGGGGATAATAAAGGAATTCATCAGGGCCATGTATGGGCCGTGATCGTTTGAACGGATGCAAAGTGAGATTCGTGTCTTGGTTGCGCGGCAGGGGTATCAAGGTCATAATCAACGGTTCCTGTCAATTGAGTCTTATGTTGTAAGGGCCTAACCAGACGTTTAGATTGGCCATCGGAAAGCGAGATAGCCAAGCAATTGCAGCAAAGCTTGAAGTCTTTGCACTTCTTGGCGGGAAATAAAACCCGGGAAGGGAGGTCCTAGGCAAAGGGTTCGCTAGGGATTCGAGAAGCCCAAGCAAATAAGTAAGTCAGGTCGGTTTACTGTTTATTAGGTAGAACTTCTTCCGTAATGAAGGAAAGAATGTGCTCAAAGTAGCCTGGCTCAGCAACGGAGTCATTGTGACCGCCATTTGGGAGTGTCCGCCAGATCTTGCATTCGGAGTTACAAACGGCAAATAATTGTGTCATATTCGACGGACTAAGGAATATTAGTAAAGAAAGCGTGACGCTTGGCGTAGGCAAACTCACGGAACCAGCTCGTCCTTGAGTCCACTCAGGAAAAGAACTGGAGTTTTGGTGATCTTAGGCAGCACATCTTCACTGGTCCAATATTGGTGGCAGAAACGTGCCAAATACCGTGCTGGGGGGAAGACACTGGTTTGAAGTCAGTATTATCGCACGGGAATCTTTCTGATAATTCGAAAACATACTTTGGGATCAACTTGCGGATGCTCAGGAAAGTGTTCTCCAAGATCAGTCCTCCGATATCACCTTCCTCCTCGTTGGTGGCAACCAGGTTAATAGCAACGGCACCACCTAAACTTTGTCCGTAGACAACAATCTCGGTATCCCTTGTCTCTGGGCGCTGTCGTAGGTAATCAAGGCCGGTTTGGGCATCGATCTTAAGGCCGGCTTCATCCGGTGTGCCTGTAGACATCCCGTATCCGCGATACTCTAGCAAGAAAACATTGCATTGAAGTGTATCTTGTAAAGCTTTGGCGATGGGGACGCGGTGGCCGATATTGCCTGCATTCCCGTGGAACATTAGAACTGTCACATTGCGCGAGAAGCGGCCTGGCCGTTGCCGAAGAAAAAGGGCGTTCAAGGACTCCCCGTCGGGAGTGGGGATCTGGAGGTCTTCAAAGTCGGTGATACCAAATTGGCGAGGACTGGGAACATTTGTGCGGGCATCCACGGGGACATTGCGGGGATAAATTAGTTCACTGGGGAAAGCGATTAGCTTCGTAAACAAATGGCCTAGATGCTAATAGCGTACTTTTGCTTGAAGTAGAGGAGCCCACTTGCAACAACAGCCAGACCGGATGATGCAAGAACCGGCAATCGCATGAATTGTGCAGCACTGTTGGCCATGTTGCTGATGCTCCAGGACGGAGGCGGAGGGGATTCGGACATGGTGCTGGCACTTTAAGAGTGGGGACCAGATAGAGGACGCGAGAAAACGAGGTATGGGGACTCTGGTATTGCCAATTTATCGACTAGAAGAGATCTTGAATGCGACGGGAGATGAATACGGTAAGTTAATAGGGATAACCACAGAAGAAAAGGGAATTTGAGCTTCAGGAGTCTCGCGGGGAATATGATAAGTCAATCGCAGGGGCTGGGGCCTCACCGCCCGAGCTGCCGCGTTGTGAGCTTCTGCCTGTGTTCATGATAGCATCACCTCTACTTCTTCCCTGGACCTCCCTCTTCTCCTTGCTCTTTTATCAGGTCTATTGAAGTCATCTATCTACTTTCTCCACTTTCTCCTGAACACAGCACAAAATGGTCGCCACTCATGGAACATCAAGAATGCTCGGTGAAGGTGAGGAGAGCTATCGTCATCCGCCGACAGCAACCAGCTAATATCTCTAGATGGTATTCACATCGACATGAACCACCTGAAGTCCGGCGAGGTCAAGTAAGTTAAACCCAGGATGAGATTATCAACCATGGAGCTTCACAGCATATACTAACCCATCGTTCTTCGTTCAGCTTGGGAACCTCGATGTGAGTTGAGCTGGAGCTCTTGAACCTTACCATCTAGAAACATTTCCATTAACGTTCCAACAGCATGGCTATCAACTTCAAAGACGGAGTCATCCTGGGTGCAGACAGTCGAACAACCACCGGTGCCTACATTGCCAACCGAGTCACCGACAAATTGACACAGGTGCACGATACCATCTGGTGCTGCCGATCAGGTTCCGCCGCAGACACCCAAGCCGTGGCCGACATTGTCTCTTACCATCTCAATATGTACGGCGTAACGAACACCGAGGCCCCTACCACACAGGTTGCCGCATCACTCTTCCAGGAATTGTGTTATGAGAACAAGGACGCGCTGAGGTCTGTACCCGAGTCTTTGGATCATCGGCATTTGTTCCAAATCCAATGCTAATGAATCATAGTGCGGGTATCATTCTTGCCGGATGGGATGCACGACACGGAGGTCAGGTGTACTCGATACCGCTAGGAGGATCCCTTCACAAGCAGTCGTTCGCTATCGGCGGTTCGGGCTCGACCTACATCTACGGTTATACCGATGCCCACTGGCGGGAACAGATGACGGAGGAAGAGGGCATCGATTTCGTGCGAAGTGCTTTGCAGGAGGCGATCAAATGGGACGGCAGCTCCGGTGGTGTCATTCGTCTCGTGGTCCTGACCAAGGCCGGTGCCGTGAGACATCTCTACCTGCCAGACAACGGCTACACTGGGCCGGGAGTGACGAATTAATAAGTGATCTAATATTGTGTCAATCTCCAATGAAATGGTTTCATGATCCCAGTTCTCCGGTTTTCGCATTTAGCTATGCGCCCCCACCGGGGATATACTGTGTCTGAGAGCCAATATGACAAGTCTGACACTAGTCCACGGGTACGGGTGCTGCTATACCCCCCACCTTTATCGGGCTATGTAGGGAGAAAAGGACCGAGCAGCTCAAGGACTCGATCGGAAGTGCTCGGCCAGCTGGCTATTGGGTCATAACTGCCGAGTGGTATAGTTACTTGAATAGACCGGGGAGAACCCCAGATTTATATATCTTGGCCTATTACCAAATCGCATGAGTGATCTGGTACTGTAATACTCTGTAGAACAGTACTGCCCAGACTTTGGGAGATCCATAGGCAGAACAGGTCACATCCCACATGCAGACAAACTGTCATGCTCCTATGTAATGCAAGTCTATGGCCGGACAAAGGGAGATGTACAACATATGGTCTATACGGGAAATATCCACATTCATATAGATTCCTTCTCGTATTACCCTTCCGGCGAGGGTAAATAGGGCTAAGACATTTCCGATGTCTGAATCACCACTTGTCCACGGGGATGCAGATCCTTCTATCATTCGTCAATATACAGCCTATAGCTCTACATCATTGTACACCGTCTTTTATATGTTTGATGAGTACGGCGATAATCTCTTTGAAGACTCTTAAGAGTCTTTGTAGTGAAAGGTGTGTAACAGTCTTGAGAAGAGTCTTTATATCATATTTAGTCTAAACAGCAATTATAAAGCCCATGTTCAATGTCTTAATCCTGTTTCATATGTCTCCGGGGGACCACACTGACCTCACTGATCTCACCTTGACCCAAACTCCCTCCACTTCCCCAACTTCCCATATTACTTACGCGTTAGTTTCCCCTGTTATTCCTGTTAGTATTCCTGCTATTCCTGTTCTTCTCTTCGCTTTCGCCTGTTACCTTTTTATTTTATTTTCAATGGATTCGATCGGCTGTCGCTGATCTCCCACCTCCCTCTCTCTCTCGTCTTGAACCGGGGATTTTTCCCTGATCTGTGGTCTAGCCCTTGTGGTAGTCGAAAGTGTATTCAACCCCCTCTCTTTATCTCTCCATTCCTTGGTATTGCCATATATCATTTTCGATTCTTCCCATCTGATCTCCCATCGGTTTATAGTGGCAACACAGCCCGAGCTGCGACCGCCTTGCTGACCCGTGTTCCCGCAGAAAAACAGACCACGATAGCCTTGACATGGGCTCCGTCGTCGTCAACCACGTGCCGTCGGATCATATCGACACGTTGGGAGGCGCAATCAATTCGGATTCAGTTTATTCTTTCGCCCAGCCAATGGACACTCACTCGACTTCCTCCTCCACCCCCACCTCTACTGCCCCACCGTCCATAGGCTCTGCTCGGCTTCCTGTGCATGCGAATGATGTGCCGGCTTACATCGACCCATACACACCTTCTCAAGCTTCCCGCGCTTCTTCCGATACTCCTATCTTCATACCACGACCGCCCTCGATGACGTCTCATCCGAGCCATGCATTTCCTCCGGACTCTCACTCAACACGTACCCCACCAACCCAGACTGGGAGCAACTCATACTCTTCTAATCGGTCAGCGCCGGATTCACCGCGTCTCCAACCCACCTACCAGTCCATGCAGTCTGTGCCAGGTTCCGAAGCCAGTTCGCCGAGTCGCATTCGCGTCCAAAGCTTATCCCATATTCAGAGTCTCGCTAGTGAGGACCTGATGAGATCACGGAGCTCACACACTCCCGGAACTGGATCGCACCACCGACAATATGAGATTAGCTCCATGCCGGTCACGGAGATTATCGAGATGGTCGCTGGGCTTCTGACCAAGATCACGACTACAAACGATATGCATCATGAACATGTACATCGCCATATCCCGCCGCCCGAGGGCACATCCAACCTTAGCCCACAGGCTACCAGCGTACTCGCATTTCACGGCAAGAATGTCCCGACCATCACCATCTTGAGTTACTTGACTCGCATCCACAAATATTGCCCTACTACCTACGAAGTCTTTCTAAGCTTGCTGGTCTACTTCGACCGCATGACCGAGCTGGTCAACCGTGATCAGATCGACCAGCTGCACCACCGTTGGAATTCTGCCGAAGAATCAGGATCTTCGTCCGCATCTACTGAATCTCCTGGGGTCCATCAGGCGCAGGATTCTTTAATGGCGACCCCCCCGCCCTCATCAACAGGCTTTACTGCGCAGGACCCGCAAGGGTCGAATCCTACAATTTCACCTACCCTTTCACCTCAGTCGGATGCCGAGGCACTTTCACATTTCTTTGTCGTTGATAGTTTTAATATCCATCGACTGGTCATTGCTGCCGTGACCTGTGCCAGCAAGTTCTTCTCTGATGTTTTCTACACCAATTCGCGATATGCAAAGGTATTTGATTCTTATATCTGAGTCGTGGATCACAATTAATCATGATCGGATATACAGGTTGGCGGTCTTCCACTGGTGGAGCTCAACCACTTGGAACTACAATTCCTCCTTCTGAATGACTTCCGACTCGCCATCACCGTCGAAGAACTAGAGTCGTATGGGACAATGCTGGTGGAGTTCTACGCACGAGAGGTTGTGACCCAACAACAGCAACAGCACAGGAGTCTTCCCCGCGCGATCGATTCTCCGGCGGCCGACGCGGCCTCCGATGCCATGTATATGCGATCCCGCAATAAGCCTCACGACCACGCAGAGTTCGGCCAAACCCCTACACCACCGTAGTCCATTCGTCGGATATCTGAGTTTGTCATTCTGCATGGCATATTTCTCTTTTCCCCCCAGTCCATGATCCACCCACCCATCCTAAATCTTCATCTTTCTTGCTATCCTTCGATCCGTTGAGCGTTTGATTATCTCATATCTCGCACTGGAGCTTGTATCCATTCCGGTTTCTGGCGTCTCATACCCTCCCCCCGTAACCTCACGCACACACACCCTTTACACCTCTCTGGATCTGTTTCAGCGCATTTACACGTCACGACTTGTATAGAGTTCTTTCTCAGCTGGCCGGGCTTTGCGGGTTGTCTCATTACAACTATTCCCCTTCTTGCAACATACATAAACATCTACTTGATCTTGTTAGTGGTATTGCGAGTTCGTGCCGTCTTCTCTTATTGTTGTCATGGGTTGGTGTTATGATGGCGCTTTCTTGCATCACGAGTTTGTTACAGATTAAATTTTCGCCTTAGTGGTAGTCTCGAATATTCTTCTAATATGCTTTGCTTTCATTCCTTGCATTCTTTTCTTTCTGATGTAGCTGTAGTCCCGTATGTCAATCCTCGACATTCGAGTCTCGAGAGCTGAAGAGGACCATCGGCTAATAATATTGATATTGATAAAAATATCCGCTTCCATCCCGGCAATAGCAAAAAGCTAACTTATAAGTCTGCATGTAGACTAATGTCGCCCGCAAAAGACAAACGCAACATGACATGGCAGATTTCGGGTCTCGGAATCGGCTTTGTGACAATTAGCCCTAAGTGATAAGCTTCCCCGAAATACCGATCATGCTATTTGTATGAGCACGTGGAATACATTATAACTGAACAAAATCCGATATACGCTTTTAAAAAAAATCTCATTCTCTTCTCGACCAATTCTTCGTCCCGGGGGTATACATGATTTTCATCCCAATTCCTTTTCGTACAGGCCCCGCGGCTGTGACTCCTTTTTTTCTGCCGTGGCTCATGGCTATGGTAGCTTCAATATGCTTAGACTTAACAACATCGATCACCAGCTCTTACTTGCATCCTGACCCCTGGCATACCGATTGAGGATCTTGTTTATATTCCACCATCATCATCAGTTACTTATCAGAGGGTTCGCCATGAGCGCTAAAGAATTCCTCGTTGACGTCGAAGGCGGCGTGGTGCCGGTGGACTGCCACGAGAAAGTGCTGCGGATAGCATTCATCTATATGGAAGAGGAGCTGTGGCTCGACAGTGGCGTCTTTGATGTTGTCGAGAAGCTGCACGCGCGTGGATGGTCGTTCGGCGCGGGCGAGTTGAGGTTTAATCGGTAAGTTTCAAGGATATGAACTATACTACAAGTACAAAGACTGATAAATCACAGCACCCTGGATATATTCTACCTCGCCCAGCTCGCAGCGGCCATCTACCGCTCCACCAACCAACTTGAGGGTGACTTCCCCTCCCCTGATGATTTCCAGTCTTTCTACACCACACACCACGCCCTCCTCCACTCCTCCGCATGGCGCTCTTATTACTCCACTGCCTTCCTTACCCAGCGCACCACAGCGCGCTTCTACCGCCTACCTGACCTCCAAGACTTACCTGACTCTGACTCCCCGCTGGGGCTGCCGCGCCAGCGAGCCCCCGCACACGCCACGAAACTACCCCGCTGGGCCCACAGTGTCGTGTGCACGCACCGCAGGCAGCTGTCCCTCCCGCTCGCGACTCTCACTGGATTAGCCCTCAGCACACTCGAGACGACCATCACGCGCCTGCGCACGGTCTACACTAGCGTGCCGCCCTACTCGGAGACGCAAGCGCGCTTCTGGCTTGAGTATATGGGGCTCGGTTCCCCTGGCCGGTCTGGCTCAGCCAAGGCAGTTTCCCGGGAAGTGTGGGGCCCGAATATCTTCGGCATACTGGTCGCGCAGGGAGCGTATGATTTGTATGCGTGGGAAGCAAAGTACTCAGCGCAGCTGTGGGAGGCGAGTGCGGCGAGGAGGGAGGTTGCTGAGCCGGATGTGGATGGCGTGTGGGAGAGTGAGGTGATGTGGTGTGGGTTGCCGGATGGTGGGGTGGGGTCGTACGCATGGTGTAGGGGGTGGGAGGGAGAGGTTGGGAGTGAGGAGGAGGTAAAGTTTTTAGCTGCTGTTGCAGTGGAGGAGACGATGGGCGTGAAGGCGGAGGTGGGTGAGTTGGACTTTGCAGTGCGGTCGTATATGTTTCTTGGGGTGATGCGGGCTGCGGTTGAGAGGCGAGAGAGGGATATTTTTCTGGAGGAACTAGAGCGGGGGATGGTGCTGGCTGGGAGGATTGAGGAGGGGAGGGCATGGAGGTGGCTAAGGGAGGTCTTTGGGGTCGTGGAGCCATATGTGATGGTATGGGAGGGTGTATGGCCTGCTACAGAGGTGGAGAGGGGGGAGGTGCTACGGCAGATCTTGGTGGAGAATGGGCAGCTCTTTGCAAGGTGGAAGCGTTCGCCGGTTTTGAAGGAGTTCAGTTTTGTGCTGGGTCCGAGGGAGTAGGAGTGGCAGGCATGCGTTAGAGTTGGTAGTGATACCAGTTTCAAGATATTCTGTACAGCAGGGCTGGAAAGATTGGCTAATTGATGCATTTCATGATACCCTCGCACCCCCCAGGTCTCTGACAAGAAATGATTTCAGCCTGCTCGCAAGAATCACCCCCGCTTCATATTCCGAGCCCTCGCGCAATACCGGACTCCTATGGTTCACTAGTACTGTATAACGAAAAAAAGGACCCTAAAGGCCAAAGCATGAAGTCCATTGTGACTCCAAGTGATCACGCATAATACATTCTAGGATTGTACTTGATACACGCACAGACTGTTTGAACATACGTATGTACTCGGCTTCTACTTCATTTTTTTCTTCTCCATACCCCTCGCACTGCGAGAACACATGGTGAAAAAAGAAGGAAAAAAGGAAAGAGGTAGAAGGACACCATCGGGCACTACTAAGTCAGTTAGCACAACCACAGAAATCCATGGGCAGAGGTATAAAACATACTCCTTTCGCCCTTTTTGGCGAGCCACCACACGTTATGCTGCCTTTCGCACGTTCACAGACAGAGACGTTCGCCAGTATCCACCCTAGAAGACGTGGTGTTAGCATAAGATAGAAGACAGGAGGAGTGGGATCATATTTACCCTTGAAGAAAAACGACGAAGCCACCACACGCTCTGCTGCCTTCCGCACGTTCACAGACAGAGATGTCCCCGAAGCCCTCCCTAGGAAAATATGCGGTTAGTATGTAGTCAAAACGAAGAGCGACGAGGTGGAAACATATTCACCTTGGAAGAAAAAAGACAAAGCCACCATACGTCCTGTTGCCTTCCGCATGTTCACAGACAGAGACGTTTGACCGAGCTATAAGATGTCAGCACACGAAGCAGGAAGACTTTGCAGTTCAACCATGCTGTTTCTGAAAGTAGTGGGGTAAAGGGGGGGAAGCAAGTCAGCACACGCTCTGCTGCTCTCCGTAGACAGAGACGTTCGGTCGATGGCAATGCCCATTAACCACCTGAAATTGATCGTGATGTTAGCTCTTGAATACACCAGATGTTTGACAAGGGCTGACCATAGTTGCCATCCAATTGAGCCACCACACGCTCTGCTGCCTTCCGCACGTTCACAGACAGAGACGTTCGCCAGTATCCTCCCTGGAAGACGTGGTGTTAGAATAATATAAAAGACAGGAGGAGTGGGATCATTTACCTTGAAAGACAAAAGATGAAGCCACCACACGCTCTGCTGCCTTCCTCGCGATCACAGACAGAGACGTCGCCCCCATGTCTCCAAGTCCTTACCTCAAAACAAGAAAAGGAATTCAAAAACACCAACGCCAACAACGCCAACGAACAGACACAGAAAGCAATCTTTTTGGGGGTTTTTTATTTTCGCAAAATCAAACGGCAAAAGCCTCAACAGAAAAAAACAAAACGCCAAGAAAGCAGACCCAGAAAGCAACAATAACAAAAAGGAGAAGGAAGAGGAAGGAAGAGGAAGCCAAGCCCGCCGAGCGCTCTGAGGACATGAGTGCAGACCGTCAGCATCAAAAGAAGCACGTCCCATAGATAAAGAGGAGCACAAGCGCAGCATAAAATGCTGGGGCAAGGCATGGGAAGAACGAGCCCAACAAAACCATGAGCCCACAAAGGTTGATGAAACAGGTGGCAGAGAACGGGCCAACCTGGACGACGCGGGTCTGAACCACACGCGCATGAACCTTTGGAGCTAGCTTGCGAGACTCGCGAGAGTGGGTCGCAGCCATGGACTTGGGGGCACGTGCAAGGGACGATGCAACAGAGGGAGCATCAAAGTCGGGGAGTGCACGCATCAGGGAGGACATGTCAGAGGTAACCCCATCTGGTGAACCGGGGGGGGGAACCTTAGGCAGGGCATCCATCAGCGAAGCCATATTGAAGGCACTCTTGTCAGGCAGGCTATCGGCCAAAGAGGACATGTCGAAAGTCACGTCAGGATCAGGCAGCGCATGACTCACGGAGGACATGTCGAAGGAAGACTCATGCAGTGAGCTACTGGGGGTAGGCTCAAGCAGGGCATCCTCCAGTGAAGACATATCAAAGGAAGACTCGTGCGCTGAAACATCTCCATCGGAGGAAGGTGTGGACTGCGGAGCACGTGGGGCAGACGAATACCTCGCAGCGAGGTAACGGGCACGTACAACGCTGACCCATGGGGACTGCGTGGCGTACTGAGGCCCACTACCTCCAGGATGCTTGGAGAGGAACCTCTGGTTGGAGCCCAGAGGATTCGAAGTGTACATGATGAATGACTTCGTCTCCGCGAGCCGGCCACTTTTGAAGAGTTCCTTCTTGTTCCGATTTGGTCGACACGGGATTTCCCTGACCCGTTCGAGGAAGCACTTGTCGTCGGGGAAGTGTACTGTCTTCCGGACGCAAGGCTCTCCAGAGGGGGGGGAGTCCCGATCAGAGTCCGCTGCGGCAAGGCATGACTTCAGAGGAGGAGGGCGGTTTTTAGAAAGCAGGATGCGAGAAGAGGGAACCCGTTTACCAAAGGTAGAGGGGTGCATTTTGAATAGCTTTGAAAGCAATAAGAAATGGTTTTGGTAATCAAGAGCAAGTGCAAATGAAAAATAGCCAGTGGCATGGGGAGAGGAGAAAGAGAAAAGAAAAACAGCGGAGGGAGCAAATATATAACATTTGGGGGATTCCCTAGCAACAGACAATAGCAACAGGAAGGTACGATGAGGTTGGTAAACAGAAGCTGAAGTTTTACAGGAAGGTACGATCGTGGATGGTGGCTATGGAAACCAGCTGGGCAAGCAATCTAGAAACTCACCAACCTCACCAAGGCAGGAGCATCCATGATATCACGACTACATACTACTAGTGCAATACCACATCACATGTATATGCCAGATCAATTTGTACCTCAGGATCATACACGTGTACACCTAACTCGGGTCTATCAAATTGGCGAGAGTTAGGGCTAGGTTATACATGGGACTGAACCATCCTCCTTTCAATGGAAAAGTATACTCGTCTACGGCTGTTTTGTGTCTGTCACACTCTCTATGATAGCTAAGAGATGGAAAAAACCCCAATCAAAAAAGACATCCAACAAGATAGCACAGAAGACACTAGAAAAGACTGGCGAATGCACCCTACAAATGTATCAAAGTTGCAGTTGCGTGGTTGTTATACTTATATGGATATTATGATATTATTTTCTCCGATTTCTAATCTCGTCGATCATATACAGTAAGACTCGAATATACTCTATGGAATTGTCCCCTTAGATCAGTAACCGAGACAGGCCCCCTCAAATATCGGATTGTTTCATGAATCTTATAGAGACCAATGGTCCCAAAGAACTATCGTCATGACCTTTGGAGATGCGCCCAAAGCTTCATTGCGAGATTCTGGGTGTGGATTTTCTAGGTACGCCCCCACGGATAGCTTCTCCGTCTGGGAAACATAGCCGCTCGACCCAGAACTCGAGTGCTGACTTTGTTACTTTGCAAGAGCGAACATAGCACTCATTCCTACGAAAGATAGCCATCATAAGGCCGAGATATCGAAATGGGCGGACGTCTTACACATGACGAATTAGATGTGATGCAAATGAATTCAAGGTAAAATCGCTCAACCTGGGAACCGCCTGCACTCCACCGGGTCATAATGATACATGCATTTCTTCTCAATTCCCTAGTGAGCATCAGTGGACAAAGGCTCATGAGAACAACGCTGGTCGGGCGATATGTTGGACTTCCTGGTCCTCGAACTACACTCAGTCAGTCACATGATCCCGGATTCGACCCAATAGATTGCAAAAAATGAAAAGAAGAGAAAACATACCTCTATGAAATCTGTGGCAGTAACAAGAGCCATGAAAGTCTTAACTAATTCACATAGAGTCTCGTGGTGGGCGGTTGATGTATTTCCGATCTTGGCAGATCGTTTGAAGATACCCACCATGCATGGCCGATTTTCAGCCAAAAAAATGCGGGTCTGCTCTTTAATTTGTTCGTTGTGGATACCTCGAGAGAAAACCGCATACACGATGACCTGAAGGACTGAAAGGAGAAGATCGTAATACCTCTGGAGGGCGTCGGGATTTTCAATGTCTGAGGGGGTTAGCAAGGTACAATTGGGCCAGGATATGATTGACTAACCAATGCCGATGTCTGGATCGGCAGCGAAAAGTCGTGATTCGTGCACGGCTTGGAAAAGACCAGAGTTGAGCACACAATTTGCTCCACCCTTAGTTTGAGACAGCCGCTGAAGTAATGATAAAAGCGACTCATAGTATGCCAGTAGTGCCGGGGTGTCTTGAGTTTTGATTAGTTGTAATAATATGACTGTTTCGAAGGGGGTATGACTGACCGCTTCCCTGAGCATTGTGAAGTTCGAGGGGAAGAGAACGCAAGGCATCCAGGAATAGACTCAAATAGTTCGACCTCGAGATGAACTCAGCCAAAACACAGTCAGTTTGGCGATCCAGAACAGCTAAACTGTTCAATAGCACAAGAGCGGATGCACGGCACGACTCTTGACCAGTATATGCGTCATCGCACATAGTCTCAATCAGGCTAGAACCGGCTGCTTTGATGACATGTTGGCTAAGACGTCGTAGGTTTTCATGGCCCTTGTCCGACGATGTGATGCGTGTTATGTAGTGGGAACAAATACTGTAAAGCGTTTCCCTCAACAACACATTTCCTGTCGCCAGGTTGGTACCCCGGATGCAGAGTTGAAAGAGCTGGTGGAGCTTTTCGTCGATGACATCCCCGCTTCGAGACGCATCTGTTGCAGATGGCTCGGACGCAAGTCTACCGATCAACAATTCAGCCAGTCGTGCCAGTTCAAGTGCTTCGGGAAGATCCGCCTCGATTGCCGTTGTGAGCTTAGGTAGAATCAATTGGATTGAATGTAGAATGAAAGCCGGCCTGCTTCCTTCGTCGATAGAAGAGCAAGTGATCATCGTAGCAACGAGCTCTACCCATGAACGGAGGGCGTGATAGCGATTGATTTGAATCAGGCTGTTTTGCTTCGTTGCAAGGATGAACAACTTCAGGTCATTAGCCTCAGCTAGCAACTGCTCCTCATCATGTGGGCGGAGCGGTCCATTGGCCGTGAGTTCTGCTTTCCGCATTTGTATCATCTCCTCTACCCCTTCCATACTGTACACGCCCTCCTCCCGCTTGCTTTCTAATTGGAGAGCAACATCACCGAGCAAGTAAAGCTGGGGCATGTTGAACTCGCGCCCAACATCAAGGTCTGCGAAATCGAAAAGATCGAACACGGAAGGACTAGATAACGGTTCACCGTTATCCGCAAGCGTATTTCCAAGCAACACTGAAAGAATTTGGGCATGTAGAGCTGGTGATCTAGCCTTTGCTGTCGAGCGAACCTCGGTTGCGGCATATGTGAAGAGATGACTCCGGTAAAGCAGGAATTCTGCTAAGGCAGTGGCAGCGTCTGTGAGCCAAAATTCATCTGAATCAATGGGGAATCCATTCCAGGCAGTGCTCGGGCCAATGATCGGTTGGTAGGCAAACATCTCACGCAGGAATGCCTGAGCACGCATTTCACCAAGGGTGTAGTAACTTGCCAGCTTCGATGACCATAGATGCTTCAGCACTTCAAAAGCCATACGTTTGAGGTGCACTACCCAAGATATAATGCCACCATCGAGGATCTCCGGATAAGCCTTCAGGAAATTCACAATGGCATGCAGCAAGGAACTTTGATTCGCGAATAGCCCTTCCGATGACACATCGAGGATGTTGCCCACGCAGTCGAAGCCCAGCAGCAGATGGGCTACCGTTGGGCGGTCTGTGATCGTTCCCAGGCAGGTGTTCAACAGAGCAAGAAGGCTTTCCCGAATGACATAGCCAGCAGCATTCGGGCCGAAATCAAGCTCTCTAATATCTGGTTCCATTTGTAACACAAGAGGCAGCGATATGCTGTCCACATCGACCTCGGATGCAAGCACCTCTACAATCTTGTTCGAAGATTGCCACTTGACGAGTTCTGGCGAAGTCATCTTGTTGAGCTTTCTGGAACTAGTAAGCTTTTCCAGCAAAGCCATGGAAATGACGGTGAGTTGTTCATGCGCTGTGCCGCAATAGAGACAGAGTGACGGGATGAGTGTCAGATTGTTCAGCACGGTGTCCTCAAATGAAGCTAGCGAGGAGTTTGCCACGATGGTCCGGGAAGGTACGGGCTGGGAATGCACCAGAGGTTTGACAATGTTAAAGTATGTCGATTGCAGGTCCACGAGTAAGTTCATAACCTCCAGACTCCGGTGCAAAGTTAGAACCAGAACAGAGTCGGGCGACGCGGTAGCAACGTCCGAAACGTCTTGTTTAGACGTTGCAAACAAAGATTTGAGTACATCTTCGTTAAAAAGCCAGTCTACCACGCGTGCAAACGGGTGCAAACGAACGTAGGTGAGCAGCGATGAAGTCTGCGTCGGGGAATCGGACATGGATGGCTGACTCAGAAGTAACACTAGGTCTTCATTGAAGGATTTTAAGCTTGCCACAACGAAGTCTAGACAGTTGAAGTTCAACAGGCGGGACTGATATTCATTAAGCTCTTGAATCTTCCGCGAAAAGGCATGCCCCAAGATGAAATCGATGTAAGGCTCAATCCCGGACATGCGATAAGTTCCACCTAGGGTCTCCGGGAAAGGCAACGACATTGGGTCGTCAATTGAGTCGGACGAAGGAGCAGTAAGTGCATTGATAAGAACAACAAATGCATTCGTCTGGTCAAAGCTCTCCCCGATCTTTTGCAAGGCTTGTTGCTGGTGCCAAACGGCAGGGTTGGAAACCAAAGGAACTTTGCCAATTCCGGACGCACCTGTTCCTCCCGATAGCCACCCATCGAGACGGGCCCACGTTTCCTTTCCAACGGGGGAGCATTTGTCAGTCATCAATGCTGAGAGAGTTAAAAAGGTAGTTGCTCGAAGATGCGATGGAATCGGCCCACTGCACAGGTCTAGCAGTGTGCTAACTACATTGAAGGATTCATTTTGCAGCATCCACTCTCGGATAGGTCGACTCTGCTTACACAAGTGGCCTATCAGCCGAAGGTAACATGTCAGCATCACTGGGCTTTCAGGCTCGTTCATTTCCACGGGCTCTGGTTTCCGTGGACGAAAGATCCCTGGCGCCCCTTGGGGGCTTGTAGTAGTGGAAGGCTTCTCAGTGACCCGAGACGCGTAAAGCTTCAGTTCAGCGAACATTTGCGACCAGTTCATGGTTGTGGATCGCTTGAACTTGGAAGACATAAACTTATCTTCCTCCGACAGAAATCGATGTGCCGCAGCTGCATTTTCTTCTCCTTCGGATATCGAACACAGCATTTCGCAAAAAGCACTGACCCGAGGAACAGTCTGTCGTTTAGACGCCCACTGAAGGAAGCCATAGAGATTCCCATCAGGATCAGCCCAAAACTCTTGGGCGGCTTCTTGTCGGTGCTCAAATGCAAATGAAATGATCATAAGAAGGGATTCAAGGTGAGTCCGCACCTCTACCAAGCCACGGTGGAGGTTAGAGGTGAGGCCATCTCTGAGTGCGGTGATCTGGTCTAGTCGTTGTGAGTCCTCCTCCGACTTCAGTCGTCGCACCGCGTCGGGCATATTTGCAACGCATGATTCCACGAAAACCTCAAGGTTTTCCATTAAAAGCTCCTTCATAAAGCTAGAGCATGGTTCGGGATCAGGCAATGATACCACACTTTCCCTGAGCAGTAATGTCACTAATTCGCTCCGCGCGGGGTCCGCCCATTCCTCGGTGTTGACACTGGAGCAGATTGCGAGCATAAAATCAAGGGCGCCATCGTCGAGAGAAGACATGAACAGCTTCGTACGCTCTTCGGATTCTTTCTCTGCGTCGACTGATGGAGATGGAAGACCATCAAAGTACCATCCACTGTAGACTGACAGCCACAGAGCAACAAGGGCAGCGTGGAAATTTGATAGCTTCCAGCCTTGGCCATCCTTGGATGTAGTGATTAATTTATGCAGGTCTCGTGCCTCTTTCTCAGATCCAGAGCCCTCGGGAGAACCGTGCTGTACAAAAGACACAATTGTGACTGGAATGTAGTGAAACAAGAGTCCGTCGAAGCGATCAATTTTTTTTAACTGACTCACAAGTATGCGGAAGTCTTCGCAGCTTGTGTATGTCCCCTTGAACATATAGAATAGGATCGCTCCGAGTGACTCATGCTGCTGTTGCAGACTTGTGCGTTGGAATTCAATGGCTTCCATGATATCGCGGTCATTTTCCTGGCCAACGACTGAGGCCTTTTGAACTTGATCTCCAAGAAGCGACAGCCATTTCTGGATGTCGGCCATAGAACTCAAGGCTTTCCGCGCGAAGAGGGAGGCATTCCGCAAAGGGCTGTTTTTAATTTCCAGAACGTGGGCCAGTGTTTCGTGCATGATAGGGTGGGTCGCTTCATGTTCAATTTCGCGCGATTCTCGGAAGATGAGACGTAGACACTCGAGGGTAAAAAGGCGACGCTCGTGGAAGCTTATTATCGCAGCGATCAACGGGGGCCTGTCCAACACTTGTGAATTTTCCTGAGCGGTCAGAAACATAACTGCTGCCTCGAGTTCATCGATGTTGAGCGCATCTGCAAGTTGCAGTGCGCCTTGTTGGAAATCCTGGTTCACCGAGTATTCGACGTCGGCAACAGTGATCTTCCCTAGGATATCGCGTTCGACGTTAGTAACTTGTCAAAACAGACGAATAAAGGGTTGCGAGGTAGCCAAGATACCAAGTGGCTACTTACCTGAGAGAACAGCTTGGCGGCTGGCATTGTTCTTTGCTGGCTTGTCTAGGAGTTTGCGGAAGTCTTGAATATGGGTCTCCAATTCGAAACACAAGCGATCGACGTTGGGGAGTTGAGAGTTCGAAAGAGCCGAGAGATCCTGATACAGACCACGGAGGCCATTCCGGGTATCTTGGAGCTCTGCCATGACGGCGGGGTGAAGTTGAGAAGTGAAGCTCGAGCTCTATGTTTGTTCCAGAGTCTAGAAAGGCGGAACGCGACAAAAATCGGGCGGTAGACAGCTTTCGCAAATACTGCCACTCCACTTTCCACTAAACACAATCACTTCGCTTATCGACTCGATCATTAGCTCGCAGACTGGCTGATTGATCTGATATGTCTTTTCTTGTCAGGTGCGAGAAGATTTGTTGAGACTCAAGGCTTTGATGTGTTTTATGTCGAGAAAAGACCCCGAAAAAAGACGCGATGGGGGAGATCTTTCTCGACAAAACGATTAGCCTGCTCTCATCAGACAAACAGAAGGCCCGCTCGGATGGTTTGGCAGGTTGCTTTATATCTTATCTCATCTCAGAAATAACTGGCGCTAACTCAATTGACAGACTTGAAGCACATATTACAGCAGAACAAGAAGAGCTCCAAGCTGTAAGTAGTCAACTACCCCAAATGAACACTTCAGGCTATTAAAGTAACTAACCAATCTTCCACACCTAGACAAACACTCAATGACAAAGCTTGCCACAAGATCTTTGAATCGCTATTCCGTTTTGTCGCAGCAGAGAGGTCAATATACAATCGAGCCCAAAAGCCCACAAAAACTCCTTCTGCGTCGCGGCTCTCGACATGTGCTTCCGTACTCCGAATGGCTGTTGGCCTCTTTTTGAAAAATTTGCGAATCAGAACCGTCCGCGCTATTGTGGACCACATTACTGAGACTCTACCGGTCCCTGGGGAAGGTCTGTGGGAACCCCTAAGCCTAGACTATACCAAATGTTTAGCATCCCTTCTACGTTACCGCCCTCATGCCGAGCATCTTGACGAAGAAGACTGGAAAGCCCTTATGAGCTTTTGCCTTGCCAGTATTAGTCCCCGGGAGAATGAAGAGAGTCAATTGAGTATTCGAAGCGGTTATCGTTTCGTTCCCGAAGACCAAGATGCCAGTGACAGCCGTTCTACCCCCTCAAGAATGACCGTCGCGCCCGTCTCAGTCAGCAGGGAAAGGCACAGTGGCAATAGAAATGTCATTGAAGAAGTTGTGATCTGTATTCAACTGTTGACAACAAGCACAAACCCTCCTCTTCACACTACGGCTCAAAGCATACTTCACGGACTTTCGGAGTTTGTTGAGTCATCTGTGGCTGGGAATACACACCAGCTCGCGTTCAATAGCATAAATGCAGTCGTTACAAAAGTCATGTTTGATCAATCCGAACTTGTCCGTTTGGTCCTGTCAGGCCTGGTTCCAGTAATTCGACGCCTATGGGCCACTAAGGTACAGATTCTCAAAGAAGAGTTACTTGCCACTTTGATGCTGTCAATGATCGTCTTCGTGGACACTGCTCGAAAAGACCCGTCGGAATCTCTGGCACATGATATCGAGGGATTAGCCAGTACACTCCATTCCGAATACGTGAGACGGGCAGAAAAGGAGATCATGCAAATTGATGAAACGACACTTTATCACAATGAAGCATGCCGGACCAGACCAGTATATGGACCTTGCTTCGGAACTGCTAGATCAGAGCATGACTGGACAGTCCTCTGGTTGATTGCAGAGCTATTAAAGCTCTCGGAGTGTATTCACACCCGAGTCAAGTCTGGGTCAGCACGCGAAGCCTCAAGCAAAAGGCAGCGCTTCAGTTCTGAGATCCAGGACGTATTTCGAGATTCGGTCTCAGCCACAGGCACAAAAAGAATATGTGCATTGCAACTCATCCCATTCCTCGAATCTGAGGTTGACATCGAGACGAAGGAGCCCTTCTTCAAGCAGCTTGTCCTGAACATCTCTGGCGGTAATGGTGCTGTATCATCCTGGACAATGGTTGCTCTGACAAGGTACGTAAATTCGGAAATGCATCTAGAAAGGATAGGAAGAAAGGCCCTAAATTGACTATGACAATAGTATTGCGAACGGGGCTACTGCCAAATCACCTAGAATTAGGGTCCACTGGCCACGAGTAGTCGAATTTACTACGCGTGCATTCTCATCTCCGGTGACATCTCGAGCTGCGTGTAACCTAGTGAGTATGATTTTGCAGTCAGACTTATTGGATTACTCAGTAGCTATGGAGACAACGCGGTCACTTTTGACATCTGTCAATGGACCATCTGCTATCTCAGACACGTCTTTAAGGCTATGGGCCTCAATTGCACGAATGAGGACACAGCTTGATCCCAGGTCGGCCCAGCAGGCCTCGATACAGATATGTAGCTGGCTAAGAGAAGTTTGGGCCGGTACGAGGCCCTAAAATTTTCCTTTCGCGGTTTCTGGCTGACAGTCACTTTGCAGGTTCGGTAACTGATCGAATCCAGACAGCTCGAGTTGCTGCGTATGCTCGTCCTTTGGACTTACTGGACCTTTTTCTGTCGTGCACTAATCGATCCTTCGCCATTCCTCGTTATCAAGTCACAGGACCAACGGGGCATATAGGTCGCACTTGGCTCTTTTTCCACGAGAACCGCAAATTGTTGGGGTACATTTTTGATACGAATTTTGCTCCAGCAAACCCCTGGAGTCTGCAGGAAACATGGTCCTTGGAGCAATTCTCTAGGCAAGACCCTGATGATATAGCGATCTTAGATCTGTTTCGAGTGAGATCTGACTCGTTTTTACAAACGTGGCACGCTATGAATGAAGAAAAATCACATATCACTCCGGATAACTTCCAGATTCTGGCGTCCTTTTGTGTTGTGGTTTCCCTCTTCATGGCATGTCTTCCTCCATCATTGCAATCTCAACCTCGATCACAAGATCTGCACCAGAACTGTCGGAGTCTGTGGAACGCTATATGCGATTTTCTGGCAGCTCATACACACGAATCCGCTTTCATGCAATCTTGCTTAGACTTGTTGTCACCGCTCCTCGATCCTTTAACGAGTTCTGACACCCCCGCTGCCATCCAGACTAGTCTTAAAGAACTTGTCACTCCACTTGCAAAAACGCTCGAGTATTTCCGCCAGAACTCAAAAAGTCCATCTGCAGCCGAAGATTTTATGGATGTGGATGACCGATTCATGGCCGAACCCCCAATAGCCATTGATGACACTATTCTTACCTTGAACCGAAATTCTCTGTCTATCTTCCTTGACCCCGTCACATACCAACGCTGTCTAACCATCCAACTCTCGGTATTCCTTAGAACCCAAGCAGATTCTGACTCGTCCTCTGTCGTTGAATACCTGGCAGGCTTAGATGAAGCCGATATCTTGGCGGCCCAAGCTATCTTACCTGAAATCTTCAAACTCTGCTCGGAATCGGAGCCCTCAAAACTGCTCTGCATCCTGGAAAATTTAGGTGAAAATTGTCTACAGTCTTATGAAATGGAGCGGTGTGAGGCTTCACATTGCGTTTGCATCCGCATGATGACCAGCTTTGTCGGCTCCTGGACGAAAGGCCTTGACGATACCTTGAAAGAATCGGCTATGGACTTGTACAATTGGTTTATGGAAGTGCTTCTGGCCCGGAAAAGAGCTACACCAAAGGTCTACATCGCCTTAGCCGAGCTCATCCAGGGGGTGATTGGTACATGCCCCTCATATGGCAATGAGCAGTCTCTTCCGTCGCCACGAACAAGTTTATTCACAATCCTTCGAGAAGGTGATGTTCAAGTCAAATTCAGCGTTGCGAAATTTATCCCTGCTTTATTTGAGCGGTTCCTTCTCAAAGACCACGATGCCATCTTTGATGATGTATTGGAGAGCTTGCCACGAGACCCTGGATGGATCGAAGGAATTGCAGTCCGCCTTTTTGTGCTTTCTCGGTTGGCTTCTAGATGGCATACTTTGCTGCGGAGAAGTATCTACCATCTATTTGAAACCCCAGCTCAAGTTCCAATGTCACTGTGGTATGCCGAGAGATGTATGGTCTCCGTTTCGCAGACCCTCGGTCTGCAAGACGCGAAACAACTTTTTCGGCTTTTCTCGTCGCAAATACTCTACACATGGACAGAGACACAGAGTATCATGTCTATGCCATTTAGTATATTTCGGTATGACAGCCTTCAGGATATGTTGATGGACGTCAAAGATGAAATCGTTGGGCAAATGATGATGCGTGCCAAGGAACAGGAAACAATTGAGCTTGCAAAATACCTCCAGATTCCACATCTCGAGCTCTTGGTGACCTCTTTCTACAAAGCTGAGGCATACAGCATTGCACGAGATATCAGTACTCCTCCGGGGCAAGGTAGCCAGCCCAAGGGGGTTGAAATCCGTCTGCGAAAACTTCTCGGGGCAGACCAGTTCATGACACAAATTGAGAGTCAATTCCCCCTAATCATTGCGACTTTTTTCAACTCTCTCGACTACTATGACCAGATCGAACGAGCATTCTCAAAGCGTGAAAACTTCGGTTATGCGCTCGACATTCAGACACAAATAATCAACAAGAGTGCATCTCAAAATGCACTCCCAGCAAATCAACAACCCTCCTTTCGGACACGCTATCTCCTGGATGAAATTGAGTTTCTTTGCAGACGCACTGGATTTGAATTTGAATCAATATGGACGCCATCACTTGCGTCTTTTGTCTGCCGCTCGCTGCTTGAATCCATACATCCCGCCCTCGGTTCGCTTCATGCTTGTTCTGTGATCCGCAAAATAAGAATCTTAATCTGTGTGGCTGGTCCCGTCATACTTCAAGATTATCCTCTAGAGATGACACTCAGCTCCTTGCGGCCTTTCCTTAGCGACATTCATTGTTCTGAGGATGCTCTTGGGGTTTTCTGGTATCTACTCGAGGCAGGGAAAGGATACCTCTTATCTGCACCCGATTTCTCTGCAGGTATCGCTGTCTCGACAATGGTTACTCTCCGCGGAATATTTTCGTCGTTACCTGAGAACACGACTCAGGAGAGTCAGTACAGAACAGTGCAGTCAAATGCAAAAAGATTCCACCAATGGCTGGTTGAGTTTATTAAGGAGGTCCGTTCCGATCATCTTTTCCATGAAGTGCCAAAAATATCATTTGAT